TATTCTACTATCCTCTGGGACGACGCCCTGAGGATTTGGCCCTGCAGCCTAATGGACTGTCCAATTATAACAGTGTGTGCACGTGTGTGTGTGTGTGTGTGTGTGTGTGTTTGTGTGTGTGTGTGTGTAGAGTGAAATAGTGAGAGAGAGAAAAATAGAGAGTGACTGAGTGAGAGATTTTCTGTGGATTTTGTTGGTAGTGTCCCATCTGTTTGTGCAGCCTATGAAATCTCACAATCCTGTCACCAACCACAGGCACACACACACGCGCACGTCTGCCATCGCCACTCAGCAGACATATTTGCAAAATATAGGACGCGGGCTGGAACATCATGACCTCTTTTAGCCAGTTGTATGAGGGCATATAAAGGCACTGCTGCAGACACATCACTGTGTGTGAAGAATGTGGAATTGTGCAGGGAAGCTACATTTGATAAACACACCTGTTGGACCGGTCCACTGTGATGCTCTCTCCTCCGGGAACCAGCTCCTTCACCTCAGTCACTCCATAATGTTCTCGGGTAATCTGCAGAGAGAATCGTGCCCGCCTTGTTTACTGCACAATGCTTTTGCAGTGGATTGCAAAACTACTACTGCAACTAATCAAATAAGAGCAACATTACTTTTAAATAGCATTCTTAGTAAAATCTGTATTTTAACCAGTCAGTTTACTATGAAGTGAATTACAATTAGTATACATACAGTTGTACGCAAATGTTTGAACACACCATCAAATTACGTTTTGTTGATTTTTTAAGTTAATAAATCCCCTGCAGAGATTTAGAGGTCTTAAACATGGCATATCTGCTGTAAATATATTTATAGAGTTTTACATGTTGGAAATAAATTAAAGTTGTAATAACTCTGGCACAGGCCACATTGTATGTCTTATGTTCTTCCTAATATTTTAAATTTAGCAAATAAACTGTAATTGTGCATTAAAATGTGCATGACTGCATTCTCTGCAGAGGATGGGTTAAATTATTATTTTTTAATTAGAAAATAAACAAAACCTTTGCCCAAACTTCAGCAAACATTTGTGTATATTTTTCTCTGCCAAGTACAAGATTTTACAAGATACAAGGAATTTCTCTTGGTGCTGGTGTCATCATAAATTCCAGTATAAATACTTAAAATGTCTATAAAATTACACACTCAGAATAATCTACAAATTAAAATATGACCATATAACAAAATATGCAATTATTACTGTGTCAAACAAAACCTTTTGTTTGTAATTTTACAAGAGAAGGAAAAAAATCAACACAATATCAAGGACAGTTGTCAATTTAAAATAATGTCAAAAAAAAGGTTGGAGATATAAGGTTTTGTCCTGAGAGCAGGCATAAAATTATATTATACTATAATTTATTAAAAAGCTCCTTATTGTGATGCAGGTTTGTTGTAACAGCTTCACCCATTTTATATCCAACACAGGGACTGAGAATAGTTATCATATTAAAAGCAATTTCACAGGCAGGCATTTTTTGAGCTGTGTGTTTCGTAATTGGCTGTATAGCAGATTGGTTAAGTCACTCACTATCTATGTGGGACAATTATAGAAACATTTCTTGCTTTTGATAACTTACAGCAAAGTTGAGACAGAAGGCTTCCTCAATATCATCTCTTTCATAGTCCAACAGCTGCTGGAGACTCCTGTGATAAACACCAATTCAAATTCTCAATCTCCAACTGTAATAATTGTGGATGCTGTTATACAGTAAGGAAATATAAAGAAGTTTCCATTTACAAGGTAAAATGAAGTTTAATATGAAGTCTATAACCACAGTGATTTTTCACATATTTGGAAACTGAGGCAGTGTTTGTATTTGAAATTTGCCCTTTACACTGCACTGATGTTGGGAGAGCAGCCTCTTATTAATTGTGCTTTTTTATCCTCACCCATATTAAATGTTTAGAAACCAATGTCTCATTTAATAAGCTCGGTGACATTTGTTCTATCTGCACAGTTAACTGTCTATCCATCTGTATTATATTCACAGCACCAGATGAGGCCTACAGTTCTACAGAACTTGGATTAAGAGTGCTGACAGACCAGAGCTTTCCCTACTCAACACAGGGCAAACTGACACTCACTGGTTTTAACACACCTTTCCACTGCCAGTATAAAGCAGAGCGCACAGGGCCATTTGTAACGCATTATGAGCCAAACATTCTAACCAAAGAATGGAAAGCTAACTTGAACGAGTACATAGTGTCCCAATAATAGGAAGTGACAGCTGGGAGAGTAATAGCTCAACAGCTGGGACACAGTTGTGCTGTCAATCACAGCAGAACACTCCTGTTTTTCTAGAACGGTTTTAGAACATTAATCACTGTTCCAGAAAAAGGATGCTAGAAGATTCACTACAAATGAATGTAATGCACATACAATAGAAAACAGTTGTCAGCAAACAACTGAATACTCATGTAGCAGTAATAGGTATCTTGTTAGAACAGCTTCCAAATGACAGTTCCTCCATTCAAGAAATAACAACTCTAGTTCACAAGAACCGATGCCAAGTAGGACACAATAAAAGAAAACTCTCCCCCACCTGCGACGGTGCAAAATACAACACTCATAAAAATGCCAATGATCTAACTAAAGCAAAAAGATAGTTAAGCAACCACTTTATCATTGAGAAAGGACAGCACCTCTACTACACGTTCTGGATACGACCCCTCACTGCCAATCTAAGGGTCAATTGTTTCACCGTTTCCTCTCCAGCCATCTGCAAATAATTAGCGGCTAGCGGCCCATGTCCTCCAATTGATACAGGGTTTCTGCTGTGCACTAATTAAACCTTACATAATAACAGGTTACGTAACGTCAGGCTCATGGCAGGGAGCTTTTAGGCTGCAAAATGGGGCAGAAGTTTTTAAAAATGGTCCCCTCCAAAAGCCATTGTAGCCTGGACTGAGGTGAAGCCAAGAATTCAATAATGAAAAACTTGCAGAGGTTAATGGAGCTCCATCGATTTTAGCCAACCCACAGAGAGCACCTAACTTCTCTTCGTCTGACATGTCGAGGTTTATGACAAAGCAGGTAGGATGACATGTTCACTACCTCTAGAACAGAGAAAACTGTTCAGGTTTCTTTGGAACTGTGTGGTGAAAATGGCCCGCACTTATGTAGTTTTTTGCTGCCTATTTATGTGGTAACGCTGGCAGGCAAGATGCTGCTTTTTTGCTTTTGCTTTCACTGTGTCCAGCAAACTGCCCAATAAACGTGGCAATGAAATCTTGAATAATGACTGCTGGCATAAAGAACAAAAGCAGAAATCTTGGGGGATCACAATCAGATAAGCTGGATAACATAAGCCTCGAGTCAAAAAAGCAAAAAAAGAAGTAAAAACAGACAAAAGTACATTGAGAATTCAAACCTCAAGACAGCTATTACCTCTGTTGTTAGCTATGCAATGTACATCTGTCCAGTTCTACAGATAACAGTATGCCATACAGGGTCAGAAACCACTTGAACCACTTGAGATTACTTAACAACACTGAGGCAAGTGTGGGGTATAAGCTTCCATTACTAGTTAGCTATTTGTGAGTTGTTTAACTACACGAGTATGGGGACAACTGGGAACTGGGTAAATTCATTTTTTTACCAAGCTATTTCTTTAGGTTATCCAACACAATCAAAACTTTTAGTTGCGCACCTTCCCTCCGTAGGGGACAGCTCCTTCAGGTCATCCAGAGCAGGACAAACATCCAAAAGTTTCTTGTAGAGCACGAGAGGAAAGTGCAGGTCTACCACTGTGGAGTTATAGATGGCCAGGCCACAGACGATGCCGATTAAGTGGAACCAGTTGTGTTCCACGAAACACTGCAGCACAAACAATTCAGCAGAAAGTCAACACAAATCTACTTCTCATTTACATCAAGCTTTTGTTTTTTTCCAGGTTCCTTTTGGCAGTGCGCCTTCTGGTGTCCATGTAATGGATGTTTACCTGCCCACTAATCATAGGTGTGTGCACTGCTAAGATCTACAACTGACTGAACACATCAACTCCATGACTGTATATGAGCACCATGAAAACATTTGGAAAACAGTTATTACTAAATTGGTATATCGGTTAGCAAACAATATGGGCCAATATAGACAACCGATGGTTTTAACATTATTGGCAAATATATTGCTAAGTTTAAACCAATAATCAATGATAGGGCAAGATGATAGGTAATCTCATATACTACATATGAGAGGAGAACAGGCAGAGATGTTATAAAGGAGCAGTCAGGATACTGGTTGGAAAAAGTAGGCAGGACAAACAGAAAATACACATTTTTATGCATTATTTGAGCAAAGTGTGTTTGTGTGTTGTTTTGAAACGTTAATTTGGTCTTTTAGTTTGGGGTTTATAGGTCTCTGCTCATTCAAAGTGCTTGAAGTCTGGTCTAGTACGAGTGGTAATGCCTGGGGACACTGCCAAGATGGCCATCGAGTGGACAGGCCCTAACCTTAACCTTATAAGGATTTTGGTACAGGCTGAAAGGGCTAATATGAACACCATCATGGTTAAAATAACACGACCATGAAATATGTATTCAAACCTAATCTTAAGTGAGAGAATAACACATTGCAACACAAAAAACTTTCTATTTATATGAAGAACGGAAAAATAAGAAAAATATGAGAAAATGAATCTAAACTAAAACCTCAAAACATTCCTGAAGACTATGCGTGTTTGCTGTTTATTTGCCCTTAAGAAACATAACCGTTGAGAACAGAGTGATATTTCACAATTCACAGCTGACAAATGACAACCATACCAGCCAGTAAAGCACTGTTAAAATGATGGGGTTGAAGTTGTCGGTTATCTGAATTTTGAGCCCCTAAAAAAAGGCCAACATTTTTTCGGTTAACTGAAGTTCTACAGGCTTGAGCACTGTGCCTAAACTTATGATGCTCTAGGTAGGACTCTAAATGATTACATGCAAAATAATGGTTAATGGCTGACAGCTGCAGTTCTGAAGTAACAAAGATGGCTGGGAGAGAACATATGTAGTCCCTACAATCAGTTCCTGGTGGCCCCTGTAATTGTACATCATGTTTTGTACACTTTATTCTGAATGGCCATGTGGTTTGACCAATCCAGCATGGTAATCACTGTTCCAGGAAAGTGAGCTGATCTGGGCTAAATACCTCGGAATCACAGGCTCCATGACGCGGCGTGTTGTCATTCAAAACAACATTAATTCTACCCCTTTTCACCTTTGCAAAACACCCTGTAACAACATAAGATGACCTCAAAGCTATTTTGAATTACTCAGCTAGAAATGATGCGGCAGAGACTGACCGGAATATCCAATGCAGTCCTAAGTAAACAGACAGATTTTTGCTAATTTTAATCCCTCTGTATGTGGGTCCATGCTTCAATTTCTCCTCTAAAAACTACCTGGTTTACATATTAGTTACACAGTTGTTAATATAATTTGTAGTTACTGAAAAATAATCAGAAGAATAAGCCTTCAGTTTAAGGCAATGCTTCTAAAGCACTGTGTACTTAACTGTAACTCAAAAAGGGTCCAGATACTTTGTGAGGAAACAAAGTGTGAAAAGAGCACCAAATCTGAACAGCACTAATCTACAGTGCTACTCCATCATAAAAGCTGTTAGACATCTACCTTAATTTAAGTTGATTATGTTGATTTATACAAATTTTCTACACAGCAGTTGCACATCCTCTTTAGACCCATAAAGAGAGGCGAAGCGTAATGCTAAAACACCATATAAAGCAAATTTGATGGGTCTTAGTGTACAATGGCTGTCATAATCATAAGCCAAAAAGATTTAGAAGGTAGCACAATGAAGGCTTTTAAACTTCCACTGTGGAGGTGTACGGTGGCTCAGTGCAACGTTAATTTAACAAGGCTCGTAGACAGAACTTCACTGTCTAACAGCATCTTTTAACACCTCCTTCCACTGCAGGTCAGTGCTTTTATAGAGGCATAAATCTGCTTGTAAAGATGACTAAAACGACTTGTTTTACAGATGCATTGAGGTGCATAGCTGGACTTTGCCTCAAGTTCAACTCACTTTATCAGAGAACCAGAGCAGGTTGGATTCTGGGTAGTGGGTGAACATGCCATACACTGGATCCATCAGCTCCTTCAGCAAGAGCAGGAAGAATTCTTTGGTGACTCCTCCGGCATCCACTGCCTCCTCGCCATCAAAAATCACCTAGAGTTTGAATCAAACATTAATAAGAGATATTTTACTCTTTTAGTTCCCCTGTGCAATTAATTCAGCTGCATTACCATGTAATTTCTTCCTCTGTAAGGAAAACAGGGTTGCTGCACAATTTTAAAAATCTAATTAAATGTGTTTAACACCTTTTAAGACGTCAACACAGCAAAACTAATACCACTTGAATCACACAACAGTGCACACAAACTCAAATATGGCATGTATTAATATCTTTTTATTTAAAGTGACTGGTTGTGAAAGCATGGATACACGTTGCATTATTCTCCTCAGTGTGTTTGACTTGTCACTTATTAGTTTTGCTGTCCTCTACTCCTTCATCAGTGGTCAGTTTCTTACCACAGGACTGCTGTCAGCTGGGTAGTTTTGGTATGCTGACCGTTTTGAATTAGTTTAATATATAACATGTCCTGTTCTTTAGGAGCCATCTTATTATTTAAATAGAGATGTCCAAATTCAGCCTCTCGCCTCACTATCCAGTCAGATTTGAGGCCTTTTAAATGAATTTTTCATAAAAATATAATTTAGGTAAACACGCTAGGCTAATAAATACTACAGTAAAATTACTTCATTTTTTGTACGTGTATAATGTGACATTTTGGAATGATATGCTTAGATTTTTGGTTTACTTTTTTAATATATGGTCACTTGATATTGTGACAATATCAGGGTGATTACCAACCTTTAGGGGTTTCTTCAGATCCACATCGCTGTAGATTGTAAGCTCCCGAAGTGCGTCACTGACTAAGTGATCCCTTCGCACATGGAGCACTAGAAAGGGGTTCTGCGCCAGCAAAGGTTCCAGGGTTAACAGCATGAAAACATTGTGCAGGTTGGCTCCACTCACTGCCATCTAAAACATTAGGAAAAGTATAAACAATTCATCTGGCTGAAGAACTTTCAATTCTGTTGAAATGACCATAACCAATTATGTTTAGTCAAAACTCAGAAATCAAGGTTGAGGTTCTCTACAATGTTGAAATGAAGAGTCAAAATGCAATACTGAGAAGATTTTGAGAAGATTAATAGGATCTCAAACTTATATGTGATAAATGATCCATCTAAAGTTCTGCAACAGGGGAAGCAGCAGGTGAAACTTTGGTTAATCATACACTGGAAAACTCTGAAAAGCCTTTAAAAAGCTTGAAGTCTGACACCCTCTCACAACAGAGATTTTAGTCACAGACTATGATTTTGCAGGGTGTAACAGCCAATAAGGTGGACTATTCCTTTAAGAGAAGGTCAGGTAGTCTGGACAGATGCATAGCACTGCTGTGCGGGAGAGAGATTTTGTGCTGTAGCATAACAAAGACCACTGGACTTTGCTGCTTCTTTTATTTTCTTTTCGTAAGTAATGCCACTACAGGGTTTCGGACTGGTTTTCCTTCATGTATGAACAGACAAGTGAAGCAATGAGCCCTGGCTTTACATGGTCAATGGTAGCTAATATGTAACTTGTTGGAATACTGTTAATGTGTGTTTGAGTCACTGGTCAGCATCTGATCCACGTGCTTCGCGTTTCATTTGCTTATTTCTCATCACCAAAGCCCCTCGCTATCTGGATTGGAATGAAAACTGAAGCTAGACTGACTCCAAGCAATACAAGGGTCACTATTTGCATGAGCCAAGATTAAAACTTATGATGATACCAAACACATTTGATTTTATTTGAACGTCAAGATGCGAAAAAAACTGAAAAAGACCACCATACTGCCCAGAATCAAGATGGTAAGAGCATGCCACTACTCTAGCAAAACTCTAGTAAAACTCTAGCAAATGATTTTATTCTGACACTGAACATTTGTCTGCGACAGTGAAATCACTTGAAACATCATTTGGTGTAAGTCCAGCATTAGCTGGCATATGACAGACATTCTTTTACCTGCATCTGCAGCTCAGCATCTGTCTGCAACATGGTTGTCTTGGCTTGAGCGTTCAATATGAACGGATAGGCACATAATGTGACAGAACTCTGAAAATGAAAAGCTCTTATTAATACCTATTTTGAACATGTCAAAAGACTCACAAAAGAGGCTTTTCTACTCTGCATCAGCATACCTGTACTGGAGGAGATCGCATTTTCTGTAAAACAATAAGAAAAGACATACAGTAGTTAGAAGATACATGAAAGATAACAGTTCGGGCAGTTTACTGAATAGTAAGGGTTTGGCAATAGGATGAAAAAGACAGCAGGAAAGAAGTGACTCACAATCTCAGCTTTGCTCAGAAACCACTTGAGGTAGTCTTCCTGGATGTCCACCAGACTAGTGACATCGGGGATGTAGAAGCGATTGTACTCCACATGATGGGCTTTCTGGTTCACCTGCACCAGCACAACACAACACAAGAATTTACAACCTAAATCCTGTACAGCAAAGACAAGACAAGAATGCATGCCACAGAAAATGCAAAAAGAGACCACAATATTCCCTGCAAGAAAATGCACACAGGCTATGCTTCAAGAAAGCTAAAGCTAAAAAAAATGATCTATTAGTGCACAGCCATGTGCAACTACAGTTTTTACCAAAAACAAAAGGAAAAAGAAAAAAATCTTAAAAATACAAAAAGACCAAGTCTGGCATTCTATTGACATTTTAACTTCTTTATTGACTATCCATATTAAAGCAATCACCAAAACAGACTTCAATCTCTTAAAAATACAGCCAGAATTAAAAACCTAAAGAAACTCATCCATGCTTTTATCTCCAGCAGGGTGGACTACTGTAACAGTCTCTTAATTATTCCCAAAAAGACCATTAAACAGCTAAGCCTCATTCAGAACGCTACTGCTGAAGTTTTAAACAGGACCAAAAAAACAGAGCACAATACATCAGTTCTAAAATCTTTATACTGGCTTCCGGTATAAAGTTCCAGAACAGACTTTAAAGCACAACTAGGCTACTTTAAAGCAGTGGGAAAACCTCAGGGACTTCTAAGCATTCAGAGAAGACCAACTGATTTCTGGGAACTAAATAATGCATGTCTGTAATTTTCAGTTAATTTTTATTCAATAGAATCATGCTTGTATTTCAACTATGCATGTTTTACAGTATAATTTTTGTTTTGTGTTGGATGGAGACAAAAGGGTTTAATTCTTGAAATGCCCATTGGAAAGCTGGCCAATCAGGTATAGTTTCTCCTCTGTGGTATCTACGTAGATAGGAGCTAAGGGGGCTCTCCTATTAGTTAGGATTTCAAGAACTAAAGAGAAGTCCTATAGCATTAGATTAACTATCAGCATAGTTATTAAGTGACAGCGTCATCTCCCAGTCACATTTTTGATTCCCAATAGCCATCAGAAATACCTGACTCTAAGCCTTCTGAAGGTCCTAGATACGTCACTGACTGTGAACATGAGCAGCAGCCTAATAAAGCAGCAGCAGTTACATACTGGTGCAGCAAGATTAGAGCATAAATCCTGACAAAAATGTCACTGCAAATAGTAGTTAGTAGTGCATTGTAAAAATACATTAAATATCATGATATTATACTTTACTTTGTGTAGTTTCTCCAGCAGTCGTAGCGTAGCGCTAATATAGCTCTCCAGAAATACAGGGATGAGGAGGGCCTTGCCACTGGTAAGCAGAAACACCACGATACTCTTATACATCTCCACCAGCCTGGAGAAAACTTCACAGTCCACCAGTGACCACCAGTTATCTACAGATGAGAAAGAAACAAATATAAAAGACACAAAGAAACTAAAGATAAAATCCTCACAACTGAAGACTGTGAAACCTTCACACGGCTCTTTTGGAATGTAACTGTGGTAAAACAGGAGCCATGTGGTCTTGGAAATGTGTGTGAGGAGAACTGTGCAGTAGCCCACAGCTGAAGACTACGTTATCATACCTAGAACTTTACTGGGGTTGGTGTCCAGTCTGAGGATGGCCATGGCGAGAGGGATGGTGAGGGAGATGTAGTTTTTGGAGTCGTGGAGGGCTGGACACTCAGAAAGGATCAGGTAAATGCGCATGGCCTCCACATCAGGAGGGGAGCAGGGGAGCTGAGGAATCAGCAAGCTCTCAAAGCTCTTGGTGGTCTAGAAACACATACAACCTTCAGTCAATAGACTATTTAGAGTAGACAGAGAGAAAAAATTAAATGATAAATAAATTTTATCAGTCCACATATTTCCATTCAATGAAATGGGATAGAGTAGCATATACAGATTTTGTTACCTCAACATACAACATAATTGCAATTAATGTCTACATATTTTTGGTTTGTAAGCCAAACAATCCCTTCTATCTATTTTTGAGCGAGAGACCACCGTGAAAATGTAATCATAAAAGAAGGCTATGTTTTAACATGCAGTGTAAGCCTCATTCATTCATTCATTCATTGAATGAGATACTCAAAGGAAATTTATTGGAGTTGTTAAGATTTGTTTTGATCAGGAGGAAAAACGTAAATGTATACTGCAATGTTCTAGAGCATGTGACCTTTGGGGCTTTGCTGCTAAACAAATGGGTGCTGAAAAGCTTAAGATGACCCTGAAATTTCTTTAAATAAAAGCTAAGCTGAAGGGACTGCAAACTACCTCAGCTTTCAGAGTTCAATATGGCCACAGTACAAGTAGCCACACACTAATTTTTGTTCAAATACACAACCCTGCATATGTCACACCAGACATCAAAATGAACAATAAATCAAGTTTGGCTGCTGAGCACAAACTGCCTTTTGCAATTAATAGGCTAGCTTTACGTGTGATGACTCACTTTTTCAAATAGTAAGTGGCGGGACCTAAAAAGCCTCTGGGGCTGAACAAAGCTCATCCAGAAACCGTGTCACTAGCCAGATAGCTGCAGGAGATCAGTGGAAAGAAGCAATGTTTCCAGAGCTAAACACCCACAGGTTTTCTGTCTTTGCAAGCTGTGTGTTTTGCTCCAAAACAACTTATGAACATAATATATTTGGGTGAGCTACTTATTATGAGAGAGCAGGACGACAGCATGATACGGTCTTTAAAATTCTTTATTTTTTGTTGAAGTCTTGTTTTGGGTACAAGCCAGGTTCAACGTGATATGCACAGCGTAATGTCATTTAAGTGACTACCAACAAGATCAGTGATATTTATTAATATGAAATACCTGTAGTTTTACAGTCTGACTGTAATAAGTGCTTCTGTAATTTGCCAAATCTGGAGATTCTTCAGTAATAGCACTCCCTTTTCAAATTGACTTCATAGTCATTAGTAGTATAACATTGACATCCAAGCTATGCAGGGAACTTGGGGAAATTGTACACTTAACACTGTATGATAAATTGCCCAGTCATCCCCACAAATCGCACAACCTAACCTTCACTGGTAACCCAACTAAGACAGTGCTTAAGACACAGGTACCTGCTCCAGTAGCCTTGAGTAGGCAGGCTTCATCAATGTCTCAAACAGCAGCCTGACTGAGTTGAGATCGATGCCAGGGACTTTGGGATTGGTTTTAAAATGGCCATCATCACTGTAAAGGTAAAAAAAAAATCCATTTATGTAACATATATTATTAACAAGAAGATAATTTACGATAAAGTATCAGAATAAAACAAAAGCAAGATTGAATTTTTGAAAAGATCTGGGGTCAAAGGTTTATTAGGTTTCATATTCAGAACCCAAATGTAGCATATAGACCCAGAATATAGAAAACATTCTCTCTGAACCAGACCTGACAGCAACCCAGCAACAGCCTGTCCAAACCTGACCTGAACCCACTGCTTTAGAAAAAAGAATAAAATAGGACAAATAAAAATGGGTAAACACAGGCCAAAATCCATTAAATGCAGGAGATGGACCACGATAACATTTGAACCTGATTCAAATCCAACAAATATTTGTACAAACTCGACCAAACCTGACATGCACAGTCAATCACTGTGAATCTGGGACAAACATCTCATACCCTAGACTGTTGTTTCTTTTTGCTTATCTCCCCTTTCCACTTAGTTTGTGCTGCATTTGTTTGGTTTTGAAATGTATTCACGGTAGGTCTTTCTCTAGAATTCAGTCTTCCTTCCTACCTTCTACAACTTCCACCATTAGTTGTACGTTTCCCTGATCAAATTATAAAATGGTGTTAGCACCTGTAATCAATGTTGATATTTGTCACCTGTGCTGGATGAAGGCCACGGACACTGAAACATCATGAGGACTTGAATAAAGAAGTTAATAAAGAATTTATATAAGGAGAGTCATGTTTTTGCCAGTCTGTGATGTATATTTTATAAAGGCAGCTTATCCTCTCGAGCTGTTTGAGCCCAACTTTTGCTTTTTTCATGCCCTACTCTAAGCACGAACCTATGCATGCCTTTGTACACTAAAATTAAATTAAGCATTCTAATCTATAATGCAGGATGGTGCCTCTATAGGACTGATGCCCAAACCTTCTGTTCCCCTTACAGTGTACAACAGTATATTGGAGCAGACAAAAACAAGTGCTGTGACCCTCCAGGACTAGACCCTGCGCAAGCCAGCTGAAGGATGGATGGACAGATAAAACGATGAATTGGCAGAGTGGGTTCAGGGATGAAAAGAGACCAGCCTGCATCTGTCCCTCTTTATCTCTGTGGCTGCTCTGAGGGGGGATCATCTACAATCATTTTCCGTATAAACACAGCGGTAAGTTAAGCCATTACACAGACACAAACACGGCCTGTCTCCATGATGATCAAAGCATGGAGGTCAGAGCCCTATTTACAGTACACTGAGATATGGAGAAAAACTACAACCACCATAAATAAGAGCTCGTGGCTGGCACAGATACAAGCATGATGTGATCGGAAATTCCACAGTGTGTTTAGAAATATTTAATCTGTACCCATATATTAGGATTGGTGTCGCACAAAAATATTATATTTAAGATTTATCAGTATTGATAAACATAAAAAAGCTTGACTGCAAGATATGTAATCTGCTAGATGCTCCAGGTTGTTTTTAAGGATCAGTTCAAAGTATATAAAAACAGTCTGGTTAACATTTACAGTACTGTGTAAAATAAAAAAAAACATATGCATATACACCAGATCTGCTAAGACATGTTTGAAGTACAAATTTACCACCATTACTTTACTCCAAACTCTGCCAACAAACAGTAGAAGTCAACAGTCACCAAAACTATCCATAAATACAACTCCAAAACTTCTCTCAACCTGCTCAAACTGCATCTAAGTCTTATTAAAATCATGCAGACTTGTTAGTGTAGTTTAGAGGACAGAATGACTTGCTGTGAGCTATAAAAATCACCATAACTTCACCATGTAGCTGAATGGGCAGCCACCCTTCACAGGTGTTGTGTTCAAATCCAACTCCTCTTTGCAAGCACGCAAGTCACGCAGGTGTTGTTTCAATTTATAAATAACTGCTAGTCTTAAATTTTTTAATTATATATGCTTATAAACAAGTACAACAGATGAAAACAACCAAGAGCCCATACATTCACACGATGCGAATACACACAAAGTTGAGTTGGAAGAGCAGAATTTGGCAAAACATCATTGTCTAAAGTGACTGATCAGCTACAGGGCGAAGTTTTGTTCATTTTATAATTGATCATAAGTCATACTGTGTGCTACATCATATTGACGTGTCTGCACGATCTTAAAGAAGACCTGGATGTGCGTTGAAAGAAGTCTTGGGGATGCATTTACAGAAACGATCTGAGTGACTGTTGACTTTTAGTGTTTGTTAGCAACATTAGCCCAGTAGCTCCAGTGCTAAACTAAACAGGGAACATTTGGACATCAAACATGTCTTGGCTGATCGATTACTTTTGAAGAACGTGGAAAATTGTGTACATTTTTGTGCCAAATAATTCTTTTAATGCAAACTTAAATATTAAGCAATTCCTTTAGGTAAAAGCTGTCATACTGAACGTTATCATTACCAGACAGGGACACTTCAGAAGCATGATAAGTTTCTCTCTATACATACCCCAATCTAACCAGTTAATCGCACTCCACAGACCACCATGTGGTGTCCCTAAACTCCACTGCAAGCCATCTGACCACTTTAACTAAATATTCAAGAGGGACTTGTATTAGAGCAGACTTTTTTCTCTCAGGCATAATACCACGCAGAGAGTAAATGATACCAGTTGAGACTTATGTAACCAAATAATCTCTCTCTCAAATGTCTGGCTGGCTTTGTAGTGAAGGAGATTAATGTGAAGTATGATCTAGTGAGGACAGCATTATGTAGATGATGATGATAATGTTGATGATTCCAAGGGTCATTCCCCATGAAGGGATAATCATCTAGTCATGATTCAGCCAAAATATGTCCTGTTCTTTTATAGGACAGGGCAGGGAATAAAAGTCTGGATGTACATGCGTGCGAGAGGGTGTGTGCGGGCATGCATGCGAGAGAGAGAGAGACAAAGAGAAAGAAAGAAAGAAAAAAAGATAGGTGACTAAACTGCTCATTATCTAAATGCACTCAATAACCCACTGAACCCTCCCTACTCTGCACCCTCCTCTCTAAAACACATCAGCAGGTTTGGAGGATGACCCCAAGCTTTTAATGCATTATGGGACCAATGAGACGTCATTGGTGCGTTGTACTTTCCTGCCAGCATGTTAACAAATTGAATCACGAATGAATAAAAAGCTAGTGTGTAATGAATAAAAGCTAGTGCATGGGAGGGGGTCAGCATCATAAAATTGTTTGGGTGAAGTTTTCCTTGAAAGGGCATCATTCACATGGATTAATCATCAATGGTTACCTCTGGTCCAAAAAGCTGGCGTTCCAACATGCAGTCGAGGACAACAGAAGGATGATGTCACTGCATAAGGAACAAAGAATAAGTCCATAAACCAAACATTTGACAAATGTACACATGCATACAGTTTTACATATTTAAGATTCTTCTTCTTATTTCATTTTTCAATGTAGCGCCTCTCCAGTAACTTCTGCGCACTGATGGTAACTGAAACAAATGAAAAAAGTTTTTTTGTTGTTCATCGGTTGATATTAACATATTGGAAATAAATACATAAATCGTATGCAAAAGTTATGGTTCATTTTATATTATATTTCCCAATATGTTACATCCAACAAATAAATAGACTGTTTATCGTAACTTACAGATGACAGCATGTTAAATATGTCTGCACCTTATTCCACTACCTCATGTCTAGAAATCTGTGCTGTGTCGGTGCTCACTGTCCGGTCTGTTTACTGTGTCTAATGTCTGTTTAATTTATCGTATTTATTGGATTGTTTCTAGCTTAATTTCTGTTTGCACACTGTCTGAACGTTCGCACTTTGTAATTTTGTACTTTGTACTTTTGTAATTTTGTTCCTTGTTGCGCCTTGTTCCTGGAGGAACGTAATTTCACTCCACTGTGTACTTGTACATAGATGGAATGACAATAAAAGCCTCTTGACTTGGCTTGACTAAACAGACACTGCACTGACATGCAAAAATGCTATATTTACTGCAATATATGCCATTGTTCACTGTAGAGGATGTGGAAACTTCTCTTAGAAAATCAACAAAACGTAATTTGACTGGCTTGACCACTTTTGCATATGAATGTAAATAGTTTTGAGAGTATGTATTTACATACAGCAGCACATATCTGAGATTTTTCTCCAAACGTACCAAGCAGGGAGTGTCTCTCAGCACTAAGTTTAGCAACAGAGCTTCAGTGAAGATACCAAAGTTAATGATCACCTGTATGTGTAGTATCCCTACTGGTTACTAACCAAAACATCCGCATGTTTTTGTCCAGCATAATAAAAAAAGCACATGCAGTCGTTGTATAGACAGAAACAACACCAGCAGATAAAAGACTGATCATTTACAGAATGCCACTCCACAGCAATGCCGCTGTTCACATGCTTGCATTGTTAGAGGGGAATTCCACTAGTTTCTCAAATTGTCTGCATAACTGATCATTAAGATCTAAACATACTCAGAGTGGTTTGATGTGAAATGCCTCATTCTAGAGAAACTTGCAGAGTCAGAATTTTTTACAACGGTGGTGAGAACTAGACATCCAAAGTATTTAACGCCTCTTAAAGCTACTTCACAGAAGGATGTCTGATGTCAGAGACAATGTTTTGCGAGAAGGTTTTAGTCTAAAACGGTATATGCAAGGTGCTGTAATGCAAAATAGTTCCCAAACATAGCTTATTCAGATTTACCATTCTAATCATAACATATCGCTGCTGTCGGAGCAAAACCAAATCTCCAAAATGGTAACTTTACAGGAGAAGCTAAACACATACTTTACTTTTAATGTAAGTCAATGGAACCAGAATTCTTTCCAAGTCTTTTTTGGGCCGTTTCTTTTGGTCCGTTAATCGTGAAATTTACACACAGTGTAAAGGGCAATAGGCATTTTCAAATTATGCCAAAAACTGAAAAATGACAAAAAACGGAGATAACAGCAGCGGTATGTAAACTCAGAAGACAAGTGTAGGGCTGTGTAGACATTATCACCCCTGGTTCTTAAGATCACCACTGTAAAGAAATCAGAATGAATTAATTTCTCTACAAAGCACCAATACATCAATACAACCAATCTCAACGACTTTGTTTACATCAACAAAGATTAAGTTACACATAAAATTTGAAAAACTGGTGGAATACCCCTTTCATTAGTGATGGTTTGGTTTATATATATATAAAAAAATATATATATATATATATATATATATATATATACATACATATATATATATGAGCACTTATAAAAGTTCATAGTGAATAACACTCATAGCGACTCCACTCACTTTGTGATGCTGGAATCCGAATTGTCGAGGAGCTTCAATCTCCAACTGTTTAGACTCTCATAATTAATCAGAGAAATGCTTTTAGACGTGCTGATAATGCGAAAGTCCTCTGGGCATCTCTGTACACACACACACACACACACACACACACACACACACACACACACACACAGTTAAGATAACTCTAAACAATTTCCCACTGTGCACACTGCAAGGCCACCTCATATCAATGTTTAGACTAAGTGTATTTCCAAGCACAGATTAAACAGGAAATGCCAAGTCAACAGACTAAATCCACTTTACTGTTTCTGTGTGCAATTCTACAAGTTTGTGGGTTAGAGCACCACCATGTGGACAACAAGAAGTAGTGCAATTACTGGAAAGAGGAGACACTCGTTACCAAGGTCAGACCAAAGCACAGAACAGCAATTACGTTAGCCCTTAATTAAAGCTTGATCATTGGGATCTGGAGGCTTTATGAGAGTAAACCATATGAAATCTGATGCGACCTCTAAGTGAAAAACAGAGTTCATTACTCATCCACAGATTGCCTTAGGGAATGAACCAATCTGCTATAAATGTGTGCCTTAGTTTAACTTTTTCAACAAGGGTTTCATTAGGATTACAAAGTTGTTTTCTCACCTGCTAGTCAGGGTTATTACAGTTAACTAAAACTATTACTAAAATGAAAACTAGCAGTGAAAAAAAATGTGCTTGTTAACTTTAAAAAACAAAAATGACAGTTTTCAAAAACATGAAAACTACAACCAGTTGTCCACAGCACAACTAAAACTAAAAAGAATTACTGAGAAAAAACGTTTAGTTTTTGTTTTCTCATTGTGTGAATGAGAGTTTAGAAGTGGATCCCTTCTGTGTTCGACCATCTTTGGTAAAGTGGAAGCCAAGCAACTGTGGTATTTATTTTATTCTACCTTATCAGTTACCATCTATAACGCCATAGTAATAAGAACTAAAACTGAAATTGAAATTAAATAAACACTAAATTAAACTACTACTTTTCAGAAAACAAAAACAAAACTAGAACTATGAATGCACAATTAAGACTAACTGAAACTAAACTGGCTAACAACAAAATGAAAAACAAAAAAAAAAAACTAATAAAAACTCAAAACTAGAATAACTCTGCTGCTACTAAAGATGGGCAATATGACTATATTTTCTCATTATCATGATAAATGTTGTTATGGTGGCAAACAATACACTTTTCTGAATAATCTTGGAAATAAAACTGCCCAACCGTTTCTGCATAATTGGTCCTGTTTAACTGGAGTTAGCGCAGTACAACAAGTGAAATGTTGAATAAATTCACTGTATCTAATCCAGTTTTTGAGGGCATTGTTTTTGATTGTTCATTGTGCTTCTGTGTAAAATTATTGTGAAACGCAATGTGTGTCGTGTTGTCTTTAAGTACCATGATATAATATTTCTGCCACATGCCCCACCCTTTTCTGTTACATGTGATCAAAATAACTACTGATAATTTGAGCTATACTGCACTGTGAAGTGGTCTACCTTGTCATGTGACAGCAAGAGGAAGCTGTGATCCCCTCCGCAGTGAATCCTGTTGATGCTGTATCTCTCTGTGTCTGTTCCAGGAAAGAAATGAAATGGCATCTCTCACATCCCTCTGTACTGAACAGCTGCACATGCACTTCATTACACACACAATAATGTACATAATCACTGTGCCTTTCCCACCATCCTCTACTATAGTCAGTGCACACATGCACTTTAATTTACTGCAAATGTACAGTTGCAATCCCTGGTGAAATCACGTTTCACCACAGAAAGAACCATTTAATCATGAGATGATTCTATATAAAACTCATGGTTTTAAACAGAACCACTGCTTTTACTAAAGAACCCTTGAAAAATCATCTTTTTTTGTGTGTGTAGGAATTAATATCTCCCTTGCAGTTATTATGTTCTACTACACATTTTTTCATCCATACTGCCTCCTTATTGTTTAATCTCAACGCAAATAACTGCGGTTACGGCAAAGGAACATATCGTTTATGCTGTAAATTGTAATTCTGTTTTTCTAAGGATCATGCTCCTCTTCTCCTGAGGTGACACTGTCCCAACTCAAATCCTCCCTCGTCTAACCTGAGTCACAGATGCCTAAAATGTCTGAGTCAAGCCCTGCCATCTGTTCTCCCGAGTGTGGTGGGACTTCAGTCGATTTTCTCCAGCAACAAGGAAGCACCCTCCTGATGCTGTCCCTCCAGCTCTCTGCCCTGGACCTCCTGTCTGCAAACAGCACAGCTACTGCCAACACTGGTACTGCAGTATTGCAAATGCGAATGTGGTCATGGGTGCTAAACTCAGCCCTGCAGAGATTAGAGTTTCACCCCTTCTGACACTCTGATTTTGACTCCTGAAGGACCTGCTAATTAGCTGATGATTGAATAAGGGGTGTTAAATGAGGTAGATGATAAACTCCACAGTGCTACAATCTTCTAGAACTGAAGGAGAAGTGGTAGATGTTCTCTGTTGGTAATTAGGCCTGGGTGATGTCTCGATTATTGATTTATGTCTCCCCCAAATCAACACAAGTGATGCGATTTTAGTTCATATGTTTTTTAAATCATATTATAAATATAAACTGTTTTCATGAAAATCATTAGAAAATACATGGTCTGAGTAACCTAACATCTTCAGAAAACTACTTCACTTGTCATTGTAATAGTCGTTTCTGCAAATATGCATTTATGAGCTCCTCCTGGTGTAGGTTCATGGTAACTTGCGTGCTAGGATCACCCCTTACTGGAGAAACGTCAGACGGCAACAAGCTCCAAATGAGTCATTTCCAAAGCCGCGCCCACATGCTTTAAATACTAAAAAAACAAAAGGTGTTTTCTGTTGTTATTGTGGATACACTCTGGAATTAAGCTATAGATGCTTTTGGAAAACCATCTAGCATTTAATTTTATCATCTGAACCACCAGGACACTTTGGTATGAAAAATGCTGCAAATTTGTCTCAAGACAGTAATTCACATTCTGGGAAACCCACAGCAGGGACAGTGGGGAATTTACTTTATGCATAATGGCATTTTATAATAACTATTATTATATGACCACCAATAAGTGAACAACACAAATAATATAAAAATACTACTTAGTGTTCCTTTAATTTGTGTCAAATTAAAAGCAGTGAAAATAATGAACACTGGTAATCTTTATATGGATGCAATGAAAAATAACCAAGGGTTATTTCCACAGACTTTCTGTCTAGTTTACTAACCTGTTGTTTGTGTGCTGCTGAGATATGGAGGCTGAATATTTCGGACAGGCATGGGGATCTTGGCATGTCCTCTGGTTCCTAAGCCAAGTTGGCCGTGAGCATTGCAGCCAAAGGCGTAAACCAGGCCAGTGGAGGGCACGAACGCCAAGGTGTGGTGCCTGACAGAGATATACCCACACACAGTGGTATGTGGTCAAACCACCAGTGCAGCCTACCGATCTTTACAAAGATGTGAGCTCATATTATAAATAACTGGCACACTCAGAACTTTACGCTTGTGTAATGACTTCTCCACAGACACGAGCCACATGTTTAACATGTCTGCTGTCTAAAGAGAGATGCCAGTGTTCAAGACCTCCATTAAACCCTCTCCCACACTGTACATATGCGGCAAAAATAACATCACCTAAAAATATTAAAAGGTCTAATCTAAGATGATGCAGTTATATGAAAAATGAATGCATTGATTATATCATAACAGACTTACTTGCCACAAGCGATCTGAGACACTTCCGTGCCCATGAGCTCCAGAACTCTGCGTGGCAGAGGCTCATTATTGGTGGAGTCATGGCCTAGCTGTCCTCTTGACCCATTTCCAAATGTGAATAAGCCTCCATCCTGCTCAAACACACAGCAGCAACAAGTCAAGGGGTGGTCATCCCAATATTTATTGCTAGAGACCACATGAACATTATGACTTTCTACATTAGGGTGGCAAAGTCAGGAAAGAAATGAAATGGATGAATTTACAGATTTACTGGGACTAATATCAATGTGTAATAGAAGGGTGCTTGAAGTGTAACGTATTTAAAAGAAATATTACCATCCATTAAAAAAATTAGGCAAACACTGATAAATGCACACCTTTAAAGCACATACATGAAACAAGCACAAAATGTGTAATAATCAATTTTGAAATGGCAGATTTAAAGGAGTTAAAGAGACCATCGCCAAAGTATCTAAATGCATTGCCGGCAAAACACTTAATGTGACAAGGTGAAAACCTAAATGCCAGTTAAACGTTAAAAAGTTAATTAACAGACCACAGAACTGCACCACTTAGAGATTTTTGTAGCTCTAACTCACCTGAACTGAGCTCATCATGAGCTGACAATACTAAATGCAGTCTTATGACCCTCCAAGGTCCATCTTAACAAAAGTTTTCAAACTGGTTGCCAAAAAAAGTACATAGGCCTATATTTTGGTATTCTCAATAAGATATTCTTGAGATTTGAGGAAAATAATTTCTAGATTTAAGAAATTCAAGATCTGAGAAAAATGTTTCATAAAATCTCCCACAGCAATATCACATCATCATTATAAGAGAGCAGTTGAATGACTCAAGGCATGCACACACACCAACTGACTGACTGGTGTGGTTGGCCATAGCCTGTAGCAGCATCTAGCAGCTAACCAAACAGCTAATTTGTACCTATTGCCTTTATTCAATAGGTCTTCTAAAAAGAATCAAACTTTATAAGGCTCATTTTTGTATGGGCTTTAAACGGCAATGAGGCTGAGAAGCTCCAGCACAGGTGAGATAGTAGAGGTTTTGAGCGCTGTACCTTGGTCAGAGCGGCTGTGTGCTCCTCTCCGCAGCTGATGTAGACCACTTTCTGGGACCGAAGGAATTTAATATGGCAGGGAACGGCCCGATCTGTATGAGCAGGGAGAAAACCAAAAACACACATCTGTAAAACATGTTTCTGTGGTTGCAGTGGTTCATGAGCACAGACAACGGATTTTAGATTAATCAACAAATGCAGTATTCAGGGCAAAGGAAGAAAAGCATAAAAGGGTTTTGAGAGCAGTGTCAGAGGAACAAGGGGGTAGTGTACTTCCCACAATCACTAGCCAGGTCTGACCAAAAATAAATAAATAAATAAATAAAAAATAACATTTTACAGAACAGCTCTTTACTGTCACACATTTAGCAAGCACCGCAGAGCAAAGGTTGCAGTACACAGCGGCCATTTAGAAGAGTTTTTTGAGCAGAGACACTCACTAAGACTGCCTGACCTACGCTCAAAGTGCACTAGTACCTCACATTCAGCACTTGTTCACTCGATCTTTCATCATTTTGATAATACTCGATTACACTATTTTAACAGAAGGGCAACAGTTTTTAAATGAAACATCAGTATTATGTGTGAACTGTTAGATCTAGAAGGATGAACAGAGCTGTAGAATGAACTGTAATCTATTTGCATATGTCTACTGTTTTTTCTTTCTACTGCTCACACTCATTAACTTTTTTGACACTTGGTGTCTGGTCATTAAAACGTGCATACATATACACATACAAGGGAGTCCGATATACAACACTCACTTGTGGAAGTTGTTATAGAGATGACTGCATCTCTACTGGGTAACCCGAGATCAGATTGCATCATGAACAACATGTAGCTGATCACAACAGCAAAAGAAAGCTTTTTTATAGGCTATTTTCTAGACACTCTGCATTTGTGAGCTTAGGACAAAGAAAGTACAACCCTATTTTCCAAAAAGTTGGGATGCTGTGCAGAATCTAAATAAAAAATAGGATGCAATGATATGCAAATCATGTAAACCATATTTTTAAAGGAAAATACTACAAAGACAATATATCAAATGTTGAAACTGAGAAATTTTATTGTTTTTTGAAAAATATGTGCCCATTTTGAATTTGATACCAACAATATGTTCCGAAAAAGTTGGGACGGGGGCATGTTTACCACTGTGTTTCATCACCTCTTCTTTTAACAACACTCTGTAAGCGTTTGTGAACTGAGGAGACACTGCTGTAGTTTTGAAAGTGAAATGTTTTCCCGTTCTTGTTTTGATATAAGATTTCAGCTGCTCAATAATTCGGAGTCTCCTTTGTTGTATTTTCCATTTTTATAATGTGCCAAATGTTTTCAGTGGTGACATGTCTGGACTGCAGGCAGGTCAGTTTAGCACCCAGCCTCTTTTAATATGGAGCAATGCTGTTGTAATACATATAGAATGTGATTAGGTACTGTCTTACTGAAATATGCAAGGCCTTCCCTGAAAAAGACGTCATCTGGATGGCAGCATATGTTGCCAAAACATGGACACAATGTCCATGATTTCCAAAAAGAATTTTAAATGTTGATTCGTCGGCTCACAGCACACTTTTCCACTTTCCCTCAGTCCATTTTGGGCTCCGGCCCAGAGAAGGTGGCAGCGCTTCTGGATCCTGTTTGTATATGGTTTCTTCTTTGCATTGCAGAGTATTAACTTGCATTTGTGGATGCAGTGACAAACTGTTTTCACAAACAGTGGTTTACAGAAGTGTTCCTGAGCCCATGCAGTGATTTCCACTACAGAATCATGTCTGTTTTTAACGCAGTGCCGTCTGAGAGCCCAGAGATCACGGCCAGCAAATACTGGTTTTTGGCCTTGTTCCTTGCATGCAGAGATTTTTCCAGAATCTTTTAATGATATTATGTACTGCAGATAATGAAAAACAAAAGGTTTTTGCTATTTTACATTGAGAAACGTTATTCTTGAATTGTTGCCCATGCAGTCTTTCACAGAATGGTGAACCCCTCCCCACTTGACTCTCTGGGATGCTTTTTTATACCCAATCATGTTACTGACCTGTTGCCAATTAACCACCAGGTGTTTTTTTTAGCATTACACAACTTCACCAGCCTTTTGTTGCTCCCGTCCCAACTTTTTTGGAATGTGTCGTTGGCATTAAATTCAAAATGGACATACATCTTTCAAAAAACAATAAAATTTCTCAGTTTCAACATTTCGTATGTTGTCTTTGTACTACTTTCAATTAAATATGGGGTTCGATTTGCACATCATTGAATTTTGTTTTTTTTTATTTACATTTTGCACAGCATCCCAACTTTTTTGGAAATGGGGCTGTAAAAGAAATCAGTGCAACAGTCCCATACGAATTATGCTTTGTGTGCAACTCTAATGTAAACACATTTTTGTTTTCAACTGCTTCACGGCACTACAAGAGAAAGTAAACCATATCATAGAAAATTTTTCTTGCTTTTATGAAGTGAAAGAGATGAAAATGGTATGTAACGTGCTAAAAAGATGCTTTTGGCAAGTTTACATATAGAGTTTCAAAATGTACCAACCCTGTTAATTTGGTCAATATGTAGAAACCAAAAACAGTCTGTTCTGAACTGGCTGTTCAAGTCAACATATACCAGTTTAGTTTCATTCGGAAAAGGATGACATTAGGATCACATATATGATCTTTTTAAAGGCCCAAAAAACAGAACATGGCCCCTTTAAGGCACTGCAACTTGTGACATGATCAGTGGGAAATTCTGGCAAACTGCTTGATGTTTATTACATCATGAAAGTAAAACTCGTTCCTAAATCACCACTCCTGCTCTGACTGTGTGACCACATGCTTTTAGCTTCTTCCTTACTCATCTCGAAAGCTCACCTTGCTCGTCATTGAGGCCCAGCTGTCCAGCGCTGTTCCTGCCCCATCCGAACACGGCTCCAGAGAGAGAAAGGGCGAAGCTGTGGTCTCCCCCAGCGCTGATCTGAGCCAGCGGGATCCCACACAGAGATTTGAGGGGCTGAGGAGACAGAGAGCTAGGCTCACCCTTCCCCAAACCCAGCTGACCACTGGAGTTCTGACCCCATGTGAACAACTGACCATCTGAGAAAGGAACCAACATCCCACATTAGTGCCAGTTCATTGTTCACATTAAAGAGATTTATGCACTATTTGAAAACACCAGCTGCCTTTTACATTGTGAGAACAAAGTGCCTACAGGAATGGTCCAAAATTACTTGAAATAAGGTTTCAGTAGATTAATACACACTAAAACTGAGAACTTATTTTCCTTCTCCTATCGAGTAACCTTTACAGAGATATGAAGTTGTTATGACAGCAATGACACCGATCAATAGAGTGCATGTAAAGGCCAGCACCCTGTAGACTGTGCAGATTTATCTGCTCCATCAAATCACAGCTTACTGATCTGGATAAAAGAGTCTGATTACCAGCTGGTGAATTCAGCTCAGATGTGTACAAAACAAAGCAAAAGTGCGAAGCCATTTAGCACAGGCTTTAGAACCAGAGTTAGATGGAAATTTAATCAAAAGTGAAACAAAATTGAAGTGTTGTTGTCTCACCTTTAGAAAGTGCTATGCAGTGCTGGTTTCCACACATGACTTGAGAGATTCGATGCTCACACAGTTTTTTTATTAACCTTCACATATGAAAAGAAAAACAAAGCTGTTAAGCTGTCAGAAGAGGGTTTTCCATCCCACCTCCTTGATGTGTTTTTTTTTTTATGTGCATCAAAAACCTAGATGGAAAAGGCAGAAATTCAAAGAATATTGCTAAATATCACGAAAATATTTTCTACACTTGAATGAGGTGGAAAATGTTGTTCAAACTGTTTGTTCACAATGTTAAAAGTGCAAAAATACACCTTATCCCTCAACAATAAGGCTGTTTTAAGAAGGGTTCTTACAAGAAGACAAGATCCCACCCATACACCTCCATCAAAGTTTATAAACTATGTTAAAACTTGGAGATATTAGTCTGGTGTTCAAAAAAAAAAAAAACACACACACAACATAAACATTAGAAAAACATAAAACTCCTACCCTGATTTCTTATGCAGGGCTTTTATCAAGCACACGGCAACAGATTTTTTGATTTTTGATTTTTGAAAAGTGCAGAAACAATAGGCCTCATTCTCCACATTTTTCCTTAAATTTGTTCTTGAGAAAGGTCCCAAGAAAAAGTCTATGACAGATTCATGCTGTGCTCTTGAGCGTGTGTAGATTCTGTTCTTACCTAAGAACAAATCCCAAATAAGAATACATTGGTTAATGTCAGAATCTTCACAAAAACTGTGTAAGTGGGTTTTTCTTCTTAAGAATGATCGGTGAATGAGGCCCAATAGAAGACATACATAAACTAATCTTAGTTCAAGATAAGCTGGTGTTCTCTCTCTAACTCATGCCTGACAGTCGTGCTGCTTGCTGAACTCAGTTTTACAGATCACACAGGAAATCATTTTTTAGATGTTGAAGAAGTTTTTTTATTTATTGATTACATTTTTTTTGGTTCGTGCAAGACCCTGTACTTTCCAGCTATCTTTATTTCCCTCTTTCAGTTATGTGATGTAAATGAAAAGCGCATCAAGCCCACTAATTGATAACTTGATTCACTGCCAACATTTTTTATGATCAACGTTATCAAAAATGTTGACTAGTTGTTGCAGACCTACTTCCATCAGGCTGGAAATACAGCACATTACCATGTCAAAAAGTTTTATTTTGCAAAACATATATCAGTCATATCAGTCCTTAGCTGAATGCTCCCCAACTGAAATGACATTATATCAAGATACATTTTCACGTTACATCATATGCATGTTGATATTTTGACACAATGCACTAGTAGTGCCACTTTTAAAAAACAGCCATCAAAAACTCTGGGTACAATGATTTTTAGACAACCTTTCACATTGTGCGCTGCACTAAATCCAACAAAACACGACTAATTACATTTTGTCTTATTGAAATATGCGGTTGTTCAAGGTTCTTTAGGTATGGATGATATACATTATATGCTTGGAAAAGCATATTATCATGACAATAAAATGTATCATGACGATGACACAATATTGTCATAATGCCCACCTCTCCCACGAGCTTAAATACACATCCAAAGATACATGCACCCATACAGTGCAAACGTGGCAATTTTCGCAAAAAATGTCAATAAGTGAGACACTCAAAAAGCTGGGATACAAAGGACAAAAAAGAAATATTTTTTAAACAAGCGACCATTACAATCTACAGAAAAACAAAAAAATTCATGATGAAGATCATATGATCATTGTATAACATTCATAGCAATTATTATAATCATTTGCATGTCAGTGAAATTGTTATTTAAAGTTGCAAACTGTTGAGTGATCTGATTTTGGCCTGAAGCATCCAAAAGGGAAGCTATACAGATTGAACACAGAGGTGCCATTCACACTTGGCATAAACACATGTCCTGGGTGATTCATTCATAAGTGGACAGTACAGGTGTGAAGGGGTACAATGCGTCTTAGAGACACAGCGTGGTCCAATCCTTCAAACCACCTTAGAGGTGATCAGGAACGCATATGACTACAAAACATTTAGAGTGGGAACACTAAAGCGTATTGATGCATCTTTGACAGTGGCAAAGGATCGACTTAAATCACCTGCGTCATCACAGCAGAGACAAAATCCACTGCGTAGCTTCACTTGTCACCTCCTCCATTGTTTGTTTACAAGTCACATTAGCAGTTCATGTGGTCTTAACGTTTATACCCGCCCTTTCATTTACACGAACATGGACTTGCAGTACATTTTTGTCGAACAACAAACACAGCAAGAGATAAATGTTGTAAGTGTGGGTGGTTCACTTCCTCCAGTCATAAAATCCGATCACTGGAGACGTATTCGAGACACATGGAAGCGGGAGGTATGAGCAGCAACACGTCTCACTGTTCACTTACAATCAGATCACTCGAGATGGATGTTAATACAAAGTGTAAAAAAGGCCAAAGTAGCTAAAAGTGACTTCCAAACAACTTTGAAGAGCATCAGACTTCGTGTACAGTTATCTTTTAGAACTGAGTTTTACCCTGCAAAGATCTCGCATCTATTCTTACTTAGTCCCCTCACAAACTTGTTTCTTATCATGCCCAGCTGTTGTTTTAACGTTGCTCATGATATAACAATACACTGTGGGATAAAGGCCTTTCAGTCCTTGAAGTAAGGTAAAATGAGTGGAAACAGATGCTCACACATCTGTGCAGTTTCATTATAAATAAGAAAACAGATGAAGCAAACAAACAGTATCAGAGAGAGTGAGTGGTTTTTACCTGGGCACTCGGACAGCCTCCTCCACTGTCCCTAGACCAAGCTGACCCCCATCTCCGGTACCCCAGGCGAACACCTGGCCCTGCTCATTTACTGCCAGAGAGTGGGCCTCTCCACATGCCACGCTTGCAATCTTCTGCGCATCCAACGCCACCACCAATTCTGAGGATGTACATGCACACACAAAGACGTGAGGAGGCTCCATTTGCGATACATAAATTTGAATTTATGATCTGAAAGCAAAGTAGCTTCACACAAGTACAAAGGCTTTGCACAGGCTGCATGAGATAAACATACAAAACCTCAATATTTACATTCACTGACCACTTTATGGGAAACCCCTTCCTTATAGCTGTTCATGACTATAGACTGAAGCCCCTCTGTTGATGATTTTTGCATTAGGGAGGTTGACTTCCCGCAGCTAGGTTGACAATGGGTTACAGATGGGCTACAGTCTGTAACTGTATAAGTATATAGCTGACCTATAAGGTAAGTGTTTCTATTTAAGTGGCCAGCAAGGAGGAAGTACAAAGTAGGTGTTTCTTGTAAAGTGGCCAGTGAGTGGACAAGATAAGTGCTTCTAAAAAAAGTGGATGGCGAGTATTTAACATATATTATGAAAATTACAAATAACTAAGCGTTACATGATTATTACTTTCTAACAAACCGCTGACCATGTAGTCTATTAAATAACTGAAAACATTGCATGGCCCAGTCTCATGTTTCTCTATGTTCCCAAAAAGTGACATTCTGTTTTTAAAATAATGACTGACGCAAACGTATAGCCCATTTTTCCCCTAACATAATGGAAATATTCAGTGTGCAGGCTCCAGAGGTATTAAGCACAAGGAAGCCTTCTTGATTCTAAAAGCCTGATGTTTCTGGTTTAGCAGGACAGACTAAGTTTACATCTTTTCACACCTAAATACAACTGCAAAAGTGTGCCAGTTTAGTGTAAATCAAGCGGCACAAATGGCAGCACCTCAAAGCCTGATTTGAACCAGCTGGTGCCAAGAGCAGCCGGAGAATTCCAACCTTCATTCTGGTCATTTTCATTTAGGCTTTTACTGAAGAGAAAGTAAAACCTAAGCTTTGTCTGTTCTCAAAAATTCCAGCATTGCAGAACCAAAAGCAGTGTCCTCCAGAAAGGAGCTTTTTACACTTGCTTCTGAATTATGAAGCACCTGAACTATCTTTTGCTAGCAACCAAGACAAAAAAAAAATCACTGAGAAGCGGCTGGTGGTAAAAGCATCTGCGTGAGGTACATTTTGTACTGAGGCTGAGAACGAGGGCACCTACTGCTATGGCGAAGAGACTGAGCTCAACCTCATGCATGCATTTCCTTTAATGTCCTCCTTTATTATGCATGTTGAGGTGCAACACAGCCGTTTAAGATGCAGTAGTTCGAGACTTAAAAGCTATCAATCATTGCAAGCTGACTCATTTACTAAACATCAGAGCCATAATAATGATAATCTTTATTTATATATAATAAAATCTCAAAGTTCTTTGGATACTGTGATAAATAATGGAGAGATAAAATGTCAAAAAATATTATAAACTGATGTGCAAATTTGAAATATTAGGCCTACCACTGATGTTCATCAGTATTTTTTCCTTGCTTTTGCACATGCAGACACATGCATGTATACACACATGCACAGAATGAGAGTACCTCATTGGCTGCAGCAGCCTCATCAGCATGGTCATGTGCAAGAGAGCGTGCTGCTGTGAAAAGTGGCTTTACAACCCGGATTACAGACCTACATGCCAAACATCACACAGATACAAATGTGATTGAAGCCACAGGTTCAGTGCCACATAAGGGCACTCAATTTCCCTTATTCAAGAGGAAATCCGGCAGTCATATAAATCAGCGACAGAGCAGAGATTAGCCTGTATCTGAACCACGCATTCTTCTCCCACAATCTAAGCTTCGCTGTATCACTGGGAGGTTTGCAAGTTTAATCCTCAGCATTGTCACAGTGATCTATAGCCACGATTCCAGGAGAGAGAAATTGGCCTCTGGCTTTCTGGGTGGATAGGATGGCTGCCCAACTCAAACGCATCACTAAACAAGATGCAAGCTAACACGGACGTCTGTTAGGTGACAAAACAGAACTGGCAGTTTTCCACTAAGGCTGTCTTTTCATGGTGAAGCTTTCGTGCAACGTTAAATGCTTGAAACTCAAATAAAACAAGTTTACCAATAAACAGCCAAAACAATGATGATGTCAAACGACACTTTGAAATGACTGATTTCATATGATCAATAGACAAGAAAATAAAACAGAAGATGGTCCATTGGCCGGTTGAAAAGGAGACTGGCCAATTAATTCAAGGTTGATAGTTTTTCAATTTGTCAGTTTCCTGAGCTATGACAACAAACATGAGCTTCTTAAAGCTAACTTTCCTGTAACTAGCTGTGTTAATTAGCCAGCTAACTGGAACAGCTGCTTACATGGTTGCTTGTGCCAGCATTTATTCTTCTTTGCTATCCTGCTGTTAGCGTGATTTATTTGGTTAGATTCACTTTCTCCTCTCTTGACGTTCCCTAAGAGACCCTAAAAACCCAAGAGTGTATATATATATATATATATATATATATATAAGGGAGAGAGAGAGAGAGAGAGATGGATGGATAGACAGATAGACAGATAATTACACCTTGTGGGTGGCTTTATTGCAAGAACAATATGGCTAACTAGTGGAGTCAGTAATTTGGCTAACTAGTAGAGTCAAGGGTTGCACAGAAATTATGTTGCATGCAACTGACAACATGTAAGTAGGTGCATCCAAGTGTAAAGACAGCCTAAGCTTTTGAGCTGACCAATGATGAATGAGTTGACTGAGTTTGAAAAGACGCAGTGGCACATCACGTGTGTCTAGCCCGCACCCTCCCAGATTGGTAGCATCCTGCGATGAGGTGAGACTGGCCATGATTAAATTGGGGGGCGGGGATTAAAGGGGGAAAATTGGAGGAAAAACTGTGCTAACTGAGCTTTAGAGAAGCAGTTCCTCACCTGGCTTTGCTCCTGGCTTCTCATGGCCTAACTGACCACGGCTGTTGGAGCCGCACGTGTACACGCTCCCATCATGTAGCAGGAAGAGTGAGTGCTGTCCTCCACAGGCCACCTCTTTCAGCCCCTTCCCGTTCAACATACGGCAGCTCCGTGGCTCAAACACAGCACTCTCGGAGTCACCAAGGCCCAGCTGACCCCAGGCCGAACTGCCCCAGCACAGCATTACCACTCAGAGACAGAGAGAGAGCACAAGAGACGGAGATGGAGAGAGGGAGATGGACGGACACAAAGGAGGGAGATGGAGGGTGGGAGTGCCCTAGGCTGAGCAGCCCTGCCTTCTCCCCTTCATGGGAATGACAAATCTGAAAGGAAAATGAACATAAAGCCTGGCATTACACAACAGCGAGTGGACTGAAAGAAAGACAGAGCAAGCTGGAGCAGTGCTGTGTGACTTTACTTCTTATAGCTAGCTGAAGAGCCATAGTGGTTGTTGTGTGACATGGTGCCACAAAGTGTTACACAGTTCTCGCAAGAGGTTTCATGTCCACTCCTCCAAAGTTGCACAGCACTATAGCTACAATACCATTCTTCCTCATTATACGTCAGTGTACCATCAAAATGATTCTGAAGCTGTTATTCCAAGATAAAACTGTTAAACAATGTTGCTTTAAATCTTGGGCACCCCTGGTGAAATGACATATTGTTGAAAGTAAAAAAATAAGTTAACACATCCTCTACAATTTAAATTTAACATAGTGTAAAAAACTAAAAACATTAAACGTGGCCTGTGCAAAAGTTATGGCATATTTTAGTTTCCGATATAATAAAAATTAAACAATCCTGCATCTCAAATAAACAAAAAATGTTTATTTATTTTCACTTAGAAAATCAAAAAACTTGTAATTTGACAGGGACAGTGTTCACGACTGTACGTTGCATTCCATGTGCATGCTATCAACATCAGTGCTTCTTTATCAGTCCATAGTCCATTGCGGTCAGTAAATATACCTACTTCCAAAACCCATATCTGGTTTAAGCCACACACACTTTGGGTTTGTCATTTTAAATAGCATTATTCAGGAATCAGTACAGACATCTAGGTATTGGTTTTGAATTTGGAAATTTCTGAACACTACCCAGCCCTATACACAACAATATTGATTTTGAGTTTTTGCAGTATATAAAATAACATTAAGACATTAACTGCATTGTGTCATTGCCTGGACCCTTTGGAATGTTTTAAAAGAAGTTTTCAAAATACATCAACTATATAACTGTAAGTTTCCCTTCTAGAAATGTGCAGGTTTATACAATACTGCTGTAGCATACAGTGCCACTATACGCTAAGAACGGGTCATTATCTCTATGAATACGAAGGTTAACTTCAGCAAGTGTCATGATATATTTGGAAAATATAGGGATACAGAATTATATCAAAGTGAGAGAGAAAAAAGGCCCCACTTTATTCCCGTGGCTTCTCACCACTCTGGATAGCATAAGACTGTCAGCCAGTGCGGGGAACCAGGGTTTTGCCGTGTTGTGGAGATAAGGAAGCTGCGAGGTTAAATAAAACGCCAGCTTCTCTAATCTCTCCCTAAGATGCTAGCAACAAACACTACTGCCTCCTACTCACAATCCTCTCAGCCAGCTCTGACCACTGAGGCCAAGAGTGGGCGTATATGCTCAGGTGAGTTGTAAGGTAATTGCTAGCAGCCTCACAGCTGGCTAAGTGACCTTTTTAGAGACCACAGTCCCACAGTGACATGCTAAAATGTAACATCAGCTTTGGCATTAGTTAATAGGTCTGCAAGATATAGACAAAATACCAGCGTGCCAATTACACTGCGGCATAGTGCACTACACACTGGAGCTTCAATAATGTGAGAATTTACTTTTGATGGATTACACGAATACCCCAGTTCAACAAAACACCCACAGAAGCACTCATCTAGATGCCCACAACACACTTGAGAGAAACCTCCTTAAAGCAGAAAAAAAGGATCATACTTCAGGTCAGGTTTCAGGCCAGAAACTTGCAGGCTGGCTTTGTTCTTGCTATGCTTTGGTCGCTCTTGCTATAGATTGAATTAATGGCAGTTAAACAGTCCCTAAATTGCCTATAATAGTTTTTATTATTATGCTGTAAAGTTTGGTTATACTAAATTGTCTTTTGCATTTAAAAATGTTGATACAGCTACCAATCCAAGTCATTTAAACCTACTTTCATGTTTTACATGGGAGGATGTTCAGTACATGGAAGGCTACAGTATCTGTTTAGGAGTCGGTGTTATTACTTGTTTTAATTAATTGTTAGAACTGTAGTTAAACCTTTCATTTGAAAAATTAAAATTGAAGTGAACTTGATAGTGTGCTACAGCATTTTTTTCTGTTATGAAAATGAGTCACTTGGATTAATCTATCATTCATAAATTAATCTAAATCAAGCTAAACAGTAAGATACTTGCCAGTTACTAGTCTGCTGACTTCCAGTAAAGAACAGTGCAGGGTTTCCACCAGTCCTGTTGTCCATTCATGCAGTACAGTTTAGTCTTTTCCTTTTCTATCCACACCTCACTCAGCTCCAGAAGGACTTGATCATTAACTAATGATGTGACAGAGAAAGCTCAAAACTGTGCAGTGTCGTTTGCCTGCACGACTGAAGCTGTAAATGCTGGCGTGCAAGCAGACGTTTCTCACGCCGCTGCCATGACAGATTTTTACATCTCTTTGCAAATAAGTAGCTGTCACTGTTTTATTAGTCATCAGCAGGTTCTGGCATTTGAAATATTGCTTGAATAGTCACGACGCTGAAACGCTGTAGCTTCTCTTTAACCCTAATCAGGAGCCCTCTGTCTTCAGCTGTATTGCCTTTAAAAAGTGTGTTTATTCTGCAGTGTTGGCAGTTGCCGTAAACGATCATCACAATCTTTCCATCTGCAGACAGAACACCTAGAATCAAGTTGTGTAACAATACAGAATTTCAGGTTTCACATGATTTGTGATTCTTAGGTCAAAGATATAATTCAATTTATGACATTATACACTCCAACAATATCTTTATTCTATACTGCACTTCAACTACACGGTACCCAGATTGGCTTGGCCCAGATAAACACATAATTTAATTAAAGTAGCCTGTCTTTGGTTAAACAAGCTCTTATAAAACAGTGCAACAGAAAAATAGGACGCACCCAGAAGCCTATTTTGTGTCACTGACAGTGGTCACCACGAAAAAGGGTTGTATGAGAGACCCTCAGGGGAGAGCAAGAGGCATATCAGCGATACAGTTTTACACTTTGACACACTGTTCCAAATGTTCCCCTTTCAAATTTATCGATACTGTATCTAAATCAACAAATGATCTTAAAGCACCTGCTTATGTCTAAGAATGTCTCTCTGTTTATTTCCCAGCATTTAATCTTAGATCTGCAGACACTGGCCATCTGAAAATATGTTCCATAAAATACAGAAAACGTAGAGAGACTCTTTCTCGTTGAATTCAGTTCTAGGTCTATTTTGGTTTGTTCTGTTTTCAATTTGACGTGTCTGCCTTTTATAAATACTCATAATCAGGAAGGACTTTATTTGCCTAATGTTGCAACAAACACCAAACTGTGAAGTTGGACCTAAGAAGGAATTTAACCAGCTACTCAGTTTACATTAAAAATCAGGATTCATTGCGTTTTTCACCCAATGCACATTAATGTAGCTACGTCTGTAAAACGACGAGGCTTAAGTCAGCTTCTTATTCGAATTTTCTCGTTCTGTAACTGCCGCATCATTTAAGGTGGAACGGGAAAATGCCAACAACAGAACAGTGTTAAATCCAAATGAATGTATTTACTTAACTGACTTGTACGCCTTATTATTATTTCAGCACCAGCTAAGACAGACTAACGTTCGATACATACGAAAAACGGTGCTTCGCCAAAGTTATTTTTTGTTAACGTTAAGTTACTTATTATTATTTATTTTGTCTTAATCCTCGTTGCCACTGCTTATTGTCAAAATCTAAAAAAAGTCTGTTATTTCAAGCGTAGACCAGAAAGCAAAACTAAAGACAGTCATTAACGTTAGCTAGCTAGCAAGCAAGCTAACATAGGCTAGTTACCATTTAGCTTAGCCACTAGCGACGTAACCAACAGTGTCCACTAACGACACTTTTATCAACATGTTCAGTTCAGACTTTGAACATTAAGAGATTTATGAAGAACCTAAATATCATGTGAGTGTTGTTACATAGCGTTATTTAAGGTACGCAATAAAACTGCTTGTTTATTAGGTGCTGGCGTTAGCTTAGCTAACAGAGGACCTTACTTTAACGCAGAGTGCTAACAGGCTAATCGGCTAACAGCTGCTTTTTTTTGCAAACTCATCCGTAATAAACTCGTCCAGAGGGGTTAAGGCGAATAAAGGGGCAGAAGTCGGTCGGCCGGTAGATCGGACACCCTCATACCTTGTGCGGGTCATAATCCTTCTCCTCTTTTCTCCTCCTTTCGCTATTTTCTCTTTTCGCTGTGCTGTTTTGCCCACAATAAGGAGGAAGTTCAGCTTCAGATTATTGGTGGGCGTCACCGACCACGTGCTTATGTTGTGCAGAGCGCAACCGACCAATCACTGCGCCGTGTGGGTGGGATTTGCCCGCATAATTTTGCATATTTTAATTCATTCTTTATGAAGATTATGATTATTAATGAAACACTTTCAACATTGACATTTATCATTCATCAATGCTTTTGTTATCTTATCATTTAAAACCCGTTTCACATTTCTCATGAAACATTTCAAGCATTTTCACTTCACATGCATACATTTTGAACGTTTTGATGCATGATTTATTGTTGTTATTGTTAAAACATATTTAATGTCTGCTGCAAAACACATGAGGAATAAGACTAGCTGCATTAGCCCTTTTCATCTTTGAAAACGATATTTTATTTATCTTTTTTCCATGCATTATTTACATGAACTTGTGCTTTTAATTATTATTAAACATTCATGTTATGATTAAAAAGTAAACAGGATGCTCACAGCATCGGTTCAAGAAACAGAATGCATGCATAGTTACATTAGATCTAATGCATGTTTGCTGGAGACCTAAAATGTGAGGTTCCTGTCTCAGCGAGGGGAAAATAAATCATATCACACTTATCAAAATAACCTTCAATGCAGAGCATTACATCCACTCTGCCTTATTAAACATGGACACAATGTGCCACTGATGCGAAGCACCAGCATGTAGAACCCCATTAGTAATTTTTTTGTTTTGTTAGTTTTGCTTATTTGTTTGTTTTTTGCCAGGGGACTCTTCCACAACCCAGCTGACTTATGTAGGTTGGGGAAGAATAATGTGAGAAAGTGAAACTCTTCCTGAGCTAAATTCATTCTTGTAATGTCAAAAATGTATTGCATTTTTAAAAAGGTGTTTAAATGTTAAAATGAATATTTGTTGAAGTACAACACGGAAATATATTTATCCTGTAATAAAAAGTATTCTCTACTGTACTGTTGAAGAAAAACAACTCTGTCTTGTCTTCGTGGCTGTGGCCTTCATATGATTAGATGACCTGTGGTTGTCTCCTTGCTGAAAACAACAACAAAGACCAGCAAGCATTTCATGCTGGTTTATGCTGGTCTGGTTCTGGCTTAACCGGTCATCCTAGCATGGTCCTGCTAGTTGCAGCATCAAAACACAGCATATTCTGGTTCTGGTGGTGACCAGCCATGCTGCTCTGTGCTGGTTTTTCTAGCAGGGCTAAGAGTCATACAACCAGCATCATAGAGAATAATTTGCTCACCAGCATCACTGCGGTGTCTGATCCACATGTACCACTGCAACACACACTAAAATGCCACTAATACGTTGCTGAGAATGATCCACCATCCAGAATAATACCTGCTCTTTGATGGTCCTGTTGGCTAACAAAGTAGAAACAGATGCTGCTCCTAAATGGTAAGTGGAGCTGATAAAGTGTAGATATAAGGAGGCATAAAGTGGTTGAAGGAGGCATAAAGTGGTTGGTTGAACACGAAATACATATCGGACCTCGTTATAATATAATATGTATTTTATTGCCACCTTTATTATCAACTTTTACTTCTTAACTAGTGGCAAGTTATTGTTTTACATCTTATATTCCTTTATTTATTTCATTAACTGATCATTTTATCCCTATTTCATTTGTTATTTATTAAGTTATTATATTGTTGAAAATTTAAGCGTTTATTGATATTTATTAACTATTACATTTACTATTATGATTATTATTATTATTACTTTTTTAAGCATTTGAAGTGTTTTTACAATCCAATCTTTTGGATTGATTATCTATTTTAAAGACTAACCCCCCCTTTCTGATAATGTTTCTTGAAGGTGGGAGAAACCTTCGAAACACTGCATCTGCTAAGGGGTCATTTTTTGGGGACGGACTGTTAAAATTTTTTTCTCACCAGTTGTCGAATGCGGAAAGAAGCCAGGCAGCTAATGTTACTGCTGGGAAGCCAAATATCTTTTTGCAGCTGTATAATTTTAGTAACTGCGTTCAAATCATCATTGTTAGCAAGTTAGCAAGGTAGCTACCTGGCTCTCTAGATATTTGGCTCATTTTCTGTGGGTGAAATTCTTGTCCCAAGTGTCCATTTTGTGTCTTGTTTGACAACAGAAGTAAGAGTTACAGTAATGCTAGCACAGTTGCATTAATCAGCCTACAGATCAGTTGTTATGCTAGCAGTCAGGATTGGTTGACACCACAGGGATGTGCAATGATGTATTTGCTTAATGCATGCTGGGTACTGTAGTGAGAGAACACTGAAAGTATTTTCAAAACCTGAAAATATTTAAAATTGTGAATTCTATCTAACTAGGCAGGGGATCTAATACTGCTCTAACAACAAATAACATAGCAATGCTAGTTTTAGGCCAGAATGCCCCTTTAATATATTAAAAAAAAAGATATTAACAACCAAACATAATTTGTAACATCCAGTGAATATCAACAAATAAAAACTGAGGTTATTTACACAGTAGTCCTCTATGACCTCTGTAATCTTGATACACAATCACCTAGGTTCATGGACCATGATAGGTTTTTACTCTTAGTCTGTTAAAAGACATCTCATATCTCCACTAACACCTGACCGAACAGATCAAATGACTTTCTATGCCTTCCCAAAAACCTCGCAACAGGTGATGGCGTGAATTAGTCTGTCTCGAAGTATCTGGATGTTGCTGTAGTTTGGAAGATGCAGTGTGCCGAAGCAGGTCTGAGCCACTGGGAAACGCTCGTCTGCATTTTCATAGTCACATCTCACAAGTATCAGGCGTAGTTGAGAGAGGCCCCCCACAGGCAAGCGGTCTGTTGCATACATGAAAACTGTAAAAAAAAAATAAAAATCTCAGGGACGCTCAGCCAGCCTCCTAATACTCTATACTCCACATTATACATTCTAGTTTAAATTAAGGGAAATACAATTCTAATGAAACATTTTGCATAGACCAGATTTGTGCACAACAATTACGATAGATCTGAAAAGCTTACCTTCTTACCTGTACATCTTTTGTTGCCTACACTATCGTACAAGCATTTGGAATCACTGTTTAATAATATAAACTCAGTTTTGTTGCAGGTACATGTAAAATATCATACAAACATTCTGTAAGTTTCAAACTATTTGTAGGAAGTTATAAGAGCATAGTTCCCAAAATGCTTTAAGTTGTGAACAAACCATTAGTTTATGTTTTGGTTTCTAGTTAATGACATTTCAAACTACACTGTAACTTATAAATGACAATTATTCATTTGACAAGTGATTCCAAACTACTGAACAATAGAAACTATAATATCCAATAAAAACTAATTGGAATGCTAACATAGTAGCGATAATAGCCTAATTTGTGTTATATTTTGTATTACCAATATTTTATTTCATGTTAATTTTCTTTATATATATTTCCATTATTTCATATCACCAAAGAAAATAGTACATTTACAGACAATTTTCGGAGCAATTATGGAGCATTTCTATTGGTTCTATTTGGTGAGCAATGATATACGTTTGTGTGTGTGTGTGTGTATATATATATATATATATATATATATATATATATTTATATATACATAAATATCATCAGAGTAACTTGATCACATAAATAATAAATAAAAATAATAAAAAATGATATTTGTTTTACTTTTATCAAACTCTTTAACTTACTCAGAAACTTCTTCTTATGTTCTTCAGACAGCTCACAGAAAACAGTCCAGAAATTCTGAACCAGTTCATCCAAGGGTCCACAGTGTTCATAAGTGGCAATCTGAGGGAAATATGACATGCAAAAAAAAATCTACTGTTCAATCAAAATAACATAATTAAGCAAAATAGCACAGACTATCAAAACAGTTTGTGTTTTACCCTTCGGAGTTCTTCCCACTCATATTGAGATGTGCCGTAGAGTTGAAGCCTGAGTTCTTCAGGCAGAAAAATCCTCCAGAAGTCGGAGCAGTTTCCACAAGAAAATCCTCTCGCAAATTCCTTGAACTGATACTCCACTGACTTGTTAAGAAAAAAGTCAACATACAAGTCCACATATTTCTGCCTGCAAAAGAATGAATAAACAGAGGCTGTGTCAAAAACGTGATAAATGCTGCCTACTCATACAGTATTCTGAGGCATGGGAGGCACTGAGTCATATCCGAATGAAACGTTCTGCTTGCTGAGATTCCTCCATTTGGCCATTTAGAAAGGCAGCATAAATGTATCCTTCACTGCATTTCATATCCCATAATGTTTTGTGTCAGCGCCGATCTGGTTAGGAAAAAACATCAACACTGACACAGTGGAAGAGAAAGTGACCAATAGTTTTTATTTATTTTATCTGCATTAAACAATGAACATTACAGAACTATGTACATTGCCAGGGCCTGCCATAAAGTGTGGGGGGGGGTAAAATAATAATATTAACCACCTAAAATCCCAGTAACTGCAGATTCAGTAACTACAGAGACTGCAATGCAAACTGGCTGAGCTATTGTTTGGTTACAGAAGTGTACATTTAATGGGTTAAAAAAATCTAAAATATATGAGAAGAAGAGGTTATGATGACCTAAACAGTCAAATTAAGGCAAAAATGATCAGTCAGTGGAGCATATTTGAAAACATATCAACACAATTTTGTCCAAGGTTATGCTACATCCCTATCATCAAAATTATAGCATAATCTCACTTCTTTTTGTTTTATTGTTAATACTGGAAGCCTATCAAAAATATCTGTCCAGTCTCTAATCATTCTAGAGTTGACTTTGTTAATCTCTAATAACACTGTGTTTTTAAAATCTGTGTATCAGATTCTTTTAAGTAGGCCTGCTGCCTCAAACTAGGATTGAAGAATGGATTTCCTGGTAGCTGTTGAGGCTGTATATAAATATTCTATAATATTCTTCATAATTGGTGGAGACCTTATGAGCTGAATAAGCAAGTAATCTATTATATATGTAAATGAAACGATTCCCTGTGTTTTGACATGAAACAATCCATTAATGGGTACTGGTTAACGTTGAGGTTCCATTGAATTCCATAACCCCATAATGCACTTCTCAGTTATAAGTACAGAAAATAAAAGTAACCAGGAAGATTACACGATTATTTTAAATCTGAAATGACTGTAAATGACCTTGATCATTGAAAGTATCACCAAATTTATGTACTCCTTGGTCTGACCATGCCTTGGTTTGCCTCTTGTTTGTAAAAAGTCATTGTTCCAGATTGTAGATTCTGCTGAGAACTTCAATGGACCACCCATATATTTACAGATGTCTCCCCACACATTTTGCCACTATGGCATTGAATTTAAACTTTTGATCCTTTTTAGAAATACTGGTGAACAGTAAATCCTGTAGCCGATGTGGATGCACTGATATTTGCCACCACAATCTGGGAGTCAACTTTCAAGCAAGTGCTAAATGAGCGAAGTTGAAAGAACCAAAAATATAACCTAAAATTTGGTAAAGCTAGGCCACATTTATTAGTCTCTCTTTGTAAAGCTTTGAGTCTGATCCTTGGTCTTTTCTTGAATTAATTCTGAAAATCTGAAGTCTATTTTCTTGATAAATGTATTATGAGGAGAGCAGTTTGTGTACAAATACAATACTTTTTTATTTTGGTTATAAAACATTCAGCATGCTAGACTTCTTAAAAGACTTTTTCTCTGAGTAAAAGATGCTGACGTCTAATGTTAACGACTAGCAGTGAAGTGTCTATGTTGGCAACGACATGATGCATCACTGCCTTCGAAGCACATCTCAAATGCGTTTTGGTTGCAGGTACCTTCATCATGTCTCTGCCTTCTAAGGCACTGATTATGAGACAGCACAGGCGGCAAGACATTGAGACATCTCCCTTCAGTGTCAGACACAGTTTAATGCAAATGAGCCTGTTTTTCATGAACATCATTATGTGTATAGATTGCTGTGTGTGAGGGATAAGTAAAAAACAACAAAGAAACCATACCTGTTGACTTTGGTGACAGGGATTTCCCTTCCATTCGGAATGAGCTCTTTGCCCTGTATCTGAAAGAAACTATACTCACATACATATACTTCAAAACCTAAATGTACAGTAATAAACATAATGATTTCTTACTGTGAAATCCAAACAAAGAATCTCCTCAACTTCCTCATCTTCCATCAGTACATTTCTCAGAGACCTGAGGAAGCAACAAAAACAATAAACTTAAAAAAAATAAAAATGAAAATAATAATAATAATACAAAGAAGACGAAGAAGAAGAATTTCTATAGATCCATATAGGGCCTTTTAATAACCCAAAGATGCTCATAGTTGTTGACAACACAAAAATAAAGTAACATACAAGATACTAGGGTAAAAACAAGATGACTTGGTTTGTAAAGTCTTTTTAACATTACCATTTGAATACTAGACTTATTGTTGAGTAACTGCTTTAAATTATTCAGTAACTACAATATATTAATCAGTAACTAATATATATTGCGCAATAACTACAAATCATTCAGTAACTACTATATATTATTCTATAACTACTACAAATCATTCAGTAACTACTATATATTATTCTGTAACTACTACAAATCATTCTGTAACCGCTACATATCATTCAGTTACTGCTGTAAATCATTTAGTAACTACTATAAATTGTTTAGTAACTACTAAAATATTCAATAACTACTATAAATCATTCAAGAACTGCTGTATATCATTCAATAACTATTAAAAATGATATAAACTGTATAACTATATAATAAACTATATAATAGACTACTATAAATCATTTAGTAACTGCTATTACGCCAATATATATGTCAGTCCTCACATTTAGTTCCTCACTCTCATAACTACAAAACACACATTAGTTTCACAGCAGCTACTGAATATTCATGGTAGTGAGGGTTTAAGGGGTGAACAGACAATGGATCTGAACCTGGCCTCCGCTGGGGACAGCTCCTCCAGGTCACTGAGAGTGGGACTCAGGCACAGTAGCTTCTTGAACAGTGCCAACGGGAAGCCGATGTTTAGATGACAGTGATTATACAAGGCCATTCCACAGATGACGCCAAGGTAGTAAAACTCATCGCTGGTACCAGAGGTCTACAACAGACGGTATATTTCTATTCATTTGCCATACAAGAGCAATCATTCTGAGAAAAGTCACATATTGACTGTAGACTCACATCAGCAGAGAACCAGAAGAGTCCTGAGTCTTCAGATGCTCGAATCACGCCGGAGGCTTTTCTTATATCCTGACTGAGCAGTCTGAAGAATTCTGTACGCAAACCTCCAGCATCAAACCCATCCTCCAGTAAAAACTTCACCTTTAAAAAGAGACAACGATAGATAGATAGATAGATAGATAGATAGATAGATAGATAGGCAGGCAGATAGACGGACAGACAGACAGATAGATAGATAGATAGATAGATAGATAGATAGATAGATAGACGGACAGACAGATAGATAGATAGATAGATAGATAGATAGATAGATAGATACATAGATAGATAGATAGATAAATAGATAGACAGACCGATGGACAGATAGACAGACAGACAGATGGATAGGTAGACAGATAGACAGACAGATAGATTGATTGATTGATATACTGTTTAACTGATCGACTGATTGATAAATTCATTTTAGTTAATTTTACCTAAGTTTAATTCCTTTAATAACACAAACAACAAACTGTTACAGACCTTTAATGGGAGGGAGAAGTCAGGAGGATTTGTTCTCAGGTGTGTCAGAGTATCTGCCAGCACCATTTCTCTCCTCACACACAGTGAGTTTTCACAGGCGAGTGGAGGATCCACATTCTTTTGTCTTTCCAGCAAAAACTTGAGACACAAAATAATAAATAAAACGACACATTAATACACTAAAGATTAATTATGACTGATGGAGTGGATTTGAATACAGCCTCTGCGGCGTCTGACTGAGTGAGTCTACTTACTCTGAAAAGAATGCATTTAGACCTCATGTCAACAATGAAAGGGTAACAACAAAGAGAGTCCACATTTTTCTAAAGCAAATAAATAAATAAATCATTTAACATTACAAAACAGGAAATGTAATATGCAATATGCAAACGAATCAAGACTGAATACCATAAAGTTCTGGAAAACTAGACATTTTTGCTGATCACTGAAGAAATATGGAATCTGTTTAAATGCAAAACACAGTAAAATAAATACGGCGCATACAGCACAACAAACCTTCAGCAGTCGTAGGCATGTCACATATCACTGACAGTCGATTTTGTATTCTAATTTTAGTTCAGTTACTGGCTTAAATTCTTTTGTATGTCCACATCCTGACTTATTGTTACATTTTTAGTAAGTTTTTTCAAATTATGAAATGATGAATAGATGTCTGGACACTGGAGGCCTGGATGCATAGACATCTTAAACCTGCCTATGTAAAATCTATAATCTACACCTGAAAAAGGCTAAACATTCTGATTTAAAAACAACTGTGCCATTTAACATTTTTATAGTTTTATTCCACAGACAAGCTGTTGGCTGTTCTATAGCCCTGTTTAAACAAGTCACAGTGTTTGTTGAGAGCAAACTATGGAAATCTAAACTATATCATCAACTACAAAATAATAATAATGATAATAAAAGAAAAACACTAATCAATAATCATTTACATTATAAACACTGGTGTTAGGAACATTAGGAACAACTAAACACTGGGACGAGTTTAAAATGTGTTACAGAAAAGAAAACATTTAAAACATTTATAGTGTAAGTCTTAATTTTCTCTTTGCAGCTGCCTGAATGTTACACTTTCACCAGTATGTATGTGAATATTAATTGCTGTTGAATTATTTCAGTACTTACCGAACAAAAGAACTCAGAGAGCTCTTTAACGTAGAAATAATCATCCATCAACCGTGTGGCTCTCCTGCTATTAATCTGCATGAAAGTATAAAACTTTAAAATGCCCAAATATTGCAATGACAATGACATTTAATCACACTAATAATCCAATAATGACTGATATCACTAGAAAATAATAAGATGAATGTAACATTAACACATTAGATAATTAATAAGACAATATTAATCAGATATTGACATTAAATTGTCAGATAGTAATAATCTAATAACAGCAATAAAATGCTGATAGATAATACGATAGATAATATCTTGATAACACAAAATAATTAGACAATAATCTGGTAACAACATGAAATTATTAGATAAGATTAACCAAATCTGCAAATGGCAGAATCATTAGATTGTTATAATAATAATCTGATAACAGCAGTAAATCATTAGATAATGATAATAATCAAATAATAGCATTAAATAATTAGATAATATCTTGATAACATGAAATAATTAGACAATAATCTGATAACAACATGAAATTATTAGACTAGATTAATCTGAAAAGACAGTAAATAATAATAATAATAATAATAATAATAATAATGATAACAGCATTAAATCATTAGATAATGATAATAATCTGATAATAGCATTTAATCATTAGATGATGATAATAATTGGATAATAGCATTAAATAATTTGATTATTTTTTAAGAACACGAAAGAATTAGACAATAATCTGATAACAACATGGAATCATTAGATTAGATTAATCTGAAAAGGCAGTAAATAATTAGATAATAATAATAATAATAATAATAATAACAGCATTAAATCATTAGATGATGATAATAATCTGATAATAGCAAAAAATTGTATCAGATAATAATAATCTGATAACATTAAAGTATTGGATAATAATAATAATAATAATAATAATAATAATAATAATAATAATCTGATAAAGACCGTTATATGAATAGATGTTTATGTAAAAAAAGAAAAGTCTGTCTAACAGGAGGTGTGTGAGTGTGTCTGTGGAAGAGGGTGAGAATGAAGGGAGTGATAAGAGGAAAAGATGAATGAAATCTTTAATCCTCACATCATACAGTTCGTGCAGAACCTTTAGAGGAAATGATGCTTCATCCCAGCGGTTGCATATCCTAGTTGTCATCTGGGTGATGAAGTGTGCCGATACAGAGTGAAACACCTTCACCAGCGTTCTGTAGTAGTAATAGGGCAGTGTGGTCCACAGGCTTCCTGAGGACATTTTACAAGACAAGAGCATGTGCAACTTTTTTAAACTGCTGTTTAAAAGATCATGTAAATTATATATACATGCATAGATACACCCATACATACATAAAGTGAATAAATAAGCTTGTAGCAATGCTGTTACATTCATTACACACAATACAAAAATGATGCATTAAATTTATTCGATTGAAATGTATAGATAATTTCCACACTGATGTAATATTTATTACATTACTAGATACTTTGGCCAATAACTGTGTTGTGATTTATGCTGAAATGATGTTCACATTTTAAGTAATTCAACACGGTGTTCAGAGTAGAACATTCTTAAAGAATGTTTCAACGGAATCTGAGAATATTTTTACTTTATATCTCTATTGAATGTTTGTAAAAAACACATATGTCATAAACATCAAGGTCTCTAAATGGGGACCTACTTAAGACACTCAGTGACTCCTGATCCAGGTGTAAAATGGCAGAAGCCAGCTCTACAGCGAGCTGCCTTCCACGCTGCTGTTTGATCAGCACTCTGAGGAGCTCGGGCAGGATGAGGTAAACTCTCAGAGCTTCGACACCAGCAGCAGTGGAGCCCAGAGACCAGAGCAGATTCTGCTTCACTACACTTTCCACCTGAGAGGAAAATTCAACCCCTGATTTCAGCCTCATAGTCATAAGTCAACTTAAAATGACGTCTATAGTCTCAGTCATAAGTCAACTTAAAATGACGTCTATAGTCTCACAGTCACAAGTCAACTCAAAATGACGTCTATAGTCTCACAGTCACAAGTCAACTCAAAATGACGTCTATAGTCTCACAGTCACAAGTCAACTCAAAATTATGTCTATAGTCTCAGTCACAAGTCAACTCAAAATGACGTCTATAGTCTCAGTCACAAGTCAACTCAAAATGACGTCTATAGTCTCACAGTCACAAGTCAACTCAAAATGACGTCTATAGTCTCAGTCACAAATCAACTCAAAATGATGTCTATAGTCTCACAGTCACAAATCAACTCAAAATGACGTCTATAGTCTCAGTCACAAGTCAACTCAAAATGACGTCTATAGTCTCACAGTCACAAGTCAACTCAAAATGACGTCTATAGTCTCAGTCACAAGTCAACTCAAAATGACGTCTATAGTCTCACAGTCACAAGTCAACTCAAAATTATGTCTATAGTCTCAGTCACAAGTCAACTCAAAATGACGTCTATAGTCTCAGTCACAAGTCAACTCAAAATGACGTCTATAGTCTCACAGTCACAAGTCAACTCAAAATGACGTCTATAGTCTCAGTCACAAGTCAACTCAAAATGACGTCTATAGTCTCACAGTCACAAGTCAACTCAAAATGACGTCTATAGTCTCAGTCACAAGTCAACTCAAAATGACGTCTATAGTCTCACAGTCACAAGTCAACTCAAAATTATGTCTATAGTCTCAGTCACAAGTCAACTCAAAATGACGTCTATAGTCTCACAGTCACAAGTCAACTCAAAATGACGTCTATAGTCTCACAGTCACAAGTCAACTCAAAATGAGGTCTATAGTCTCAGTCACAAATCAACTCAAAATGACGTCTATAGTCTCACAGTCACAAGTCAACTCAAAATGACGTCTATAGTCTCACAGTCACAAGTCAACTCAAAATTATGTCTATAGTCTCAGTCACAAGTCAACTCAAAATGACGTCTATAGTCTCACAGTCACAAGTCAACTCAAAATTATGTCTATAGTCTCAGTCACAAGTCGACTCAAAATGACGTCTATAGTCTCACAGTCTCGTCAACTTAAAATGTCGTCTATAGTCTCACAGTCACAAGTCAACTCAAAATTATGTCTATAGTCTCAGTCACAAGTCGACTCAAAATGACGTCTATAGTCTCACAGTCTCGTCAACTTAAAATGACGTCTATAGTCTCACAGTCACAAGTCAACTCAAAATGACGTCTATAGTCTCACAGTCACAAGTCAACTCAAAATGACGTCTATAGTCTCAGTCACAAGTCGACTTAAAATGACGTCTATAGTCTCACAGTCACAAGTCAACTCAAAATGACGTCTATAGTCTCAGTCACAAGTCGACTTAAAATGACGTCTATAGTCTCACAGTCACTAGTCAACTCAAAATGACGTCTATAGTCTCAGTCACAAGTCGACTTAAAATGACGTCTATAGTCTCACAGTCACAAGTCAACTCAAAATGACGTCTATAGTCTCAGTCACAAGTCGACTTAAAATGACGTCTATAGTCTCACAGTCACAAGTCAACTCAAAATGACGTCTATAGTCTCAGTCACAAGTCGACTTAAAATGACGTCTATAGTCTCACAGTCACAAGTCAACTCAAAATGACGTCTATAGTCTCACAGTCACAAGTCAACTCAAAATGACGTCTATAGTCTCAGTCACAAGTCGACTTAAAATGACGTCTATAGTCTCACAGTCACAAGTCGACTCAAAATGACGTCTAGAGTCTCAGTCACAAGTCAACTCAAAATGACGTCTATAGTCTCACAGTCACAAGTCGACTCAAAATGACATCTATAGTCTCAGTCACAAGTCGACTTAAAATGACGTCTATAGTCTCACAGTCACAAGTCGACTCAAAATGACGTCTATAGTCTCAGTCACAAGTCGACTTAAAATGACGTCTATAGTCTCACAGTCACAAGTCAACTCAAAATGACGTCTATAGTCTCAGTCACAAGTCGACTTAAAATGACGTCTATAGTCTCACAGTCACTAGTCAACTCAAAATGACGTCTATAGTCTCACAGTCACAAGTCAACTCAAAATGACGTCTATAGTCTCAGTCACAAGTCGACTCAAAATGACGTCTATAGTCTCACAGTCACAAGTCGACTCAAAATGACGTCTAGAGTCTCAGTCACAAGTCAACTTAAAATGGCGTCTATAGTCTCAGTCACAAGTCGACTCAAAATGACGTCTACAGTCTCACAGTCACAAGTCGACTCAAAATGACGTCTAGAGTCTCAGTCACGAGTCAACTTAAAATGATGTCTATAGTCTCATAGTCAGAAGTCGACTCAAAATGACATCTAGAGTCTCAGTCACAAGTCAACATAAATGTTGCTATAGTCTTATAGTCACAAGTCAACCTAAAATTATGTCTATAGTCTCATAGTCACAAGTCAAGCTAAAATGATGTCTAGAGTCTCATAGTAAAAGGTCAACTTAAAATCATGTCTCTACTACTGAAATAAAATTCAGTCTATAGCATGTTATCAACAGAGCTGTACCTCCAGTAGAATCTTCTGCTTTTGGGCCAGCTTCTCAAAAGCAAGACGAGCCAAAGACAAATCCAGACCAGAATGCCTTTCGGACATTTTATAATGTTTATCACTGTTAATGATACAAGTGAACAATATCAGAGATTAATACGCTGAAACAATCACGAACACAAATTCTGAAAAGAGTCACAAAATCCATTTATACCTTTTGTCAATGAAGCTGCCATTGATACACGATGCTGATGAGAACATTTTCTTGATTTCACTATTAAGACAGAGAAACTAACAAGCTGGATAATTGGTCTTATGCAAAGTGAAACATTTCCAGTCAAAATGACCATTACATACATCTTATTAATTTTTTAGCATCAGGAAAAAAGCATGATTAGTGATGCTTTCAATCAAAAACAAAGTACCCGCTCCTGATGTTGTTATATATTCCTAAACATGCAATTATCATCCATCACGCTTAACTGATGGTTATACACATGATTTGAAGAGACTTAAGTTCCTTTGACTTTCTCCTGCCTTATGCAGAGGTAAATATCTCCTTTAGCCAATTTAGATGCTCGTGAGAAATGTCAAAGGCAGCTAAGGTGTGTGTGGGTGTATAATAGTGTCTCTCTGATGGAGAACATAATGTCAGTGACTCTTGGGAACTGCATTTTTTTTGTTACCATCAGATAACAGAGTGCCATTTAGGTTAACACTGCCATTGCACTGAAATAAAGCAGGTTTGACTATCCGACACGAGGCCTCAAGGGAAAAACTTTACTGTGCTGTTGGTTAGTCTAGCATGGGCAAGTCAACCTTGCCCAGTATAGTTATGGGGTTCCTTACAGTAAAAGCTATGGACTTTTGGATGAAATATAAAAGCGAGTTCCTAACTCTCTGTGTTAGCAATATTCACCCAGATGTTCTAGCCTAAACGTCCCACTCTGACACTCTGTAGGAAATATGATCTCCTACTGATCCCCTTCTTCAAATTTTATTTTCCCTGACACAAAACTAATGACTGGAGTTGGTACTGACTCAGAATTGGCCTCTTCTGTAACGTTCACACTCATGATGGCCAACCTGAGTCCACATTCACAGTAAAAGAATTCTGTGTGGTCTAAAACAGTGTTTCTCAATGCTGGTACTGGAGGCCCACTGCCCTGTACTTCTTAGTGTTTTCCCTGCTCCCAACAGACCTGATCCAACCAATATCTCATTAACAGCCCAGTCAAGCTAAAGTGGCTGTGTTAAAGCAGGAAAAGCCTTAAAATGTGCGGGACAGTGAGCCTCCGGGACCAGAGTTGAGAAACACTGGTCTAGAAAAGTGTGCAAGTGCTATGATGCATTTACGTATACCTTTTCACTTTGTTCCACGCTTTTGCTTTCTCGCAGTCTAAAATCCATCTGTCAATAATTCCATCATCCAATACTGACATCTCTTTGCATGAACCTGCTGAGATCTCACCATCCTTAGATACACAGAACATTTACCACAGTTGAAAAAAAAAACAATCTATGTAGATCTATAAACTATAAGAGAAAAAAAGACATCACTGAGGACTCTTGCTCACCTGGAAACAGGCAACAGAAAGATTTCCTCCAGCCATAATTTTCTCCACTGTCTGATTAGGGCTGCATTCTGTTTAACAACATTACAATGTGGTTATATGGGTCATACTACTGAATCAGAATAAAGTCAGAGTTCAAAACATATTTCAGCCTTTTAACTGGCTGGTATGTCTACTTTATTAATGCAAATGATTGAAACATTAATTTCGTCACTAATAAAACAATCATAACACTAATGAAACTTTGCCAAATGTTTCAGTAGTGATTGTTTCAGTGGTGTCAATTTTAGCTTATTTTGAGCATAACTCGAAATCTCTAGTCAGTACATGACTAGCAAACACAGCTTTGAACAGATTTTGAATGCATAAAATCGTAATATTTTTAAAACTCTCAAAGCTAAGGATTCAGTTGAGGCAGGAGAGACCTTCCTAGCACTGGTATATGAAAAGTGCTGCAGCACTATATATGTAATATGTCTATAAGGGGGTGTACTGACGTAGCAGTGAGTCCAAATGTTTGGACATCCTACAATTACTATTTTATCTTTATCTCTTTGTTTTTAGTGAATTAGATGTAAAATAACCATGCAATAAAATCACCAGCAACATACTATATTTTAAAAAAATACTTGCAGAGGTTGTGTTACTTCTTTTTACTTCAAAAAGGAACAAAATATGCCATTTGGCCAGGGGTGACCAAGCTTTTGCATACAACTGTAAAATGATAAACACTTCTTCACTGCAGTAAATACACTCGCTTCATTTCTAAAGATAATTTATTACTGCACAAACCTGCTGGCAGGCATACAGGCAATGGCACACACTGATTGGTTTGCTGTCCATTTCCCAGCTGTCCTTGCTCTCCACATCCAAATGAGTAGATCGTTTTTGATGATCCAACCAGTGCCAGTGTGTGATGTCTTGAATTCAAAAGAACAATTACACATTTCAACTAGTTCTGTATGACAATGCTACCACCCTCTGTATCTGGATGATGCTCAACTTAAATATTTAACATCAGCATCTTTAATTTAATTTCCCAGAGTAGCAGAATAAGCAATAATAAGTATTCCAGGACATACTATCTTAAGGCGGCAGCACTTTGGTGCAGTTATTTACCGTCCACAGGCTATTTGGGACACTTTTGACCCCCAGAGTCCACCCAGCAGACGAGGTCGATGTTCATCTCTGAGTGAATTATGCCCGAGCTGCCCGTAACATCCCAACCCGAATGTGAACAACAGACCTCCCTAAAAATGTAAATATATAAGTAAAATATAATGTGGAAAAAATATGTTTGGCTTTGCTTACCTATAAAATAATGTTCTGTCACAGGTGACTTGATGAAGAGTTACATTGTTTAAGCCTTCAGAGGAACAAAGACTAAAAGCTAGGAAGTTCTGTACTTGTTCAGCATTGAAAATGTGTTGTTAGCTCTCCCCTGAACTGGTCAACCTACTCTAATGAGGGGGGGAATACAGTCCAATTACAGAGAGTAAAGAAAATAGTTTAGGTAATTGAGTCCAGAGTGAAGCTAAAGTGCTAAGCAGTAATAGGAAATTTAAAGATAGATGTGGGCAATATGGCAAAAATATAATATCACAATACTTCACATTTTCACAAAACATATGCATCACGATATTTTAACATTTTTTTATTTAATAAGCTGGAACAGACAAAATAGAACAAATAGTGCCACATATTAAAAAAAACAATAACAGCAATTGTAATAATGGTAATAATAATAAACCTACAACTACAATGATTTTTATTCAGTGTTTTACAAACTGCACTGCACTATATCCAATTAAACAGGCCTAATTATGCTCACTTTGTAATGAAACGTAGTAAGTCAGTACTCTTTAAGGGCTGACGATATCCACGTTATGCTCAGAAAAGAGTATTGTGACATAATTCATGATGCATGATAATGATACTAAATCATAATATTGCCAATCTCTACTCTACAGCATTCAGATTCAGCAGTCAGCCATTAGAGGAGAGATTAAAAACCCATGAAAAATTGTCAATTGTAATGTGAGATTAGACCTAAAAGAGAGAGTCTTATAGCCCATGTGTGAGAATTGGCAGCATTATGTGTATGAATAAGTAGATTCAATCCTGTAAGACCTGTGATGCAGGATTCAGTACATAAACAACACTCCAAAGCAATCGGACCCCAATAACTTGGTTGCAAATATCATAATTTATAACAACGCTACAATTGCTAAAATTGAAAGATTTTATTACACACTTCTATAACCTAAAAACAGCTCAGCCAGTTTTCACTGAAGTCCCTGTAGTAACTGAATAATATGCCTTAGTATGTAATAAGCCCGGGATTTTAAGGGGTTAAGCTGCCTGGCGGTTTTCATTGACTGCACTGGAAACATCTGAACCAACCTTTGTTAGAACAGCAGTATGGTCCTCTCCACACGAGATGAACACTGTCTTCTTCTGGTTCAAGCTCTTCACACAGACAGGAACATACCTATCTGTGAAAGACACAGTGAACTTAGTAATATGTGGATCCACATGGCTGCCAGATCAGGTAAAATCCAGGACTCAACACCGACTGTCAAGTGCACAGATTTTTGCCCGCCGTATCACTTTTTAGGCCTTTTTCTTCTAGATTCATGCAGGATCTAGGCTTATATATTTTTTTATATCTCTAGTAGGTACAGAAACAAGCACATTTAGTTGAGTGCAAATGTTTGGGCATCCCTCAACAGTGAACACACATTTTAATGCATTTTAATTACTGTTTATTTGCTGAATTTTACACAGTGGAAAAAAACAAAACATAAAATGTGGCCAATGCAAACCTTATTATTATTCTTATATTTAATGTTTTGTTTTTTTTGATATGTTAACTTAGCAAATAAACAGAAATTGTGCATTATAATGTCAGAAAAATGTAACCAGGAGGTGTTCAAACTTTCTTTCAACTGTATGTAATAACTGGAAATTATTGAAAGCATAAAGGAAATGATGCTTTAAAAAGTTTTAATACCAAGCCTCATTTGCAGTGTCTCAAATATTCTGAGACGTTTCGAAATCTGTTTTGATTACGCCTACCTGTATCATCAATACCTGCCGATGTGCTGATCTCTGCCTTCCTTGACTATGAATATTGTGCTATTGTTATATTTTGTAATATTATATTTTGCTGTTGAATTTTTACCTTCTCATAGATGTACCATCAGACATAGCCCCGTTGCATTTTTACACCCCTATAAATCACCACAGGAGTACCATAGTGAAGTCAATACCTTCCCTGTCCCCCAGGCCCAGCTGTCCGGCGCTGTTCCTGCCCCATCCGAACACAGATCCAGAGAGAGAAAGGGCGAAGCTGTGGCCTCCCCCGGCGCTGATCTGAGCCAGCGGGATCCCACCCAGAGACTTGAGGGGCTGAGGAGACAAAGAGCTAGGCTTATCTTTCCCCAAACCCAGCTGACCACTGGAGTTTTGACCCCACGTGAACAGTTGACCATCTAAGAGAAAATATGAAGTGCTGTTAATTACAAAACCAATTTCAAAAAAGTAGGGACAGCAGGGAAAATGCAAATGAAAACTAAAAGCAGTGATTTATAAATCCACTTTGAAAACTACCCAGATTTTTAATGCTTTATTTTATCAACTTCATTGTTTTTCGTAAATATATGTTCATTCTGAAATTGATGCCTGCAACACATCCCAAAAAAGTTCTGACAGATGTAATTTCAGACAAGAAGCATTGTGAAATGTTCATAAAACATGTTGGTGATGCAATCATGCCTGGATATAAAAGATGATATGTACACTACGGTGTATACTGTCATCAAAACATTCAGGGAATTCAGAGAAAAGGACAAGACTGAAAGCCACAACCGAATGCCTGTGGCCTTTGATTTCTCATACAGCACATTAAAAAACCATAAACATTACAAACTGGCATATGTCTGCGATGGATATCACACATGAGCTTCAGAATACTTTAACAAACCGTTGTCAATAATGACTGTCTGTTGCTGCACCCATATATGCAGGTTCTCCAGGCCAAAGAAGAAAAGGACCATCCAGATTGTTACCAGCATAAAGTTCAAAAGTCAGGGTCTGTCATGATATGAAAGAGGAATTAGTGGATAACTTGCACATCTGTCAAAGCACTATTTAATCTGAACACATTTTGGAGCAACATATACTACCTTTTAGATGTCATCTTTTTCAACAAGCCACATTCTGCAAGTTACAACAGCATGGCTGGGTAAAGAGAGAGTGCGGGTGCAGTCCAGAACTGTCGCCCATTTAAACACATGTCATTTTAAGCTCAAAATACATCAATGATGGCTTTTTGTCATTATTTGTGATTCTAAAGTGTTGTTAAAAGGATCAGTGATGTAACACAGTGGTAAACATGCTTTCTGATCCAACTTTTTCGGAATGTGCTGCAGGTATCAAGCATATCAGCATACAGTTACAAAAAACAATGAAGTTCATATAGAAAAAAATCACTGCAGTCTGTTTTATTAGCATTTCACATACTGCCCCAACGTTTTTGGAATTAAGTTTGTAATGCATGATGACAAGCAAATAAACAGCTACAATATCATAAGAACAAAAATGATCTGTTCAGTAGGACACATCAAAATGGCATGTTTATCAATATAAACTTCACTTTACCTCTAGTTAGCACAACTGAGTGATCATCTCCACATGCAACTTGTGCAATCTTTTTGTTAGTCAAGCTTTTGAAGGGCCTACACATGCAAAAAGAGGATATGCATCATGGTATAGCCAGAAAAAAGAGATCTCACAGTCTAGTATGTACCACGGTACTTGGTAGTTAGACTTACCTGGTTATGGTGGACTGCTCACTCCACTCCCACACCATCCCTGCCTGTGTCACAAGCACCACATGGTGCTTTCCACTACTGAGAGAGTGAATTTGCTCTTTCAATGTTATATTAAATCCTGGAAAAAACAGGAAACTATTTGTATTGTTGATGTACCTTTTGCTCATTATACTACTTATGCTACTGACCTTAACAATTATTAACAGTTATCTTGTTAACAGAAAGTAGCTGCATAAATAACAAAACAGACAAAAGTATTGGGACACCCCTCCTAATTACTGAATTCAGGTGTTTTAGCCACACCAGGTGTGCTAACAGGTGGATTAAGCACATAGCCTTCCAGGCTCGATAGATAAACACTGGCTGTAAAATGGGTCATACTGATGAGCTCAGTGACTTTAACATGCCACTGTCATAGGATGCCACCTTCGCCACAAGTCAGTTTGTGAAATTTCTGTGCTGCTAGATCTGCCCCGGCAACTGTATGTGCTATTATTGCAGATGGAAGCATCTAGGAGCAACAACAGCTCAACCACAAAGCGGGAGATCACACAAACTCACAGAGTGGGGCCGCCGAATGCAGAAGCATACAGTGCCTATCCTCTGCTGAATCAGTCACTAAAGAGTTCCAAATTGCCTCTGGAAGCAACATCAGCAAAAGAACTGCACATTAGGAGCTTCACGAAATGAGTTTCCATGGCCGAGAAGCTGCACACAAGCCTAAGATGCACAATGCCAAGGCAAATTTTGGGTTTGGGCGAATGCCAGGAGAACATTACCCAACTGCATTGTGCCAACTGTAAAGTTTGGTGGAGGAGGGATAATGCTACGGGGTTGTTTTTCAGGGGTTGGCCTAGACTCCTTAGTTTGAGTGAGGGGAATCTTAATGCTTCAGCAGACCAAGACATTTTAGACAATTTGTATGCTTCCAACTATGTGGGAACAGTTTGGGGAAGACTCTTTTCGGTCTCAGCATGATTGAGCCCCAGTGCACAAAGCAAGGTCCATAAAGGCCTGGCTGGGTGAGTTTAGTGTGAAAGAACTTGACTGGCCCACAGAGATCCCTGACCTCAACCCCATCGAACAAAACATTTATTCATATAGTGTGTGTGTGTGTGTGTGTGTGTATGTGTGTGTGCATATATATGTATATATTTTTCAGTACTTTTTATGCATGTTTTAGAAAATTAGAAAATCAACAAAACGTGTAATCTGACCTTTGACCAAGGATATTAAAATGTATATATATGGACCACCAGTCCTCGCGGTCCAAACTCTTAGTCCCCACCAGATAACGTCTGGTGAGAAGAACCTCCACTTAGTAATGTCTTCCATGTTTTACAGACACTAGAGGGCGCTCCTGATCGAGTCCAAAATGAATGGTGGCCTAAGGAGCTTTTGTGAAAAATTACATTTGTGAATGATTAATTCTATTTATACAGACTAATGCAGTCATTTTCTCCATGCAGAACAACATGAAATATTTCAACACTGCTGTTATACTTTTTATACTTTTTTCAACTAAAACTCAACAAGACTGCCTGTTTAGAAATGTAGAGGGACATCTGAAGTGTTTAATGCATCTGACAGCTCCCTCACAGAAAGTTATTGCTTACAATATTTACAGTTATGCTGCCTGATATCTGAGACATTGTTTTATGATAGTTTTGAGATATAATTTTAGCCTTTTAAACTCTTCTCATGGTGGAGAGGCACTAGGGCATTCTAATTCATAGTACCCAAAGGAAATGTATTATGTAGGGGTGAGCAATATGGTGATGTTTTATCATTATTGTGCTAAATTATTTGATAATACGCATTTCTAAGCATACTGTGGATATCATCTGTACTTACAGAACTATTCATTATTATAAAGTCAGCATAATTAGGCCTCTTTAACTGGATTTAGTGCAGTGCAGTTTGTAAATCTGAATTAAAATCATTGTAGCAGGTTTATTATTTTTATAATAGTAATCTCAGAAAAATAAAATATCGTATTGCATATTGTGTATCATAACAATGTCTAGAAGTATTGTGATATAATATGTTTGCCATATCCCACCCCTGGTATTATGTATGTATTGTGAACATGCTGCCTGCAGCCTGAAATATTGTTTTATCGTACAGTTTTGAGATAAAGTTTTGGCCTAAAGCACACTTATCTTTAACCTCATGAAGGGTGGAAAGATACATGTGGGGCACTGTAAAGCAAAATAGTCCCCAAAGACATTATGTTTTTCACTATTTTACCATTATCAGCATTACACATAAAAACACGTATAGGCTAACTGATGATTTTGGATGGACAAATAAAATGGCTATATGTGTGTTATAGACCTTGACTCCTGGTATCACCACCACTGTACAGGAAACACTGTTTCTCTACAATGTTTTTCTGTTTCACTACACCGAAATGGCCATTCAAGTCATTCAAATCACTATAAACAACTTTGTTTACATCTCAAGCACTGAAAAATGCAAAAAAAATGCAAACATCTGTGAACAAATTTGGCCTATGCGATGCATTATTATGCAGGAAAAAGAATAATAGTAAAACGACAGAACTCTAACCAAAATAATGGAACACCAGCACTTCGTCAGTGCTTGGACCCCTAAAAAGAATAATAATAATAAAAATAAGTGGTCCTCGATTCACACTCACGCTTGTACGGACTCGGCGCTTTTCCTCCTCTACTCGTCTGTGTTTTGTTCTGTCCTTCTTCACTCTGTCCATTCAGTAAAACCACAGTCACCTTTCCGTCTGCAGTGAGAAACGCCAGCAGGCTGCGCTTGACAGACAGCTCGGAGAGTCTCTGAGAGCCGAGGATGTGTTTAAAACCATCCCCACAGCTCAAACCAACACCAGCACAGTCCAGCGAGGTCAGTTCACCCCAATAAAACATGTGTGAAGTAAAGAAAAGCTCCAGAAGCGTCGCGAACTAAACTCGTCAACTAAACTCGTCAGCTAAACTAAACTCGTCAACTAAACTCGTCAGCTAAACTCGCTGTCGTAAACTAACGGCTGCTCTGAGCGCAGCGGCAGTGAGAGCTGAGCTGACCGCGCAGCTGGAAAACGAAACTCTGCCCTAAACAGAGCGAAACAAAAGCGAAACACACACTCAGGTCCAGGAAACACACAGTTTCGTCTTTTTTTAAATGAAATGATGACGTATCGAAAGGCTTTCGTCATTTTATTTGATTAACACGCTCATTAACCTCAACTGCGTGTATAGCTCAGGGATTCTGGCAGTATAAAGGAGAACTCCACCGCCTTTTCAAAAATTCTGCATAATTAAACGGGTGAGATGTAAAGTGCTTCAGAGTGGTTTGATTTGAAATCCTCTGTTCTAGAGAAACTTGCCGAGTCAGAATTGTTTACGGTGGTGGTGGTGATGGGAACCAGACGTCTGAAGAGGTTAATGCCTCTAAAAGCTCCCACACAGAAAGTTATTATATGAAATGGTTAGATGTACACTGCCTGGTGTCTGACACACTGTTTTATGATAGGTTTGTGATAAAGTTTTGGCTTAAAACGTATTTTAATCCATTTATTTTCATATAACCATGACAGAGGGATACATGCAGGCTGTTGTAAGGCAAAAATGCCCTCAAAGAAAACTTATTTTTCTCAGATTTATGACTATTTTACCATTTTCAACATTATAAAAACTCAGACGACATGTGCAGGTTCACCGATGGTTTTGGATAGTAAATAAAATGGCTATATTTGTGTTGTAGTCTTTGGGACTCCTGGTTCCCATCACCAGCACTGTAAAGAAATCAGAGTCTGTAAGTTTCTCCACAATGAATCATTTCACATCAAACCACTCTAAATGAATCTGTTTACATCACAACAACTGAATTATTCAGGAATGTTGAAAAATTGGTGGAATTCACCTTTAAGTAAACTTTTTAAAATGTACTTTTTTTCTTTAGTGCTTTAGATAGATAGATAGATCGATAAATCGATAGATAGATAGATAGATAGATAGATAGATAGATAGATATGATAGATAGATAGATAGATAGGCACTTTATTGATCTTGAAAGAAAATTTCAGACTCTACATGAGCTCTGTTCACCATACAGAAAAATAATTATTTAGAAAACATTAAATGTTATTACAATAACATCGTAATAATGGCATTACTGGAAGTCTTTCATGAATATATTTCATAGGGAAGTTCAATGTCAGTGAGGTGGGACAGCCCAAAATCACCATTTTAAAGGTGTAGATCAGGAAGAACTAAGAGTCAGTCTAACGCTGATGACTGAGAATGTCAGACATAGTGAGGCTGGAGTTACTGTTACAGAAAACAGCAGCTGGTTAATAAAGCACTATGACTATGCTACAATATTGAGGCCACCATTCACTATATTGAGGCCACAAATTAATATTATGAGGCCATGAGTTACTACATTGAGGCCACAAATTACAGCCTACAACTTATTACATTGACGCCACTAATTCATATTTTAAGGCCACAAATTAATGTTGAGGCGACAAATAACTATAATAAACTAATATATTGAGGACACAAATTAATATATTGAGGCGACAAAATATTTAAGGCCACAAACGACTATACTGAGGCCATGAATTAATATATTGAGGCCACAAATTAATATTTTGAGGCCATGAGTTACTACATTGAGGCCACAAATTAATATAGTGAGGCCACAAATTACTATACTGAGACCACAGCTTATTTCATTGGGGCCATTAATTAATATTTTAAGGTCACAAATTAATGTTGAGGCCACAAATAATTATACTATGGTCACAAATATATATTTTGAGGACACAAATTAGTATATTGAGGCCACAAAATAATTAAGACCACAAAAGACCATACTGAGGCCATCAATGAATATATATTGAGGCCACAAATTAATATATTGAGGCCACAAATTAATATTTTGAGGCCTCAAAATAATAAATTGATGCCACAAATTCCTATATTGAGGCCACAAATTACCATATTAAGGCCACAAATTAATATACTGAGACCACAAATTACTAGAACTGAGGAAAAAATAATCACCATGTCACCTTAGCAGCTCCATAGGAACACCATCTGTTTATTAGTTGCACAGGTTATTTTGAGAAAAATCTTCCTCTCAAACTTGCTCTCTAGGAAGATGCTTTTGCAAAGCATCATGGGTGTTATAGTTTTACAATGCCTGCTCAAAGGTAATTGTTTTTTACCAATTAGCTTTCGGTACATGTTGAAAAACCACTACGTCAGTATCACTGCAAGATTCAAATTGGCCCATCATCCCACAAAGAACCAGCCTTGAGTGGTTCAGTGGTCAGGATATGACCATTGCTGAACCCCTTGATGTGGGCTAACCCAAACAGTGTAACAACAGGCTACAGTGTCTAACTGTAACCAGAAATGTAAATCTATAATGTAGGGGTTTCTAGTAAAGTGACTTGTGATTGTATATTACACAACATCAGGCTGTTTCTAGAGGCACAGTGAACAGAACCACATAAAAACATTTTGATCAAACCACTCTAAATGACTTTGATTACATTAATTATGCAGAAAATTTGAAAAATCATTGGAATTCCCCTTTAAGGGCCAAAATACACTGACTGGACAAACATGAAGAAATATGAACATTATAATGTTGGTTGTAGTTAGAATGTCCATAAAAAGAGCTGACAAACCATATTAATTTAAGAGAATGGGAAGAGAGCATAGTGTGTGTTTGCTTGTTTGCCCAGCTGCCATACTCTGGCTTTAAGAAAACAATTTAAAGCTCTAATTCTGTGATTGTTTTAAACAATAGAACATACATAAAATTATGTCATGATTCATAAGAGTTCCTAAATGCTTTTATGGTTACATACAAATCAAAAGTTATAACCAAAGTTATTTAATGTATTTCATTAGCCACATTTCTCTGATTACAGATTAGATTGTCAGAGAAAGATACTATGTAATTAGGCTATATAATCATAAAATTCAAAGCTGAGGTGTAAACAAAGCTAATATTCACATATAGAGAGCAAGGACAAATGATATGTCATACAGCATTTGTTAAGACACTTGATAAGTCCATTTATTCCTCCCAGAAGCCCCTCTTGTGGTGTAGGGCCTTTATGAGTTTAGCTCTTAGTGTTTCCTTGGTTTGGTACATGGGCAGCTGCAGGAGGGAATGGCAGGTAAGAGCCTCAGGCAGGTGGTCTTCGGTGGACATATACAGGGGGCAAACCCTCATCCTCACTTGGTCCATACCCAGAAAAGGCACTCGATCGAAGCCAGTCAAGAACACTGTAAAACAAAAAGAATGCAGTGCTTTTATAAGTATGGATGTTGTAGTGCTCACATGGATGGATACATGTAACAGATTACTGACTTTATTCATGCTATATTTGAAAATCTCGGTTTGTCTTCCACCATTGAATGGAAAGTTGGTTATTGGTCAGTTTCTGACCACAAGACCACTGTTGATTAGATATTGCTGGAGTTTTTTCACACGTCAGTATCATTGCTAGGTTGAGAGTGGGCCTCCACCCAAAAATATGCAACAAAGAGTGGCTCTATGGTCAGAAACTGACCACGAACTCAAATTTCTGTTTGTAGAATGAGAGAAATGACTCACAGAGGAAGGCTTTCTTGTCCTTGTCTGACAGTTCATCAAACACTTCCCAGAAAGAAATAATAGTTGGGTGTCTTGAATGGAACTCTCCTTTATAATGTGTGTTCTGTTTGACATAAAGAAACATAGATATACGTTTGTATATTTTCTCTGTTATGGTTAAAGAATAGCAATGTGTGGTTCATATATCAAAGAGCTGGTCCACCAGAACAAGTCAGAATCCATCACCTCCCAGATTGGATCTATTTTGGAGAATCCCATACCTTAATCACTTATTAACCAATTTCTGCCCAACTTTTTTAATTTTTAAATTTTCTTTATGACAGCAGTTCTTAGAGCTTAACTGGGCACAAATCTGATATTAAAATGCAAATTGGTTAAATTGTTTGACTACAGCATCCAATTTTCATTTTCTTGTTGTGCTTTTAGTCCTTGGGCAGAAATGGGTTAAATGTATGCATCAGTAAATATACAGTACTGCGCAAAGGTGGGTCCAAAACAACCACTCATTACAATTTATTCATTTTTCAGCATCAGGAAAAGAGCAGAAAACATATATTTAACAAAAAATTACACAGACATCATCAATCACAACAACTACATAATATGAAATAAATACAATTATTTATGTATATTACAACACCAATTCCAAAAAAGTTGGGACGCTGTGTAAAATGTAAATAAATGTAAATAAAAACAGAAAGCAATGATTTACAAATCTCATAGACCCATATTTCATTCATAATAGAACATAGAAAACATATCAGATGTTGAAAGTGAGACATTTTACCAGTTCATGAAAAACACATTTAACTCATTAAGAACTTGTTGGCAGCAACGCATCTCAAAAAAGTTGGGACAGGGGCAACAAAAGGCAGGAAAAGTGGTACTAATAAAAAACAGCTGGAGGAGCAGTTTGCAACTAACTCACATGACAATTTCAGGAAAATGTTCTTCTATGTAAAATTGCAAAGACTTTGTATATCTCACCATCTACAGTATATAATATAATCAAAAGATTCAGAGAATCTGGAGAAATCCCTCTATGCAAGGCACAAGGATGACGGTCAATATTAGATGCTCATGATCTCTGGGCCTTCAGACGGCATTGCATTGAAAACGGGTGTGATTCTGTACTGGAAATCACTGCATGGGCTCAGGAACACTTCCAGAAATCATTGTCTGTGAACACAGCTCGCTGCACAATCCACAAATGCAAGTTAAACCTGTATCATGCAAAGAAGAAGCCATATGTCAACCCGATCCAGGAACGCCGCCATGTTCTCTGAGCCAAAGCTCATTTAAAATGGACTGAGACAAAATGGAAAACTGTTCTGTGGTCAAATGAATCAAAATTTGAAGTTTTTTTTTTTAAATCACGGATGCCGAGTCCTGCTGACTCAAGAGAAGAGGGACCATCTGGCTTGTTATCCGCACACAGTTCAAAAGCCTGCATCTTTGATAGTATGGGGTTACATAAGTGTCTATGGCGTGGGCAGCTTACATATCTGGAAAGGCACTATCAATGCTGAACAGTATATAGAGGTTTTAGAACAACATATGCTCCCATTCAGTGTCTCTTTCAGGGAAGGCCTTGCATATTTCAGCAAGACAATAAACCACATACTGCATCCATCACAACAGCATGGCTTCACAGAAGAAGAGTCCGGTGCTGAACTGGCCTGCCTGCTGTCCAGACCTTTCACCAATAGAAAGCATTTGGCGCACCATGAAAGGAAAAATCCGACAAAGAAGACCCAGGACTGTTGAACAGCTAGAATCCTACATCTGACAAGAATGGGACATTTCTCTCCCAAAACTCCAGCAATTGGTCTCCTCATTTCCCAGACGTTCACAGACTGATGTTAAAAGAAGAGGGGATGCTACACAATTGTAGACACGGCCCTGTCCCAGCTTTTTTGAGATGCGTTGCTGCCATCAAGTTCTAAATGAGTTAATGTTTTTCATGAAATGGTAAAATGTCACACTTTCAACATCTGATATGTTTTCTATGTTCTACTGTGAATAAAATATGGGTCTATGAAATTTACAAAACACTGCATTCTGTTTTTATTTACATTTATTTACACTTTACACAGTGTCCCAACTTTTTTGGAATTGGGGTTGTACAAATCAGTATTCAGTGTGTCTGAAAGTGACTTTGCCTTTATTACGTCTTCCATTTTTTTTTGGGTGAATCACTTTTTTAGGTACCGTCACTACTCAGTATTGCAGAACCTCAACATTTAGAAACACAGCACTGGATCAAACTCTTCAAAGTCTTCTCATTGCTGTAATGTGGAGGTACTTTGGAGGAGACCCCACCTTTTTGAGTGTACTCCAGTCATATTCTTCTGTGCCCACCATCACTCCTCTCAGCTCCTCGGGCTGGAAGAACTCCACCATGTCTCGGTCACACACTTTGTAGAAGCCCCTCCTGAACTCCTCAAACACTCGCTCCACTGACTTGTTCATGGCGTAATCCACATAGGTGTCCACAAACTCCTTTCTGAAACACAGATAACAGCCAACAATGATAAAGAAATACTTCAGCTTCTGTCTGTTGCATCAGTAATGCATGGGCAAATAACCGCAGACAATATTTTTTATGCTTTTCCCTTTTGGAAATGGAAACTCAAAACACACTTATAACAGAAGCCAGTGAGTTGCTGCTAAAGGCAGTAAAAATGAAAGCGTAAGTAGTACTTTTTAAAAATAATTACTTTTTTAAACCGAAAATTGTACGCGTTTTCAAAACAATTAACAAACTTGTTTGAGCTTGTGACGACTTTCCCAGGCTCATTTGGATCCAGTTCGACCTCCTTGTCCTCCCAAATGATCTAAATATGTTAAAAGGAAAATATTAGCATAAAAACTAAATATTGTAGGAAACTTTTCGCAGCTATTTCAAACCTTTCGTACACACTACGAAAGACTCACTGTGAAACTCATGTCCATGCAATCAACATCTTCATCCCTGTAGTCCAGGATGTACTGCAAGCTCCTAATTACAGAACATAAAATAAGTATTGAACACACAGTTCTGCTTGCAAGGCACATACAACAGAAAACATCAATACTGAGAGAACACAAGGAGGACAAAGAAACGGCTGAGAGAATGATAATGAGGGTCTACATTACTTTGGTATCAAAGTTCTTACCTTCCAAGAACAGGACTAAACTCAGTCAGATCCTCCAGGGAAGGCTGGACATCAGCAAGCTTCTTGAACAGGGCTAAAGGAAAGGGCAGGTTCACTACACTGTTGTTGTTAAAGGCCAGACCACACAGGCATCCAAACAGAAAGTAGCGCTCCTCCTGTAAACTGGGCTGTAAGGAACAGAGATCAAAGCACAGACCAGAGATCTCAATATCAAGTCATAATACTCTTTGCCACCTTCATAATACAGTGGGCAAAATTTAACCAGGTACACAAACTATAATAAGCAGTACAAGTGGAACATAATGTTAGTGCCATTGCTGTGCTGAGGATGACCCACCACCCAAATAATATCTAATCAACAGCAATCCAGTGGTCAGAAAGTGGTCAATGATGAATGGAGTAGATGGTTGCTGATAAAGCAACAGATGGGCTACAGTCTGTAGCTGTCCATTTATTTAAAGGCGGATGGAGCTCATAAAGTGGCCAGTGAGTGGACCTACAAGGCAGGTGTTTCTAATAAAGTGGATGCTGAGATGCTGAGTTTGTTAATCATTCAAAATCATGTCTTTGTCTTACCTCAGCAGGAAACCAGATCAGTGTTTTTGTGTCGTTGTACATGAACATTTTGGATTCTGGTTCCAACAAAGTGCGAAATGCATTGAGAAAGAAGTCTCTCTTATTAACGTCTGTCTTTTCATACTTCTCAGAGTACACCACCTGTTTATTGACCACAAAAACACATTGCATTGTATATTACTTCAAGTGAAATACGTCCCTGAGAACTTTAACTTCAGGTTTGAGAATAAACTTGGATCAACAAATCTGGCTGCAATGTCTGACTAATCTATTTGTTTAAACTATTAACCTATTAACCTGTAAGTAATTGAACTACAGCCAGGGCTATAAATATTCGGATATTGTTATTTTAGCTGTCTACCACAGCACAGAGTTGACATCAAAAGTAATTGGACATTTGGCTGCTCAGCTGTTCCCTGACTGGGTGTGTGTTATTCCCTCCTTATGTCACATAAGTAGATAAAAGGTCTAGTGTGGCTCAGAAGATCTCTTTCCCTAGTGAAGAACAAACCCCTTTACAACAGTTGGTCAGATCAAGAACACTGTCCAGGAGGTCAGCCTACCTGTGTCAAAGGTAACAGTCAAGAAAATACTTTACCAGACTAAATACAGAAGGTTTTTCACAAGATGTAAACCATTGGTAAGCCTCAAAAACGGCAAGACCAGATTAGAGTTTGACATAAAAAAGCCTCTATAGTTCTAGCACAACATCTTTAAGGCAAACAAGTGGGATGTTCTTTAATAGGGAAGTCAATCAACTGACCTCAATCTAATCAAGCATGCATTTCACTTACTGAAGGCAAAACTGAAACACCCTAAGAAATAGCAGGGACTGAAGACAACTGCAGTAAACTCCTGACAGAGCGTCACTTGGGAAGAAACCCAGCACCTGGTGATGTCTATGAGTTCCAGACTTCAGGTAGTCATTGACTGCAAAGGACTTGCAATCGAGCATTAAAAATGACAGATCCAGCTGAAAATCTGTGTTTTGGGCTCACATGCAATATTTATTGGGTATCAACTCCTATATGCTGTGGTAGACTAGTAAAATAACAATAAATTTGTCCTATACCTCTGGATCAGACTGTAAAGACAGTTGAACAGAACTGGTTTTAAATGGCCGTCAACGAGTGGAAAAGTACTTCTAAGTGACGTGAACATACACAGTACATGAAATGTTTGCATCCAGTTTGATGTATTTGGATGAGCTGGCCGTACCTGGAGCCAACCTTTCAGAGCGCTCTCATCAGCAGCTCTCAATTGACTGAAACAGTCCTCCAGGAGCGCAGTGCGTCTCAACTCCAGCCTGAAGACCTCCTACAGTTACGGCATTGGTATACCAAAGGAGAACATTAGTAAGGTAATGCAGGGTCATCTGAGATAAGACAGTAAATTCACAGAGAACGAAACATACCCTAACTTTTCTCAGTTTTAGACGGCTGCATTTGGCCTCCAGGTTAAAGATGCAAGGACTGGAGTTCAGAATTTGCAGGATGTGCTGCAAATTAAGGTTACAGTGCTCAAAATTGTGATCTAACATATTCAAATTCAGGTTGCTCTTAAATGCATAGAACACCCACCTCTAGATGCCTTTTTTCTTTTAACACTAAAAACCAATCACTCATATAAAGCAAGTCCTGAGTAAGAGCTTCCAACTGTGGTTAAAGAAAAACATACAACCATTAGACGTTTCCAGAATTACGACCCATGATGTTCACAATAGTGGACAGACTTACTAACTTCATGCCATAACTGAATGAACAAGCACAAATACAGTACCAGCAAAACCATTACAAAATATAAATGCAACATTCTCACCAACTCAAGCAGATCATTGACCTCATAGATAATGAAGTCCCTGGATGCCATTTCTCTTTGGCTTTTACAGAACGCCTGTAGAGTAAAAATGAGTCAAACAAGTCAAATAAAGTAAAATGATATATTAACCTTTTGCAATTTAAAGATCATGAATTCATCTCGTAAGAACACCGGACAAACAATTAGTCACCTGTGACTGAAGTGCACCTAATAGCGTGTAATACCTCAATGAGCACGAATAACAATTTGGTTTCTGGGTGTAGGTGACATCCATGTTCAGCCACTCTTGCATCAAAGAATTGCACAGTTCGGCCAGATTTCGTGGATGCCTTCCTTGGCATCTTACTCGTTGTTCCAGGCAGTCCCTACAGATTTTCAAGAGGATTCAAATCTGGGGATTTCGCGGGCCACTTCAGATGTGTGAATGCTCATGAATGTTCATCATGCCAATCAGTCACATTTGCAGCCCTGTGAAGAATTCTTGGAATACAGGGGTAGGAAGGTAATGTTCCTCGGTAAGATAAAAAGGCAAAACCTGGTTGTCCAGTAGCTCAATATAGGCAGTATGATTCAGATTTACTGTCAACCAAAAGACCCATTTTCGTGTAATTAAAACACCCCCAGAACATCACAGAGCCTCCATCACGCAGTCCTCATTGCAGGCTTCCTGAGCTCAATGATGAACATGAAGCCTAGCATTATTCACAAACAGAAAGAAACGAGATTCATCTAACCAGATAATACGTTTCCAGTCATGAACAGTCCAATTTTTGTGTCTCCTTGCCCACTGTAACCGGGCAACTTCATGAGCAGAAGTGAACAAAGGCCTCTTGCGTGCCACTCTGCTCCATATGTTGATGGCATGCAGTTCCCTGCAGAGAGTTCTTTCAGAAATTGGTTGTGAAGGACTTGCCTGGAAGTGAAGCGATTTTTATTCACAAGCCATGAAACACGCCGGCGGTCCCTGTCCAATTCTGATCAGAATTTTCTGTAGACTGGGATTTTTGCCACTGCTGGTAGACCCGTATGACCGTGCGTTTTGATAGCCTTTGGCACACCCAAATGCAATCATTCCTTTTTGCCAATCATTAACATCTGCTTTGCGACCCATTTTCCACACATCGAACAAGACATTTACTGCACTGTATCACCTTTTCTCAATCTATGAATCCCATCACTCACCCCCGTAAGTATTTATAGCCCGATCATCCTCGTGAATCACCATCTGCAGGTGCCTGACTAGTTTTTTGTCCGGGGAGCACAGTGCATAATGTCTAATCTTCTTATCTGCTGCTTTTGTTGTGTTAAATGTAGAACAGAGTCTAAAATTAACTACTGTTTTGTTCCTCATTTAACACACCCATGGTGAGAAGGAATGACAATGGAGTTTGACATTAATGTCGACTATGATTCACCTTATAGAGCATCTGCAGGACTCGCACACATTTCTTCAGAAACCTGAAATACATTTTTTGTCGTTGGTCAAACGCCATCTTCGATATGAAGTATACAGAGGGTTTGTGGAACAGCTCCACCAAGGGTTTAAAGAAGTCATCAGGGAGCTCAGACCAGTAGTTCTCTGAAAACATACCAAAATGTGAAACCACACAGTGTATCTCCTTCTTCACTCACCACAGAAGTTTGAAGGATATAACATCCTAATAGCACTTACCCAAAACCTGGAGCATGCAAGGTTGCAGCTTTAAGATGGCAGAGGCCAATTCAGCAGTTAGTTTTGTTTCATGCAGATCTTTGTTCAGCACTCTGAGGAGCTCGGGCAGGATGAGGTAAACTCTCAGAGCTTCAGCACCAAGAGCAGTGCAGCCCAAAGAGGGGAGCAGATCCTTCTCCACAATCTTCTCTATCTGAAGAAAAGCACCACAAAATATCAATCCTGTTTTACAGTAATCATGAAATGAAAGTTCTTTGCCTGTTTTGGAGGTCCCTTAGATTATTTTTCTCCAAAATTGTTGATAACAATAATAATGTTCCAGTAATATTGCACTGGATTCACAAAAACTGGATTTTCATCTTTGCAAGTGAAAAATTATTATTATTAATTTTTAACATGGACGAATGCTATTTGTTATTGTTGTCACGCATCCCTCCAGCCATGACTCTCAGAACTCCAACTCCCAGAACCCTCTGGATGAACATGTGACGTCAAGGTCACCTGGGTCCACCTACCAAAGATCAGCTTCCCCTGACTATTGATGTGTTTCGCCTGTTTATTCTATCATGTCACTAGATCCAGTTAGTTAATAAGCCCGGACTGTAGGCTAGGCTAGTTTTGAGGTATTGCCACTTTCGTAGAGCTACTGAGTGTTCTTGTCTTTGTTCTGATCTACTTTTGTGCATCTGACTCATTGTTTGTATTTTAGACTGTTCTTTTTGCCTGTGACCCTTTTTGGACTTTGGTTGCCTGGATTTATTTTTGTTATGCTTGTATATTGTTCGCTCATTTTGGTTTTGACCTTCGCCTGTTTTTTGACCTCAATTGTGGATTTTGGACAAACTACTAAAGCCTCTTTTTCACGTTTTAACTGCACCTGTCTGACTCGTTACAATTGTGGCGGTTGTACACTGTTTTTTGAAATCAGTATGTTTGTATCTCAATGCAGCCATCTTGTCTGAGTTGTTCTCACCCTCTTAAGGGGTTCCCACTCCTGCTCTTTCCTCCTCATCGCTCGCTAGCAGCTCAACACCATGCATTTCACACGCAGAGAGACAATAATCTGGACATGGAAAATTATTGTATTTGATTATGTTACTTAACAATTTCTAGGTGCAATCCATTCTGCCAGTGGACTGACCACTAGGTAACCACTGGGACTGCTGAAAGAGACTATAGTAATTGCTGCCACTTTTCTACCTATATCAAACATTAAAGACATTAAAGCCTGATCAATAATGAAACATGTATATCATACTTTCTGTTTGTAAACTAAGGGCTGATATTGATATTCTTTGTTGCCATTTTAGCATTTTTTCAACTATACCTTTGATCATGTATATTATGATGTACTTTGCCACACTCTTAAACCAGAGTTCTTAAAAACTTTTTCAGACAGGTACTGAGGACAGGGACTGGGCACTGGCCCCACTTGCCTGGTCAGTAATCAATCCCTGCAAGAAGGTTGAGTTCTTGATGTAAACATTTACACAGCACTTACACTTAGCTGTTAGCTTTGAAGAACAATGCCAGTACAGTAACATGGAACAAGAGCAAGTTGAAAAGTCCTGAATTGCTTCTTAATTTCTTTAAGTGTTTTTGTGTGTAACATCCTGTGTTGTCCTTCTTTGTTTTTCCTTGTTTCTGTCTGTGTGTGCCTTTATCTTCCCTCATGTGTCGTGGTCCATATACTTCTGATTACATCTGCTTTTGTTGTTTAGGTCTGTCTCCTCCGCAGTCATCTGTCCCACCCATGTGTAGTCTGTAGCCCTGCCCTCTTGTTAGTCCCAGGTGTTTCTCATGTGTTCTTAGTCTGTTTATTGCCCTTGGTTTGTTCTTTACTTCGCATTGTTTGTAGTGTGTTTTACTGATTCATAGTTTGAGTAGTATGTATTTTGTTCTCTGTCCTTTGCTTTTGGTGGTTCTTTTCATTTCTTTAGTGCTTTCCTTGTTTTGCTTTTCTTTTGTTTCTGGTTCTTTCTTTGCTACTTTCTCCATGGACAACAATAAACCTGTTAGCTTGCACTTGCATCCTGCCTTCTCATCTCCTTTGGCTTCCAACACATTACATTGTGAGTCTTGAGTGTTTTGGGGCTGCTTTACCTCCAACAACACCTTTTCCTTCTGAGCTAACCGCTCAAAAGCAGTTCTCACTGATTCCATATCCAAACCAGAGAAGCTTGTAGAAGTTTGATAATGTCCATCACAACTACGTAGAAACAGAGATGCACACACATGAAATAACTGCACACTTTCAGTAGCATTTAACCAGTTTTTGGATTTAAGGTTTTAACCGTGTTGTATTAATTATGGCTGAAGTACCTTTTCTTAATGAAGCTCCCATTCAGACATTCAGCAGATGAGAACACTGTTTTAATTTCTCTAAATGTTAAAAATAAAAAACAAATCAATACACTGTCATAAATCACAATAAGCGAATCTGTCAAGTAACACATCAGTTCAGTTCTGCTCATAATGTCGGCTAATGTTCACTTGATATTTGCTATGTAATTGTTTTTTGGGTCAGTATGGTCAGGAAATATGTATGTAATGGAGATATGTTTTTTATCATTTAATTAATAATGTGAATGTCTTCAAATCAATTTCACGTAAACACTCACTTCTTGATCATCCTCCACTGATTTGAGTCACACTCAGATATCCATCTGTCAATCATTTGGTCCCCTAACATTAAAATCCCTCTCCCTCGGTTCGATTCCGGGTGCACTGAGCTATTATCAGCTTCCTAGGGACAGAATTCCAAACAGACCCTCCAGTCAATATGCAAGCTTTCATTTGTTAATAGTTTGAGCAATAATACCACATCTTACCTGCTGAGAGCACAAGACGAAGGAAAGGTTCCCACCAGCAACGATCTGCTCAACTGATTTGTCATGATTCGTCTCTGCACATTAAACATGGCATCATTTGTTAATTCTGAGCTTGCAAGGTATAAACTGTTAACTGTATACACTGTATACTGTAAATTCTAACTAGCACTGCCGTGATGCTGATGTAGGAGCTTCATGTTAGCATGTGTTGTGTTGGTATGTTGGATCAGACACAGCAGTACTGCTGTAGTTGTTAAACACTGTGTCCACTCACTGTCCATTCGATTAGACACACCGACCTTGCTGGTCCACCTTGTAGATGTAAAGTTAGAGATGATATCTCATCTTTATCTTTACAGAGTGTCCTACTAAGAGGTTGGTAATTACCTGGTGGCAGGTGTACAGGAAGTGGCACACACTGATTGGTTCGCTGTCCATTTCCCAGCTGTCCCTGTTCTCCACATCCAAATGAATAGATTGTTTTTGATGATTCAACCAGCGCCAGAGTGTGATGTCTTAAATTCATGGGCAGATAATAAGTGAACTCTCAAGCTTCACAGTACACTCTGTAAGTAACTGGACAGTGACTTTGAGATTCAATGGCAAAATATCAGCTTTTGTTTAATCGTATATGAATGAGGCAGACAAGAATCACAATCTCATTTCAGGGTAGCAAAGTTACCTCGAAAAGTGAATATAACCTTATAACTAAATATAACTAAATAGGAGTACTGATTTTCCAAACTCATGAAGGCCTACTTTACTCTTTGCTGCTCCTGATCTTAAGAAACAACAGACTTCTGATGCAAAGGCCACATTTAGAATCAATTCTAGATCAATTTCTTAGCTCTCTTGGTGCAAATATGTAGATAAGACTTATCAATATAAAAATGAGACATACATGTATGCATAAGACATACACTATATGGCCAAAAGTATGTGGACACCCCTCCTATTTATTGGGTTCAGATGTTTCAGCCATACTCATTGCTAACAGGGGTACAAATCAAGCATACAGCCATACAATCTCCATAGACAAACACTGGCATTAGAATCTGTGACTTTAAACATGACACTGTCGTAGGATGTCACCTTTGCCACAAGTAAGTTTGTGAAATTTCTGTAAATGCTATTACTGTGGAATGGATGAGTATAGGAGCAACAACAGCTCAGCCACAAAGCGGTAGACCACGCAGTGGGGCCGCCAAGTGCCGAAGCATGTATAAATCGCCTATTCTCTGTTGCATCACCAACTACAGAGTTCCAAACTGCCTCTGGAAGCAACGTCACTATGCGCAAAACCAAGTGTTGGCTGGAGTGGTGTAAAGCATGCCAAAACTGGACTCTGGAGCAGTGGAAATGTGTTCTTTGGAGTGATGAATCACACTTCACTATCTGGCTGTCTGATGAACAAATATGGCTTTGACAGATGCCATGAAAATGCTACCTGAATGAATAAGGCTGGCAGTTAAGTTTGGTGGAGTTGGAATAATGGTCTGGGGCTGTTTTTTCAGGGGTTTGGGCCCCTTAGTTCCAGCGATGAGAAATGTTAATGTTGAACAAAACATCTAAATAACTACTGACAAATAGTTTGCAATATTTAGATACTTACTAAAGTTATTGTTGTATATAAAAAAAACAAGATTTGCTAACAAGGCAAGTGATTCCAAACTTTTGAATAGTAGTGTATATGTAAGCAAATCAAATCTACCTTCCACAGGTGATCTGGGACACCTTTGACCCCCAGAGTTCACCCACCACTCTAGGTCGGTGTTCATCTCTGAAGGAGTTATGTCCAAGCTGCCCATAACGACCCGATCCAAAAGTGAAAACAGTTCCTCCCTGAGGAAAAATAATAAAAGCATCATACAGCAACGGTTTCTCAACAATTAAATGTAACTTGCACTAAACAAAAAATAGAAAATAGATGACACTTCATCAGACATTATATCAGTGTGGTTAACAATGTGCAGTATGTAGTTAAATTATACTCATTTTCAGTTGTGATACCTTTGACAAAGTGGCAGTGTGCTCCTCTCCACATGAGATGAAGACTGTTTTCTTGAAGCTCAGGTTATTCACACAGGCTGGAATGTATCTGTCTGTGGGAGGAAGTCAAATAGTGCTAAAGCAGTACTGCATCAAGCGTCTTAGAGAGTAAGATCTCTAATTAATATATGCAGATACACTGACTGGCCACTTCATTAAGTTTACCTACCTCGCTTCTATATTCTTCATCTATTTTATCAGGTCCAATTATCATACTACAATTACAGACTGTAGTCCATCTGTTTCTCTGCATACTTTATTGGCCCCTTTTACTCTGTTCTTCAATGGTCAGGACCCTGACAGGACCACCACAGAGCGGGCACTATTTGGGTCGTGGCTCATTCTCAGCACTGCAGTGACACTGATGTGGTGGTAGTGAGGGTGTGTTGTGCTGGTACGAGTGGATCAGACACAGCTGTGCTTTTGAACACTGTGTCCACTCGCTGTCCACTCCATTAGACACTCCTATCTTGTTGGTCCACCTTGTAGATGTAAAGTCAGAGATGACAGCTTGCTTGCTGCACAGTTTGTGTTGGTCATCCTCTAATCCTTCATCAGTGGTCACAGGATGTCTGAAAATTTTTGGTTGGTGGGCTATTCTCAGTCCAGCAGTGACACTGAGGTGTTTAAAACTCCAGCGGCACTGCTGTGTCTGATCTACTCATACCAGCACAGCACACAATAATACACCATCACCATGTCAGTGTCACTGCAGTGCTGAGAATGATCTACCACCCAAATAATACCTGCTCTGTGGTGGTCCTGTTCTTCAAAATATGCAGAGGACTTCAGACTACATCAGAACTACACTTACACCTATGTGGTAAGTGGAGCTGATAAAGTGGACAATGAGTGTGGATACATTGTAGGTGCATATATATGCCCCACCTTCAGTGTCCCCCAGGCCCAGCTGTCCAGCGCTGTTCCTGCCCCATCCGAACACAGATCCAGAGAGAGAAAGGGCGAAGCTGTGGTCTCCCCCAGCGCTGATCTGAGCCAGCGGGATCCCACACAGAGACTTGAGGGGCTGAGGAGACAGAAAGCTGGGCTCACCTTTCCCCAAACCCAGCTGACCACTGGAGTTCTGACCCCATGTGAACAACTGACCATCTGAGAGAGGACAAAAAGAAACATAATTCCATCATATCCCAATGCCACCAGCTTAAATCCAGAGTCTTCTTAATGTCAACACAACAGGGTATTTCAAACTCAGGCATGAGAAACAAAACAAAACTGGCATGTCCAGATATGTGTCTTATGTTTGTCAGCTGTAATCTAACACCACAGGCCTCTATCAGATCACCTACAGGGAAATGAAAGTTAGCCCTGCAGTATGCGTGGCTGTGCTTTGGCCCAAGAATGAATCAGATAGCGGCTTCTCACATGAATCAGATAATGAGGTCTGAACAGTGTCTTCACAAGCATGAATGTTTAAGCAATGTTGGACATTAGATGACTTTATTCTGCAGTTTACACTGAACAGTGATGTGCTTACCGTGGGTTAGTGCCATGCAGTGCTGGTCTCCACATACAGCCATGAATTACATTCCTACCGGAGAGCTCTTTGAGGGGGCTGTGAAAACAGTAATAATATAAAGTATTATTACCATGAAAAATATTTGTGATAGTATTATATGTAGTAATATTACATATAATATCACAATAAAGCTAAACAATAAAACACTCCTTGCACGCATGTTTAAACATTTATTTTTTCATTCCAAAATATTTACCTATAACAAAATGTATTAACACACACACACACACAAACACACACTATATACATATAATTACATTAACAAAAGGGCGGTCTCTGACTTTTTCACAGTACTGCATACTACATTGTATAATATTTTTTAAAATTCATTGTTTCTTCAAATGGTTATATTTATTATATTTAATTCTCATTTAATGTCTAATATAATAATAATAAGAAGAAGAAGAAGAAGAAGAAGAAGAGATGATGATGAAGAAGAGGAGTAGAGATTATATTATTATTATTATTATTAATAATAATAATAATAATAATAATAATAATATAGAGACATACCTGCACTGGTTATATTTGTCCATCCAAAACGTTCTGCCTGCATATGTGAGAAGAACTGCTTGAGCTTCTCCGCAGCTCATCAGTCTGATCTTGTCTTTCAGCTCCAGATTCTCTGAGATAAAGACAGAAAGGCTGACAGTGAGATTCAGCTTCATTCACTCAGTGCTCCATGTCCACTCCACTGTCCTGCTCACTTTAAAAAGATGGTTCTTCAAGGGGTCTTTAGTAAAGAGATTGATTCTATTTAGAACCATGAGTTCTATATAGAACCATTTGCATGCTTAAATGTGCTTTTCGTGGTTTAAACCGTTCTTCATATTGATTTAGAATGTGTTGTGTGTTTGAATATATGTGTATAGTTACAAGCTTGACATCGTAACAACAGAAGAACCATTTTTGGTGCTATGTAGAACCATTTTCAAAAGGTTCTGTATTGAACCATATACAACACATTTACCATTAATATGAAGAACTATTTCACACTGCAAAGAACATTTAAGCATGCAAATGGTTCTATACAGAACTCAGGGTTCTACATAGAACCATCGCCTTTACTAAAAACCCTTGAATAGCCAACTTTTTTAAGTGTGTGCCTCAGACATACTCAGCCTGCCGCACTGCAGTCCGCCAGCAGGGGGCACTCTGATAACGGACACATTCCCCTCTCCGCGCACGAAGCCCGCCAGCCCCTTTCCGGGCGCGAGCTGCTTGATTCTGGATTTTGGAGAACAGAAGAAAACACCCGAAGTGGTCTTCTTCACTCCGTCAGGCTTGACCAGCCCAAAGCCCGCTCTGACATCATCTCCCCAGTAGCAGAACATCTCCGCGTGAAAGTTCTGTAGATTCAGTCTGCAGCGCTCTGAGGCTCGCGCGCCGGGCTCCTGTTACTAGGGCTGCTGCTGCTGCTGCTGTGACGAATAGGCGCGCGAGCTGACAGGAAAACGAAACCGATGGTTACCAGCAATTAGAAAAATCCCCCATCTGAGCACACATCCACATTAGATGTCCAAAAGTTTGTAGACACCTGCTCATCCAGCGTTTCTTCTCAAATCAGGGGTCTTAATAGAAAGTTTGTCTTCGTTTGTTGCAGTAACAGCCTCTACTCTTCTAGGAAGGCTTTACACTGATAGAACATTGGTGTGAGGATTTGACTGCATTCAACCACAAGAGCATTAGTGAGGTCAGGCACTGATGTTGGATGATTAGCTCTGGACACTCCAGCAGTCAGTAATCATCAGTCAGCCACCATTAAAGGTGCAGTGTGTAAGATTTGGGGGGATCTATTAACAAAAATGACTAAAGAACCCTTGAAGAACCAGATTTAAACCATGTTTTTATTAGTGTATAAAATAATGTAATATAACCTGCAACTACAGATCGTTGTGTTTTCATCAGCTTATAATGAGCCCTTCAAATCTGCACAGAAAGTGGGTTCTCTTCCAGTTTCTGCAGTAGCTCAAAAAGGACAAACCAAACACGGACTTTACGCTCTTAAAAAAAGATGGTTCTTCAAGGGTTCTTTAGTAAAGAAAATGCTTCTATATAGAACAATGAACACTCAAAGAACCCTTTGCACAATGCAGCATGAAATGGTTCTTCAGATTGATGGAGAATGTGCTGTATATGGTTCTATATAAATCCTTTTTGAAAAGGGTCATTCATAGCACTAAAAAGGGTTCTGAAGCATTCTGCTATTGTTACAATGTCAAGCTTGTAACAATAGAATAATCATTTTTGGTGCTTTATAGAACGCTTTTCAAAAAGGTTCTATATAGAACCATATACAGTACATTTTGCATTCATCTATAGAACAATTCCACAATGTAAAGAACCCTTTAATAATGCAAAGGGTTCTTTAAGTGTTCATGGTTCTGTATAGAACCATCATCTTTACTTAAGAACCCTTAAAGAACCATCTTTTTAAGAGTGTAGAGGGTGCTTTTCGCATATTTACATACAAGTGGCAGCTTGAATCTGGTGGTGCTGTAGCACCAGTTGGAAGACAGAAGAAGAAGAATCAGTGGTTGCTAACCATTTTGTGTTGTTAGAAGTTTGAGAACCCAAATTTTGACAAATGGAGGATCATACTTATTATTTAGCACCAGAAAAAGCAAATGAGAGTGAATCCTCCTCGTCAAAAAAGCAAAAACAAGAAGAAGCAGAATGAAATCGGGACAGCTGATGACAGAGACACTATATAGACAGGCGATGATGAACACTAGTTTGGCCTTTTCTAGATGGAAATCACTGATGAGGGACAAATGCTTTCAGAGTATTGCCGAAGTTGCCCTTATGTAGCGTACCAGTCTACCTGATGGCCACCGTAGGTTCTGCTACACGCTTAGACAGGGAGGGGTGAGGGGAGGAACTCAGTTGGTTGCAATCTGCAACCTCACCAGTAGATGCCACTAAATCTTTCACACTGCACCTTTAATAAAGCATCAATCTGCCAGCAGGGTAGATATGAATCAGCTATAGGAATATGATGCATTTAATAAAAAAACATATTTTGATGTGATAGGCTAATTTACTCAGCAAACACGTGAGTGAATGTGTGCTGGGTCCCTTCAGCAGTGCTGCTCTGTAAGCTATATGAGTTAATTATCAAGATAAAATCATTTATCATGTTATTTTCATTTTACAGTTGAATATGTGTATGTTGTAGTGTTCATTCAAGTCTAAATGATCATAAATAAACAGCAGGATGAAATGAGGGAAAAATGCCCCTCCCTTAAGAACAACGGACCTCATTCATCAACCGTTCTTAAGAGGAACTTTCTTCTTGGAACCCACTTACACAGTTTTTACGAAGAATCTGACATTTACCAATGTTTTCTTAATGGGATTTGTTCTTGGATAAGAACAGAATCTACACACAGCACAAATGTGCGAACATTTCTGTGGGTTAAGAACACATCAGGAATCTGACATTGACTTTTTTAGGACCTTTCTCAAAAAACAATTTTAAGAAAAAATATAGGAAGACATTGGTGAATGAGGCCCAACCTCCTTTCCCTGTAAAGCTAAACCGTTTCTGTATGTGAATTTAACATCTCCAAGATGATATATATATATATATATATATATATATATATATATATATATATATTTTATTGAAGCCTCTATCAATTTATATCTTAAAGACTCCATTTCGTATTAATTACATATGACAAAAAAGTGAAATAGAAACACTTGAAATGTCAATTTAATTCCTTAATTATTTATTGTGAGTATTATTTACATATTATATGACATCAGCCTTTTATTGTGAGATTTCATTTCAGTTTTCAAAGAAGTCTGCAGGAATATTTTTCCACACCTCCAAAGTTCAGTCTTAGCAATTCTTTAGAGCTACACATCCTTTCAGATCCAGACAAAGGGGGTATCTTTCCCCAGTAGGAGGCTCTTGGATAAGAAGCCCTTCTGACAAACAGTGCATTAGTTTGTCATCTGTGTTTCACAGAATATATGATTTACACTGATCAGCCATAACATTAAAGCCACCTCATTGTTTCTACACGTATTGTCCATTTTATCAGCTCCACTTACCATATTTGTAGTTTTACAATTGCAGAATGTTTCTCTGCATACTTTGTTAGCCCCCTTTCACCCTATTCTTCAATGGTCAGGACCCCCACAGGACCACCACAGAGCAGGTATAATTTGGGGTGGATCATTCTCAGCACTGCAGTGACACTGACGTGGTGGTGGCATGTTAGTGTGTGCTGTGCTGGTATGAGTAGATCAGACACAGCAGTGCTGCTGGAGTTTTTAAACACCTCAGTGTCATTGCTGGACTGAGAATGATCCACCAACCAAAAATATCCAGCCAACACCACTGATGAAGGACTAGAAGATGACCAACACAAACCACGCAGAATGATCCACCACTCAAATAATACCTGCTCTGTGGTGGTCCTGTGGGGTCCTGACCACTGAAGAACAGGGTGAAAGGGGGCTAACAAAGTATGCAGAGAAACAGATGGACTACAGTCTGTAATTGTAGAACTACAAAGTGCACCTATATCAGTAAAAACAACTGGGAAAATGCACAATGACTATAGAACCAAGCAGGCCTTTTTAATGCTGTAGCTGACTGGTGTGTATGTCAAATTATTCCTAGTGTTTGCATTTATGAGTTTGATTATTATTCAATTTTTGATTCAGGCCTCTCTCAGTTTACATCTTACCGATTCTACACCATATTAATAAGCTAAGACAAAGTCAGAAAACAGTAAAACAGAAACACAAAGTGTCAGTTTTATTTACTATTTATTGTGATTATATTAATTTACATAATTATATTAGCCTTTTATTATTGCCACATATTTTTCATTCTTATACCAACAATAATAACAATAGTAAATTAAACAAAGTATTAAAAACATAATTGGTTACTGTACATGATTAATGCACATAATAAAACAAACTCCACGTAAAGTTAAGTCACATACAAACTCATCTCCAACAAGACGGTTAAAATCGCTTCTTAATTCTAGTTAATGGTTGCTATAGCTAGCATATAATGCTAAAGCTAGCTAGTCAATGAAACTCCAGTAAACATTGTGTCTGTATTAATATTCTTGGGCCAGTATGCTAAAAGGGGCCTTTTGCCCCATGTCTGGGGAAACCTCTTACCCCAAAGGATAACTACCTATATTATATATGCTAAAAATAAATACGTAACTAAATAAATAAAACTTTTTAACCTCTCAAAATTTAATGTACAAGGAAAGTCTGGTGTTTAGTGTAATAAGAATGTGCAAATGCTAAGCAGGTTAGCCTGTTACCCTAATATCATCAATATAAGCCATTCATTGGGTGAAGATTGTGCTTCCTCTGTAATTTCGTGCCCCCCTTGTCTACCCCTATTCACTAACTGAAGATTTAGTTCGTAGAGATGAGCACAGGCCAGAAAATCACCAGGAGTGCTTTGTAAGAGAGAGTTTAATCCTGCTGTCTACCCTTTTTATGATCTCTAATCTGTTTTCTGTAACTGTTACAGAATAGTGGAACTTTTTTGTATCCTGATTATGTACCCAAGTCTGGTATTTGGCAGATGGGCACTGGTCATCATACAAAGGCCAAAGATAGCCTGACTAAGCCTGGCTTTCATATCTCCTTAACACTTTAAACGGCCTGTATGTGGGTCCACACTTCAATTTCTTACTCGCATAACTACAGAACTGTATAGGTACTGTATAAAAAAGTAAGGCTTATGATAGATCATTGAAAATAAGCCTACAGTTTACAAGGTTAAAACTATAATCTACAAAAACAATGGAGTTTTGACTCTGCCGCTGAGTGTACTGTGCCTGAAAATAAGCCTTACATACATACATCATCCAAACCGCCTATCCTTCTGGGTCGCGGCGGGGTGCTGGAGCCCATCCCAGCTGCCACCGGGCGGAAGGCAGGACACACCCTGGACAGGTCGCCAGTCCATCGCAGGGCAGACAGACATACATATACAATCACACACACATTCACACCTAGGGGCAATTCAGCATTTCCAATTGGCCTGACTGCATGTCTTTGGACTGTGGGAGGAAACCGGAGTACCCGGAGGAAACCCACGCAGACACGGGGAGAACATGCAAACTCCACACAGAAATTACCCTGGTCGACCGGCTGGGAATCGAACCCAGGCCCTTCTTGTTGTGAGGCGACAGCGCTACCCACTGCGCCACCGTGCCGCCCGAAAATAAGCCTTCTTCCATCTTATTCACCAGTGCAGGGATTCATGAGTGCAGGAATGGGTTTAAAGCAATATAAATTTAATGCTTACAGTGGTGCTTGAAAGTTTGTAAACACTTTAGAGTTTTCTATTTCTGCATAATTTTGATTGAAAATATTGGACTTGGTCATTTATTTATTGAGGAAAATCTAATTTTAGGCAGAAATATAGAAAATTCTAAAGAGTTCACAAACTATCAAGCACCACTGTAAATATACACCTCTCGCTCAACAGTTAAAACAAACAACCATGTTTCCCTAACCATATTTTCTCCATTCTTCCAGATATGCGCAGTGTTTAATGTGAGTTCCCTGATTTCAGATGAAAGCCATCACCATTAAAAACCATTACCAAGGTAATGTGGTAAAAGCCCAGTGTGTATTAATGACAAATTTTATTCCTCCCAGAAGCCCCTCTTGTGGTGTAGGGCCTCCATGAGTTTAGCTTTGAGAGTTTGCTTGGTTTGGTACATGGGGAGCTCCAGCAGGGAATGACAGGTAAGGGCTTGAGGCAGGTGGTCTTCAGTAGAGTTTAATAGGGGGCGCACCCTCATCTTCACTTGATTCATACCCAGAATCGGCACTCGGTCGAACCCCGTCAAAAACACTGTAAAGCAAAAAGGATGCAAAACAAAAGTTGTGCTTTTACATGTTTGGCTTTTATATGTTTGGAGAATGTTTAAAATACTGCATGTTTTTCATGAAGTCTTTAAAATCTTGTTTAGCCTTCCATCTTATTCACCATCAATGAATGGGAGTTGTTTATTAGGTCAATTTCTGACCACAGGATCGCTATTGATTAGACATTATGGTAAGACCTTACTGTAGGGTGCTGTTCATAAGGCTACATGACACCTACATAAGCTTGTCTTGACAACCTACAGAACTCTACATAAATGTTTATAAAAGCTTATTCCAATAGGCAGCATCTGTCATAAAGGCTACTTTAGTTAACTTTGATCTAAACCAGCAAATATAAGTTTTATAGCGAATGGCGCATATTGGCATAAGCATTTCTGAACATTTATGTAGGATTATGTCAGTTCTCATGACAAGCTTATGTAGGCGTCATAGAGCCTTATGAACAGCACCCTACAGTAAAGTGGTCCCGATAATATTTGGGTGGAGAATCATTCTCAGCACAACAGTGACACTGACATGGTAGCGTGTGGGGCTGGTATGATTATATCAGACACAGCAGTGTTTTTACATGCATCAGCGTCTCTGCTAGGTTTGAAAGTGATCCACTGTCTCAAAGATATCCAGAAGAGTGGCTCTGTGGATAGAAACTACCACTAAGGAAGCAGTGCGAAATGCAAATCTCTGTTTGTAGAATGAGATAAATGACTCACAGAGGAAGGCTTTCTTGTCCTTTTCTGACAGTCCATCAAACACTTTCCAGAGTGAGACAATAGTTGGGTGTTTTGCATGGAACAATTCTTCATAAGTTGCATTCTATCCAACACAAAGAAATAGAGAAAACATACAAATGTACATCTGTATTGTTTTTAAAGAATAGTCATGTGCAGTTCATACAGTCCATTTAGACAGCATTCAGATCCATTCGCTTTTTCATTATGTTACATCATACTCTTACTCTAAAACACATAAAATTCATTTGTTCTCATTACTCGTTCCAGCCCCGAGACCCAGAAGGATAAGTGGCTTAGAAGATGTGTGTGTGTGAGAGTGTTCTTGTTATGTTGCAAAAAGAGCCCTTAATAAAAAGCATAAACAAATTTTCACAATTTACAGAGGTGTTCAAACCCTTTCCTTAGTGCAGGGGTCGGCAACATGCAGCTTTTTACTGCTCTGTTGAGGCTCCACAGCAGAACTAGATTTGTAGGTAAAAATAAAAAATCCTCCTTTGCAGTAAAATAAAGCTTTGCTGATCGTTCAACGCAGTTTTAGCAATAAATGGTCTTAAATGCTGGAGTTAATGTACAACAGCTAATTCACCCTTTAACCCTAAAGGTTGGCACACAGACTGCTGATCACCACAGCAACACAGACAAGAATCTTGCCTAGCTAGCAGCTAATGAAAAGGCAAAGAGAAAGATTTAAGACAAACATCGATAATTTGGAGTCGAATGGACTTATTTGTGTTTATAATCACTCCGGTTGGTTTCCTGACAAATTTAATCTGCAACAAGAAACAGACAAACACTAAAAAGTCACGAGCCTGAGGTCAGCTTCGTGTTCGCCAGCTTCTTGTTCGAATTTTCCCATTCCAACTTAAATAGTGCAGCAGTTCTAGCGCCTCAGGCACATTTTAAGGCGGAACGAGAAAATTTAAACAAGAAACTGGCGAACGAAAAGCTGACTTCAGCCTCATAACAAGTCAAATGTTGAGAGACATTTTACAAGAAACCGTTCTGCTAAAAGTTTCCTGCTGGAGATGCGAGAAAAGTGGCTAAAGCTTAAAGTAGAGCAAAGTACGTCTGGGTTTTTGTTAATATTATATATTTTTATATATACTAGTACATTAGCATATTCTGAGACATATTTACCACCAAGATGGTAAAATGGACATAAAATGTTGTGGCTCCCAGGGTGGTTTAATTTTTGTTGAAAGGACAAAATGGCTCTTCTTAACATATGGGTTGCTGACCCCTGACTTAGTGCTTGACAGTAAATATAGCCTGAGGTCCTCTTGGACTTTGGGATTCTCTCCAATTCTTCTCTGTCAGTTTCTCTGTGAAAGAGAACTCCCTGCTGATCTTAACGTTAGACTATACAAAATAAACCTGTTCATTGATTGGATATTGAACGAGAAGAGCAGTTGTTTTCCCTGTTAGCCAATCTGAGTGCAGATTTAATTTGGACTGTTTTATTCTGTTTTAAGGTTTTGTTGATAACGATAGAAAAGTTCAGCTTCCAGTTTCCAATTTCTGAGTCCGCTTTACACAGAGACTGAGACAAGACCATGTCCAAATGATGTTGAGGCCAAGACTAGGCCGGACTCAAGCACTACAAAAGTAGTACACTGTAGGAGATCCCACCTTTTTGAGTGCACTCCAATCGTATTCCTCTGTGCCCACCATCACTCCTCTAAGCTCCTCGGGCTGGAAGAACTCCACCACGTCACGGTCACACACTTTGTAGAAGCCCCTCCTGAACTCCTCAAACACTCGCTCCACTGACTTGTTCATGGCGTAATCCACATAGGCCTCTACAAACTCCTTTCTGAAGCACAGATAACAGCCAACATGTAGTTAAAAGTATAGTGCCGTTTTGTTTACAAAGGATATCAGTTTACTTTCTGCATGTTTGTATTTAATATGCACTATTACAGACTCTGTATTCCCTGAATGTAAAATCGATACTTGTAGAGACGTAAATAAAAATGAACAAATTTAGTTTTTCTACCTCTCTATCTGTTGTTTCTCTAGCATGCAGTTGATAGTAGATACTAATTTTGATGCATTTCCGCACTTCTAGTAAATGGACAGAAAACTAACATTGAGTGTGTTTACATGCACTCAATAATCCGATCATAATCGGATTTCTGCAGTTGATTATTCAAATGGTCACATAAACAGCATACTCCAATCTCTTAGATCTGAGTAAGGTCTAGAAATGTGCAAAAACGGACCGCAGTACCGGAAATAAGCAAGCAGTGTTCCCCATTATCTGATTATCCAAGCATGTAAACACATTGATCGGATTACTGACAAAATCTGATTTCCTGCAGTTATTGGATTATTAAGTGCATGTAAACGCACTCATTGACATAAAATGTGATGTTTGACAATGGTGTCGAACATCATGATGACGATATAAGAAGGGATAAATTATTATTAAAGCCGTGTGCCTCTGAGAGGATGTAAAGTATAGACGTTTTTGTTGTGTGAACAGAAATCTAAATAACTTCTCCTTTAAGCAAATAATAAAATATGAAAATTATAAAAGCACAATTTTACCATTCTGCAACATAAAAAGAAATGAAATACTGAAGGAAATGAAAAATTGACAACTGCTTACATCAGAACTGCAAGCACATTTTTGTGCACTGAAAAGCTAGAAAACAATCAGGATTATCTCAACAGCTTTTTCTATAAAGGCTACGAAACAATGAAATATATATTTATTTTTAGACAGCCACACAGAAACAGATACATACATTATTTATTTATTTTTGTTTCAAAAATAAATGTTATCAAACGTTTGTTGTGACAGTAGCCATTATTGCCTCACACATTTAAAACCCAATGCAGGGTGTGAGAACAATCCTAATGTTTGATGCATTTTTACATGCTTGCAGTTCAGGATGGAGGGTTTTTGAGCTGTGCATGTGTGTTTTGTGATTGGTTGTTCAGCCGAATGGTTAAGTTACTCGCCTCCTTTGTAGGAGAGCAGGGTTCACTCCTAGTTCAGAGAAGTACTGATTAAGCTTCTGACAATTTGTAATGTAGTGATGTCTCTCTGGTGCTGTGTGTATGAAGTAATTTGTCATCACCGCTCTAAGGATGTGTTTATCGCAGAAACTCATATCGCGATAACAATTAAAATATGATTTAATCGTACAGACCTACAGGAAACCTGTTTACCCCTCACTCACTTATCATAAAAGCCAGTAGGCAGGAGCTAAAGGCAGTAATGCAACAAAAATGAATAAATAGTGGCCTTACATAAGTTACATATACATAAGTTACATATATTTGTATAGTTTTAAGCATTGTCTGAATGTTTAACTAACTTGTTTGAGCTTGTGACGACTTTCCCAGGCTCATTTGGATCCAGTTCGACCTCCTTGTTGTCCCATATGATCTAAATACGTTAAAAGGAAAATATTAGAATAAAAACTAAATATTGTAGGAAACTTCTCGCAGCTGTTTTAAATCTTTCATACACACTACCAAACACTTACTGTGAAACTCATGTCCATGCAATCAACATCTTCATCCCTGTAGTCCAGTATGTACTGCAAGCTCCTAATTATAGAACATTTAATTAGCATTACAGATACAGGTAATTGAGTGTTCTGAGCTATAAAAGGCTGAGAGAATGATGTTGAGGCTCGAGATTACTCTGATATCAAAGTTCTTACCTTCCAAGAACAGGACAAAGCTCAGTCAGATCCTCCAGGGAAGGCTGGACATCAGCAAGCTTCTTGAACAGGGCTAACGGAAAGGGCAGGTTCACTACACTGTTGTTGTAAAAGGCCAGACCACACAGGCATCCAAACAGAAAGTAGCGCTCCTCCTGTAAACTGGGCTGTAAGGAACAAAGGTCAAGGTACAGATTAGAGGTCTAAATATCACTCTTTAATACTGTTTGCTTTCTTCATAACATAGATAAAAAAGTAACCAGGCACAAAAACTGTAATAAGCAATACAAGTGGAACATAATTTTAATAATATGTCAACTGAAGAATTAATAAATGATAAATAAAAGAACATGAGATATGACAGTTTAGTCCACTAGCTAATTCTATGTCATGTCTACAACATGAGACTTGTATGCAAAAGTTTGGGCGCCCCAGTCAAATTATGTTTTGCTTTTTTCAAGTGAAAATAATTACACATCCTCTAGAGCAATTAGAGACTGCGGCCCATCTGTTGATGCACAGTTTGCGTCAGTCATCCTCTAGTGCTTCATCAATGGTCAGTTTCTGTCCACAGAGCCACTCATGGTGGGACCATTTAGGGCAGTGGAAATGGATGGAAGGGAGCTGATAAACTGTCCAGCAACGGTCAGGCTACACTGTAAAAAGTGGCTCATCAGATCTACTTAAAAAAATGACTTCATGTGGTAACAAGCAATTGAACCAGTTTTATTCAACTTAAAAATTACTTTGATTGAATTAATCATTTATTCAAAGTACTTATTTAGGTTGAATAAAACTAGTTATTTTACTTGTTACCACATTAAGTAATTTTTTAAGTAGATCTGACGAGCCACTTTTTACAGTGTACAGTCTGTCAATGTACACCTACATAGGGGACCTATCTGGTAGATGAAGTTCAGTGAGTGGACCTACAAGGCAGGTGTTCCTAATAAAGTGGATGCTGAGATGCTGAGTGTGTTAATCATTCAAAATCATGTGCTTGACTTACCTCAGCAGGAAACCAGATCAGTGTTTTTGTGTCGTTGTACATGAACATTTTGGATTGTGGTTCCAACAAAGTGCGAAATGCATTGAGAAAGAAGTCTCTTTTATTAACGTCTGTTTGTTCAAACTTCTCAGAGTACACCACCTGTGCATTAATGAGAAAAACACATGCACTGTATGATGCTTCAACTACACTGCAAAAAATTGAAAGTCAGATCATTGTGAAATTTTAAGTCAACCTTCTGCATAGTTTTAGTTTAGTGCTAGTTTAGTTTGGCACTCAGCTTTTTAGTACTGCATCACATATTTAACCACAGTCAATGTGTTTGCCTCCTTATAAGGTAAAATTGCTTACATTTTTGGGATCTTTACTCAGTATCTCCCCCCAATTTAGTCAGTTTCCACCTACAGGCTACGACTCCCCTTTACCACACAGAGTCCCCAGCCTGGAAGGAGGATGGTTTGAGTGCTACTCCTCTCAGATTCCTGACCCTGGAGGGCTGTGGTGTCAGTGGGATTCAACCCCATGATCTCTTGATGATCAAGCAGTTACACAGTTGCGTCACTCAAAAGCCACTAAGTTATTTAAATTTCTGTGTCCAGGAATAAATATAGAGGATAAGTTTGCTCAGAGCATGATGACCTGTACTTGAATTATTCCTCATACTCAAGCAGAAAGCATTGTCTATGAATGGAAGACAGGAGATCATGAGTTCAAATCCCAGCAACGCCTCAGTTTTCGGTGGTCAAAAATCTCAGACAAGGAAGCACTTACTCCCACCCCTCCACCTGTTCTGGATATACTGTTTGATAGGAGGAGGTGTAGCTTGTGGGTAGTAGCTGGCAATGACTAATCTGTGGGTCGGAATAGAGTAAAATCTCTAAATTCCAGCTTATAAGGAGACAACCACACTCACTGGGCCTCATTCACCAACCGTTCTTAAGTAGAAATTTCTTCTTAAAATCCACTTACGCAGATGTCTCGAATATGCTGACATTCACCAGTGATTTCTAATTTGGGATTTGTTCTTAGGTAAGAACAGAATCTACACACACTCAAGAGCACAAAGGTGAGAACAAGTCTGCGGTTTAAGACCACGTCATGAATCTGACGAAGATTTTTTCTTAGGACCTTCCTCAAGAACAAATTCAAGAAAAATCTTGGGAAGATTTTGGTGAACGAAGCCCACTGTTTTTTTTGTTTTTTTTTGAGTAAGCTCAATTTCAGCTGTACTTTGTAGATCTACGTCAGATGTAAAGTGTAAAATATAAAGTGTAAACGGATTTGCATTCAGTTCAGTTCATTTGCATTTTCCTGGCCGTACCTGCAGCCGACCTTTCAGAGCGAACTCATTAGCAGTTCTCAGCTGAGCGAAACAGTCCTCCAGGAGCTCATTGCGTCTCAACACCAGCCTGAAGCAAGTCTATAATTACAGTATTTCCAAAGGAGAACATTAGTAAGATAATGTAGGATCACACCAGAGAGGATAGTAAACATACAAACAAAGGCTACATACCCTCACTTGTCTCAATTTTAGAAGGTTGCATTTAGCTTCCAGGTTAAAGATGCAAGGAGTGGAGTTCAGAAGGGCCAGGGTACACTGCAACAATGGAAATGAATGTGTCAATGATTCATATTTGATCTGAAATATCATATTTCAGTTGAATGTGTAGGATACCCACCTCTAGATACTGTTTATTTGCGAGCGCTACAGGGTCAGGCAACCAATTCAGCTCCATATTAACAGTTTGCAACTGTGGTTAAAGAAAAACATCCAGCCATTAGATATATGCTGCCCTACATGCTCAACAGTAGCATTTATACAATCTTAATGGTGAACAGGCTGTTGAACACAATATCATATGAATAGAAACTTGTAGATCACTGAATGAACAAGTACAGATACAATAATATTAACAGAGGCTAATTTAGCCAACTATGAACTGCAACATTTGCATGCCTGAATTGCAAAGATTTAGATAAAAATCTCACTATTTCAAACAGAAAGTTGATCTCATAGATGAAAAAATCTCCAGATGTGATTTTTCTTTTGCCGCTGCAGGACGCCTACAGAACAAAAATGAGACAAGTTCATTTAAAATAAATGTTAAAGAGTTTCAAAGCTTTTCACAACCTTAACACTTTACATTCATCTTTCTCATATTCCATCACAATACATTCACCTTGTAGAGCATCTGTAAGATGTGCACAAGGTTCTGTAGATGTTTGTCCGAGGATTCTGCTTGTCTGTTAAATGTCCTCTGAGATATCAAGTGTGCAGATGGTTTGTGAAAGAGCTCCACGAAGGGTTTAAGGAAGTCGTCAGAGAGATCAGACCAGTAGTTCACTGAAAAGACAGCAAAATAGGGATCCATATGTCTACAGTGTGTCTCCAGCTTCACTCAGTACCAGAGGTGGGTGGAAAAACCCTAAATTTATGCTAGTAAAAGTACTGATAGTTGGGTAAAACAATTTAAATTTAAACACAAAATGGAATTGGTAACTAAACACGAATGGCAAAAATGTAACTGAGTAAAAGGAGATTACTTTACTCACTAATATACTTGAGGAGAAGTAAAAGTATCATGATTTGAAAATACTCAGGAGAGTGCATATCCATTAATATTTTACTTAAGCACATTAACTTATGTAAATGTAACTAGTTACTACCACATCTACTCATTACAGAACCTTTATGGAGGAGTTCACAACCTTTTCCACCTCAAGGCCCTATTTGTCATTAGAAAGTATGAAGGCCCACAGAAAAATGAAACTTTTTTGCTTTAAAATTCCATTTTTGGGAAATTATTTGGGTGCCTAACCCCCCACTATGCAACATTTATCACTAAGCATAAAATGTCAACAAATAAGGCAAACATAAGCTTGTTTTATATCAGAAATCAGGCCGAATGGTTGCAACGACTGAAATATCTGTGGAGTGCATTTGTTTCTAAAAGCAAGGAGCGAAAAATAGACAAAGCTGTTGTTTTAGGGTATTTATTAATATAGTTTATTATTATATTATATTATATTATATTATAATGTCAACCATTTTTTCACTGATTTTTATTACAAAGTGCCATCGACAGCCCTCTACAGACCACCAGCACCCCCTCAGTATTGACCTATTTTCCAGCCAACTTGTGGTCTACTGCCCAGAGGCTGAGAAACCCTGCCTTAGGACGTAATGTCATGTCAAGGTGAGAGCTTACCCAAAGCCTGGAGCATAGGAGGGTTCAGCTTTAAGATGGCAGAAGCCAATTCAGCAGTGAGTTTTGTCTCATGCAGAGGTTTGTTCAGCACTCTGAGGATTTCAGGCAGGATGAGGTAAACTCTCAGAGCTTCAGCACCAACAGCAGTGGAGCCCACAGAGGGGAGCAGATCCTTTTCCACAGTCTTCCCTACCTGAAGCAAACACACCATAAGACACTAAAGCCTCGGTCAGAAACTGCTAAAACTGGCAGGCCAGTGTTTATTATACAAAATCAAGGTTAGTAATCTCAGAGCTGCTGGTTAAACATAAAATTAACATGATATATTTTCAACGTCCTGTACACATCGGGGTTCTTTGGGGTCAGTTTGAGCCCAGGACGTTTTAGCTGTATAAAACAAGAAATATCAACATTTAACACAAATTTCTTTTGGTTGTTTTGGATGATATTGAGTTCACTATAACATGCATATTTATAATCCACAAAAAAGTCTGCTTTAGGGCCCTAAACTAACATAACCTCACCTGTAGTAGCGCAAAAACCACTGATAGTTCACAGGACATTGGGAAGGGGAAAACATAATTCTCACCATAACTTTGATATTTCCCGGAAACTAAAATTGCTGGGGTCAAATTGGCCTCAAAAGTAAAAGTTGTTAGTAAATTTGAGGATAACAGGAAAGTTAAGCATTGGCCGAATGCTACAATAGTACAATGATTCAACTTTTTGCACCCCTGATCACAATTAGCTAACCAGACCTATATACTGATATAGAACATGTGCAAGCCGGTAAACTTCTAAATTGTTCCTCCAGAAACATTTTCTTGCAGGAGTGTTTTTTTTATGAACTTTGGGCTGCTTTACCTCCAACAGCACCTTCTCTTTCTGAGCTAACCGCTCAACAGCAGCTCTCACTGATTCCATATCCAAACCAGAGAAGCTTGTAGAAGTTTGATAATGTCCATCACAACTACACAGAAACAGAGATACACACAGATGAAATCAGTGAAACTGCAGAGTTGGAGTAGCATTTAACCAGTTTTTGGATTTAAAGTTTTAACCATGTTGTATTAATTATGGCTGAGGTACCTTTTCTTAATGAAGCTCGCATTCAAACATGCAGCAGATGAGAACAGTCTTTTAATTTCTCTAGTTGAAAACAGAAAAACAAATCAATACACTGTCATAAATCACAATCAATTCACATAGTACTTTAATTCAATTGCTATACTGATGAACAGTCATAAGCAAAATTGCCCCCCCCCCACCCCAGCTAATGAAATGCTTTAAGTGATAAGTTATCACATTTGAGTTACTTTACATGGAACAAATCCAAAATATGACATTTTTCTGCAGATTTTAGTACATAATTTATGTTTATTTGAGTTTAACATACTGAAAAAAATAAAACATACAGCATAAAATGTGCCTTAACTTTTGCAAAGGACATTTTTATGCTTTATTTTTTTTCCAACATATCAAATTATGTGCATTTAAATGAGCAGAAGCGTGCTCTCTGTAGAGAACGTGTAAATTATTTTTACTTCCAACAAAGCATGTAATTAATCCGGTGGCACCCAAACGTTTGCACACAACTGTCTTACTTTTAATAACAATATTCTGCTCATAACGTCATCTGTTTTAGGGTCAGGATGGTCAGGAAAGAAGGGCCTATTAAGATGATCTGTGTCTTATAATTATCATTGTACAAACAAAAACATTGTCACTTGTAAACATGCAGCTGATGCACTGTAGAGGTGAATGTGATGCATGTGAGCATCTATAGTTTCGCTTAAACACTCACTTCTTGATCGTCCTCCACTGATTTGAGTCACACTCAGATATCCATCTGTCAATCATTCGGTCCCCCAACGTTAAAATCCCTCTCCCTCGGTTCGATTCCGGGTGCACTGAGCTATTATCAGCTTCCTAGACACAGAATTCCAAACAGACCCTCCAGTCAATATGCAAGCTTTAATTTGTTAGAAGTTTATGCAATAATACCACGTCTTACCTGCCGAGAGCACAAGACGAAGGAAAGGTTCCCACCAGCAACGATCTGCTCAACTGATTGGTCGTGATTTGCATCTGCACATAAAAAACAGCACTTGTTAATATCTTACTTGCAGCATTTCAAACAGTTTTTTATAGCTACATGATTGCTCATGGCTGCTAAGGAAAGAGAACATATTACTCTGCTTTCAGCCTCCTTTTATTCTTTTATTTATTTTTAAAGCTCTCAACAGAGCCACACCCTCTTATATTGCAGAGTTACTAAAACGTCATTGCTCTCGCAGGTCCTCGAGGTCTTAAGATCAGCTGCTCTAGGCTGTTCCACTGTTAGAAATAAAGGTTCTGTGCAGGTACATTTTTTGTTCATCAAGGTACAAACAATGTAAATGTTCCCTCAAAGGTACAACAGTGGTTTTAAGGTTCAATTGTGTATCTTAAATAAGTTTTTTGACGTGAAAAGTACATATTTGTACCTTTTCATAACCTGATGTTTTAAAACAGAACAATAAAATAAAAAGACTGGAGACGAGACGGGGTGTGTGGAGTCAGTACAACTTAGAAAATATAATTTCAATGGATTATGGTACAATTATGTTCCCTGAATAAAGGTACTGAGATCTACCCTTGAGGGCCCCACCCCGGTGACAAGAGGGGTACTGCCCCAGAGACTGCTAATAAGCATTTTCAGTACTGAATTCTATTTTATAAAACTCTCCACACAGTCAGCACAACAGCACTCTGGACCAGTTTTTTCCTTGCCACCAATGAAAGCCCCGAAATGATACTGGTTAAACAGACAAACTGCTGACTGTGTGTAAATAGAAAGTCCCACCCTTCACTAAAAAGAGCCAATCAGCTTGCTGGTTACGGTGCAAGCGAGAAAATACCCCCCCCCCCCCCCCTTGTGGAGATCTGTGCAAATGCAGTAGGCAGAACAACCCAAAAAAAGCACATTTTCTGTGTGGTGGGTCATTCTACGGTCCACTTTTTCATCTATCCATTAGAGTCATATTTTATCTATTTTATCACAATTACCTAAGAATAAAGTAGGTCACACCAGTGACTTCAACTAAAAGCTTCATTTGAAATCATGAGCTAAATGAGAAAATGTCTGATAACTGAAAAGACACAGTGGACTTACCATGTGCTTTTCATCATAGATCCTCAGAAAATAGGTAAAAGGTAGTCAAGTGATGTCATCAGTGTGATTTTTATTTCAAAATAAGAGATTTTTTGTTATGCAGTAACACCAGTGACACAAATCCTGGGGACCACAATTTTCATTATATATTTTATAATATTTATTTGGCATTTGTTTTCCTTACGTCATTTAAATTATACATTTCATAGTCATGTATAGATTATTGTAGTTAAAACTGCAGAAAACCTCACCCTTTACACATGACTGTGAGGACAAGCACTTCTGTGGTGCTTGGAATTCAATGTAGTTGATTTAAAAACCAATATTGCTAAATTGAGGCTCAAGAAGGTGTAATTGTTAAAATAACTTTTTGATTTATTTTAAAATATAAATACATTGTAACCCTAAGATGTTTTTCAAGTGTAACATACCTGTGAATTCAATAGAATGACTGTTATTAAACCAAACACCACACACTATTTATGTTACGTTATCACGATTTTTGTCAGATTTTACGAATGTCTTTAAAACTGTAATTTGACATTCAGTTTAGAGTATTTTGGTAAATCATAAAACAGTGTCTCAGCCATCAGGCAGCACATATGTAACCATTTCATGTAATAACTTTCTGTGAGGGAGCTTTAGAGGCACTAAACTCTTCAGATGCCTGGTTCCCATCACCACCACTGTAAAGAATTCTGATTCTGCAAGTTTCCCTAGAACAAAGCATTTCACACCAAACCACTCTGAATGATGTTGTTTACATCTCAGCCATTTAATTCCAAAGAATTTTTGAAAATCAGTGGAGTTCCCCTTCAATGCCAACAGCTGTCAGTGTTTTTCAGGGGAGCGTGCTCTGACTGATATAATATTTCTTTTGTAAGAATGCTAGTGTTGATGTATTAATGGAATCAATTTATTTTGATCTGTTTTGCATTGTTGTTACAGCTACAGAGCAATTTGGGCATGAAAATCTGCATGTTTCTGCAGAGTCAGGTGTGAAGAGTTTGGCACTAAAATTGCTTCTTAGCGATAGTAAAAAAACTATAAGAACTGTTAATTACCTGCTGGCAGGTGTACAGGAAGTGGCACACACTGATTGGTTCTCTGTCCATTTCCCAGCTGTCCCTGCTCTCCACATCCAAACAAGTAGATCGTTTTTGATGATCCAACCAGTGCCAAAGTGTGATACCTTAAATTCATGTAATGAAAAGTTAACAGGAATGACCTGCAGTGCAGTCTGTTTGTCTCATGGGCTGAATGTGTTATTCTAAACCAGTGGTCTACAACCCTGGTCCTGGAGATCTACCCTCCTGCAGAGCCTAGTTCCAATCACAGTTTGTCACACCTGCTCCCGCTAATTAACCTGATTGGCTGGATCAGATGTACTAGAGTTAAGTAAGGGGCGGGGCAGCTTATTGGATACAGGCTGGACCTAAACTCTGCAGGAAAGTAGCCCTTTTGGACACCACTGCTCTAAACTCGACAGCAGTTTGCATATTTAGGCAAACAGTCATATGCAAAAGTTTGGGCATCCCTAGTGATGTTCTGTTGATCAAAATAAGTTACACATCCTCTACAGAGGACACACTTCTGCACATTTTAATGCACAATTACTTTTACTTAACATTTAAAGTACTGGAAAAAATAAAACGTGGTGCAAAAGTTACGGCACAATTTTATATTTAATGTTTTTTTTTCTCAATATGTTAAACCGAGCAAAGAAATGGAAACTGTGCATTGACATTTGCCGAAAAATGTCATATTTAAATTTGATCCCTGTGGAGGATGTGTTAACCCCATAAAATCTCATAAAGGCTTATTACATACTAAGGATTATTATTCAGGGACTTCAGTGCAAACTGGCTGAGCTATTCTTAGGCTATAGAAGTCTATAATTAAAATTTGGGCTTATCAGTGGGCCATGGCCATTTAAGGGGTTACAAACAACGTCATTTGACTGGGGGTGTTCAAATTTTTTGTATAAGACCATATACACAAATCAAATCTACCTTCCACAGGTGATCTGGGACACCTCTGACCCCCAGAGTGCACCCACCACTCTAGGTCGGTGTTCATCTCTGAACGAGTTATGTCCGAGCTGGCCATAACGACCCAATCCAAATGTGAAAACAGTTCCTCCCTGAAGAAAAATAACAAAAGCATCATATTGCAATTGTTTCTCAACAATTAACTGTTACTTTATTTAGACATTATATCAGTGTGGTAAACAGTGTGCAGTATGTAGTTAAATTACACTCATTTTCAGTTGTGATACCTTTGACAAAGTGGCAGTGTGCTCCTCTCCACATGAGATGAAGGCTGTTTTCTTGAAGCTCAGGTTATTCACACAGGCTGGAATGTATCTGTCTGTGGGAAGAAGTCGAATAGTCATCATTGAATAGTTTTAAACACATATGAAGTGTGGCCTTCATTTATAACAGTATGTTCTACCAGTTATGAACGCCAAGGCTGTAAAATATGCATCAAACTGAGAATAGGAAGACAATGTACAGTATAGTAAAAGACTATAGATAGTTAAACTATGGCATGTTTAAGCTCACTTCCTGACTGAAATCTAAATATTCAGATCTCTAAAAATAACACATTGCAAATTACATATTTTCTCTTCTTCTTACATTATGTGGTCTGCAGCCTTCAAGGCTCATAGCAGGCAGATAATGGGATTATTAGAGATTCATTTGATGTTCTCTGAACTAGTTATGCTTTCATTAATTACGTGTGTGTGCCTTAGCCACTGTGTCAAAACCAGCAGTAAGACGTACAGCTGGGACACTTGGGAATGAGAGCGTCCAGGCTCTACCTTTTTGCTTCTTTTGTATTGTTTTCACTGAGGTCCTGTGTGCTTTTATGTACCAAAATGGTCATAATTCATTTTTTCCAAGATCATTTTCTCACCTCTCTTTGTCCCTTAGAATTAAATAGGTTGTTCTAGTTTTAGTTACTGTGTCTTTAAGGCTGATATAAGATAAATGAGCTCTGTTCTGATTGGCTGCTCTGTATGTCTTATTTAAACAGCACTCAGAGCTGAAACACTCCATACAACTTTAATATGAGTGGGCGGGGCTAAACTGCCTAGGCTGAATGGATGTATGTATGTAAATGAGTTGGTTCTTGTGACATTACAGAGCCCCGCTGGTGACGTTCTGTATGAATAAAAATAATTCATGTCCACGACTTAGTAAGGTATGGGAACAAGATAATTAGGTTGTGGCCACGTCCTTGTAAGGCATGGGAACGAGATCCTAATGCGTGGCCATGACTTAGTAAGGCATGATCTCATTCCCATGCCTTACTAAGTCGTGGCCACAACTTAATTATCTCATTACCACGTCTTAGAATCTGATTCAAACGTGTTAAAAAGGCGTGGCCACGCATTATTTTTATTGATATGGGATGTCACCAGGAGGGCTCCGTATGACATCACAGAAACAAAGAATTAAAAAACAGGCTGTTTTTGCAGCTTAGTTTCCATGTATGAATATATGGTTCAAGTGTTTATACGTAATTTCTTAATTAAAAAATTTCGTAATATGCGCACTTTATGTTCACCTGAATCAACGAAAGCAGTGCGTTTGTTTTAGTTAAAAGTTTTTAGTTAGTTTTAAACAAAACTGAAAAAGACATGCCCCACCCTCAGTGTCCCCCAGGCCCAGCTGTCCAGCGCTGTTCCTGCCCCATCCGAACACAGATCCAGAGAGAGAAAGGGCGAAGCTGTGGTCTCCCCCGGCACTGATCTGGGCCAGCGGGATCCCACACAGAGACTTGAGGGGCTGAGGAGACAGAAAGCTGGGCTCACCTTTCCCCAAACCCAGCTGACCACTGGAGTTCTGACCCCACGTGAACAGCTGACCATCTGAGAGAAGAAAAACCATGAAAACACTAACATGAAACATGATGTAACATGAAAACACTACTTTGTACACTGTTACACTGCTGTATCACACAGCATTATGGAACAGGGCAGTTAAAAAGGTGTAAACATTTTAATAAAACATATTTGAAGTGTTTTTTATTTTAATGATTCAGGTTTTGGTGTTTAAATGTTAATTGTTTATTGGTATTGCCATAAGCAAATGTATCATATGTAAATTTACAGTAAATTGCCGGCTACTGATTTGCATTACTTTTACAGTTGTTATGTAAAAATACAGGATATTACTGTATTTCAATTACAGCTAATTACTTTAAGTATACAGCAGAATAACAGCTACATCACAGCAGTTTAAGTGACTGTTAAGTTACAGTTTACAGTTACTATTTTACTGTTTTTACTGTTAATATGGTACTGTGAAAGTAACACCATTTGCAGCCAATCATTTACGGAAATTTTACTGTGATAGTTTTTACAGTGTAGAATTTAGAAGTGTGCTTATCTTAGCTTTATCACTACAGGCCTCAATCAACTCACTGACAAGCGAAGTAAAGTTATCTTTGTAATACCAGCTGCTGAGCTTTGAACCAGGTGTATGTTTGTTTAGTGAGAGAACAAGGCCAGAACTATTTAATCTCTTAAGTCTTCAGCAGCATCTCAGCATCTCAGCATCTGAAGCTAAATAGCTTTTCAGCTGCAATGCAGTCTTAACATTTAATCAGAACAATGATATAAATACCCTGGGTTAGTGCCATGCAGTGCTGGTCGCCACAAACAACCTGAATTACATTCCAACTGGAGAGCTCCTTGACGGGTCTGTGAATCATATATATAATTTGGAATATTAATATATGTTAATCATTACAAGAACACAAACATGTTTTTACCCCATCAATAGTTTAAAAAAAAATCACTTTTATTCTACATTTGACTATAAATGGTTCATCATTCTAGTTGTTTTAATGAAATACTATTACACTATTGCTATAATTACCCACTTAAAAAGGATGGTTCTTCAGGGGTTCTTTAGTAAAGGCCGTCCTAAATAGAACTACATAGGACCATGCATTCTATATAGAACCATTTCATGCTTAAATGGTTCTCTGCATGGTGAAATGCTTCTAAAGGTTGATGGATCTATATAAAACCTTTTTGAAAATGGTTCTAGCACCAAAAAGCATTCTTTTATTGTTGCAAGCTTGACATTGTAACAATAGCAGAACCTATTTAGAACCATTTTCAAACAGGTTGTATATAGAACCATGACCCTGAAGAAGCATTTCACCATGCAGAGAACCATTTAAGCATGAAATGGTTCTATATGGAGCGCATGGTCCTATGTAGTTCTATTTAGGACCATGCAGAGAACCATTTAAGCATGCAAATAGTTCTTTGAGTTCATGGTTATATATAGAAACACTGTCTTTACTAAAGAACCCTTGAAGAACCATCTTTTTTATGAGTGTATGATTAGCAGTAGTATTAATATCATTTGTTTTATTAGTATTAATAGTTTTATAACACAGACATACCTGCAGTGGTTATACTTGTCCATCCAAAACGTTCTGCCTGCATATGTGAGAAGAACTGCTTGAGCTTCTCCGCAGCTCATCAGTCTGATCTTGTCTTTCAGCTCCAGATTCTCTGAGATAAAGACAGAAAGGCTGACAGTGAGATTCAGCTTCATTCACTCAGTGCTCCATGTCCACTCCACTGTCCTGCGCACTTTAAAAAGATGGTTCTTCAAGGGTTCTTTAGGAAAGGAAATGGTTCTATTTAGATCCATGAATGCTATATAGTATCTGCATGCTTAAATGGTTCTTCATATTGATTTAGAATGTGTTGTGTGTTTGAATGTATTTGTATAGTTACAAGCTTCGTAACAACAGAAGAACCCTTTTTGGTGCTATGTAGAACCATTTTCAAAAGGTTCTGTATTGAACCATATACAACACATTCACCATCAATCTGAAGGACTATTTCACACTGCAAAGAACATTTAAGCATGCAAATGGTTCTATACAGAATTCAGGGTTCTACATAGAACCATCGCCTTTACCAAAAAACCTTGGATAGCCAACTTTCTTAAGTGTGTGCCTCAGACATACTCAGCCTGCCGCACTGCAGTCCGCCCGCAGGGGGCACTCTGATGACGGACACATTCCCCTCTCCGCGCACGAAGCCCACCAGCCCTTTCCCGGGCGCGAGCTGCTTGATTCTGGATTTTGGAGAACAGAAGAAAACACCCGAAGTGGTCTTCTTCACTCCGTCAGGCTTGACCAGCCCAAAGCCCGCTCTGACATCATCTCCCCAGTAGCAGAACATCTCCGCGTGAAAGTTCTGTAGATCGAGTCTGCAGCGCTCTGAGGCTCGCGCGCCGGGCTCGTCTTATTAGGGCTGCTGCTGTGACGTTTAGGCGCGCGAGCTGACTGGAAAACGAAACCGAGAGTTACAGTGTGAGCAGCTCTTACGCAGCAACACCCACACACACACACACGCGCGTTTGTTTCTGTGAATTGTGGGGACATTACATTGACTTTCATTCGTTTCCAGGAGACGTACCCAAACCTTAAACAGAACTACTACTAGCCTAACCCTAACCCTAACCTTAACCCTAACCCAAACCTTACCCCCACCTTAGATTTAATGATTTACGTGGTGAGTACCCCACGTAGGTCCCCACAAGGAAAAAAGGTCCCCGCAACGTGACATAAACCTAGTCCAAACACACACACACACACACACACACACACACACACACACACACACACTACTGAGTAAACAGCTACAGCGATGAACTAAAACACCTCGATTCTATAATGAACTTCAGTTTTAAATTAACAATCTTTCATGAACATCATGGACACTGAACCAGCAACACCAGAAGTGCTGAATAAACAGCTAGTGTTGACTGAACACCTACATAGTTTATCTAAGAAACCCAAAGTTCCTGGTTCATGTCCAACAATTAAATGTAGTATGATCAGGAACAAAGCCACTGAGCTTGTTCTGATTGGTTTAAAAGTGATGACATTTTGTATAATTACAGCTGAGATGAACATCTAACAGGATCTTTTACATTCATTTTTTATAGATAAAATATGAAGCAAGGACAGACTGAAATTGTTGAATGAACACATACAGTGTTAGACTGAAAGCACAGAATTAACACTTAGTGTTAGACTGAATGTGTTGAATTAACACCTACAGTTAGACTGAAAGTATAGAATTAACACCTACAGTTAGACTGAAAGTACAGAATTAACACCTACAGTGTTAGACTGAAAGTATAGAATTAACACCTACAGTGTTGGACTGGAAGTACAGAATTAACACCTACAGTGTTAGACTGAAAGTATAGAATTAACACCTACAGTGTTGGACTGGAAGTATAGAATTAACACCTACAGTGTTGGACTAAAAGTATAGAATTAACACCTACAGTGTTAGACTGAAAGTATAGAATTAACACCTACAGTGTTAGACTGAAAGTACAGAATTAACACCTACAGTATTAGACTGAAAGTACAGAATTAACACCTACAGTGTTAGACTGAAAGTATAGAATTAACACCTACAGTGTTGGACTGGAAGTACAGAATTAACACCTACAGTGTTGGACTGAAAGTATAGAATAAACACCTACAGTGTTGGACTGAAAGTATAGAATTAACAGCTACAGTGTTGGACTGAAAGTATAGAATTAACACCTACAGTATTAGACTGAAAGTATAGAATTAACACCTACAGTATTAGACTGAAAGTACAGAATTAACACCTACAGTGTTAGACTGAAAGTATAGAATTAACACCTACAGTGTTGGACTGGAAGTATAGAATTAACACCTACAGTGTTGGACTGAAAGTATAGAATTAACACCTACAGTGTTAGACTGAAAGTATAGAATTAACACCTACAGTGTTAGACTGAAAGTATAGAATTAACACCTACAGTGTTAGACTGAAAGTATAGAATTAACTTCTATAGTGTTAGACTGGAAGTGTTTTATTAACTCCTACAATGCTGGACTGAAAATATAGAATGAACACCTACAGTGTTAGACTGAAATGCATTTGTTACAGTGTTATTCAAGACCTACTGGGCACAAATGAACACTAAGTGTTGATTCATCATTAAGGATATTTTCTGTGTATGTTGTTCATCGCAGCTCATGCAGTGTGGAGTGTAAACAACACAGCTGTGTGGAAACGAAAATAATTCTTCGTTCAGCATTACACAGTTTTGGTTTGAATTAGAGAATGTGAAATGACTGTCTCCAGTCATTGTGGCTGTGATGTTGTAATGTGAGGTTGTGAGAAACAGATTCTTAAGACAAAAAATGTGCAGACAGGAAAGAAGAGCCAGTTTATTATGTTATTTTAGTGTGCCCATTGATTACTTGTACCCCTTTAAAATTCAGCTTTATTAAGCAGTTAGTATCTTAATATTTAGTATTTAGTAACAATTGTAAATTATTTGGTAACTATGAAACCAATATGTAATATATATATATATATATATATATATATATATATATATATGAACTCACATACAGACCTTTGAGGGGCTAATACTTTCAATATATGAAATATTTGAGATTGTGACAAGCAAAAAAGTGTGAGAGAGATAATGAAACATCTAAAATTCACCAACAAGCAGCCCGATAGAATAATCACAGACTGTTAAGCAATGAAACGTTTTATAACAGCACAAAACAGTAAGAACATTTCTAGACATCTATTTCTGCACTGATCCAACTCTGTTTATCCAAATCCTGTCTATTCTCTCCAAAAGCCTCTGTTGTGCTTTAAGGCTTCAATAAGCTTGGACTGCAGCCGCTGCTTGCTGTTATACTGTGGGATCATGAGGATGCAGTGACAGGTGAGTGACTCTGGCAGGTGGTCCTGGGTGGAGTTGGGCAGGACAGACACAACCATTTTAACCTGCTCCATTCCAAGGATGGGTACACGATCACAGCCCGTCAAAAACACTGAGAAAAGGAAACAAAGAAAAGAATTGAGCGTGTTTGAAAGGGCTTTGAAGAATCAACCTAGAAGATCAGGTAAGTCATTTAGGTGCTTTTCAATACACTGAAAAAGCAGATTGAGTGTGTGCACATGATTTCCATGTGAATGGCCCAAGACTGGAGGTCAGGGAACCAGCCTTATGACCGGAAGGTGGACAGTTCGATCCCCTGAGCTGACAGGACATGACTGAAGTGCCCTTGAGCAAGGCACCTAACCCCCAGCTGCTCCATGGGCGCCGTGGATAGGGCTGCCCACCGCTCTGGGCAAGTGTGCTCACTGCCCCCTAGTGTGTGAGCGTTCACTAGCGTGTGTGTGGGTGTTTCACTGCACAGATGGGTTAAATGCAGAGGTGAATTTACCCATTGTGGATTAATAAAGGGTAACTTAATTAATTAAAATTAAGTAGGTAAACCTAAGGACAAAATTGTGTTGATGTATTAACGGAATGGTTCGGGAAAAAATTGAAATGACATAATTTTGCTTCTTTAGCACTAAAGCTATGAGACTAGTATTGCTAGCAAATGATCACAGACTAGTTGATATGGTTTAGGGCACCATATGACTTACTTTAAACTATAAAAATGCACACAACGTCACTGCATAGCCCAGGGGTCGGCAACCCAAACGTTAAGAAAAGCCATTTTGTCCTTTCAACAAAAATCAAACCACCCTGGGAGCCACAACTTTTTATGTCCATTTTACTATCTTGGCTGTAAATATGTCTCAGTATGTACTAGTACAAATATAAACGAAAACGCAGACTTACTTTGCTCTGCTTCAAGCTTTAGCTCAGCTGTCGCATCTCCACCAGGAAAAGCAGAATAATTTCTTGTAAAATGTCTTTCAATTTTCGACTTTTTGCGAGCCTAAGGTCAGCTTTTTATTCGTCAGCTTCTTCTTCTAACTTTTTTGCCATTCCACCTTAAATGGTGTCTGAGGCGGCAGAATGTTACTGCTGCACCATTTAAGATGGAACTGGAAAATTTGAACTAGAAGCTGACTTCAGCCTCTTTTTAGTGTTTTACAGTTTCTTGTTGCAGATTAAACGTATCAGGAAACCAGCTGGAGTGATTATAAATGCAGATAAGTCAGTTTGGCTCCAAATTATCGATGTTCGCCTTAAATCTCTCTCTCTCTTGTGATGCTGTGGTGATCAGCAGTCTGCATGCCAACAGAGTTAAAGGTTGGCGAATTAGCAGTTATAGGCTACTTTCACTACAGTGTTTAAGACCATTTATTGTTAAACTGTGTTAGAATGATTAGCAGAGCTTTATCTTAGTGCAAAAGAGGATTATTTTTACCTAAAAATCTAATTCTGCTGTGGAGCCACAACAGGGCAGTAGAAGAGCTGCCATTCACAATTTCTCTTGTTTGTATGTATAAACATACATCTTCAGTTTGAAAGTCAAGACCATTTACTGACAAAATAAAACAATAGAAATCGTGAACTCTGTGTAGCCCAAATACCTGCGTGATGTTCGTGCATACGATGGGCAGGGCACCTCAGAAACATGGCTAAGATATTGTCTAAAGTGGCTTCACAGAGGGTTCAGCTAGATGGTGAAGTTTTATTCATTTTTGTAGCTCACAGTAAGTCATACTGTGCCCTAAATCACATCGACAAGTCTGTGCAACCTTAATGAAGATCTAGATGCAGTTTGAGCAGATTGGAAGGAGTTTTAGGGGTGTATTTATGGGAAAAGATTTGGGTGACTATTGACTGCTAGTGTTATCAGCATTAGCATTGTAGATCTAGTGCTAAAGTAAAGAAGTAAAATTTCGACATCAAATAAGTCTTGGCTAATTCATTACATCTAAGGGAATTAAGAATTGTGTCCATTTGATTTTTTGCCAAACCATTGATTTGATGCAGACATTATGTATACATTTCAATCAAGCAAACTCATTATTTTTTCTGTGTATATTTTGTATAGGAGAGAAATAAGTCATTGCTTTTTGGATACATTGTTTCATTGCTTGTTGGAACATTGCTTGGAAGATTTGATTGCATTCAGCCACAAGTCAATTCACTAATGAGAAGTGATGTCTGGATACTTTTGGACACATAGTGTACACATTGATAGTCCATATACTCACAATTTATGCTTATGATGCCGATGATGACTGCAATACAGAGCTACTCAAACACTAAAAGACCAAATAGGTGGACTCACAGAGAAAGGCTTTCTTCTGTTCATCTGTCAGCTCCTCAAACACCTCCCAAAAGGTGACAATAGTGGGGTGTCTCACGTGGAACTGTCCGTCATAAACCGTGTTCTAAATTCAACAATAGTTTCACACTGAGTGTGCTACCATAACATGCTCCTATATATTGTATTGTATAAACAAATCAAAGGAGACCATGTAAGTATTTCTGACCTGTCGGAAAACATCCCAGTCATACTCTTCTGTGCCCACCATCACTCCTCTCAGCTCCTCTGGTTGGAAGAACTCCACCACGTCTCGGTCACACACTTTGTAGAAACCCCTCCTGAACTCCTCAAATACTCGCTCCACTGACTTGTTCATGGCGTAATCCACATAGGCATCCACAAACTCCTTTCTGTTGAAATAAACACAAAGGCAAAGGAAACTGTAGCCCACCTGTTGATGAACAATTTGCCAGTAAACCTCTATGCCGTTCATCACTGGTCAGTTTCTGAACACAACACTGAAGTTGACCAGATATACAGTACATTAAAGCAATAGTTAGGGGAAAAATCAAATGCACACAATTTTCCACTTACCCCAGATTTCTGTACAAATGCTTTTTTAGTTTAGTGCTGTAGCTGGGAGGCTAATGTTGCTAACAAACACTCGAAGTCAGTAGTCACCTAACTGTTTTCCATAAATACATCCCCAAAACCTCTTTCAACATGCTGAATTCACATCCTGGTCTTCATTATGGTGGTGCAGCCTTGTCAATGTGGTTTGTGACAAACTGTGAGCTACAAAACTTCACTGTGCAGCTGAACAATGCAGGCATCGATTTTGAAAAACAAACGTGCCAAATTCCACCTCTCTCTACAGAATCTAGATTATATTCCCTTTTTTTGTTGTTCCTATTCAAAAATATATGCTTCAGATCATGCACAACCTTAATGAACACCTGGTTGAGGTGTGAGTGTGTTGAGAGAAGTTCAGTTTGTATTTACAGAAAAGATTTGGGTGACTATTGACTCCTAGTGTTTGTTTGCAATGTTAGCCTCATTGCCTCATCACTAATAAAGTAGCAAAATTTGGACAATGAACATGTCTCGGCTGGTTATTAATACATCATTTAGTTATATAAAAGTTATTTATATACTAATGAAAAGAAACACGTGATGTAAATGTGCCACTGCTTCTTACTTATTAGCACTTGTCACAGGTTTTCCTTTTTCCTGAGGATCCAGCTCTACATTGACTCCCTCCCAGTGCACCTGCAATCCAGAGGAAAATACGTCAGGTTTATTTATACATTACTAGATACATCATACAGAAGTCTATAAATATCGGTTGGTTAGACTGCCCTTTTAATTAAGTTGACTGAAATGTCTCATACACAGAAGGTGGTGTCCATATTCTCAATGACATCATCAGTGTAGTCGTACAGAAGACATCTCAAACTCCTGAAAAACACAACCAGAGAGATGAAGCCAGTCCACTAACTTCCCACTGACTGCAATAAAATCTACAATATCACCATCAGATATTTCCACTTAGTGTTTCAACCCTTTTAGACACGCATAAAAAGTTCAAATGCAACGTCAAATGCAACAAGTAATGATTTCATAGTAAAGTTTGATTCTCTTACTTTCCAACTGTAGGCCTGAACTCAATCATGTCATCCAGGGTGGGCTTCACGTTAACCAGCTTCTTAAACATGGCCAGAGGGAAGGGCATGTGCACTATGTTGCTGTTATTCAGTGCTAGGCCACAGAGGATCCCTAACAGAAAGTACTGCTTTGATTCCACCTTGGGCTGGAAGAGAGATTCAGAGTGAGTCATCAGTCATGCATCCGCTTACCAACGGCCATTACTGAGGATTCGGAACAAACTGTGCTTTAATTATGGAATACTGGACTTTGTACCTGGGATGGGAACCAAATCATTGTTTGGGTGTCGTTGTACATGAACATCTCTGACTCCGGAGCTAAAAGCTCATTGAAGGCGTGGAGGAAGAAATCTCTTTTGTTGACAGCTGTCTGTTTGGAATCTTCAACAAATTCCACCTACAAGGAGCATGGAAGTTACAGCTGGGGCTATTATGATCATTACATTTTAGCTGACAATTAACTGTCATATAAATAACAGCAACTAATGATTACATTCATCTTTTCCGGTTGTTTGCAAATATTAAAAATACAAGCCTGAAGTGGCCAAATTGGCCGATTAGCCACCTTACTTGCTAGCTATGTTTTCTTAGTAGCCAACACTGGCTGCACTGTCCATTCGATACTGCCTGCACACTGCTGTGCCCACATAATCACACAAATATATATAGTTTTGTTTTCATACCTGCATGATGTTTCAGTGAATGAATTTACTGCTTCGTTTTAGTTGTATATACCCAATTCATTTTATTTGCGGCCTGAAATCTAATGTCTTACATGTATTTAAGCAGTCAGCTTAAATAATTGCAATCATCTCAAATAACAGCGATTAAGCGATTATCTAATCATTTTGACAGGCCTAGTTAACAAGTCCACCTTACCACAGTTCTCACTGGAGGTCTTCTAACTGCTATTAACCACAAAAGTATCTCTTAACTTTTCTGACAGTCTTTTACATAAAATATTGTTTATACACTCTTTACTCTGCTGCATGGAGGGCAGTGATATTAGCCACCCCTTACAAAACACAGTTACTTGTATGTACTTCTCAGAGATATACTAAATAAAATTATACTATTATAGTATACTGTGCTTATACTGACAAGTATACAGAAAAGTCTAAGTACATTTGGCCTTCACTTGTACTTAATCTTTCGATTGAGATATACTTAAGAAAAGCATAACTAAGTTTTCTCACCTTCTACATAAAGTTTTAAGTATACTTGGCTGGTAGTTTGGGGTGGAATAGTTTAGAGTAAACAGTACATGGGTGGAGCTGAACATGATCTTTTATGTAAATTGTAGAGAAGTACAACCTGTTTGTGGGACTGATTTCGGAGAGGCTGCATGACACAAATTCTAGTATCAACTTTCACTAAAGACTGTGTTCATTGTAGAGGTTGCACAGACTAGTCTAGTAGTTGACTTTACTGCTTAATGTCCACTAGTCCCTGATCATGTGAGTATGACACCAACAACATGGACACCCCAGAGAAGACGACAGGTGAGGAGCCTGGTGATTTCAGGGTCCGTATCTCCGGTTTCCTGATGGCTAACAATGCACTCCAGGGCATGTCATGCTCTATTACCCTGTGGAGTTTGGCTTCATTCTAACATTTCTCTGCAGGTCTAAAGTGCTTCAGAATCGGATATTGAACATTGTTATCTCCAGAATTCCAAAGACTACAATATAAAGTCACGTGTCATTGGAGAGGGGGCATAAGGTCCTACAATCCTGTAAAGTCCGAAGTAAGTTACTCTTTTTTCCGCCGAGTTACCGTGCTCTCAATTTCTCGGGCTTGCTGGACCTCCACCGTGGGCAAGTGTCTCGGCAAGGCTGCGTAGGGTGCACCTAAGTCGGACACAAAGTTGCCAGATTCTGGCGTTTGTACCTTCGATTCCCTGAGGGCAAGCAATGCAATCCCAGGCTCTCTGAAAAAGGCACTTCACAGTCGACTGGCCTGTCCAGGTTGGCTTCACATATTTTTTAATTTGCTTGTTGCAAAGCGTTCCCTTCTCCTGTGGTTTTATTCATGCTTCATCAGTGATTAGTCAATGTCGACTCGACATACCTGTCAACTTTACAAAATCGTCAAATTTAAAGTCATGCAAATTTAAAGTCATGCAACCCCTAGTTCATACTGTGTGTTTGTTTTGTTTAATACTGACCTAAAATGTCAGTTTGAGATGTTATGTTCTTATGTTTTGGCATTAAAAGCCAAATTTAATTTGTTTGAAAAATTTAATTTATAAAGAAAATGAAGTTTGTAGTCCACTGGCAGTGTTCTTATTAGTTAACTTCAAATCTACTCAAAGTATAGTTAAAGGTATATTTCAAGTATAAAAATAATACCTAAGTAGAAATCTAGTAGCATATTTAAAGTGCAAAAATAATATATAAATAGTAAACTATAAATATTATAAAGAAAACTTACAAGTATACTTGCAGTATAAAAACTACTATCTTTTAAACTGCCAGGGCCCATCAGCGAGCCCAAAGTTTTACTACACACTTCTATAACCTGAGAATAGCCAGTTTGCATTGGAGTCCTTGTAGTTACTGAGTATTCATCTTAGTATGTAATAAGTCTGAGATTTTAAGGGATTCCACTAGTAATGTACTGAGAGCATACTTAAAAGTGTATTTTCATGAGCCAAAAAGTGGGCTAGAGATATATATCTAGTAAAGAGTATACCTGAAAGTTCACTTTTAGTATAGTTCACAGTATAGTTGAGGTACAAAATAAATCTTACATGTAAACTAGATGTGTACTCAAAGTTAACTACTCTCACACCTAAAGAAAACTTAAATGATACTTTCAAAATCTAAAAGGTGGGCCAATGTAGTCCAGAGAAATACTGAAATGGTACACTTATGAGTATATTAGCAGTACATTGATATTAGTGAACTTATTACATAAAGTATACTTGGGAAACATACTTGAAATTTACTTGAGTTTACTTAATAAAGTGAATTTTATAGTATATTGTATACTGTTTTTGTAAGGCACTATGCTACATCAACCACCAGTTCCACATTTTCTTGGCTAATGAAAACACTAACTGTCACCAAAATTCTAGCTTTGCTAATAATGAACAGACCTCATGTTCCTGGATGCACTTGTGATAACAGACACCTGTATTAGCATTCATCAGGGAAATACTGCTTTAATCTCGTTAGATGGATTGAGAAAGGAGTGCCCACCAATAGCTCCTTTTTGAAGTTGTCATGGTCAGCATAGGAGAGCTGTCGGAACGCGTCCTCCAGCAGAGCAGTGCGTCTCAGTCTAAGCAGGATGACAGGCGTCGGGGCCTGTGTGTACAAATCCTGAAGCAGCCCAGCCGACACTTGGCCATGAATGAAGGAGTGGGTCATCTGAAACACATGTAGTTCTGTTATTTTTCAAAGGGCTTTCAAAAAGGCATGCAGCACATAGATTATCTTATGTTAGGCCTACAGGCAAAATAAAATATATCAATGTTCAGTTGTCAGGATGATTTGAACACTACAGTGCTTTTGAGAAACTGTTCAAATTTGATGAAATTATGCCTAAACTCATCAAATGTCTACTTCTCTGTAGTGAGTGTGATAACAAATGCACAATATTAACTGCATAACAACAACAGGAATACCTTTGTTATGGCAGCATCGTAGTTAAAAATGTTTATCTTGCTCTGCAGATCCAGAAGAAACGGGTAACGGCAGAAAACAGGTGGCAGAGCATCCACTTCCTCTCAAACATAAATAAATATATGAGGAGTATAAGACATAAATAAGGTTATAAAACAAGGACATGGTCATTAATGTGAAACTCTGCGCTTATGAAGCATTTTTGACTGTCCTCTTATGAGGACTTTTCAGCCTGCTAAACATGAGTGAGTGAGTGAGTGAGTGAGTGAGTGACAAGCCAGGTCCATGAGGTGCTTTGTATCGTAAAATTAATTTTTGTTCAATCTGATCGTGCCTTACCTGAACCTGCCCCCATTTAAGCTGCCGCCACAGCGTAACATCCTGTTGGAGTAACAGAGGTGACATGCCGATCTCCTCTATGTAGAACTCATTGAGGGGAACTTTCCTGGATCTCGCCACCCTTTTGTTGCTCTTTGAAACGAATACATGAAATCAGTCTTCATCTACTACTGTAGTTTCCAAGTAGTTGTAGTAGTTTGTAGTATCCAAACTATTAAAGCTAGAACCAAAGGCTTTTATCAATTTTTTTTATCAATTTCATCAAATGTGTAGGACCATGTAGATCAAATACAATACTAGGGCTGCATGATAAACCATACTTATTGTTTAAGCAACACACATTGCGCATTCAGTCACAGACGCTCTATTTTAATCATAATTTATTGTTTCTAGGATCATCTTCACGATATCCAACAGCTTTGCATTTTATGTTCGAAGTGTGCAGCCCTATACAATATTATGCAAGTTAAAATGACATCGGATACATCATAGCCCTTTACACTGATCAGGCATAACGTTATGACCACCTCCTTGTTTCTACGCTCATTGTCCATTTTATCAGCTCCACTTACTATATAGGTGCACTTTGTAGTTCTACTATTACAGACTGTAGTCCATCTGTTTCTCTGCATACTTTTTTAGCCCCCTTTTACCCTGTTCTTCAGTGGTCAGGACCCCCATGGACCCTCACAGAGCAGGTACTATTTGGGTGGTGGATCATTCTCAGCACTGCAGTAACACTGACGTGGTGGTGGTGTGTTAGTGTGTGTTGTGCTGCTCTGAGTGGATCAGACACAGCAGTGCTGCTGGAGTTTTTAAACACCTCAGTGTCACTGCTGGACTGAGAATAGTCCACCAACCAAAAATATCCAGCCAACAGCATCCTGTGACCACTGATGAAGGACTAGAGGATGACCAACACAAACTGTGCAGCAGCAGATGAGCTATCATCTCTGACTTTACATCTACAAGGTGGACTGATAAGGTAGGAGTGTCTAATAGATTGGACAGTGAGTGGACACTGTTGAAAAACTCCAGCAGCACTGCTGTGTCTGATCCACTCAGACCAGTGCAACACACACTAATGCACCACCACCACGTCAATGTTACTGCAGTGCTGAGAATGATCCACCACCCAAATAGTACCTGCTCTGTGAGGGTCCATGGGGGTCCTGACCACTGAAGAACAAGGTAAAAGGGGGCTAACAAAGTATGCAGAGAAACAGATGGACATACATGTGCACCAAAATGGGAAAAATGATCACAGTGAGGTCAGACCGCTTGTGGAGGGATGATCATCATCCTCCATGACATGTACAACCAGTTACCACTTTATCCTGTTCTGCCATGCAATGTTTTTCATTTTTTAAATGATTTTAGAATGCCAGCTTCCAATCAAACTATGTCAGAATTCCATGATAAACAGGCCAAAAGAAATGTTTCAAAATTATTAGAATAAAATTGTTACATTAACTTATATTGGAAATTAAGAACGCTTTCTCCTTCTGCTGTTAAGTTACAATGAATGACGATTTGAAAGATGCTAATAATAACGGGACACACTGACCTTGTATAGATACTTGAGGACTTCCAGCACAGCTTTCACTCCTGGGATAAATGATAACCACACATTGGCCTTCAGGAGGAAGGCAAGTGCACATTTCCACATGCAAATATGCTTGGACATCATAGGGGCTTCCATGGAGGACCAGTAATCCTCTGCAGAGACAATAACCATTAAACATTAAAACATACACTCAATCACTGTAACTTACAGCTTGTTTTAATACTGGATTTAACATGCTCTTGTCCTTTTGGCCCTGCTGTTTCCCCTTGGGGGAGTCCCTGATGTCATCTTAAGGGGTGTTACATTAATTTATTGTTCAAAATGAACTTTTTTAGATGAACACTCAGAAGTTTAGGGATTAAGTGAATACAAGTGTCGACACCAGAACTTTCCTTTTCAAACCTAAAAATGCCAGATAAAGCTGTTCATTGCTAAACCAATTAGCAATGAACACTGTGAACAATTATGCCAGGTATATTTTCTCCACAATGTTTCACATCAGACCACCCTGAATGACTCTATTTACATCTTAACCATTTAATTATGTGGAAACTTTGAAAAACTGATGGAATTCCCTTTCCCAGATACTTGTTAAGGGCCTCTGGGCCATAAAGTCCACCTATGTGACAACACTACAAGTAGCACTGATTCTTTGTTCTGTGTCTATGCATAATTTTGAGCAGTAAGTTAGATGTATGTAATAAAGTGGACAGTGAGTGTTTATACATTTGTCTCGTTATCATTATTAACAGAGGCGTATGCACATGTGCACTACCAATTAAAGGTTTGGAATCAATGCTCTAATTTTCTAGCCCTGAAACTTCACAGGTTTCATCTTCTTAGAAAGCTAAAACCTGAAATAATAAGACTTTGTAGATGATTACAGAATGATGCACAGAGCTGTAGATTTTTTTAATTGCTGACAAAGCTGTAAAACATTGAGAATGAAGTTAAAATAAAGTTAATATCAGAATGCCTCTCGCTTCAAAAGTGGTGACCAAAAGCGGAGGCAAAAGTTTTTCTAAATAAAGTTGTTTGGTCGCAAATTACATGTTTTGTTGATTTTCTAAGTGAAAAGAAGTAAACACATCCTCCACACACTTCTGCACAATTAATACACAATTACTATCTATTTGCTGAATTGTAAATATTAAAAAAATAAAATAAAATGTGCCCTGTGCAAAGGCTGAGGCACATTTTGTAGTTAGTTTTTTTTCCAATATGTCAAATATGTTTCTTAAAAAGAAATAAATAGAATAACCTTCTTGCATATGGCTGTAGATAATTACACTATATTTTTCATCATTTCCCCAGGAGCTGGAAGGATATGTGGCTTAGAAAAACAAAACATCAACAAAACATATATATTGAATATAAATTTAGAAAATGATTAATACGACAAGAAATTCCAAACTTTTGATCAGTAGTGTATATATTTAAAAGATGATAGCCAGAATGTGTGTTTCGTAATGTCCATCTGATCTTACTCAAGGTTTTCATGGCAGAATCATTAAGCGCTGTTATGGCTACTGCTAATGGCAGCACCAGTTCAATGACATTCCGGTCTTCGTGAAGAATAGAGCAGGTGGGTAGAAGCAGGAAGATCTCTGGGCACTTCATCACCGGTGCAGCAAGCCAAAGGTTGTGCACAAGCGGATGGATGTTAACCTGGAGCAAAATTACAGTATGTAACACAAAATATTATGGCACCACAGTTAACATATAAGTAGAACTGTTACTAATTTGTCCCCAGCTGCGCAAACGTATTTGGGATTAAAGGAATGATTCAGCAAAAATCAGTTTCACCCTCTACCCCAAACATAGTCAACCAGCCACATTTGGAGCAGGGCTATGTCACCTAAAATATTTTGGGTGAGAAAAATTTCCATTACTTGTTATTTACATCAGCCTTATAACTCTAGTGCAAAACTAAAAAAGAAAACATTATAAACCAAACATGTCCTGGTTGAATGACTGTGTTTGTGTTATGGGGGAGGTTGCTTGAATATTATTTTTTGCTGAACAATTTCTTTAACCCCTTAGATTCCCAGCCTTCTTACCATCTACATTCTGTTGTCCCATAAATACATAGAAAACAATGCAAACTGGAGTTATTTGTAAGTTATAGCTATTAAGTGAGGAATGGAAGCCTGGACATATCTGCAGGTCCTGACCACCTAATGCCCATGTGTCAAACACCAGGCTCGCGGGCCAGATCAGGCCCATCACACAATCCCATCTGGCCTGCAAAAGTTGTTTTTTCTATTAATATTAGCCTGTTTCACAAAGTGCTGCACTTCAGTCCCCAGCAAGCACTGCAACGCAATGTGCTCCAAATTTCCCACCCCAATAACAGTCTATGGGACAGAGGTTAGACCTCAGTTCTACACAATTCTGCGCAATTCCACACTAGTCATATCACCAAACACACTAGCTGTGTTTTAGCTGCAGTTCAACCAACATAAACACCTAATGTCAGCTCAGCAGCTCAGAATGAACAAACTTGCAGCAAAGAAAAGATGTCAGAGAAAAGATTTTCCTCTGGCCCATGGATTTGATGAGATTTTTTAAAATGGCTCTTTTACTGGTTGAGTTTGACACCCCTGACCTAATGTGTTAAGACACTCACTAATGCCATCTTCACTTCCGTTACCATCTCATGATGGTCATTCTACTCCAGTGTTTTAGAAAATCACGCATGATCAATAACTGCCTATATACAAGAACTTTTTATACATTTCACAGTAAAAAATCTGACGATTTCTATAATAACACTAGATAAGATGTAGATTTTCATACACTTTACTTGTGCATGTTTTATACCTCAACTGCCTTCTTGATCCAAGGAATCTTCAGGATCTTGTCAAAGGTCTGACTGGCAGCATCCAAATCAACCGCTATAGTGCCTGGAGAATTCCTTCGAACAGCTCCACTACAGGCAGAGAAATATTTGGTGAAAATAAAGACGACACAAGTAACAAAACTTCCAAAATGTTCAGGTGGACAGACTTACTTGTCCTTCATGAAACAAGCGACAAGACTTGAACTTGTAGAAAAAGTCAAGCCCACCTCCCTGTGAAAAATCAGACATGTTCCCCAGTTTGGTTAGATCTGCTGGTCCATTTGAAAGCTAGAAGCAAGATTCCAGATTCGTCCTACCTTTTAGCTTCCTCAGTGTATCTGTCTCTCTCTAACACCGAAACCCATCTCTGCACTCGGGCGTCGTCTAGTTTTCCAATCGGCTCACCAAGAACAGATTTCTTCACAAAAAGAAAAAGTGTCATTTTATTTTCATCATTAAATCATGTTTGAGTGTTTACAATATAGCTGTTTTAAAGGGGAACTCCACCGATTTTCCAAAATTACTTAATAATTCAATGGTTTAGATGTGAACAAAATCATTTAGAGTGGTTTGGTGTGAAATGCGCCTTTCCAAAGAAATTTACAGAGTGAGAATTGTTCACCAATACAGTACTAGGAACCAGACATCCGGCGGGTTTAATGACTGAAAGCTACATCTCATTAAGTTATTATACAAAATGAGTATGAATGCATGGCTTGATACCTGAGACATTGTTTTGTGAGTATTTTGATAGATAGATAGAATGCTTTATTAATCCCAGAGGGAAATTCTTCTATTGCAGCAGTACAAAGCACAGTAAAGCACTTCTGTTATAAAGTTTTGGCCTAAAATGTATTTTTTTCAATTCAGCACTGTTTTACCATAATCAGCATGACATATAAAAACTTAAGACACATGTAAGTTCACTGGCCATTTGGGATAGCAGATAAAATGGTGATATTTGTAGTGCAGACATAATGATGTCTGGTTCCTAGTACTACAATGATGAACAATTTTGACTCTGTAAATTTCTCTAGAAAGGCACATTTCACACCGAACTAATCTGAATGACTTTGTTTACATCTAAACCATTAAATGATTAATTCATTTTGCAAAATTGATGGAGTTCCCCTTTAAGCATTTCTGAAGCATATATTTACCTTGGGAGGGGGAAAGAAAAGGAAGTTGGAATTCCAGCCTGAGGAGATCCTCACTTCTAATTTTAATTCAAAGATAAGAAATGATTATTGTTTTCTTTAAAAGTATTTTAACAAATTTAGTGCACAATACTGTTTGTCTGCTGAGTTTAACAAAATGAACAAAAAAAAACATCAAATCTAAAATGTACCAAACTTTTGTAAACAACTGTATATTAATGCTGAGGGGATGGAGAGCTCCTGTACCTCTCTGTCTCTCCGCCCCTGAACTGTTCCAGGATCCCTCCAGTCTTACAGGTCTCAGGCTGTTCTCTGTGCTGCCGTTGCCCAGCTGACCATTGACCCCTTGCCCAAATGCAAAGAGGACACCCGACGGCATCAGAACCAGAGTGTGATGGCTGTAACAGTACAGATTGATTAATCAATTAGTTAGATTTGACTAAGAGAATATAAGAGGCTACACAGATCAAACTGCACACAGATCACCAAGTAATGTCCTCTCTAATAAACCCTTTACTCAGAAGTGTAATAGTCCCCCAAAACAAATTTGGGAAAGCAGCCTTTGTCTACTATGCACCCAAACAGTGTACCAAAAAGTATTAGAGAGGCTCGGTGGACATTTTTAAACAACAACTTAAGACATTCCCTTTTACTCAAGCTTACAACTGACAAAATGCTTTTTTTGCATTTATTTATTTTATCTATTGTTTTGATTTATTTTAACCTATATATATACATATATATATATATATATATATATATATATAAATAAATTTGTTATATACATCATCTAAACCGCTTATCCTTCTAGGTCGCGGTGGGGTGCTAGAGCCTATCCCAGCTTTCCTTGGGCGGAAGGCAGGATACACCCTGGACACCAGTCTATCACAGGGCATATATATATATATATATATATTATACATATATATACATTTTTTTTTTGCTGTGAACTCACACTTAATACACACAGAATGTGTTTACCCTCTGTTGTCCAGGTCTCAGTGCATCACTCCATTGTGTTAAATTTTTAAAGAGAAAAATACTTCATACATTTTATACATACATCAGTAGGTGATTACCTTCCACAGGTTACTTGCTTAGCTTGTCCATCAATACCTTCCACCTTCCTAGGCAGAAGCTCCCTACTAGTAGAGTTGTGTCCAAGCTGACCATGTGTTCCATCTCCAAAGGTATAAACCTCTCCACCCTAAATAGAATAACACGTTTTCAGGAACTGTATGATGAGGGGGTGATGTAGAATGTATACATGTGAAAACTACAACAAAGTACAAAAAATGTGTGGAACATACACAAAAGCTGTACAGTGTATTATATTTAGTATACAGCACTTATTAAGTGTATATTATTGTATAAGTGTATAACTATATTAAAATTGAGAAGACACTAAAGGAAGGTGTTGTTTCATTTTAAAGGCTAGCACTGACAAAATATCAGATCATTTAGCACCTTTCTTCCATGCCCTCTAGGGGTGGGACAAAAAAAATCGATCCAGTATAATATTGCAATATTTTGGATTTAAAAACGGTATTGATACACAGAGGCCCAATGATCAATAATTTAACTGAATTACTAATATTTTGAACATGTTTTATCAAGTCCATTGATTAAGACCAACAACCTGGATTACTTTAGTCCTAATCCACAAGAGAGCACCGTTTCCTTCAATACCTTTTTAAACATGCGCTCACCCGCTTCAACTCACCACTCAGATATGTGCCACACTTACTTTACACAAGTAGCTATTCACAGCATAGTGGAAGGAGGGGAAGAGCACTCAGCAGGTTAGCCTCAGCGAGCTAATCCGCTATCCATGCAAACTTTGCAATATAAAACATTTTAACAACAAAAAGTTTGAACATTATGTATTTAAAATTTGGGAATAACTGCTTTTTCTGGCTATAAACTTAGAGCTGTCATGCACCGCCTTTCTTCTTGTTTTTGTTGGCCATGTGGCCCTTAGCATGCTAACTAGCAAGCTAGCAGAGTAAATGAAGTTGTATTAGCAGTCATGTACAACAGATGATGTAGTCTGCAATGAAAAGCCTAGCAGATTGAATGTTATGAATCAGAATATGAAGATTATGAATCTGCCATTTTGGTTTGAAAAGGGAAATACGTCAGACCACAATGATTTCTGGCTAAGATGTGTTCCCTCAGCCCACTGAGGGCTCATCTAACACACCTCATTTGAGCTGATAAAGCACTGGAACGACTCTTAGGGCTGTTAAAACCAATACTGAAACGGGTGGCAAGGATTCTAGTGAATGGGGCTTTTCATTGAAACGGTCAGACAGCGCCATGGCTAACATGCTTGCCCTTTACACAGGAGCAGAGCAGAACCAATAATCAGAACCACCACTATAATATGCCAGTAACAGTCACTGATTAGAGACTCCTAAAGTTAGATTTACCTGCCACTGTTGTTCCTTTATAAAAGCATTTGTTAACTATATGAGGATGAAATACGTTTTGAACATTTTTATCTACCACACAAATATAGGCATCTGCTTAATATGTAAATATAAGGAGAGTTTTTTGAATATTGCTTTGTGTACTTCACAATTCTGTTTTGCTACATCAGTAAAAAGACTGAAACGAGATGAACGAGGAGTAAAACAGTACCTTAGTGAGGACAGCAGTGTGTGCTGCTCCACAGCTGATGGAAGCGATGGGCAAGGACCTCAAAGCAGGAATAGCACAGATTGTAAAGCGGCCTAGCACAAAAAAAAAACAAAAAACGCTATGTTAGAAGACTTAAAAGAAAATATTAAAAAATAAAAGCTGTACAAATGTGCTAATGTGACTGATGGATAAAAGCTAATAGCACCCAGTTGGTTGTCAAAATATGATTTGCAATTGTTAGCAACTGGGTCATCCCAGCTCATCACCATTAGATTCAGTATGAAGAAACACAAATACAGCAAAATCTAACAAGAATTCATTGCTTTAAAGTTTTTAATATGTTGTTTAGAAGAACACAGTTGGAAGAACACCATTTTGATTCCTACTGCACTCCAGTCATTGTATAGATTTGTTAAATTCCATCAGCAGCACTTGAAATAATTTAATGAAAGTCTGATTAGATAAACTAAACATTTTGCACTATTTCTACAGGGACCATGCAGGAACAGAGTAATTAGTCCTGTTAACAGCTCTGGGAAAGTGCTGTATTTCTCTCCTAAGGCCCAATCCCATTTCACCCCTTACCCCTTCCACTTATCCCAACCCCTTTGTTTTGCGTGTTCATGTCTAGGCGTAGGGTGTACCAATTTTAGTTGAGATAGAGGGGTAGGGTGAAGTGTTAGGGCTACATGGCCCTCTAAACGGAGGTTTTTCAGAGGCTCACTCCAACAGAGTATTATGAGAAAATGAGAAATACCAGCAAGATGGCTGTGCAAGCGACCAAAGAAACCCACAAATGTGAGAATTTTCAACATGAAAAAATACAATAATCACTTTATTATCTTAGTTTAATGTCGTTTCAATGTATTATGGTCCTTTTCTTCATAACAAGCCTAAAAAAATCGCTTGTAGTATGCTAATGCCTCGGGAGCTAGCTAGCTAGCTAAATTTCCCGTTCCACCTTAAATGGTGCAACAGTTTCATTCTGGCGCCTCAGGCATCAGAACTGCTGATCCATTTAAATTGGAACGAGAAAATCTGAACAAGAAGCTGGCGAATAGCGACTTCAGCTTCATATCACTGAAGAATTAGAGGTGGGTGATAATAAATAATTGCCCCCTCTTTGAAGGCATATGATGAGGTTGCTGAACTTTACCCTTCTTTGCTGTCACTGTAGACTGGCAGCGTCGCCTACAGAGCACCACTAGTAGCCTGTTAATGAAGTGATGTTCTTTTTTATTTGAGGGTCCCATTTCATAGAGAAATAGTTCATACACTCCCCCTTGAAACTCAGTTCCAAAGGGCAAGGTGACTCTCGAAAACAGGGGTTTAGGGGTAAAAATGGTAAAATTAATAAATGGGACTGGACCTAAGTTTTGCAAAAACACAGACAAATAGGCAAATGGGTCTGCAAAGATCCTTCCGACAGCTGCTAACAGACTAATTACTTGGTTCACACCCTGTGTGTGATGTAATAAGTAAAGCAGTTACCAAAATGAGTGCAATGTTCTGTATTTATATCAGGTGGAATGTAACAAAAGCACAGCACCTTTATCATCAGTCCTTTTGAGGCCCAGCTGTCCAGCACTGTTTGCCCCACAGCAGAAGACTTGTGCTGAGCTGGTGAGGGCAAGAGTGTGGGCTCCTCCTGCAGAGATCTGAATGACTGGCACTCCAGTGAGAGCTTGCACCAGGGCAGGGATGGCCTGCAGGGCCACAGCTTTCCCCAGACCCAGCTGACCATAGCTATTCTGGCCCCAAGCATACACCTCGCCTCCTTAAAAGAGAAAGTTGTGTTTCTTTCATCATTGTTGCTTATTCTATGTATGCTGGCATATCACACCTTTATTACACCCTTTATTACATTTGATGTAATGATATTCTACTGTTTTTATATCTATTTTTTTCTAAAGTCTAAAGTTAGTGTGGTTTTTATGCTACAAAACCAGTTGTAATTCATTTTTAGATGACCATTTTCAACTTATCTTTGTCCCCTAGAATTAGACAGACTGTTATTGTTTCTGTGCCTTTAATATTAATATATTTAAATGTCCTCTGTTCTGATTGGCTGTGCTCTGTTTTGCCTCATTCAAAAAGCAGTCCAGGCTGGAAAGTACAGAACAAACAAATCAGACTGAAATCCCTGGGGACATAGGAAACAATAAACTTCTGCCACCCTTTTATGATATCTGGATCTTTATAAAGGCTGCAGTGATACATTTACTTCCCGACAATCAGGAACAGTACAATGTTTAGTCATTTTTTCCTTCACATCTTCCACTCTTTTAACTCTGCAGTGTTCAACATGAACGGATGGGGCTAAAATGCTGTAGGCTGAATTGACAGTCATACATAAATGTGTCTATGGTTGTGACATCACAACCATGATAAATTCAAAATAGGCTGTTTGTTGAGAGTAAGGAGTACATTTTAAAACACCACCACTGTTTATCTGTATATATCTTTATTGATCATATACAGTTGTAAAAGTCTGAACACCCCTGGTCAAATTGCATGTTTTGCTTTTTAAGTGAGAATAAATCAACACCTCCTTTTCAGGGAAGAAACTTAAACAAATGTGTTTTTCAGCAAGTTGTATTGCATACTTTCTATTATCTGTTGAGTTTATTGGGAAGAATAAAATATAAAATATACAATGTGCCATAAGTTCTGCACAAGCCAAATGTATTTTCACTTAGAAAATCAACAGAATTTGACCAGAGGCACCCATACTTTTGCAAATGACACTAAAAACATACAAAGATGCATGTTTATATAGTACAAAACGTTTATGTCCAAAAAGCAATCAAAATTCTTTTTCTATGATACAACCTCTTTAAAGAAGGTTATTGGTTATGTTGTCCCACAACCAGACTTACCTTTGGTTAGGGCCAGAGAATGGAAATTTCCACAAGCAATCTGTACTACTGGTATTGGTAAAGGCGATGGTACATGAACAGGTCTGGAAAAAGCAGATATGTTAGGAAAGATAAGGAAAAAAGGAATAATAACATAAATAATATGGCAAAAAATAAAGAATTTACACCACTGGTTCATTTTCATGTAGGTCCTCCTTTTATCTCTCTACACCAGGGGTGCACAACTTCGGTCCTGGAGGGCCGGTGTCCAGCACAGTTTGGTGATTTACCTGTTCAAACACACCTGATTGCACTTATCTGTTAATTGTCAGTTTTAGTGGGTGTGTTTGAGTAGGGAAACCTCCAAGCTACGCTGGACACTGGCCCTCCAGGACTGGAGTTGTGCACCCCTGCTCTACGCTCCTAATGTTTTCCCTGCTGTCTATATGAAGGAATGAGTGTAACTTTTCATAGTTTCAGAATAGCATCTACACCTTTTGTCACTCTTTCTGGAGCTCCAGAAAGGATGTTTTTTACACGGTGAAAGCAAGAATCAGACTCTGAGAAAGAGAAGAGGCATTCAAACTTTTCTAATCTTTCAAAGGGAGTTACGCTAAGGGCTCAGGGTCATCTCCTGAGATACTGTACTGTGAAGGCTAGGACATCACCCCCTGAGAGCCAGAGTGTCTATGGCCTTACAGAACTGCCTGCCAGGCGAGAGTAGAGGATTACACAGTACAGCCTCTAGTAAGTGTGGGCAAAAACATTACTGACATTAGAAACATTTTGCGATACACAATACGTGAACATGTTCTTTAAGTATTGACGATATCCACAGTTTGCCTAGAAGATCATTACATTGCCCACCTTACTGAAATCACAAACAAGTTTTAGTCGTGTTCAGACGTTTGTGCCCCTCTGGTCAAATTACATGTTTTGTTGATGTTCTAACTGAAAACAGGTTAACACATCCTCTAAAGGAAACACACTTCTGCACAATTTAATGAATAATTACTCATTATTTGCTGAAATTAACATATTGGGGAAAAAAATCAAACATAAATTGTCTCCTGTGCATAAGTCATAGCACATTCTATACTTTATATATATTTTTTTTTCCAATATGTTAAGCACAGCAAGTAAATAGAAACTGTGCACTAAACTATGGCAGAAAAATGTCATATTTAAGTTCCTTGTACAGGATTATTAACTTATATTCACTTAGAAAATCAACAAAACCAGTGTGCTCAGAGTTTTACATAGAAATGTACATGAAGTCGCTACAATTAAAGTACTTTCATTAATCCTGCTACTGCTGGAATACATCAATGCTCAGTCACGTATCTACACTGTACCTGTGACTCACAGTTAAGGTTCATTTTCACTAAACCTTCAAACGCTCCAGTTACAGCTTTCTGTACTTACACTGTCAATAAGTATCCAACCCCCATTCTAATTACTGAATTCAGCTACTTTAATGCTCATTGCTGTAGTCTGTCTTTACCCTGGTTTAGTAGATTTTGCCACCGGACTGCTGACGCCCAGCTGACCTTCTCCACCTCCTCCCCAGGAGAACACCTGACCCGAGTCACACAAGGCCAAACTGTGCTCCTGACCACAGGCCACAGAGGCTACTCCCCCCAGACCTTCAATCACTACAGAGAGAGAGAGAGAGAGAGAGAGAGAGAGAGAGAGAGAGAGAGAGAGAGAGTGAGAGAAGAGAGAAAGAGGAAGGGGAGAGAGAGACACAAAAAGAGAAAGAGAGAGGGGGGAATGACACAGAGAGAGTTGGGGGCAGAGAGACCAAGAGGAGGAAGAGAGAGAAGACACAAGAGGGAGAAAGAAAGAGATAAGAAAGAAACAGATGGGGAGAGAGATGTGGAGAGACAAAGAGCGAAAAAGGGGGAAGAGAGAGAGAGAGTGTAGAGACATTAGAGAGAGAACAGAGAGAAAAAGATTATAGAGAGAGAGAGAGAGAGGGGGACAAAGACAGAAAGAGAGGAGAAAGAGGACAGAGGGACAGAGAGAGAGACAGAGAGAGAGATAGGGAGGGGAGAGACAGAGAGAGAAACAGAGAGAAAGAGAGGGTAGAGAAAGAGAGAGAAACAGAGAGAAAGAGAGGGTAGAGAAAGAGAGGGACGAGAGAACAGAGAGAAAGAGAATGTAAAGAGACAAAAGAATGAAAAAGGGGGAAGAGAGAGAACAGAGAGAGTGTAGAGAGAGGAGAGAGAGAACAGAGAGAAAAGGAATATAGAGAGAAAGAGAGAGAGAGAGAGAAAGAGAGAGGGGGGAGGAAGTGGGACAGAGAGACAAAGACAGAAAGAGAGGAGAAAGAGGACAGAGAGACAGAGAGAGACAGAGAGAGATAGGGAGGGAGAGAGAGATAGGGAGGGAGAGAGAAAGGGAAAAGAAAGATAGAGGGATGGGGAGAGGCAGAGAGAGAAAACAGAGAGAAAGAGAGTACAGAGAAAAAAGAAAGAGCGAAAAAGGGGGAAGAGACAGAACAAAGATAGAAAGAGACAGAGAGTGTAGAGAGAAAAAGAGCGACGGAGTCAGAGAGAAAAAGGGGAAGAGAGAGAGAACAGAGAAAGAGTGTAGAGAGATTTAAGCATGTACTTTATTAATTACAACACATCGCTAAAGAAGACATTCACATTTATATCAGAACCTTAAAGCTGTGATTATAAATGATATTACATATAATATAGTGATACATCTATGAGAGTTTATATGATATAATATGATGAAGTACTGGTTATATATGGTTATAACAGTCATTATGCAGATGTATTACAGCTGTGTAAGATGTCGAAGCTAAAGCTGTGGTTAAAGCCCGTCTTCCAGCTGATGTGGATCAGAGCCAAAGTTTCACCAGAGCGGCTGCAGAAACGAAACTGAAACGGCAGCGTTTCGCAAGAATAGAACAAACACATAAATAAATAAACAAATAAGATGCGCCTCACATGATTAATGAAAATGTTGGCGCACACGACTCAACACTGAGGAGAAAATGAGAGAAAAAAACACTTTCCACCTTGTTCCCTTTCCAGTCTCTCACTGTCTCTCAGGGCGAGTAGAGCCAGACTGATTTATCTGTCATCATCACTGAAAAACCCTAATAAAGCGCAGAAACAGCTGAGAGCTGAAAGTGAAGCTCTACCTGGTACTTTAGTCTCTTTGCTCTTCGCTCTGCCCAGCTGTCCTTTAGAGTTCCGTCCACAGGTGAAAACTCGGCCACCTTCACTCACAAACACAGTGTGCTGCTCTCCACACGACACACTCACTATCTGTTCACCAAACGCATTCACCAAGGTCGGGGTGGTGAGAAAGCTGCCCTCAGCTCCGGGTGAGAGGAGCTGACCTCTGGACGCGTCTCCCCAGCAGAACATCCTGAGAGCGCTGCTGAGACTGAGCTGACAGGAGCTGGAGAGGAGATCCGACGAAGAGCTCCAGCGCACGACACCTCCCTGCTGGCCACTACCTGACACTACCTCAGCTGTGATGTAGCTGCTTTAGCGTGCAACGCTATATTTTACACAGTGTTTAGGTGGCGTTTTGAACAGGTTTTACTGTGTAAAATTCTTACAGCTCAACTAAATTTAAATATAATAAATCAAAATTTGGCAGCACACTAGATATCCAAAACATTTGTAGACACGTTTCTTCCGTAACCAAGGACTGAGTTAAGCACTGCAGCAGCACATTTACACCCATCAGCCATAACATCCTTGTTTCTACACTTATTGTCCTTTTTTTCAGGTTCGCTTACTATATAGGTGCACTCTGTAGTTCCACAGTCCATCTGTTTCTCTGCATACTTTATTAGCCACTTTTACCCCGTTCATCAATGGTCAGGACCCCCACAGGACCGCCACAGAGCAGGTATTATTTGAGTGGTGGGACATTCTCAGCAGTGACAGTGACGTGGTGATGGTATGTTAGTGTGTGTTGTGCTGGTGTGAGTGGATCAGACACAGCAGTGCCGCTGGAGTTTTTAAACACCTCAGTGTCACTGCTGGACTGACAGTAGTCCACCAATCAAAAATATCCAGCCAACAGCGTCCTGTGATCACAGATGAAGGACTGGAAGATGACCAACACAAACTGTGGAGCAGCAGATGACTTATTGTTTCTGACTTTACATCTACAAGGTGGACCAACAAGGTAGGAGTGTCTAATAGAGTGGACAGTGAGTGGACACAGTGTTTAAAAACTCCAGCAGCACTGCTGTGTCTGATCCACACTAACACACCACCACGTTAGTGTCACTGCAGAGCTGAGAATGATCTACCACCCAAATAATACCTGCTCTGTGGTGGTCCTGCGGGGGTTCTGACCATTGAAGAACAGGGTGAAAGGGGGCTAACAAAGTATACAGAGAAACAGATGGACTACAGTCTGTAATTGTAGAGCTACAAAGTGCACCTATATAGTAAGTGGAGCTGATAAAATGGACAATGAGCGTAGAAACAAGGAGGTGGTTTTAATGCTATGGTTGATGGGTGTATGACGTCAGTTCATAGCATATATAAAAGCATATAAAAGTAGTTTTAAAATTTACTCATTTTAGGGTTTGCGGAAGAGTATATGATAAAGTATTAGAGATGTCTTACAGAACAGTGACATGTTAAATAAATAAATAAAAAATAATAAAAAATATATATTTAAATTCATTTATTTTTCAGGGAAAGTGGAGAAAGAAGCAGAGAAACACTGCAGTGTGCAGATTAAGGCTACAGCGAAGCACCTTTTAGACAATAAAAATACCATGACGTAATACGTAAAATATATAAAGGACAGTTATAAGCCTTGATGTTATTGAAGATATATATGAATCTAAACTATATATCAGATTTAACGCTGTTTTGCACATGTCTCAGAAAGTTTCGTAAGCTTGCAGCACGCTGTACAGCTGGCCGGAGCGATCACGTTATTTAACATGCAGTTCGATGCCAATTGTTTACGTGAACGGAGGTGCGTCCAGATTCGAAAACTGATTGGGTAAAATGTATGACAATCAAAAATTAAGCGCCAATCAGCGTATTGAAAGGACTGTGCGAGTTCTAACTGGCTGTCACATCTCATTCTAGTGATGTGATTGGCGGAGAGGCGTTGGTTAATCCTCCGTGGGCGGGGTTAGCGCTGGCATACAACCGCCGGAGGTCTTTCATCGCCATTTAGATTAAAAACGAAAATCCGTAAGAAGCGAAGGTAAGTTTGATTTTTTTAAAGCATGGAAGTTAATGGTTGTGAGAAATGTGCTTGTGTGTGCACGCCTACACATGTACACCAACACAAGAGCCAACGGCGTAATTTTTAGATTTAAAAAGGTAAATGAAAGAGCTCGGCCATTTTGCAGGGAGGCGGTGGCTGAATGGGGTGAATGGGAGGATTTTTCCAATCCAAACCGCTTCTGCATTGCAAATTATAGTTCCTTTGTTAAGAATATTATATTGTAATGTTGCAGGGTTAATGAGGGAAACTGGTGCTGTGGTATTTTGGAGAACCAGCGTACGTAGCTGGAGTGTTGCGTCATGCTTGTGTACCAGTCAGTTACCTAATCTCTGTTTTCATGTCTGAGATACAGACACAGAGACGGACTTTAGCTGTAGTTCACGTCTAACGTGATTTACATCGTCTTTTATTATGCTGTTTTTTTCTGACAGTATCACCTGTGTTTAGAGTTGAAGGATCAGCGCTCAAATGAATGTGAATGTAAATGGAAGGCGGTGCCCTGTTGACGCTGCAGCTACAGGCTGCCTGTTATGTGAGGGGCGGTGCTGACTAATTTGCCTGTTTGGCTCAGGATTCGCATCTACAGCCTTGTAGTTCACCTTCAGTGGACATTTTAGTGCTTTTCCCCCCTTTAACACTTCTGACTTAACTACTAAGATCAATCCCGACCCCTTAAAGAAGGGCTAAGAGCAGGGAGACATTAAAGGGGAACTCTACCGATTTTTCACAAATTTCTGCATAATTAAATGATTGACATGTCAACAAAATCATTCATAGTGGTTTGGTGTAAAATGCTCCGTTATAGAGTCGGAATTGTTCAGAGTGGTGGTGATAGGAACCAGACGTCCACCTCTAAAAGCTCCCTCACAGATAGTCATTCTATGAAATGATGATGCTGGTTATGATATAATAGTCCCCAAAGAAAACTTGTTTTATTTAGATCTATGATAATTTTCCCATCATCAACATTACATTAAAAGCGCAGTACATATAGGTTCACTGCTGCTTTTCGGTAGTAAATAAAATGGCTGTGTTTACATTGCAGTGTGTCTATTACCACCACTATAAAGAAATCTGAGTCAGTAAGTTTCTCTGCAAATGAACTCGGAATGACTTTGATTATATCTCAACTACTGAATTATACAGAATTTTTGAAAAATCAGTGGAATTCCCCTTCAAGTATATGGGACAGGGTTAGGAAAATGTGGCAGAAAGGTGGGTTTACTTTTTCAAACCAATCTCCATTTAGCTGGAAAACTCTAGCCAAAAGTCAAGCCTGTCCAATAAGAGGAAAGCTAAAGACTTTATTATTAAGCTTATTGGACTGTCCTTTATTTTTGGTTCACGTTGTCCAGTTTTCTGAGATAACTAGCTTTGAGAAATAAACTCCCCACCCTTTAGTTCACCTGTCTTGCTTTACCTGCTCTAACACGCTTGATTTAGCTCATTATCAAGTCCTTCATGAAGGTGAAATGGGTGTGCGATAGCAGGGAAATACTGAACCGAGCAGGTAAGGGTGAACGATATGATGATACTGTGACGACATGATATTCTTATGACAAATTGCACCAAGCTTTTCTAAGCGTGATGTGGATATTGTAACTCTAACTGACAGCATGTTTAATTAAAAATAGGCCCTACCGGTGCATTGTGTCTGGGCCTATGAAAAAATGTAATGCATACAAAATATTGTGACACTGTATATGGTGAAAATGTTTTAAGGTATTGTGATGTTATATTTATGCCATATCACTATGAGCAGGACTGTTGAACTCCAGGAAAAGGAGCAAAAGAATACTTAACATGTAGCCCAGTGTTTCCCACCATCACTCCTGTAGCCCACCAGCACTGCACAGTTTTGTGTTTTCCAGCTCTAACACACCTGATTCAGGCACGTAGGACACGAAACTGTGCAGTTCATGGAGATTACAAGACTGGAGCAGGGGCCTGCACTATGCCATGTTTATTATTGACACACTGTTGTACGTGCTGTTCCTTTAGATCAGCTGTACATCTAAGCAATCATATGTCTTTCAGAAATTCAAAGTTCTGCTCTCTCCTTTGCTACAAAAGCATTTGTTTGTGATTTGGTAGCTCATTCATGTGGTGGTGCTTTTCTTTTTCAGGGCGCTCCTGGCTTATTTTGAGAGGCTGTGACCTACTTGCTGCTGTCGCGCCTGGATTTGTCTGGTCCGAGGTGTGTTTAAGGGAATTAGTTTGGATCAGCTGTTCAGTACTCCGCGGTCGGTGAGCTATGTCAGTGGCCATGCTTGTGCGACTGGCCACGCATGGCGGGTCCCGGATGTGCCGCAGGGTCGTGCTGAAGACCACCCGGGCAGTGCAGGACGACCCGAGGCGAATGGTCCACAGCCCGTCGGAAACTCGCTCCAGCAACTCCCGCTTTGACCCGGACAGCAGCGGCCGCCCCACCACCTGGGACTCTTTTGGAATTTGGGACAACCGCATAGATGAGCCCATCCTGCTCCCTCCCAGCATCCGGTACGGAAAACCCATCCCCAAAGTCAGCTTGTCCAAGGTGGGGTACGCCTCACAGATCGGCCAGCGCAAAGAGAACGAGGACCGCTACCAGCTATCGCAGTTGACCGACAGCATCCTGTATTTTGCTGTGTTTGATGGGCACGGGGGAGCAGAGGCTGCTGACTTTTGCCACAAATACATGGAGCAGCATATTAAGTAAGTGGTTTTTTTGTGGTAATGAATGTGCTTACTGTGGAATAAGAGGTCTGTTGGCAGAGCTAATGTTGACAACATAATTATTTTGCCATACACTACTGTTCCAAAGTTTGGGATCATTATTTTTTAATAATATTAAGCCAACTTGATTTTAGATACATGTATAAAATGATTCTAACATGGTAGTCCTGTACAGCTTCACAGATTTTAAATGAGTATTAGAAAGTTGAGAAGCTGTGTTTATATATATAATATGCAGAATGCCTTATATTTCAAAGCACATCTCAAAGTATTTTTGGTGTTTAGAGGTGGGCAATCACATTACATCACAATATACTTTTCTGAGCATGTCTTAGAAACTGTCAATACGCAGAACAACTGCAAAAAGAGAGCACAATTAGTCATGTTTAATTGGATTTAGTGCAGTGCAATATGTAAAATGTTGGAAAAAATTGTGTATCCATAGTTTTCGATAGTATTTTTTCAATGAGGCACTTCTGCTTCTTACTGTCTGTTCCAGCTTATCAAACCAAGTTCTTTAAAATATGTATAAGAGTTATATATATACTCTCATATATATATGAGAGTTCTATTCTGTAGCCCTGCACTGGATTCTTGGTACTGATTTTAATGAATGTGTTGTAGAGATCTTGTGGCAGAGGAGGACAACTTGGAGCTGGTCCTGACAAAAGCGTTTCTCAATGTGGACAAAGCGTTAGCAAGGCACCTTCACTTCACTGCAGATGGTAGGTTCCCTCGTTGTAGACTTTAGTAGGCGAGGTGGGGTGGGGAGTGTGGGGGGCTTTTGTCAGGGTGAGAGGTTGGTGTGGTTAGTTTGCTAACTAGGTTACTGTGCTATGAAAACAGACCTCACACAGTGTCATAGTGGTTTGTCATCTCCATTTAGCTGTACTGTAGATTTCTCAGACGCTATGCCAAGAGAAATTCTGTGACCCCAAATAATATCACTTTTAGGTGTTATCAGCTTTTGTGTTACTGATATAGCTGAATCTGTTCAGCCACTGCCTGTAATTCTGCTGAGTGAAATGTTCTGGCTGACCTTTTTATTGGGTTAAATCTGCCTTATTGCTGTTAACTATAGTTAATTTAGATTTAAATTACCTTATTTCAAAATCCTTTTTTTAATGCACATAAGTAAAATCATAAAAATATACAGTACTGGTTAAAAGTCTTGGGCATCTGAGACAATTATATGTAAAGCCATTAATTGTTCCAAAAAACCCACTAACACTAGAATAAATACCAATAAATAAATAAATAAACAGTAATTAGTGAGTTTATTATGTTAATAAACTCTATTGGAGTGTCTTAACTACAACCCCAATTCCAAAAAAGTTGGGACGCTGTGTAAAATGTAAATAAATGTAAATAAAAACAGAATGCAGTGTTTTGCAAATCACATAGACCCATATTTTATTCACAATAGAACATGCAGCACATATCAGATGCTGAAAGTGAGACATTTTACCATTTCATGAAAAACATTAACTCATGTAGAACTTGATGGCAGAAGTGCATCTTAAAAAAGTTGGGACAGGGGCAACAAAAGGCTCGAAAAGTAGGTGGTACTCATAAAAAACAGCTGGAGGAGCATTTTAGAGAGGCAGAGTCTCTCAGAAGCAAAGATGGGCAAAGGTTCACCAATCAGCAAAAAACTGTCTAAAAATTGTGGAAGAATTTCAGAAAAATGTAAAATTGCGAAAACTTTAGATGTCCCACTATCTAGAGTACATAATATCATCAAAAGATTCAGAGATTCTGGAGAAATCCCTGTACACAAGGGACAAGGCCAATGGTAAATATTGGATGCTCCTGATCTTCGGGCCCTTAGGCAGCACTGCACTGAAAACAGGCATGATCCTGTACTGGAAATCACTGCATGGGCTCAGGAACACTTCCAGAAATCATTGTCTGTGAACACAGTTTGCTGTGCAAAGAAGAAGCCATATGTCAACCCGATCCAGGAACGCCGCCGTCTTCTCTGGGCCAAAGCTCATTTAAATGGACTGAGGCAAAATGGAAAACTGTTCTGTGGTCGGATGAATCAAAATTTGAATTTCTTTTTGGAAACCACGGATGCCGTGTCCTGCGGACTCAAAAGGTGAGGGACCATCCAGCTTGTTATCAGTGCACAGTTCAAAAGCCTGCATGTCTAATGGTATGGGGTTGCATTAGTGCCTATGGCGTGGGCAGCTTACACATCTGGAAAGGCACTATCAATGCTGAACAGTATATAGAGGTTTTAGAACAACATATGCTCCCATCCAGACAGCGTCTCTTTCAGGGAAGGCCTTGCATATTTCAGCAAGACAATGCTAAACCGCATACTGCATCCATCACAACAGCATGGCTTCGCAGAAGAAGAGTCTGGGTGCTGAACTGGTCTGCCTGCAGTCCAGACCTTTCACTAATAGAGAACATTTGATGCATCATGAAATGAAAAATCTGGCAAAGAAGACCCAGAACTGTTGAGCAGCTAGAATCCTACATCAGAAAAGAATGGGAAAACATTCCTCTCCCAAAACTCCAGCAATTGGTCTCCTCATTTCCCAGACATTTACAGACTGATGTTAAAAGAAGAGGGGATGCTACACAATTGTAGACACGGCCCTGTCCCAGCTTTTTTGAGATGCGTTGCTGCCATCAAGTTCTAAATGAGTTAATGTTTTTCATGAAATGGCAAAATGTCTCACTTTCAACATCTGATTTGTGTTCTGTGTTCTATTGTGAATAAAATATGGGTCTATGAAATTTGCAAATCATTGCATTCTGTTTTTATTTACATTTTACACAGCTATCTTAGCTATCTTGTTCCCTGCTGTTGATACTTAGTAGCTGCCAGATAACAACAGACACAGCTTGGGCTCAAATAAGCAAACATTACTCAGTGCTTCCCTGTAAACATGCCTTTCATTAGCTCCTCCTGCATTCTTGATACATTGTCAGAATGAGGCTGTCCTTTTAAATCAGGTTTGCAAGTGCTAGAATCAGCTGTGCTAGTGTGTTTTACAGGCAAGAACACATTTACTGCTGAAAAGTAGACTTTTGCACAGTACTGTATCTTTAAATCTGCATGGTCATGCCTAAGCCGAGATTGTCTTAGTTCTGTATTTGGGTTCACATAATTTTCCCTGGCTGTAACCCTTTATTTACCAGTGCAGTGATTAATAAATAGTGTATATCCACAGTGAAAGACCAAGCTTTGAGCAAAAAACTGAAACTTGTAGACCTACAGAATTAGAAGCTCTGTAGTTCCAAACAAAGCTTAGATAAATTTGACACCAGCCATGTCACTCTTTTACTGTGTGGCCCATTCATGGGTCCTGGTGCGTTCAATGTACAATCTTGCCCTGTGTGTGTGTGCGTGTTATCTATGACAGCTGCGGACCCAGCTAAGAACCGATAAATGCGGCAGCTCTGCGCTACCTTTTTGGAAGGAGAGGGGCTAGATCTGTCCAGCGGGTCCCTGCGTGGACTTCTGGAAGGTTCCTTAACTTTCTCACCCTTTCTTTCTAAATCTCTCTCTCCTCTCTCTAGCTACCTCCTGTTCCTTCACACATGCTTACTAAACGGTTAGATCACTCATGTCGACAAAAGTTGTGAACAAGTTTTCCTGTCCATGTGCCACAGCAACAAAATTAATTTAGAGAATTACTTTTATATCTGGATGGTACGGAGATGGTACTGAGAATGCTCGACAAGGTAGCTTTCTTATTTTTAATTTTTATGAGTTTTCTTGTTTCTTTGTTGAGGTAAATGTCATTACTAAGCCTCAATAAATGGTCTTTCTGCACCTCAGTACTTTACTATTGATGCAACGGCACTGTCCCCAAAAGTAAATAAAGAACACAATATGAAGTGGTTTCTTGCTATCATTTTGCTCAGCTGACAAAATATGCAGTGTAAACTACTGCCAAATTTGTTAGAAAAATAATGCAAGTATGGAAAAACCTTTCTGAAGGTTCTTTGAGGCTGTAAAAGCAGTGGCTTTTTACCTGTTTAATGCTTAAACTGTTTCCTTGCTGTGTGGTAATTTTTCCATTTCTGCTAGTTCTGACTCCTTGGGCAGCTGGCATTTTCCCCCAGGCCCTTTTCCTGTTCATTTGCGGTTTGGCATGCTTGTATTTTTGTTCATACTCTTTTTCTTCATTCACTCTCTCATCACTAGGCCCCCAAAATACTGTTTTTCCCTGCATGTTTTTCTCGACTATTCTTGATCATCCTCTCTTTTGGAAATTTCCCAAAGAATCAACACCACCTCTCCTTCTTCATCATTCTTTGGAGTACAGCGAAGCTGTGTGTCTGTATGTGTGAGAGAAAGTATCCCATAAAGAGTGTAAATACAGTCTGTGTTCTTGAAATAATTACTGCTTTGTCTAGAAACACTGATGTGTGATATTCTTTGTATGTTGTGTTGGTGTGTATGTGTGCACTGCAATAGTTTATGCATGGCAAAATATACATTATGAATCCCCCTCAGCACAGTGTGATTTGTATTATCCTTGACTGCTGTAACGCATTGGCCTTCTCTCTGGTGCTTTGCAGCCTCGGTGCTAAGTTCGGGCACCACTGCTACAGTGGCTTTGCTGAGAGACGGCTTTGAGCTGGTGGTGGCCAGTGTGGGGGACAGCCGGGCCATGCTCTGCCGGAAGGGCAAAGCTGTAAAGCTCACAGTGGACCACACTCCAGAGAGAAAGGACGAGAAAGAGAGGTGAGGGGTGGCTAGTGGCTCCACAAAGCACATTCGGAGTCTATTACAGCTAAGGGTGGGGGTGTGGCAGAAATGTAACATCAGGATACATGATTACATTTTCATAATACACAGTATGAAACTCTGCAGTGCAGGTGGACTATGGAATAAGGCTGGAAAATACTGAGCTGTTCTGGTCTCTGTGTATTTTGTTGTTTTCCAACAAGTTGTTCTACCACACCTGATCCAACTAAACAGCTAATTAAAAGCCCTTCCCAAGTTGACATGGGTGTGTTGGAGAAGGAAGACACTACTGTGCACTCCAGGATGCATGATGTTGCCATACGGCAACAATTACTTCATCTCAATGTTATAAAAAGCAGTAATATAAAATCTGTTTTCCTATTTAATTGTGAAAAAAGGATATTTTACTTTGAAAGGACAAACACTTCATGACTTCATATGACCAGGAATTCGTATTATGATAGTTATTACAATACATTCAAAATACCAATTGAAATTGTGTTTCCAATATTTGTAAATACTGGGTCATACATTTCACTAAGTATACGGTGAGTTTGTTTGTTCTTGTTTTCAATAAAAGGATGTTTTTAGAGAATAATTAGATTTTATGGTGCTTTGGTACGATTTGCCATATGGCAACAATTTACCAAATACCCCACTTAATTTTTAGAAATAAATCTTTATTTTTCAAATATTTCCATTATTTAAGCAATTTTAAATAACCAAAATACGTTAAAGCATTTTTATCATGTGTAAGTAATAATTTATGCAATAGAGGGTTAAAGCAGAATGCTGTAGTGTCTACACAGTTATAGATAGCCCTGAGCTGCTGAGACAGTTGTCTTTTTCCTGGCCTTTGCTATTTTACTATATGTTATTTTACATTCAAATGTTCTTTGCTGCGTTTTCTCCGCTGAGGACATAAATGCTGTTGGGCAGCTTTAATTCAGTGGATGAAACTTATGATCTGTGAAGTGCAGGCCACAAACTTTCTGTCCAGACTTGTAGAACTTCTTTGTATAACTTCTCCCTGCTTATCCATGTTTTACAGGATTCGTAAAAGTGGGGGCTATGTGACCTGGAACAGCCTGGGTCAGCCTCACGTCAACGGCAGATTGGCCATGACACGGAGCATCGGAGATTTCGACCTCAAAAATGCAGGGGTCATCGCAGAGCCGGAGACCAAACGCATGACAGTGAGTAGCCTCTCTGTGCTTGTTTTATACAGCTGTACTAGGCTTTAGTGATGTTCATCAGTTACGCCAGTTTATGCTGCTCTGTCCAGCTGCATCACGTCCATGACTCCTTTCTCGCCCTGACCACGGATGGCATCAACTTCATCATGAACAGCCAGGAGATCTGTGATGTCATCAACCAGTGCCACGACCCCAAAGAGGCAGCACAGCGGCTCTCTGAACAGGTGCAGTGGTTTAGGGGGGTCGACCCATTTAAGCTCTGGTTAATATCATGTATTGTAGGTTGATGTCAGTGTGGGGAGGAAGCATTAAAAATAGCTCTATTATTCACAGTTATGTGTTATTCATAGCTGTGTATATGTGTGACATTGAATATATGTTAATATGTATATGAATATATGTATATGTTGACATGCTCTTTTCATTTGTATAAATTATTTTATGGTAGACTTTGCCAAGAATGGAGATATGCACATGAAATGTAGGCATTATGTAAGTTTTCAATTACACCTTTATTAAGACTAATACTCAGTATTAGTATTGTGATAGGAAAAATAAATGCCTTATGTATTTGTGGAGGGCCAAAGCTGCTGCTATAATGTGGTTATTTTTTTATTTTATCGAACATTCATCACTGTATTCTCTGTGTTAGCAGACCTTAATCAAGGAATAATCCCTGAAATGTTGTAGAGAGCATCAGTAGTTCAAATGTAATGACTTACCAAATGCATTTTTCCATACCACTAATTTTAAGGCAAAAATCAAGACCATGCACACTTTTAAAGCATCTGCAAGCCTAAAATTATGCACCTTTGCAGTATTACATGGATTGACCTCTGAGCCAGTTACATGTAGTACTCTCTTATACAAATAGATTATCAACAGTATTTTTTTGTAATTTGGAAAGCACTAAGAAGATGTGATGTTTTATTCACACACATTGAATTTCCCCACACCATTTGTATAGAAAGCTCTATTCTTCAACATCTAACAGATTCTCTGTCTCTCTCAGGCCCTGCAGTATGGAGCTGAGGACAACAGCACGATCATTGTGGTGCCATTTGGTGCGTGGGGCAAAGAGAAAAGCTCTGATGTCAGATTCTCCTTCAGCCGCAGCTTCGTGTCCAGTGGCCGCTGGGCGTAGGGGCCGAATAGGAAGAAAAAGACAAATGAGTGGGCCAGGTGGGAGGGCGATCCTAGTCGGATCCGACTAATGTGCAATACTTTCAGTCCATGGTGTTAAGGGAACAGGAAAAAGAAACGCATCCAGCATTCATCCCCAAAACCAATCATTTGGAGACATAGGTCTGTTGAGAAACAGCAAAATGACTTGCTGTTGTACTGCATCAGGTCTCATTGGCATTATATACATTCTGTTAATGTGCATTGGGGCACAAATGAACTGCTTTCGTGAGGGAAAACAGCACTTCCTAAAACCTGCACACTAGCCGGTACTGCTGCAGCCATGGTTGAACAAGGCCATGTTTTTTGGCAAACAGGCGGTTCATTGTACTTTGCTGTATAAATGGTTGCCTCAGTTTTACCTCAGAACACTTTTTAATTCTATGTATTTTAGAATTGTGACTTGAACACAGTTGTAGATAAGTTGTTGTTTCTTTCAGCAATTTCAAGCACATTCAGTGGGTCAAATTGAGGTTTCTGTTATAAAATGGATAAAAATGATAGCACTTTTAATACTGATGGTCCACTTTAGACACCCATTTCTTTGGATGTCTAGTATTTCAATGACTTCAAACACTGCTCACTTAATTTAACATCTGAAACATCCCAGACTATTGCTCCTACATAAAACTGATGAGGATGTTTCTCTGATAATAATGCTTTAATGATGTGTTGAGGGATGGTTTAGTCCTGCACTGTACTTGGATACATTTTCCCATCTCTGGCCAAATGTACATGAATTTTGGTTGGCTTTCTTTGCTTGACAGTTCAGCAAATTGTCTTTTGACTTCTGTAGGTACAACAAGCATCAAATATGTGTGCACTGTATTTAGTTTGATTGTGGTATTTTACTTGCATCCATCCTTAACTTACTCCTTAAATATGAACAAACACTCTAGTATTGCACTTACCTGGGGGCAGCTGATGATAACTTGGCTTGTCCAATGCATGATAGCACTGAGGTCATCCTGACTGTTCAAAGCAATTCTCCCTGTGCCATCCTACCAGGACCTTTCTGCTGCAATGCTTTTGGAAAACCAGTCTGAACCTCTTTATTTCCTGTGGACCACTGTTATGTTTAGTGAACTGATCTGCTCATCTAGTGCCTTTTGTCTTAATGGTCTCCTTTTGTTACGCAAGCACAGTGATTATGGTTCGGGACATTACCGTGGACTTCTAGGAACAAGACGCTATGACTTGAGCTCGCTCATTAGTAATACACAGATGTTAAGCTTTGTTGGGCTTGTATGCAATGGTCCCCTCAAGTGCATTTGGAACAGGTATGGTTTTGTATTACATGTTTTGTAAATAATCATATTTATATATTTTGATGTACCAGAGAAATACCTGTTATATATATATGTATATACACACTGTTGTATAGTTGTAGAAGTGTATCAGCCTTTATTAAAGTGTATGAGACTTTAAAAAGGAGGCATTTCTTCCAGATTGGGACCCTCTCGTGTGAACATGATAGCAGATTTTGGATCTAAAACGCTTCCATAATACCTTTTCTGTACTGTAGTCAGCTTTAGGAGCCAGAAATATGTGACCTTGGAATGTGAGCATCTCAACTCGAGGTGTATTCAAAGATGAGTCTTTTTTACGTGTTTCTGGAATTTTTTTTTTAGAAATTGCTGTTAATAAGGACTGCTGAGCAGCGTTTTGTGTTATTTCAGACATTTGTTTTCCTTTCCTGCTCTTTTCTTTTTTTCCTCTTGAAACCCAAAGTCTGGTATCTGGTGAAATGAGATGTGCCGAAGCTGGAGAGTCCTTTTTGTACAGTTTGTGTTTGTCCTGCTCTAATTTATTCCCTTTTATGTTTTGATAATGGTCAAGCCCTTTTATGAGCTTGAGTGTCTCAAACCAAGAAATATGTGAAACTGTGTATGATTCTGGGCCTCATGCTAGCTCTGAAATCAATGTGAACATTTTATGAAGAATGTAAATGGAATACTTCTGCTTCTCCACTGATGCATGATTTGTTTTCTTTTGTTGACTGTGATATATTTCCTTCACCTGAAGTCATTATACTACAGAAATGTGTTTTTGTGAAATAAAGCTTGAGCAGAAACAGGTTTGTAGAATCATTTTTCTTATTGCTTTGTGCTTTTACCATTTTCATTAGTTTAAATTAAGGTTTCACTGAAAGATCCTAAACATAGTCGATGGCAAATGCAAATTTCAGACTCCAGACATCCCTGCTGGAAAAAAAAATCACAGAAACCATTAGAAGTTGGTGGTGTCCAGTAGTCAGTAATGGTATTTGTGTTTTCCTGATGGGTTGATATCACAGTCTAAAGGATTTTAATGGGTTAACAGGTGTTCTGGGACTGATTATAGTTGCATTTGATGGTTTCCTGAAGGGATCTAAAGTTGTCCTACAGGAAACTAGCGGTCTCTAATGGTATCTTTCAGCCAATTCCCATTAACAAAACCATCAGCAGGGATGTCATGCCTCAGGGACAACAATTACGGGGGAAATATTGTATATTTGATTTCTCTGCATGAAGGCTAGCTGACTTTAGCTACTTCCATATTGTACTACTGAGTTAAGCTTTAACATAGCAAAAAGAAGAATAATTCAGTAATTTATATTCTATACTGGTTACAATTACAGATTACGAGTTATTCAGTCCTGGATTCTAAATTAAACATTTTTATAGGGGGGGTTGTTTTGTGCCAAAGCCTAGCCAGAGTCGGTTTATGAGGAGCCTGGCCTCTTCTTATTTCCCCCATTAAATCAAAAACAGGACACCAAAATGTCAGGGGGCGCCCGCAAGCGAGTTCTTAATATATGGAGTAAATGAAGGTCAACGGCTAAAAACAAAAAGTTAAAATAGGCTCTTATCACTCGCCCAGAACTTTCCTTTGATTTTAGAACGTAGATGGATGTATTTCACAAAAAAAGCAAAGAAAACTCAACTGTATTTTTCCTTTTTTCTACAGCAAACAGGTTTTGGGCAGCAGAACACTAGCATTACTGCTACTGAGTGCTGTGTTATGCTGTTCTGTGTTCAGGAATTGAATCAGTTCTTCTATATAAAATTGTTTAAGCACTTAAAAACTATGAATTTGCTCAGCCATATTAACAGAGAACCTTTAGAGAGGAGGATTACCACTCTAATGTCTTCCGGGTTTCTCAAACACTAGAGGGCGCTCCCTCCCTAACCCAAAATGAATGGGTTGATAGGGAGCATTTGAGCAAAATCATAGCTTAAACATTTTTCATATAAAAATTAATAAATAATTTTTATAAATAATACAATTATTTCCTGAACACAGAAGAGCATAAAACATTTCAGCACTGCTGTATTTTGAAGAGCTTTCGAACTCCAGTTACAGGAGTTTAAAATGGCGCCTCATGTACGTTCATGACGTCAGTGAGCACGAACAGCCAATGAGCTGTTTCACGTGTTTCAGGAAAATAAGGCAGGAGTAATCGAATCCACTGCCCGCAGGGTGTAGGTAATCTACCTCATTAGCGCACTGAAGGATGAAGTGCACAATATACAGGGTGTCCCAAAAAAAATGGACATCATTTGAGATGTGAGTATCTGAGTAACTACATGTCCTGGCAAACGAAATTAAATAGCCTTCATGTTGAACAATACAAGATTTATTTATCAAAATTCAAACAAGAAATTCAGAGGGATGTCGATTTTATAACCGATTTCGCAGCTTCACAAATGTAATATCTTCCAATACTGGTGGTCGTCCAGATCCCTTTGCCCTGCACAGACAGCCTTCCTCTTTGAAGTTTTTGTGCCATGTCCAAATCTGCTTTCCAGTTGGTGCAGTTTATTGAATTTTCTCGAAAGTGCACACTGCACACTCTTGTTTGACTGTGTTCGAGCATATTCTAACACACAAAATGCCTTTTCATTTCTAGTGGACGCCATTCTTCAACCTGAAAAAAAAAACTTGGTTAGTTTTTACACATTTTGTTACAATTTGAGATCATTTGATGGAGAATTGGCTGTTATTAGACTACGAAATGATGTCATTTTTTTTGGGACACCCTGTATAAATGTAGAAATACATAAATGCATAGATGTATTATGTGTTTATCTCCCATTTATTTATTAATGTATATGTTTTTGCTTTTATTTTATTTCATTTGAAGACGTTTGTTCTTTCATAGTTTTGATCTTTGTCCTTTGTGTTTCTGGTTGGTTTCATTACCGCTTACATCTGCTTAGGTGCAGGTGCATATTTTACTAAGCTCAACATAAAGACAAGTTTGTGTGGCACAACCCAGTTTGATTTAGTTATGTGTAAACCTGAACATAGTAAACACCCACATTAACTAGCCTATGTTTAAACTTAGTACAGCTGCTGCAGCCGGTGTCAGTTCTTTGACGTTAGATACAACAATATTGTGCATTACTGTTTGAGTCCAGCAGGGGGGGCTGCTGCAGAATGTAACTGATGATCACCGAGGAGGTTCGGGCCTCAATCGTAAAGGAGCACATACCATGTTTAAGGTTTATATGCAGCTGGATTTTCATTTATACCATAAGCTGACCAGAGCCTCCAGCTGTGACTCTCAAACACTGTGTTTTAAATCAGCACATGCTCAAAATGTTGAATAATCTGCTGTGTCATTTTACAGAGCAACACCTTGTTTTAAATTAGGTTTATATTTGGGAAAAATCAGTTATAAAAGGGTTCAATGAATATCTGTTTCATAACCACCTGTCCTGGTGTTTTGAAAATGAATGAATCATATGATCATACTTCCTCATGACCTTTATTTACACTTGCTCTACCTCCCGTCTAACCTGCCTTTATTTACAGTAGGCAGAGAGTCAACCACGCCAATGGACTCTCACACACGCAAAGCAATAAGGGCATGGTCATTACTAAGTGAATTAGATACTGAGAGTACAGATGTTGATCTTTTGTCTTCTTGATTGGTGCTGCCGTGTAAGACAGCTAATTGATTTTTAGGTGAAAAAATCCAAGAATTATCAATTCAAGAATTTATACACTGGTTTCTTTTGTCACTAATCTCTCAACGTAAGTTTTAAAATGTGGCTGTGACTTCCAGACATCCTGGGTCATCTGCTGGTCAATATATGTGATATGAAAGAATGAACAGAATTGTGCCAAAGAAATTGACATTAAATGATATCTGACATTGAAATTGACATTAACTAATATATCATGGCAGTCAACACTAAAAAGGTGCACTATTATAGTGGATGGAAGAAATGGATTCTGTAGATGGCGTTGTATTCACAAGAAATATATGACAGTATGCCTCTTCCCATTACTTATAAATTCACCAGAATCCTCCCGCACCATTAAGACATGGCTATAAATAGTGGCATCAGACCCACATCATTCAAAGCAGTTGCTTTTTCTGAGGACAGTTCAGTTCACCATTGTAGACTTTGTGGAGTGGTGGTATTTCTGTCATTTAGATGCTTTAAGCGATCTAACAGATGTTGCATAGCCGGTTCACTACCTTGTGTAATCTTGGATGCTATTTGCATGTGCACTCTGCCCTCCCACTGCATGTTATCCAGTGCTGATTCCTCTATAAAAGCATCAGTGCTGGAGGAGTCTGTGTTAACTTCAAAACCCTGGAGGAAAGAGGAAGTGGCCTCAAAGCAGCGGTCAAAAATCATAATAAGGGGAAAGGTGAGTCTTCACTGTCTTTACAATTTTTGGTACTATACACATGGTTAGTTAGTTGTAGTAGGCAGGCATAGGCCAAATATTTTAGGAGCCATTAATAACTTGGGCATTTTCTTTTACTTTTCCATTTTGACGTAACATTTTAATGCAACATCCATGGTTCCACCTTTTTAATTCAAACATGCTTTTATCACCTTTCAGCATCTTTGCATGGTTTTGCTCTCTGTGAAGTGTTATGATTTCAAATGAAATCCAGTACAATGTGTAGAATACATTGAAATGCAGTGCATACTTGGTTATGTTTTTCATTGAAGTTTTTTTTGGGGTGTAATAATTAAAAAGTGAAAATAAATCAAATGATTAGGTGCTTTTTAATAAGCTGCACAATATATGTGCCACCAGAGAACCTCTATCTGTGGAGAAAACCCACTCTTAATTCTTATAAGATTTTTAATTTTAGCTGGTGTGAGAGCCCAGAATAAACAGGGCCTCATGGAGCTGTTGCACAGTACTCTTATCTGTAAAAAAAAATTAAATGCTTACTGTCCACTTTAATCGATTAGGCAGGACAATTTCTGTGTACTCAAATAAGTGAAAGTGGACAATGTAAATGCACTGCTGAATTAAAGCTGCACTATGCAAGATTTGGGGATTTTGAGACCTCTCTGCTGGAAATGGCTAATTTAACACAATGCACAAAAGAACGTTTTGTTTTGGATCTCAGTGAGTGGATGAATCTGATGACTGTGAGCACTTTGAGAAAGTATTGAAAGAGAACTCAGTCAAAACCTCATGAAGGACATGAAGGATGTGAGTGAATGATCTACTGTTGTCATCATATCTTCATCAGTGTAATGATTGGCATTTGAGACCTAAACGTCGAGCCGGACCTTCTTTTTGAGCCTGTGCATGTGATGATAATATGTAATGATGTATGACGTGGTCTGAAAAACTCTTACCAAATCTGACCCGACACTTAAATTACCATTTCAGGATTTACAGGCTCGCAGCAGCGCATGCTTATCATGTTTTAGCATGTTTTTTTTCTCCTGATGCAATAATGCTACTTCTTTTACATTTAACAAAAAAAGCCTTACAAAGTCTCACATTAAGCTGCTTTAACTAGCTAACAACTACCTCAAACCATGTCCGAACAGCAAGCAGGTGTTGAAATGTAATATCACATTGAGTCGCAAAGCCTTCAACATTTCTACATTGGAAGTCGAACCGTGAAAAAAACAACAAATAAAATAGCTGCTTTTCTTGTGGAGCTGTGCGGCTGTGGTTTTGGGTCATTGATTAAATGGAGTGTATAACAGGTTATGTTTTATCTCTAAATAACATACACTGTAAAAAATGGCTCATCAGATGAGCCTAAAAAAATGACTTCATGTAGTAACAAGTGATTGAACTAGTTGTATTCCACTAAAAAAAATATACTGAAAGTCGTTCATTCAAAGTATTTATTTATGTTTAATAAAACTAGTTAATTTACTTGTTACCACATGAAGTACTTTTTTAGGTTGATCTGACGAGCCATTTTTTACAGTGTAGTTAAAACAACATCATGGTGGTGGGCAGCTCGGCTGTGTCCAGAGGCATAGCGAAGGGCTGGCTGGGGTGGCCAGGGTCATCCAGGGTCAACAGTAAGCATAGCCATCCTTCTGGCCACCTCAGTTATGGAAAGTGAGAATATCAGCCATCATCAATAAAGCAGTTATTAGACAAAGTTATTCTACCAATTAGTTTTAAGAGTCTGATGAATCTGAATTTAACTATTAACATATCTTGCTGTCATAGGCTAATTTTGCAGAGCAAACAGGTGAGTGAGTGCATGCTGGGTGCTGCTCTGTGAGCCACATTATGAAGTAGGCTATGCAATGGCTATAATTGTTCATCATGCTACCATTTACATCACTTTTTACAGCTGAATACATGCATGTGCTATAGGCCAGATTCCATCCGTGGAATATGTTTGTGCTAAAGCAAGGTCAGCCTTTTCCCTCATCACATTCCTTTATACAGTGCTATCTGCTTTCTGATCATTACCAATGACTCACGTATAACCTGTGGAGCAGTTGTCTCCAACCCTGGTCCTGCAGAGCTACCTTCCTGCAGAGATTAGTTTTAACCTGTCTCCGATAAGCCCCGCCCCTTACTTATTCTAATACATCTGAACCAACCAATCAGGGACTTGGGAAGAGGTTGAGTAGCTGGAGCAGGTGTGGCAAATTGTGGTTAGAACTAGACTCTGCAGGAAGGTAGATCTCCAGGACCAGGGTTGGAGACCACTGCTGTAGGTAGTTCAGCCTAAATTAAACTTCTATGGCTTGTCTATGTGATTTTTTATCTTAACGTTATACACTTTGTACTGAATGTAATTTTGGCATTTCATCACACACTCTCAGCCTCTGTCCTAGTGTGGGACATCTCATGATGCTCCTTTTTTGAATTCCCCTAATTGAATAGGCCATTGCGACTGGAGCTCGCTCCAAATTTTTGATCTAGCAGAAGTCCAGAATGGAAAGCATGCCTCTGCCTATATTTGCAATTGAAGGGCACAAAGCAGCTCCACTGTAATAGGATGAAGTTCAGTGGGTTCATATTTTGCCTTGAGTCATCAAAGAAATACATCCTAGGCACACAAACAAAGCATCTCTCTGATGGCTCCACTTCAAATGACCAACATCAGCTTTTATGTCTGTTGTGCAGTAGCTAGTTCAGCATTGTGATTCATGAATGTACCCAGTGTTTTGTTGTTGACAAAAATATAGAGATAAATAATTCAGTCACGGTTGCTGTCAGTGCTTTTCCTCGTGTAATATGGTTATTATGTACTGACGTATTGGTCTAGTCTGAGTGGTTGTGTATCGTACCCATTAGTCTTCATGCACACAGGGTCAAAGCCTCATCCTCAGAAGATGGAAGGCCGAGTGAATCATGGCAACATTGAAATGATGGAAGAGATGGGCCAAAACGGGACAGTAGGGTCAGTGGTCATCACAACGGAGACCACCAAACAGAAACATGGAGCCACCGTCAGCTTCCACAACATCCAGTACAGCGTGAAGATGAAGAGCGGGCCGGTCTGTAAGAGGAAGGTCCTCACAAAAGACATCCTGCAGGACCTCAAGTGAGTTTCTGCTTGTCACTTAATCCAGACCTGATGCTTGTTTATGTCAAAAGTTGTTTATAAATGTGTGAAAAAAGTGTGGAAGTTTCAAAAATGTTTTATAGTTAATTTATTAATATCCATACCTAAGAAGACATTTTTCAAATTCTATTAGTAGTTATTGATTTTTGTAACAAAATAATAGAAACCCCAAATTTAATGTTTGTATCAAAGTTATGTTATCTGTTAGATGTTCGTCCGAATTATAACTACACTCATCACTTTCAAAATCTGTAGCATTCTGAATTTAGTTGTTGATCAAGTTAAGTCAGTTTGGCAGCAGCTAATCCAACACAGCGTATTTACTGAAATGTAGAAAGTTTTTTCCCCAAATGTTCCATTGGTGTGCAGTGCTGTTCTCTTGCTCATGGTATTTTAAAGCCTTCACACTCTTTGTTAATAGCAATCCTTTACATAGACCAGTTTAACATACAGTGGGCTCCACAAGTCTGAGACAACAGATTTTAAAACTTTAAGTTTTAAAATTGTAAAAGTTATGACAGTTATGAAAAGTTATGAATTTCAAGATTCACTCTTTCTAGATCACTATTCATATTAAAGGCCTCTGTACAAAAAGGTATGATTTTTTTTTTTTTGCTAGCTCGAGTGTATGCTGTTATTAAAGAAAAAGAGGGACATACCACCAAAAACGGGAATTTCCAAAAAAAGGAATTCTGACATTCATGAAAATTTTAAAGATTCTACATTTCATTCAAATTGTTTTGCAATGTTATGTAAATTGTGGTGAAAAACATGCATTAAATTTGAAAAAAATTGAAGTAGGAGTATTTTCACTAGAGGTCTCAGACTCTAGTCTCTATTATAACGTCATTGTTAGCTTAATTTCTTCAAGAAAAAAACAAAAAACAAACAAAAAAAAAACATTTTGTACAAAGGGAGCATTGTTTCCAAATAGGGTCACTGTGGCTTAGACACTTTAAAGGTTGTGTTCAAATATATTGAATATTTGTATTTTCATGCTTTGTGATATATAAAGTGTGTAAGAGATGTGTTATTAACATATCCCTGTTTTCTATGGAAAGAGCTCTTAGGCGTCATTATCATTATATTTTTCATTCGTTATGCTTGTTTATTGGATGTTTTAATAATAAATAAAATGGTTTATTGATTATAGCTGCATTTTTACTCCACCTTGCCTAATAACACCCCTTTCACCATGTTAAAACCATTGTAACTTATAATGCTTATTGCTTTATTACCCATGTGCATGAAGATTTATGTTTGTAATATCCATCAATTTTGCTTATAACCAAACTCTTACTGATTTTAATGCATAATTACTCTTGAATAATTGAACAGTTAAGAGCAGTTTGATGTGAAGTGCTCTGTTCTAGTGCAACTTTTTAAAATCCATGCCTGGTGGAGAGGTACATGAAGGGCGTTCTAAGGCAAAATAGTCCCCAGTAGAAATGTATTTTTTCAGATTTACCACTATTTTACCATAATCAGCATTACATATACAAACTCAGAAGACATGTAAAGGTTCACTGGTTGAGTAAAATAGTAAATAAAATATTTGTGTTGTAGACACTGTTCCTGGTTCCTGTCAGAGTTAGTTTCTCTGCAATTAACCATTTCGGATGAAACCTCACTGAAAGATTTTGTTTACATCTCAGCGATTGAATTATGCTGAAATTTTGAAACATTAGTGGAATTCCCCTTTAACATATACTTTCATAAAGCTTATAAATCTTTAAAAAGGCACTGAGGATTAAAAGAACATATTCAGTTCAAAAATGATAAAAACTTAGCAAAGTTAAGAAATTGTGACGCAAGACTTTTGCAAATCCCTATTATTTTCTGAAATAGCGTTAAACACACTTGACATTTCCCAGGGGCGAATGTGCAATTTCACACACGTTTTTGGACCTTCCGTCAGTAGTGTTAATTATTTGATATTAGGCATGGTTTCCTGCATATAATCTCTCCTGATACAGGACAGCATAGGCTGCCAGGATACAATTAAATGCAGTTCCATGCCACAGTTCATCTTTCTTATAGGATTCAGGGTTCAGCTCTCATTTTCATTCAGACTGAAGTATAGGATTTATATAGAGTGCAAGTCAAAAGTTTGATCATACCTTTTTGAAGCCAGATGTTTATGTTATCTGTATAGTTACTGTTAGCAGATCACAACCAAATAAATTACATTAAAATTCTGATTTGAAAAGTAAAGCCTTTAAGTGAAAATGGTCAGAAAGACCAGGAGGATTTAAAGACGGGGGAAATCATGAGTGATATCAGGACTAATAAGCTAGTTAGAGTAGTATCGGTATCAGCCAATACCTAACGAGCATGTATCAGTATCGAAAGGGAAAAAGTGTTATCAGTGCATCCCTAATTAAAAGCACTGCAATCCTTGTTCAGCTCATCCGCCCAGAAAGTAAAAAATAATTGCTTGCTTCCTCAAATTCCAGCCGTATTCTGTCAAAATTCTGTTTTAATTTCTCAATTTGATGTTCAAATAATCACTTACTTTCTCAGCGAGTTTCATCATTTATCATTATTTTGTCCTACTAAGTCAAGATCTTGAGAAAATGAGTTATTCATACATATTTTCAACCTAACAAGTCAACCTGAAACAGATGGATGAACAGAATGTTCTTCTCTTATCTGGTGGAAACAGGCTTTTTTTAAAAAACAAAAGCATGTAAGCCAAACAGGTGATTACATCATGCTGCTCATGTGTTTGCACCCCTATCAGTACAACTTGTCTGCAGATTGTTGGCAACCAGCGCCTGCCTTAGTAAATCTGCCCCAGTGTCTCAACAGTGAATGTAGTCCTATAGAGTGTGATGTAAAAGATCATAAACTGATCCAGGATCAGCATTCTTACTATGAGAATATGATAAATATGGGCTCTTGTGCACAGCAAACCTCACCCAACACATCATTTGCCTTATTACTGCAGCTAATGGGTTGAATGAGGCGTGTTGCATGTAATAACACTCAAAATAGACTAATATGCAGGAACCAATGGAATGCAGCAGGGCTCAGTGAATTCTCTCATTGGCTCTCCTTTACTCTGAGAGCTGTGCGTGACTTGGCATCCTGACTCACCAGGACAGATTCCATACAGTCTTTACACACCTAAAACAAGTAGGTGAAGAGCCATGACTGCTCTGGCCTGGTGCAGCTGTTGGATAATGTGTTTACACTGTGGAATGTGGAACAAAACAAAACTGTATGAGGTGATTTTATCTAAATGTGTGTGGCTGTGCTGAAGGGCTAGAGGACCTGTTTTGGTTTACTCTAGATTCATCCAGTTACAATCAAAATTAAATGCAAATTTATAAACTTTTTCCTAGTATTATAGACTTATAGACATATATTTCATACACAGTGCCAGAAACCACATAAGTACATCTATTTGTGATTACTTTAAGGGGAATTTTAAAAATTTCAGTTAAGATGTAAACAAAGTCATTCAAAGTGGTTTGATGTGAAACAGTTCATTTCATACTGTCCAAAACCATCAGTGGGACAAACTAAATGAACAAACTTCAGGCACCTGATTGGCTACTTTTGAGGGATTTTTTTTTTTTTTTGCCAATTTAAAATCAAGTCAAGCCAAGGTGTCATTCTCAGCATTTAACTTCTTCCACCTCTAAGATGTTTTGATTTTGTAACTTTTATTTGGGCTTATGTGCCCCGCCAGCTGATAAAATTCAGTTGTCCCTTACTCAGTGGTCTCAGGAATGCCCTCTACTCTGTTGAAGCAACCAGAAAATAATAATGCAGGTTGTCAGCATTTGAAGTGTTTTTGATGGAACACAATTTGAGAGATTCCTCTCAGAATGAGAGAAACAACAATGGTCTGTTTTTGTCCCCTCTTTTCACAGTGGAATCATGAGACCTGGGCTAAATGCTATTTTAGGCCCTACAGGAAGCGGCAAGTCTTCGTGAGTACATTTTCAAACCTCTGCTTTTTTGACTTGAGGTATATTTACCTCAAGTCCAACAGATGTAATTCACATTCTGGTCTTTTTGGATAACCCCTATAGACTTCTCATTTCTCATTGGTTAATTTCCTTCTTTTTATTGCCGGATTCACTTTGTATATTTGTTCATAATTCTTATAACTCTTATTGCTGTGTTGTTGTTTTGCTATGCGGTGCTGACCAAGGAGGACGGATGAGGTTGAAGCCTTGAGAGGAGTCTTGGTTCCTCTCCAGGTTTCTTCCTCATACTTTTGGAGTTTTTGCTTTCTACTGTCTGATCAAATTCGAATTGAATTGAATAGCCTTGGGTTTTAATATTGTAGCTAAATAGACGATCTAGATTTGGACAAATTTGTCCTGGAGTTTATTATCCTCTTGCTATGTTTATAAAAAGACCCTTTATGTTAGCTGACGCAACAGAACTGGCGGTTAGCGCTCTCTTCCAAGTGCGTTCAGCTGTTAGTGGCAGTTTGGTGGCTGGCGTCACATGACTCGAAGGAAGCTGGTGTTTACCTTCGCCCTCCTAGCACTGGTGGTATGTGATTGGGGGAGTCCTAACTAGTGGGTGCAATTGGTTGTGACTAAACTGGGGAGGAAATTGGAACCCCCACCCCCAATAAAAAGCCCCTTTAGAAACCACTGGAAAATATCATTCCACTGTATAGTTGTTATTGTTGATGTGTCTTTGTCAGGTTTCTGGACGTGCTTGCAGCCAGGAAGGACCCCTCAGGTCTGTCTGGTGAAGTCCTGATCGATGGTGCTTCACAACCACCCAATTTCAAATGTCTTTCTGGCTACGTTGTACAGGTACAGTGATGCACAACACTTTTCTATGACTTTGTCCTAGTTTAATAGGTTAAATAGGCTGAACATCTCACAATCCACTTTTACTTTACTTCTTACTTGGTGCTTCCACTCACTGGCTACTTTATGAGCTCCACATACTTTAGATCCACTATACAGGTGTATAATTACAGTCTGTAGCCCTGCACAGTTTGTCAGCCACCATCTACCCCAGGGATGGGCAGCACTGATCATGAATGGCCACAGTCCAGCATAGTTTCCTGCATAAGAGGGTGTCTCCTAAAGTGTCCGTTGCATTGTATTGTATTGAGTGCAATGTATGTTTGTGTGTGTGTTCAGGATGATGTGGTGATGGGTACTCTGACAGTAAGGGAGAATCTGTGTTTCTCAGCTGCGCTGCGTCTCTCCTCCTCCGTGAGCCAGAAGGAGAAGGAGGCCAGAGTTAACCACCTCATCGCTGAGCTGGGCCTCAGCAAAGTGGCCGATGCACGGGTACGCACACGCACATAAGGATTAAACTGCGGTTTAGGAAGGTGTATGAGGACGTGTCGAATTTAGGTACCTTATTAGTGACATGTTTATCTGGCTGTGCACCATGACACTACTGAAAAGAGTGAAAATGTGTGGTCATGACTCAAAATAGGCAGAACATAAGAGGGTGTGCCACTTCACAAAGTCATATCAATGTGTAGCGCCAGTATGTACATCTACAGTTCTGTGAAAGTGGTCAGAGACAGTCTTTCATTTATTCAATTTTTTAGTGAAAATGATCTTAGTGTTATTCATTGTTATTAATTTTTTCAGCACTAAAACATACATTTAACAGAAGCCTGAATGACTAAATATAATAACATTTTTTCAGTATATATTGTGTCCAACCTTTGCCTTTATTACAGCTCCCATTCTTTTTGAGAGAAATCTGCAGGGAAATATTTTTCCACACCTCCAAATTTCAGTCTTAGACGTTTGTTACATTTTCTGCTTCTCACCATCCAAGTAATCCCAAATACATTCATTGATGCTTAGGTCTGTTGTGGTCAGTTCATTGTTCGGAGAACACCAGCAACTTCTTTGTTTTCTCAGTAACAGCTTCTTGACAGCTACACATCCTTTCAGACCCATAGTGTTGAGTTGTCTTCTCACAGTGGAAGGATGGACAGAAACAACTTTTGTGTTTTGTTTTTATTTTGAGATCTGAAAGTGTTACAGGTGGTTGGTGAATGTCATTTTCTCTTCTATTAATTTTTTTGAACTCCAGTTTTGGAAACTTCTCACAAAAAACTGTGCTAGTAATGATATTGAATTCCATCAATGTACAAAAGCTCTCTGCTACCTGCTGTTTACAACCAGGGTGCTGGAACTTACATTACTAGAGTTATGAAGGCTGAATATGTAGAATACCCTGCAGAATGTACTTATGTAATATCAAACTATTAACTACTGCCTTGAATATTCAACAGCAATCAGAAACAAAAATACCATTAAATAATATTAGTAAAGAAATGTTTTATTATTACACATCCTCACATGGTGATATCTTTTGGTTGTTCAGGTGGGAACTCAGCTGATTCGGGGAGTCTCTGGAGGAGAGCGGAAGAGAACAAACATCGGTATGGAGCTGATCATTGACCCGTCTGTGCTGTTCTTGGATGAGCCAACCACCGGCCTGGATGCAAGCACAGCCAACTCTGTGCTGCATCTACTTAAACGGTCAGCAAACTGCTTCTTCTAACCCAGTAGGGTTAAACTGGGTTCCCTCCAGCCCACAGCTCTGCAGACTTTGTCTTTCAGCCTAATTAAACACGCTCATCAGCAAATGTTAAGGCCTTCTGGAGTTGAATTATAGTATTTAAATAATGACATTGTTTATCTCTGTGGAGCTGTGTCCCAGAAGGAACCCAGTTTGACACAACTGCCCCAACCAGTCTGGACAGGCAAGCAACCTACTGAACTATTCATAAAAGGAGCTAGTATATTCTAAACGGATTGTCACATAAGGCACAAAACGTACATTTATATAATATGAGTTAAGCTCGGCAACTGAGAATCCGAAATTATGCACTAAAATTAGCAGAAAATGTGTTAACTTTTTCACTTATTTTCAATAAAAAAAAATTTAATTTGACCACTTTTCTCCCTCAGTTTTATTTCCCAGTTACAATGGTGACCCCCTGTACTGCATATTTCCACTGTAAACTATAATTGTGCAGACAAGAATTTGGCTCTCAGTTGTAAAAAAGCACATAATCTTATCCATTTGATTGCACATGGTATAGAGATTTGGTTAGCTAAGTAGTTACTGGTTTCTTTTCCTTTTCCTTCTCTTTAGAATGGGCAATAATGGGCGTACTATTATCATGTCCATCCACCAGCCACGCTACTCCATCTACCGGCTCTTTGACAGCCTCACACTGCTGGTCAGCGGCAAACAGGTTTACCATGGGCCGGCCCGGAAGGCTCTGGACTACTTTGCCAACATCGGTACTTAGTACATGTACACAGAAGCACAAACACACCACAACGATAGCTCATGAGAAACATTAAATTATTCAGAATTACATTTTTTTTCATATTTTGATATTGCTTGCCTTCATTTTTATATGAGTGAGTTTTAAGTAACACTAGACAACAAATGTCACTTGAGTATCTCTGAGGTGAAAGTGAACCATTTGCAAACAGTTGACTTCCAAGCCTCTCCCAAGTTTATAATGTTTGATTTTGATATGATGTCCCAGGTTATGCCTGTGAAGCCCATAATAACCCAGCGGATTTCTTCCTGGATGTGATTAATGGAGACTCTGTGGCTGTTACTATGGCCAAGTTGCAGAATGCCGAAGGTATTTGTTTACAGTTACCTAACAATTAGCTCAAAGCAATTTGCCCTCTCTTAATGATTCCTAAAAAAGAACACCATGCTGGCACAAGGATTTAAGGGCCATGTTAAAATAATGTCAACAAATCTGTGGGCCAGCTACGTTTTTATTTCATTTTGCCACAACCTGAACTGGACATTGTTTATTCAAAACATGCCAAAACTGCAACAGCAAAATAGGCACTGAACCATTCAAAAATAATTTCAAATAAAAACAAATTGTTTTATATAAAACAATAGACTACATTAGCTACAGATAACCGTCAAACCTCTTTAAATGTCCCCTGGAAACACATCTTTTAAACCTGCCTATTTGCTTGACCTAGCTACCTGGCGTCTTTTCTTTTCGTGGTGTAGCCGCTCCCCCATAGATTGTTGTTGGGGGAGGAGGGCCGGAGCACACCTTGCATTGAAGTGCATGCCTGGCATTGTAGTGCAATGCATGTTGAAATGGGCCAATATTAATAGAAAATGAAAATAATTTTGCAGGCCAGATAGGATTGTGTGACAGGCCTTGTGTTTGACACATGGACTCTACAGAGAATACGCTTCTGCACAATTTAATGCTAAATTACTATTTATTTGCTGTATTTAACATATAGGGGGAAAAAAAAAACATAAAATGTGGCCTGTGCAAAAGTTATGGCACATTTTATATTTTAGTTTTTCCAGTATGTTAAACTTAGCAAACAAATAGAAATTGTGAACTAAAATTTGCAGAAAAATGTTATATTTAATGTGTTCTTCGTAGAGGATGTGTTAACTTATTTTCACTGAGAATCAACTAAATATTTCATCTGATCAGGGATGTCTAAACTTGAAACATACAAAACATACCTGCTACAGAAGAACATGGCTACAGAATCCTGAACGGCAGCCCATACTTATCAACTTATTACATCTTGACTTAGATATGACCGTTAAAAACCCAATCGTAATGAAGTGGCAATTCTTTTTTGAGCTTTTGAAGTTACCGTACTTATGACGTTTTCTGATTTTTAGTCATCTTGTAGACTTGTTTGAAAAGATGGTTCTCTTTTTCAACTGATCCTAGATCAGCAGAGAGTTTATATTTATGGTAGACGTGATTATTGAGTTGGCGTAGAGGACTAAGTGTGGGGTATTGTTATTTTCAGATATAGAGTTTGAGGAGTCTGGAGACGCGAGGCAGAGCATTGAAGAGCGTCTAGTGGAGCAGTACAGGAACAGCAGCTATGCTCAAGACACCAAGGCTGAACTACAGCGCATCATCCAGGGCAAAGAGTACAGCGTCAGGCCCAAGTCTCGCACCATCACCTACAACAGTGGCTTCTGCCATCAGTTTAAATGGGTTTTGAAAAGAACTTTCCGCAACCTGATGCTGAACCCTCAGTCTTCTGTTGCACAGGTAAAGTACACTTTAGGAGCTTTGACATATATTGTGCTTGGCATATTGTCGCTGTCCCAAAAAAAAAAAAAGTGAATTTGAATTTGAATTTTCTACACCATTTGAACCAGCCAGCTATCCTTAAAATGTCTTGATGACTGGAGCAATAGAAATGCTCCAAAATGACTAGGAATACATCTTTTTTATATTAACTTGCATTAAAAGTTGGGACTATTTTTTACCTTTTCCTGTAAAGTTACTTTTTTGGACAGCAACGATGAGCTTAATTGCTTAATATACCCGATGGGGATGAGCTGATATACATTTTCAGATTCAATGTGATTTTTGATTCTAGGTTTTAATTTGTTTTTCAATATCATATGTGTTACTGTCTTCTACAGAGCTCTAATTGTACGCTACACAGATTAGCTTGGGTGAGGAAAATGTAAATTTTATTTCAAAAGAGAAAACTGCAGTGTGATGTATTCATGTGCAAGTAAGGCAACTACACTATAAACAATACAAAAAAATCTCATTTCAAACCTCGTATTGGAGAACAGGGAGGGCTTTGGTTTGTCTTAGCTTCTAAAACTCCTCATAGCACTTTTGGTTCTATGGATGGATGGATGGAAAAAAAACATAAATTAGAGTAAAATATGAGAAAATAGGAATAGAAGTATATCTATTAGCATATTTACATAATATATAAGACAGATTGCTGTATTTACATGAGAGCAGGTATTGCACTAAATGGTATACAGCTTGGCTGAACTCTGTGGTGGTGGCACGGTGGCGCAGTGGGTAGCGCTGTCGCCTCGCAGCAAGAAGGGCCTGGGTTCGATTCCCGGCCGGGTGACCAGGGTCGTTTCTGTGTGGAGTTTGCCTGTTCTCCCCGTGTCTGCGTGGGTTTCCTCCGGGTACTCCGGTTTCCTCCCACAGTCCCAAAACATGCAGTCAGGCCGATTGGACGTACTAAATTGCATTGCCCCTAGGTGTGAATGTGTATGTCTGTCTTTCTGTCTGCCCTGCGATGGACTGGCGACCTGTCCAGGGTGTATCCTGCCTTCCGCCCAATGACAGCTGGGATAGGCTCCAGCACCCCACCGCGACCCAGAAGGATAAGCGGTTTAGATGATGGATGGATGGATGTGTTGTGGTGTTAATTGTGAAATAAAAAGTGAGTTTTGTTACCTTAATAATGTAATGAGAGCTCAAAAGGCTGCAGTGACAGTAAGTTGGGGGTTAGGGGAGTTTCACGGTTCCATCTTCCAACCCAACAACATAGACCATAGACGTTTACATCATGGTTTCGGTCTTGGTTTCAGAATCATTACACCCTATTTTACACCTTTTACACACGATGTCCATATTTGACTATTACAAGTGGCAATAGTGCAGAAATCTACTCCTTACTCACAAAACAACTATGGGGATACGTTATAACAGTGAGTGGAGTATGCAAGAATTTATTAAGGTACTTTTGTAAAGGATTAAAAAAAAAATTTTGGTCATTTATTTTTCTCAAATTTGGAGCAGCACCTGAAAAAAAACACTTATGCTACACCTAATACTAATAACCTAAACACATGACACTGTGTAACACTTTCAGATGATGTAAGATAAAGTCACATTCGTGTTGACAGTTAAAGTTTTAAAGTTAACCTACATGTAGGGGTACATGTAAGAAATGTCAGTGGGCCTAGTATTCTTAGGTCAGTATCCCCTACATTGTGTTGTGTAGTACAATCTGTCCCATCCTGGTCAGTCGCGACCTTGCTAGATTTTTTCTACAGGTGTGTTTAAACTAGAGAAACCCCTGTTTTAGATTATTCACTCTTAAAATGGTCTTCAAGGGTTCTTTAGTAAAGAAAACTATTCTGTAAAGAGCCATGAACACTCAAAGAACCCTTTGCATGATTAAAGGGTTCTTTACATCATGAAAGACTTCTTCAGAACATGCTGTAGATGGTTCTGTATAGAACCTTTTTGAAAAGGATTCCTTATAGCAACCAAAAGGGTTCTCCTATTGTTACAATGTTAAGCTTCTAGCAATAGAAGAACCCTTTTGGGTGCGATATAGAAATTTTTTCAAACAGCTTCTATATAGAACCACTACAGCACGTTCTTCATCAATCTGAGAAACTCTTTCATGATGCAAAGAACCCTTTAATCATGCAAAGGTTTTTTTGGAGTGTTCATGGTTCTTTACAGAATTGTTTTCTTTACTAAAGAACCCTTGAAAAACCATCTTTTTAAATAATGTTCCAGACCATAACAGAACATTTGACCGTCACTCACTGTTTTAAAACTGCAGGTCAGGAGGTTGTTGGCAGTGCACCTTTCTCATTGGTGAAAAAGAGGGTTATGACTTACCCCATGTACAACCCTTCCTGGTTTATAGTTTTACGTTTTGATGGACTGTTTCATTCTGATAATGCATTGAAACTGTTACACCTTTTAATGCTAAATTACAGTGGTGGACGAAGTACACAAACCATGTACTTGAGTTAAAGTAGAGATACCCAAGGTAAAATATTACTCCAGTAAAAGTAGAAGTCCTCTCTTTAGGCCTCCACTTGAGTAAAAGTACAAAAGTATTTGCCTTCAAATGTGCTTAAGTATCGAAAGTAAAAGTACTAAAAGATTAATTATGACTTTAATGTCCTATTACCATTTTTGTAAGATGACTCTTGCTTCATTAACTCATTTTAGGTGAAAATACTTCAGTGTCACTCTTGGTAAACCAATCCTTTTTTTAATAGAATGTCATTAATTAGTCTGTAAATAATGTCTATTAAAATGATCATAAGCACAAAACACTGAAGACAAACAATTTCCATTAGGTAGAGCCAAGTGGCCATGAAATATGTTTTTGCAAACAAGCAAAGTTTCAGTTTAAGATTTATTTGCAACTTAGTTACAAGTTTAAGTTTAATAAAAAGTTTAAACACAGTTTCACAAATGAGTTTTCCTTTATTATATTGCATCTGTAGGTCTCTGTTCATAAACATAAACTAGCAAAAACAAATTTACTATAAAATGAAATAGTGTATGTATAAATTCAGAAAAGAAGACACGTCAGTCACAACTGTATATGTGTACATATTTCTATATTGTGGTTTATTTACACAAAGTTAGGTTAGAGTCAGGTGTTTCTTCCATCATTTATGTTGAATAGGCACTCCCAAAATTTTACACTGCTGCCCTGACGTTGAACCGTCTGCTTGCACTGGGTAGGTATGTACAACAGGTCTAAACAAGCTCAAAACAAAGTGCGCGCTGTACCCTGATTGGTGTGCTGTTTCGCGCTTCTTTCGTTTTGACCTGTTACACACATAAACCAAAAGGAACGACAGATTTCGTATAATGTAGTGAAGTAAAACGTAAGATATTTGAAGTAAAATTAGACAGTTTTGAACCCCAGTCAAGATAAACTGAGTGCTAATTTTTGAGTGTTTTTGAAGTTACTATGTTTTGCATTTGTCATATTGGATTGGTAGAAAAATCAGTGATATCTTGATTTTTTTGTCTTTATCAATAGATTGTAGGATGGCTGTTGTTTGTAGCTGGAGCTTCTTTTTCGATGTTGATCTGGGCCCAGTTTTACTAAAGTATCTTAATGTTAATATCATCTTAACTTGTATAGAAAGTGTTGAGTGTGATGCCCACTCTACCATTTAAGTGTCAGTAGTAATTCAGCAGCAGAAAAACATCCTGATGGGGTCTTTCATAGAGCAACATCTTAGGCCGCACTTATTGGAACCCCGCCTGCTGCCTTCAGTACCTGCTGTCGCCATCCTAGCTTTTCTGAGGAATGGATTACTCTGTTTGGGTCCAAACACGGAGACATGTTGTACCTCTTTCATCCTTCTCCAAAAGCAGAGGAAAAAAGGAAATATATCTGTGGGATAGTGTGGCTAGCCAAAGACCTTATGAGAGGACTTTCCTCACATCTTAAGTCCGCTCTCGTTTCCTCCTCCAATCCACATTCCCTCGTCTTCCTCACAGAGACTTTACATGCTCATTAGCCACCAAATGCCATCAGAGAAACCTCACTTTAAGAATTATTAACAGCTAATTGGCCCCAAATAATTTAAGCTAATCCCTCGAGGGCCAGCTATGCTAAGCGGATTTAGCGACTGTTGTGGCCTTACTCTCGTCTCCTTTGGTCAGTAACTGCATTGATATCATAGGTGCCAATGGGAGGGAAAAGGTGGGTGGGGTGGTGGTGGATAAAGCTGGAAGGAGTTTGGCAGTGCCGGCCAGGCCATCACCTGACCGCATGGCTTAGCCCCAGAGTGCCGCTTTTACAGGAAGGGCGAAAGGGATTGAGGGAAGAGTGGCTCCTCAGCCCCGATTGGCTATGTTTTCTTAGCCTTTCACCCTGGGAACGGATTTTATGCCAGGCAGACACCTGTCAACATCCATGAGTCCTCAGAAGGTTACTGCCCCAAACTCACCCTGTCTCTCCCCCTCATTCTCATACTCGCACACTTCAACTGGAACCTGCTGGTCTGAATTCTCACACTGTAGGTCCCATAAAATATGACGATAGCTTGCTATGGTTACACACATTTGTAAAACATGGACATTCCAGATAGTTTGAAAAGAAAAATGCTAATGGTTCACTAAAGGCTAGTGATAGAAGAGCAGATTTCTTTACAGTGGTGGTGATAGGAACCAGAGGTCATGATGTCTACAACACAAAAAATGTGTTAACTATCCAAAATGACCATTAAACCTACACTTGTCTTCTGTGTTTTTATGTGTCAATAATGGTAAAATAGTGGTAAATCTGAAAAAATGTTTTCTTTGGGGCTATTTTGTCTTAGAATGCCTCACATTGATCAACCCCATTTCCGAAAAAGTTGGGACGCTGTGCAAAATGTAAATAAAAATATGCAATGATATGCAAATTGAGTAAACCATATTTAAAGGAAAATACTACAAAGATAACATTCAAATGTTGAAACTGAGAAATTTTATTGTTTTTTTTTGATTTTGAAAATGCCCATTTTGAATTTGATACCAACAACACATTCCAAAAAAGTTGGGACGGGGGCACGTTTACCACTGTGTTTCATCAACTCTGCTTTTAACAACACCCTGTAAGCATTTGGGAACCGAGGAGGACCAATTGCTGTAGTTTTGAAAGTGAAATGTTTTCACGTTCTTGTTTGATGCAGGACTTCAGCTGCTCAACATTTTGGGGTCTCCTTTGTCATATTTTTCATTTCATAATGTGCCAAATGTTTTCAGTGGTGACAGGTCTGGACTGCAGGCAGGTAAGTTTAGCGCCCGGACTCTTTTAATACAGAGCAATGCTGTTGTAATACATGCAGAATGTGGTTTGGCATTGTCTTGCTGAAATAGTCAAGGCCTTCCCTGAAAAAGACGTCTTCTGAATGGCAGCATATGTTGCCAAAACGTGTATATATTGTTCTGCATTAATGGTGCCTTCACAGATGTGCACATCACCCATGCCATGTGCACTAATGCACCTCTATACAATCATGAACACTAGCTTTTGAACTGTCGGACCACAGGACACTTTTCCACTCTCCCTGAGTCCATTTTAAATAAGCTCGGGCCCAGAGAAGGTGGCAGCATTTCTGGATCCTGTTTATATTTGGTATCTTCTTTGCGTTTTTTCTTTGAGTTTTAATTAGCATTTGTGGATGCAGCGATGAACTGTATTCACAGATAGTGGTTTTCAGAAGTGTTTTTGAGCCCATGCAGTGATTTCCACTACACAATCATGTCTTGTTATTCTTGAATTGTTGCACTATTTGCCCATGCAGGCTTTCACAGTGGTGAACCAGCCCCCCGCCAGTCTTTACTTCTGAAAGACTCAGCCTCTCTGGGATGCTTTGTTATACCCTGTCAATCAACCACCAGGTGTTTTTTTTAGCATTACACAAACATATACAAACTTTACCAGCCTTTTGTTGCCCCCGTCCCAAATTTTTTGGAACATGTTGTTGGCATCAAATTCAAAATAGGCAGATATTTTTAAAAAAAATATATAAGTTTGATATGTTGTCTTTGTAGTAATTTCAATAAATATAGGGTTTAAATGATTTGCACAACATTGCAATATGTTTTTATTTACATTTTGCACAGCGTCCCAACTTTTTTTGGAAATGGGGTTGTACATTTTTAGCCAATATTTTATCTTAAAACAATTCTAAAACAATTTTTAGGCATTAAGGAGTACATTCATAGCCATTTCATACTATTTCTGTCAGATAACTTTGACAGATGCATTGAATTCTTCAGACTTCTGGTTCCTATCACCACCATTGTGAACAGTCCTGCCTCTGTAAGTTTCCCTAGAATGGAGAGAAACACATCAAATCTTTATGATTTACTGTTTATATCTTGATTCAATTGTGCAGACATTTTGCAAAATGTGTGGAACTCCTCTTTAAAGAACCTACATTACGTATACCAGGTGAATAACCAAGAACCATTTAGGAACCTTTATCATGTTGCAAAATAACTGCTAATTATCAGTTTAACTGACTAAATTGTTTTCTATTAAGGAGTTCTTTCCATTATAAACCTTTACACTGACCTTCTACCCATCTTACAGCTTGGAGTCACTGTCTTCCTGGCCCTCATTGTTGGTGCCATCTTCTTTAAAGTGAAGGACAACCAGAGTGGAATACAGAACAGGTGAGTTTGGTCACTGTCACACCAGCAATGACCTTTATCCCCTACAGTTACTGCATAATTGAGGTGCAGTCAGATGCAAAAGTGTGGGCGCCCCTGGTCAAATTAGGTTTGTTGATGTTCTAAGTGGAAAAAAGTGAACACATCCTAACACGCTTCATTTTAATGCACAGTTACTGTTTATTTTACATATTTTAACATACATAACACATTAGGAATGAAAAAAATAAAATAAAATAAATAAAACATAATATCTGGCCCATGCAAAAGTTATGGAGCATTTTATGTTTTGCATTTGATTTTTTCCAGTATGTTAAGCAGTAAATAAATAGAAAGTGTGTAGTAAAATTTAGTGAGTTCTCTGTAGAGGATGTGTTTGACTGGGGGGAAACACAAATATGCACTAAAAGGCCTGACTGAACTTCCGTGACTGGATTGGGAACTTGCTGTATAAAACAGACTGCCATTAGGAAAAAGCACTTGAATTATACAGACATCTTCATATTCAGTTCATTTTTCATCATAACTCTGCATATCGCTGTTGTCTGAACAAAACCTTCTATCTCCAAAATGGTAACTTTACAGGAGAAGGAAAAACATACTTTACTTTTAATGTAAGTCAATGGAACCAGAGTTTTTCCCAAGTATTTTTGGGCCATTTCTTTTGGACCATTCGTCATGAAATTTACACACAATGTAAAGGACAACAGGTACTTTCAAATTATGTCAGAAACTGAAAAACAAAACAAAAATGGAGATGCAAGGTTTTGTTCCAACAGTAGTGATATACAATATTCAGCATTTCTACCCTTGTATAGTGCTTTAAACACAATATTCGCTGCATGCTATTCTTTGGCCTAATATTAACAAGCATCTGGCTGAAAGCAGCTGTGTAGTGCAGCACAGTACTAAGGGCACCAAGATGAATGGACTCCTCTGTTTGAGGTGTTCTAATCAGAATAACACGTGGACAGTGCTTGGTGGCTGGCCTGGCCTAAGCCTCATCACATTATGTACATTATTTTACATAGCCTCTTACGGGTCAGCACCCTGCGCACTGGACCGTACGTTTAACGCACATCTCAGACATTCTCCCCAGCTCTGTTCTTATGTGTCATGCATGAACAGCTTTGAGCAGACGGATTTCATGGCATTAGGCTGTAACGAGTGACCTTATGTGTGAGCTGAAGTGAGAAAAACCCATGTAGCCTTTCGTTTTAAGGACCCGTTGGCTGGTCTACACTTGAAATGCTCACTCTCATAACTATGTAACCTACATATTGATTTTTTAGTAGTTACTGAATAATTTATAGTTGTTACTCACTAATAATGTAATAATGGATTTAGGTCAGTATAAATGTTAAACCTGTTTAAGTGGGTCACTGTTACATCAAAGTGCATAAATCGCAGGGAAAATGTGGACACAGATTAATACCTGAATAATAATTATTTTAAGATGATATTAATTAATAATAGTTTTCATAACTTTATCGTTAGTTGTAGAAGGCAGGGGTGTAGGAACTCTGAACATTAAAATAGTTTAACTGTGTTTGAGTTAATATCTGTAACAGAGTAAATTACATTATTTGTGATACCACATCACAAATGCATTTGGCAGTGATTAACCCCCTTAAATGGCCTGGGCCCACCGGTGGGCCCAAAGTAAAATTATCCACTTCTATAACCTGAGAATGGCTCAGGTTGCATTGATCCCCCTAGAGTAACTGAATAGTAAGCTTTAGTATGTAATAAGCCTGGGATTCTATGACAATAAGTATTGTGTTCATGTTCAGGGCAAGTTCTCTCAGCATTTCCAACACCTAGATGAATGTCTTGCATACATGGACACCAAGAAGCAAGCAGTTAGCCTATTAAGATAGCTAGGCAATAGCTACATGTTTATTCTCATCAGTCTCTCATCAGAGTTTAAATGCTTTTACTGAGCTTTGAGTTGACCAGTAAGTTTATTGGCTTTTGTTACTGAAGCCTGGACTTTTAATAACACGGCTGCCATGTTGAGAGTTCCTATTTATATTGAAGCAGTGAACCGTCTCGTTATAATGCCTCTGTTCTCAGGTACGGTTAATTTGGTTCTCTCACGCTCCTGGTTAAAGGTTCTGAAGACTTGCTTAACTCGATGGTGGCTTTTCTAATTATGTTAAGTCAAAGTCCTTTGCATGTACGGTATGTTGTACATCTGCATAACCACTGATAGACAGGCATGTCTAATATCTTTCTCCTGGCAGGTTTGGTGCTCTGTTCTTCATCACAACCAATCAGTGTTTCAACACTATCTCAGCCGCAGAGCTCTTCATCACAGAGAGGAAACTCTTCATGTATGTATCTCTCAGTTTATTTTTATTCGTCAGTTGGCTAATAGCAAAAGGCCTTCGGGGCTGGATTCATGATAATATGTTCTTAACTTCAGACTTAAAAGAGGATTCCGCTGATTTTTCTCAATTTCTGCATAATTCAGTGGTCGATATGTAAATCATTCAGTCATAAGTCACAAGTCATTCGGATTGTTTTTTTGTGTGAAATGGTTTGTTGAGAAACTTATATTTCTTTACAGTGGTTGTGATAGGAACCAGGAGTCAGGATGTCTACAATGCAAATGTGGCCATTTTGTTTACTATCCAAAACCACCAGTGAACCTACACATGTCCTCTGAGTGTTTATATGTAATTTTGATGATGGTACAAAGTTTTCTTTGGGGAATATTTTGCCTTAGAACACCCTTCATGTATCCCTCCACCACAAATCAATGAATACATTTGGACTAAAGCATCACAAAACAAACTCAGGCAAAGCAATGTCTCAGACATCAGGCAGTGAATTCATAACCATTTCATATAATAACTTTCTGGGAGGGAGCTTTTAGAGGCAGACGTCTGGTTCCTGTCACCACCACTGTGAATAATTTCTCTAGAACAGAGCATTTCATACTAAACCACTCTGACATTGTTGACATCTTACCCATTTAATTATGTAGAAATTTTGGTTGAGTTCCCCTTCAAAAACAAAATTGTTATTCTTCAAAAAACGAAGAATGTTTACGTTTTCTTTCTCACCTTTTATCTCACAAACGTGTAAAGAACAGGTGATGTACTCCATAGGATAACCTGCAAATAGCCTACTTAAGAAAAAATAATACTTCATTATATATGGACATGAACAATGTTTTAAAATTGAGAGCTGCATTTGAGAACATTCTTATTAATGTTTTAGTTCTTTCTCCTGGTTTGGATTTTTGATGGAACCTCATTTATATGTTCAGGAGAGGATGCTGCCATTCTCATTTCTGTTGATTTAAGAAAGGCTCAGTAGTGTGAAATCTCTCTATACAGACATGAGTACACCAGCGGCTACTACAGAGTCTCTGTCTACTTTCTGACTAAGATCCTCTCTGACATCATCACCATGCGCACAATTCCTGCTGTACTCTTCACCTGCATCTCCTATTTTATGATTGGTAAGCGATGGAGCCGATGTACATCTTTTATTTTTGGACCCTGCCAGCCAGTCTTAAGTGCTAAAGCAAAAACGTGTTACTTATTAAAGTATTACTGCATGTATTTACACTGTGTGTGTGTGTGTGTGTGTGTGTGTGTGTGTGTGTAGGATTTAAGCAGACGGCAGCAGCATTCTTCATCTTCATGTTTACAGTGACCCTGGTGGCATGCACAGCCACAGCTATGACCATGGCCATCTCCGCTGACCAGTCTGTGGTGGCCGTGGCGAACATCTTCATGACCATCACCTTCGTCTTTATGATGGTAAGTTAGAAATGTTAAGATGTGTAACTAGACTTACTTTTGATCTAGTTTTTGTTATTTAAAATGACTGCTAGGAAAGGAGGCTGCAACAGTTGTTTTACCACAATTAAGGAGTGTTGTTGTGTAAATTTGTTCCCTGTTTCTTTCACAGTCTCGTTTGCTTATTGCTTTTTTTTTTAATCCACCTTATTTTTCACATGATCGCTATATTTCAAGATTATGGACGAAATATGCAGTTGGGGAATTGTGTTTATTTCTGTGTAGCACACAGAAAATGCTTATTTGTTTACATTTTATGTCCCATTAAATTTAATAAGCAGAGCTTCAAAGGACATGTGAACACAGTTTCATAATCACTGCTGGAAAAAGCCCAGTCGTTACTGTTGAAATCTGTGCGCACAGAATTCAACCAGATTAACCAGAATAATTACTGGTCGAACATCACTGGTTGATACTAACAGACTCTCTTCAGACCCAGAGTGGTTTACGCTTTATATTGCCTGTAACTGAAAGTATTCTGCCTTTACTAGAGTAGGCAGAGCAGCTCAACAGAAGGCTATCGGGCTAACGCTCAGATAATAAAAGACAAACTTTGTGTGGAAGCAGCCGGAGAAAGACTTACTTACAAACGGAGACATACAAAGTAAAGAACATTACTTACATGTCTGTTACAAGCGTAAAATGTCTCTATTTAAAGTAGAGTTGATATCAAAATCCAACATAATGCTGAGCTAACCCTGCTAGCTTGGAGCTAACATACTGTTTGAGGAGCATTATCTTAGCACTAGTTTTTTTTTTGTTTTTTAAAAAGGGAATTAACAGACTTTTGCATTGCTATGTACTTGGATTGCTTTATGGTTTTATGCCTCGGTGCTCTCTAGTGCCAGTGTTTGATTTGTCCATTTTGGGCTACTGTAGAAACATGGTGGCGCAACATGGCGGCCTTTGTTGGAAGAATACCCGCTCCCTATGTAGATATAAAAGGGCTCATTCTAAGCTAACGAAACACAACAATTTGTAGTTACACGTGCTGAAACATGGTTTTGTAAACTATATTCCATTTCTGCTAATAGATCCCTCTAAATCTTGCACACTGCACCCTTAAGCATTACAGTAGTAAAGACTGTGTACATTTTCATTTTTCTTCATGTTTTTATCATGTTAGAATGTTGTTAGGGTTTAATAAATATACACTTTGTAGGTAGTTCTGTCCATAAGCCACTCAAAGCATCATGAGGCTTAGGAAAAAGGTGGATATGATATGTTCTATGCCAACCAGCATAAGCATCAAGATTATTCCATTAACAGCACAATGGTTTGTAATAACTTGCCACATTATATATTGAGTATTTTACAATGGCTTTGAAAGTAGCTCAACTTGTAGCTTTATAACTGTCTGGTTTTTAAATTCACTTAATATTTATTATTATCACATTAATGTTGAATATTCTAGAGATCAATAAACATAACCACAACCATAGTGCATTCTTTTACCCCACATGCTTATGGAGGTTGTTATTTGTCCTTCATTAAGGCAATTATAGAGGATGTACTGTTTGTCTAACTGTAAGAAACTGACGATTGTAGATTTTCTCTGGTCTGCTGGTGAATCTGGAGACTGTGGTGGCCTGGCTCAACTGGCTCAAGTACTTCAGTATCCCACGCTATGGACTTACAGTAAGAATCACTCTTAGTTGTAATGTAAAGGAAAATGTCACTTCCAACTTCATATTTTCATATCTGCCAAGGAGCTGAAATTATTTCCTGATAAAAGCCATACGATTGCCTGCTTCGGATCAAAACTAGGATATGAGTTTTTTTGCCTTGGAAGCTCCACAGAGGTTGAAAAATATTCTTCTCAAGACCTAATCAGTCACATATAATGCAAATATGAGTGAAATTCCATTTATGTATGTAAATAAACTCAGCTCAGCAACATACAGAGAGTTAGTTAACATTTTGTGTTCTTTTATTTCCAGTCAAAACAGCCACTAAATACAAGTTATTCATTTCTCAGGAGATATTTCTGAGAAGAATAGATATAAGCTAACCCACATGCATAAAGAAGGCGGAAACTTAAAGGAAAATACATGATACAAAAGGACTTTCCACAGCATTATTTTAAAAAATACAAAGAAAATGGGGCTCCTAACAACCATGCAAAACCTGGCAAACATCCAAAACTGTCACCATCAGATAAACAGCACTCAAGCTTTCATTTTTGGGCAATAGGAGAAAATCAAGCTCCTCTCTTGCGTCAGAACTGAAAAAATCCACAGGTGTTTCTGTCCATCCTTCCACTGTGAGAAGACAACTCAGCGCTATGGGTCTGAAAGGATGTGTCGCTGACAAGAAGCTGTTAATGAGAAAAGAAAATGACAAAAAAGAATAACAAAGAAGCTGCTGGTGTTTTCACAGTAGTGGACCGACCACAGAGTCCAGACCTCAACGTCACTGAATGTTTTTGGGATCACTTGGATTTTGAGAAGCAGAAAATGCTAAGACTGAACTTTGGCGGTGTGGGAAAATATCCCTGCAGATTTCTTTGAAAAACTGAAAGCAAATCTCCTGAAAAGAATGGAATCTGTAATAAAAAATGTAAAAAAAATAGATGTTTTTAGATTTAGATTTAGTTGCCGAGGCTGCTGCTTTTATTTCAAACGCTGAAAAATAAACTTTTTTTCTTGACTGGAAATAAAGGGTAGTCTCTGACTTTTGGACAGTATTGTAGATGCACTTTGTAGGTGTACAGTTACTGACTGTAGCCAGTCTGTTAGTTCGACAAACATAAAATCCAGGTAATAGCAGTCCACTGATAAAAGGCAAGAGGATGGCTTATACAAATTGTGCTGAAAAGAGCTATAGTCCCTAAAATCTACAAGGTTTACCAACAAGCTGCACAATGAGTGTCTATAGAGTGGCGAGGAAGTGTGAGTGTTATGCTTTATTGGGATTAACAAACAATGCCATGCAAGCCAACCAGAGAAAACCAAACATTAGAACTAGGAAAACCAGACTACGAATCCAGGCTAAACAAAAGAACATCAACACACAGGACAAGGCTCAGGAAAACACACAGACACAGAGAAACACAGGGGCCATAGATACATGTGACAACAAGGCAGGCCATTGGAGGAGACAGGGTGAAGCCAGTTCAGGACAGGGTTCTCTGATTGTCACAATTATGGCATGCAGAGTGATATGTCTGTTCTCTTTGTACAGGCTTTGGAGATAAATGAATTTGTGGGACTGAACTTCTGCAAAAACCTCACAGCTGAACTAGCCAACTACACACAGGGGATCACGTACGTAGACCACACACACACATGCACAGTGATTAAAGTGTGCTGTGGTGGTTTGGTGCTTCTGTTAAAATACAGTAGAGTCAGTTTAGTTTGCCTGTTGCTGACACTGCACATAAAATGTGGATCTAGTGCCACCTACTGGTGTCATCCTTTTCCACACATGGAAAATAATTTATATATTTTCTTTGTCTTGATTAGGAAGTATATAGAGAAGAACATGGCTTAAATCTGGTGTTGTATTATGTCAGTTAATGACCACGTACACTGTGTCAGAAAGTATCTGGACACCGTTTCTAATCAGTGACTACCGCCATGCAGTGCTTGCTGATACAGGCATAGAAAAGCATTGCTTTGGAGAAGTCACATATGAACCTAATGTCATCCTGCCCAATGCCAGATGTCAGCTAGAGGGGTGTAAAGCCCCCCCCCCAGCAATGGGCTGTGGAGCAGTGCAACTGTTTTCTGGAGTAATGGTGCTCCATCCAATACCTTTGGGATGAGCTGGAGTGGTGTTTGTTATCCAGAACTGATCATCCAACATCAGTACCTGACCTCACTAATGCAATCTAATCCTCACAGCAATGTTCCAACCTTTAGTATAAAGCCTTCCCAGAAGAGTAGATGCTGTTACTGCAGCAAAGGAGGAAAATCTCTCTGTTAATACCCCTGATTTCAGAAGAAACATTGGCTGAGTAGATATCTACAAACTTTTGGACTTAGTAGTGTAGCTGTGAAAATTAGGGGTGTGCAATATAACAATATATTATCATTATGGTTATGAATTACATTACAGTACACTTGTATGAGGATGTCAGTACTTCTAGAACACTGAACAACTTTATATAAGATCATATTCACTACTGTATTTTATGTATCATAAGAAACAGATTTCGATTTGCGCTGAATGTATTTTACAACAAATGCATCGTGAAAATGTCTTCAAGTATCATGATATTACGTCTGCCGTATCACCCACCCTTATCCATAATTCTTTGGTGCAGGTGTACAGGCGAACAGCATCTGACATCCCAGGGAATCGATTACTCCACCTGGGGTTTATGGCAGAACCACGTGGCCCTGATCATTATGACCATCCTTTTCCTCATCATCGCCTACATCAAGCTCAGATTCATCCGCAAGTTCTCATGAGTGTTCCGCTTGGTGTGTCTTTAATGTGACCTCCTGGACAGTCATTGCCCTATGCATGTGATCTAGGCTGGACCAGTTAGGTGAGCTTGTTGGGGGTGGACTAAAAAAATGCACTGAGCTCCTCCAGAATATTTGCACATCTTGATGCAAAAGCAATCCAGAGTGCAAAAATCATCAGTGTTATTCTTTCCCTCGAAAAATGAATTAAATGAGATGCTTCTGTATAAGAGTTTCAACCTACTTTCAATCTGTAACAATAATTATTATTCTAATAACAAAAAAGAGGTTTTATCTGACATTTGGTCAAACCCAAGTACTTGTAGGGATACTATCGTCCATCGTCCACTGCATTCATAGTTGGACAAATGTTAATGTGAAAATAGTTCCCATAATAGTTACGATTTCTGTGAATCTAAGGTCAGCTATCTTCTTTCATCAGATATTGAACATATTTTCTGGAATATAATTCTAAAGCTTTGATTATAACTTATGTTTCTTATGTCCTAAATGTTTGTGCAGGTATATTGATGAGGTGCCTGTTTTGGACAGCTGAGTCCCTGAAAAAGTGCCAAAAAGTAGATTCTAAGTGATGCTTTTTGTTTGTAGTCTAATCAACAAAACTGTACATAGTTAAATTTATAAGTAAGTTTATACTTTTCATTTTTTATACATTTGATCATATTCACTACTGTATTTTACGAACACTTGTCAAATAAAATATCACATGCATATCAAATGTTTGCAGTTCCACAATTTAACTTCAGAAATTTATTTACTGTTTATGTTACACTCTGCTGAATCTAACTTTATCTGTGAAATCTAAGCAGTAAACTGTCACATTTAATCAGATCCAAAGCAAATTACTTTACGAGTGCAGTCATGAACAACCAGGTCCTGAAGATACAATGAGCATACAGTGCTAATCAGATATTAAGTGTCATCAAGTCAGTTCCGATTGCTGGCAACCATATGAATAGTGTTTCTCCAGTTTACGTTTAAGTTAGCAGCCCGCTCCGGCCTTTTCTTCATACTGAGAAGAGCTGAAGTCCCTGTCCTTTCGCTCTGTTCTTTAACCTTCCTTATAAGGGCCTTCAGGTCTTCCAGATGTTCTGCTATGAGTGTTGTATCATCCGCATATCGAAGGTTATTAATGTTTCTTCCACCAATCTTGAATCCTTGATCATCTTCCTCCAGTCCTCTGTCATTATATGTTCAGCTTATAGGTTGAACATGTAGGGTAATAATATGCAGCCTTGTCTAACTGCTTTACCAATGTGGAACCAGTCTGTTTGTCCATTTTCTGTCATGGCTGATCAGATGAAGTTATAAAAATCTACTTTGAATTTTTCACTCTGCTATTTGTAGCTTAAAGTTAACATTCAGAATATCACAGCAATGTTTTTTTTAAAGTAGATCTTCGAGACGTCTTTTATAAAACATTAGATTAGTACCACACGGATCTCAAAATCTAGCCCAAACTTGTGATGCCATTCAATCTTGTGCTTTAAAGCTGACTAATCTGTTTTAATCTGGCCTAATCTCCTGTCAACAAACATCAATCGTAGAATTAACAGAGATCAATCTAATGCCATGGAAAGACATAATCCATTAACTATGAGTGCATAAAACTGGTTAAAGAGGATTTCCACACATTTTTACACTTTTTCAGAATTAAATGGTAAAGATGTAAACGAAGTCATTCAGAGTAGTTTGATGCGAAATGCTCCATTCTAAAGAAACTTACAGACTCGGATTTCTTTACAGTGGTGGTGATAGGAACTAGGTGTTGCAATGTCTATATTTGCTATGTTAAACCATGTTTTTATATCGCTGCTGTCGGAAGAAAACCACGTACCTCCATATTTCAGTTTTTGACATAATTTGAAAATACCTGCTGCCTTTTACATTGTGTGTGAATTTCGTGAAGAATGGACCAAAAGAAATGGACCAACACGACTTGGAAAAAAATTCTGGTTCCATTAACTTACATTAAAAGTAAAGTATGTTTTTTCCTTCTCCTATAAATTTACCATTTTGGAGATACAAGGTTTTCTTCCAACAACAGCGATATGTAATGCTGATAATGATAAAATAGTGGTAAATCTGAACTATGTTTTTTTTGGGACTATTTTGCCAAATAACACATTGCCCATACCCATCCGCCAGGAATGGATTTCGTAAAAAAATATGGTTTTGGCCAAAATGTAATCTTAAAACTGTCATAAAACAATGTCCCAGACATCAAGCAGTGTATTCATAACCATTTAATGTCACTAACTTTCTGAGAGAGAGCTTTTAGAGGTGGACGTCTGGTTCCTATCACCATGAGTCATTAAGTTTCTCTAGAACAGAGTATTTCACACCAAACCACTCTGAATGACTTTAACATCATGAAGACCAAACTATACAAACATTTTTGAAGGACTAGTGGATCTTCCATTTGATGTTGCAATGCCACAAACTGTGAAAGTCTGCATACATTACATTTTAAACAATTTTATTAAAACAGTAATACTGATTAAAACATACAGAGGACTACAAAGTACCATAAAGCACAGTACAGAGCCAAATTTACAGAGCTGTTTGCTGATACAAGTTCTGTCCACTTTTTAAAATATGTAATAAACTGCCGGTGCTACAAAATATCAAATAATAACATGTCGTATCAAAACTGCATACTGAACATCAGCAGCATGAAAGGAAAAAGAAATACCCCAAAACTGTCAAGAAATTAAGTCATTGTACCATATTTCGAGGCAAAACCGACATCAGAGAAAAGCTTTGCAAATTCAGCTATACGAGTCAAACTCACATGAGCTTCCTATGAAAGCAGATGCACTCCAAATCGAAGTTTGTTTCAAGTTACAATATGTATAAAATAAGAAAATACATTTAAACAAGTTATACATCACCTAGTGCAGACATACATGACAGAACAGGCCACTCGTTCAACTATAGTAAAAGATGTCGAACCCAAACTTACAACAGAAGATCATTTCTAGTTGAAATATGAGCGAAAGCTTCCTACTGAGGAGATACTTGTGCTTTACATATATTAAAAATCATAAAGCTGTGCCAAATCTCCTTGTAAAATAATTGAAAGTACCAGCATCAAAGCTCCATTTAAAATGCCTTCAGTAATATGAATGAGTTAAAATGATGTACAGTGCCCTCCACATATACTGGCACCCGTAGTAAGCATGAGCAAAACAGGTTGTAAAATCATTCTTTATTGCTTATCCTTCTGATCTTTTATTAAAAATGTTAACAAAAATCAAAGATTTATTTGAAGCACAATGATCAAGCGACAAAAAATGAAATCTTTTCATGAAATATTTTTTCTCAAATCTGTGTGGCACCCCTACAAATTTTTATGAGTGAAATCTAACTGAAGTATATTTCCACTATTTTATGTCTTTAAGTTTTAAGTAACACTTAAAATGGTCAACCATGACTTTCTGTTTCACTGGGATATAAATATGAGGTGACACACTGGCCAAACTCTCTTTGGCTGCATCCAAAACTGCAAACTACCAAAGTAAATAGTAAAAACTAAATAGAACACCACCAATAAAAGTCCATTTACTAGTGTGGTATGTGTAGTATAGTATTGTGTGGTTTTGTATGCAGCTTAATCATTTATCTCTATGAGAAAGACCAGAATGCAATAGCGATGTGCAACAAATGGTTGTACAAATCAGGAAATGGCTACAGAAAAATAGCTAAACAGATGAAAATGGCCATTTCTACTATTGGGGCAATAATTAAGAAGTTTAAAGCAACTGGAGATGTTAAGAGTCTGCCCGAAAGAGGACGTATGTCTATACTGACCCCACGCACAGTGAGGAGGCTGGATAGAGCGGCCAAAGAATCTCCAAGGATCACAGATAGGGAACTGCATGCATTAGTCAAGTCTTGGGGTCAAAACGTCTCCCAAACTACAATCACATGCCACCTACATAACTACAAGTTGTTTGGGATGAAATATTAAATGAAAATATGAAATGAAGGGTGCAATTGTGGCGCACATGGATTTAAGAAAAATATTTCATAAGATTTAGTTTTCTTCTTTTTACTATTGTACTTAAAGGCTAGAATTTTGTTATTTTGAAAGAAAGATCAAAATGATAAACAATAAACAATGTCTATCAGGGGTGCCAATATTTGTGGAGGACACTTTATATGTAAGCACATTTTATCTTATAAGACCTCAAAAGTTTTTGCAAAAAAAACTAAGAAATCTGTTATTCATCGTTTTTGAGAAATTGCCCTGGATGGTAATACTATTGTAATACGATTGTAATACTATTTTCCAAATCCAGCGCTATAAATATCTACCACTCCTCTCATTTTGTAATAACATGTAATAAGCTGCAGAAATGCTAATATTCTGAAGCTGGCTGTTTTTCAGAGGAAAAAAAAGAAAGAAAATAATCCAAGATATCAAGCTATGAGTTTAGGCTTGCGTACATAAATCATACATAATGACAGTGAATGGTGGAAACGCTTTTAAACTATTGAATAAAGGAGAGACGTTTGTAGTCTTGAAGGTAAATAATGAAAAATATGGCTGCTGACAAGATTTTGCTGAAGCGTAACTATGGCATGGGGTTCGGCTTGTTGTTGTGTAATTTGTTGTCTGGTCATATTAACACACACCTACAGCACATTTATGCTTCACTGTAGGCTGGCCACCTGCTACCTGCCACCTGCCACTTGGCTCTGTTCAACCTAGATTAAAAAAATAACTCATCTTCATTTACTGCACCCATCCTGACCCGCACTGGAAAAAAAAAATCACATGCAGTTCTTCAAAATGTAAGTTTGGAAAGTTAAGCTCAGGTCTGGAGTAACAGCTCCTCCTACACAGTAACAGAGAATAATCTAATAATTTCACCCACATGAAATTGTATGATGCTTTCATTGCTTGATGACTTCATTTAAAAAATAGCTGATATATGTGTATTAAAAGAAATATTACACCTTTATCTCAGGCCTTGAATTTTGCATCATCAAAAACCTTTATACATAAAGTGGCCCCAAAAAGTATTTGGACATTTGTACCATAAAAAAATTAAAACTATATTAAGTCTGCTGCGCTGGGACACTAAATGCCACACAAAATGGCATTTATTTTAAACAGACCATTCCAAGACTGTAATTTGCTTTCTGGCAAAGTGTTCTTTTAAAATGCAGCTAAAGTGTTACAGATCATTATTGTTTGAGCAACTTCTTTGCAGATTCTGCTCTGTACACTCTTAAAAAAGATGGTTCATCAAATGTTTAGTAAAACTTTAGTAAAGAACATTTTTCTATACAGAACCATGAACATCTTGCATGATTAAAGGGTTCTCTGCATAACGAAAGGGTTCTTCAGATTAATAGAGAATGTGCTGCAAATGGTTTTATATAGAATTTTTTTATAGGGTTCTATATAGCACCAAAAAGGGCTCTGCTACTGTTATAATGTTAAGCTTGTAACCATAGAAGAACCCTTTTTGGTGCTATATAGAAAACCTTTTCAAAAAGGTTCTGTATAGAACCTTAGACAGCACAACCTTCATCAATATGAAGAATGATTTCATGATGTAAAGAACTGTTTGATCATGCACAGGGTTCTCTGAGTGTTCACTGTTCTATATAGAACCATTTTATTAAAGACTTTATTAAAGAACTCTTGAAGAACTGTCTTCTTTAAGTGTGTAGGTTTGCATCCAAAATGCCTTTGTACTCTCCTGAACTCATCACCCCATCAATGAACAAAATCTCATTACATAGGAATGCACAAGTCCGGTCCTGGAGGGTCAGTATCTGGTGCAGTTTGGTGGCTCCCCTGCTCACAGACACCCACTAAACCTGGCAACAGAGGAGTATAATCAGGTGTGCTTGAGCAACTAAATGACCAACTGTGCTGGACTTTGACGTTTCCACCTCTGTGCTTTACAGAACCCTTAGGGCAGTCTGGTCAGAATTCTTCTCCACACAGAGTAAACCATCATATTGATGTTGTGATGTTGTTTTTCTGAAACAAATATTATTTTGTTCAACATTTTATGAAGTAACCTAAAGACTGTCATTAAAGTTTAAAGAAGTTTACCAACGGTTACATGATTAAAGTGTCCAAACACGTTTTGGGGGGGGGGCTGTATCTTGAGAGAGGACCCACATAGTAATGCACCTAAAACCAAAAAACCTAAACACATTTGCTCCGGTGCTGCCTAATCCTCAATACAATCCTTAGTCTCATTCATTTGATAATACATCTGCAATGTCCATTTTGCAGATAGACGTCTGCAGTTCGATGTTAAACAGGTAACTGTACCTGCACAAATCCTGGAAATACAATCCTGGCATACCTTTTTTTTTTGATACTGCCTAACCTGGAAGTGCACAATGTGAATAAACTGCAGCATACAAACTATAATACTGATGTGATTATGAACTTTAGTAATACTTCTTATGGCAGTGGGATGAGCAGGAGTGGTCTTACAAGTGTCCACTCCCATTGGCCCCCAGCATCTTGGCCCTCAGTGGACAGTGAGGAGGAGGGGCGGGCGCTGCGAGGACGGGCCTGAGCTCCAGGGCCAACTGGAGTGGCCTGCTGATGGCTGACCTGAGAGATGGCGTCATCTGACTCCCAGCGCTCGAGCTCCTCTCGTACCAGCTTCTCCATCTGCTCCCTGTGCACCTCCGTATCCCTCCCCATCCTCTCATCCTAACCGTGAGAGAGAGAAAGAGAGGTAAGAAGAGAGCAGGCAAAAAAGGAAGTAAGAGAGTGGAGAGAGAACAGTCAAAGAGGTGGAGAGAAAGAGAGCAAGTAGTGAAAGGGGTCAGTAAAGAAATACTAAACAGAGAATATGACCACAACGTAGTAAATAAAGCATTTAGAGGCTAGAAGCTAAGCAAGGAATTCTTGCTAATTTTGCCAGTGCGTAACACTTGTTTTTGTGTTTTATCTGTAGCCCTGTTTTAAAATTTCACCTGCACCTACGTCACACAAAAACAATGGTCTGCAGTTGGTTACTTTGCATAGTCAAACAGCCCCTTCCTGCTAAAGTAGATGGTGCTTCCCTAATGTTGATCAAGGAACGCACCAGACTCTCCGACAAACACATTGTCACTCTGACAAATACACTGTAGAGGTGCCTTTATGTTCATCAAGGCACAAACAATAAAAATGTACTGTCAAAAGTACAACAATGGCCTTAATAAGAGTTGGACAATATGCTGATATTTTATCGTTATTGTAATTAATTTGGTTATTGTGAAATATGATATGCTTTTCTGAGCATCTTGTGCAGAGCATATCAAGAACACTGAACAAGTCTTTGTTTGATTAAAATAGATAATTAGAATACTTAGTCCTGTTTAGTTGGATTTAGAGCAGTGCAGAATGTGAAAGATGAAAATAAAAGTGACTGTACTCAGAGTTTTCTATGGCAGTTTTAAATGTGGCACTGCTAGGGCATCGTGTCTGTTAGAATATTGTGATATGTATCGTGTATCCTAAAAACATCTATAAGTAGTGTGATATGTCTTGAGGTCCAACTGTGTACCTTAAAGTTCTAAACTCACTTTTCCAAGGGAAATGGTCATATTTTCACCTTTTCATAACTTAATGTTTTGAAATAAACAAAAAAATACAAAGACAGGGTGTATCAAGTCAATGCAACTTAAAAACGAATGCAACAGAATATGGTTCACTTATGCTCCCTAACTAAAGGTACTGAAGCCATACCCTTGAGGGTACCACCCCAGTGACACTAGTAACTTTTTTCTTAGAGTGCTGGCAGAAGACATGACACTCGTATCTACATGGTTGGCAGCACCTTTATAGTTAAAGGCTTACCTCCATCACACCATCCAGCAATCGGCCGAGCACTTCTCTCCTCTTCAGCTTGGCTCTCTCCATGGCCTCAAGCTTCACAATGACTGCGTCGATCTTAGACACAATACTACCAATCGAGTGCTCCATACGATCCACCCTCCGCACCAATCTGGCAACACAGTCAAAAAATAGCACTGTTCGTTACACAGCTGTCTGTGGGAAGAATTCAAATGTTGAACTCTTCAACAAGATTTGGCTCATTCCAGCTACGATTACTAAATGGTAAGTGATGAGGTTAACTTGAAGCTGTAGGAAATAATTATAGATTAATTAAAATAATTTTGTCATTGTTCTTTAATATTTTTACGAGATGTTACATTTCATGGAAAAGTAAAATGTTTTTAGTTGCCATGGCTTAAAAGTGACATATAGAGAAGCTTACACTTGGAACTCCTCATAAGACACGCCCCCAGAACTGCTGCCACGGCGACGGGAGCTGTGTCCACTGTCCTCGTCGTCATCCTCTTCCGAGTCGTCCTGGCTACGAGAGAAGCTCCGCCCGCTCAGGGGCCTGGGCAGCGAACTGCGCTCCAGATCCAAGTCCTCCTGGCATGTGTGTGAGAGACACTGAGCATCTGTACAGCTGTGTGTGTGTGTGTGTGTATGCATGTATATGTTCATCTAACTCAGTGCTGAGGGCAATACAACTATAAATTGCTACATCCTTATCCTCAGATTAAATGTTAAATAGCTATTTTACACATAGGTACCAGACTATTGACAGTATGGTTCCTCCCACAGTACAGTATGGAACCCAAAGGGCAGCAACCATGCAAAGTGGATTAGGACAGGGGTGTCAAACATTGCAGATATTAAAGTTTTCCCTGCTCTAATATACCTCATTCAACTCATGAATGACTTTCTAATTAGCTCACAGGCTGCATCAAGCACATTCAATCAGACTAACTCTGCAGTGTTGTCTTCCCGACTAGAGCCACTGCTGGATAACAGAACACGGTATGTCCAAAAGTTTGTAGACACTTGCTAATCTAATGTTTCTTCTGAAATCAGGGGAATTGGGGAGTTTGACCTGCTTTGCTGCAATAACAGCCTCTACTTACCTGAGCCACAAGAGCATTAGTGAGGTCAGGTACTGATGTTGGATGATTAGATATGGATCACAAACTCTACTTCAACTCATCCCAAAGGTATGGATGGAGCGCCATCTCCAGAGAATGCAGTTCTGCTCCCCAGCCCAATGCTGGGGGGGCTTTAAACCCCTCTAGCCAACGACTGGCATTGGGCATAGTGACCTTAGGCTCATGTGTGGCTGCTCCAGAGCATCCAATTCTGTTGGCAATGCTTTTCTATGGGGATTATACAAGCTTTGTGTGCATAACAGAACAACTGTGTCAACAATGGGTGCACTTTAAATGCTTAAAAGCTCAGGGCCCACCAGCAGGCCCAAAGTTTTATTACACACTCCTATAACCTAAGAATAACTCAGTCAGTTTGCACTGAAGACTGTAGCTATTGAATATTAAGCCTTAGTATTTATTACGCCTGGGATTTTATGGGGTTAAAGTAGCTGAATTCACTAATTAGAAGGGGCATCTACATATCAATGTGAGCCATTTACCATCCTAAAAACGTTATGTAGCCAATGGCAATTCTGTAGGCTGTGTTTGTTTATACGACAGTGAGAGCTGGGCTGTATATCAGTGGGTCTGCACTATGAGGTGGGAGGCAAGTGGCTTGTAGTCAATGTACTGGCAACTGGGCTAAACATTCTAAAGCAGATACAGTCTCACTGGAGAACCATTCTGAGAATTTTGCGTTATCCCATTTAACTCATGTATAACTCAATATGGCAGCATGTCCACATTGGCAAGAGTGAAACATATCAGCATGTAGAACTGGCACTTTCTGCATGCTACTGTTTTTCCATCACCGTATCAAAGATGCACAGGGCTTCCTTTATTGTTGGATGCACTGTGTTTTTCTGAGCGAGGACGTGAGCTCATTCAATGTGCAATTCAGATCAGTATGTGCTTATTACTGATTTGTTTGATCAGAATAACAATAAATTACGACTGATGTGTGACTTCTGTGATATTCCTATTCATGAGTGTTCTTTTTCGGCTTTGTTAGATCATGCTCATTTCATTTTAGAATTAATGGTGAAAAGCAGATTCAAAAAAAAATTTTTTTACGTCAGCCTTAAAGAGTTAACTTCACATTTACTCACTCTCTCTTTCTCCAGGTCGTCCCTCATCTGCTGGTGTTCATGCTCAGTAAGCTCCTGGTCTCCGTCCAGATCGTACTTGGCAAAAATAGCTTCAATCTCAGCATCTGAGTGTCCCTTTCTGCAAACACAGAGGTAGAAACTCACTTAGCATTCACAGGTTTTGAGCACGTAATAAAGCTAAATTCTTGTTTTGGCATTTTTATCCCATTAATGAGGTCCACATCCAAAATTTCACATTTCCTTTGGTGCATATGTTCTATGTTTTTATTACTACATTTAGCACACTAAAATCAGTCTTTTGGGACTATGGATTTTTAATTAAAACAACATTTGATTGAATAAAAGTATGAAAAGTCTAAAAATCGTCACAAGGGTAGTGCTAGATATTAACATTAATGTCCAATCAGATAAAATCTAACAATCATACATTTTGTTTTGCCATTTTTCTTATCATACTAAGTTCAGTTGTTGGACATGAATGGGTTAAGACAGGTTGTTGAAAATGTCAGGAGTGATTTTATTCACCCTCGCAGGTCTTGTCGGAGTTCATCAAAGTTGAGCTTCCCTCCAGCCTGGCGTAAACTGTCGGAGATGTCATCCACCGTAGTCTTCCTCAGCTTCAGTTTTACCATGGCCTTGTGGTATCCCTGCGAAAGCACCAGCACCCATTACCTATGCATTTTGCCCATTTAGCACCAGTTCATACTCGGTATTACAAGTTACAACACTTTCAGTTATTTAGTTTATCTTGTTAACTGAGAAGCACGGCAGGTGTGAAGACTCTCTTTCACACACCTTTTTAATGAGGTCTGTAATCTCCATTTCAGATCTTTGCTGTGCCATGTCAGCCTTCACTTCTGAGTATGTATCATTGATGATAGCCAAGAACATGTTCTGAAAAAGGGGAAAAAGAAATGAATCAGTAAAACACATAAACTTCACCCAATGGGTGGGCAATATGACAATATTTTATTGTATTGTGATGAATTACATCATTATGTGCCTTTCTGATCATGGATGTCATCAGTAGAACGATAATCAACTGCACGTTTCATTAAAAAGAGAGTATAATTCGTCATGTTTAACAGGATTTAGTGAATTGCAATACATTAAATAAAGATCACTGTATGCAGTTTTGATAGTATATTTAAAATGTAGCACTGCTGGTGCATTCTGTCTGTTTTAAATCATCAAACATCAGAAAAACTAAATATTGTGATACATATATGGTGAAAATGTTTTTAAGAATTATGATATTGTCCACCCCTGCTTCACTCAGACATGACGTTGACTGCTACTGGTCCCTGTCACAGAGATCAATGGCTTGCATGCAATTACTGCATTTAATTCAGTTGACTCTTCACATTATATGAATAATCAATAGAACACAGTGTCAAACAGGTGCTTGGACTGTTCTGGACACAAGCCTGGCGTCAGACTCTGGTTTGACTCTTGTCGTTTAGGTTTCTTATATTTTCCAGTGTCTAATAGTTGTTTGACTTATTTGTCTACTTACCAACAGAATCATGAACATGAAGAAGACAAAGGTGGTGAAGTAGATTGGCCCCAGGACTCTGTTTGTCTCCTCAATCTCAGAGAAGTCAAAGTCTCCCAGAATGATCCGGAACTGTGTGAAACTGCATAAAGAGACAGAGCCAGAGCTACCTTAAATCTCTTTTTGAATTGGTTTAAATGTTTTTTTTAAATGATTAAGAATTGAAAATGAGCAGAAATGAATGATTCCAAAGTACTAAACAGAATGACAAATAAAACGACAGCCCATGTTTGAAAACAGAGTAAACAATTATTTAAAAAAAAAAGGTTTTAACTTATGACTGGCTTCAGATCAGTGAAAAAGAGCCTGGACTCACATGCAGGCCTGGAAGGTACTGAAGTCATTATGCTGGCTGCCAAACACCAGGTAAGCTAACTGCGCGTATGCCAAGAACACAATGAAGAACATGATTGCGAAGCCCAGCAGATCCTTTGCACATCTGGACATCGTGGTGGACAGCTGACTCATGGTCTTATTGAAGTTGATGAACTTAAAGAGCTGAGGAAGGAGCAGTGCATTTCAGTTCCAACCTCTCGACTTCACACAGCAAATAATTACTGCACGTCGGATATTAGTGAAGGGAATACAACACACAGATGATGAGATAAGAACCTCACCTTGACCCAGGCGAGGAAGACGATGACTGCAGCCAGGTTGTTGAACTGAACCTGCAGCTGAGCGAGCCGTTCGAAGTTCGGATATGTGCTGTGGTTCTCCAGCAGGCACCTCAGCCTGTTACTGACCGCTGATGTCCTGTAGATGTTCATGATGATGGCGGGGACGCTCAGCTGAAAGAGGTACATGGAGAAATGAAGGAGAGTCACGAAAGATCGCATCAGCAACAAAGAGAGAAGCAAAAAGCAAAGATAAGATTTGTTTTCTCACTGTTACTATGGCGACGTCCAGACAGTTCCACAGGCTCTTAAAGTAGTGCAGGCGGTGCAGACGAATTTCGAGCACCTCCTCCACCATGTAGTAGAGCACAAAGAGGCAGAAGACCACCTCACATGCACCAACAAAGTAGTCCCAGCTGGATATGTACCGCACCAGGCGCACTGTCTGGAACTGCCAAGATGTCACAGCGCCTCCGGTGGCAGGAAACTCCACTAGCATTCTGTAAGAGAACGTGTTTAAAAAATGAGATCGCATTTTCTGTTTCTCTTTAAAAAGGTTACAAATAGTGACTCGAATTTGAAAAGCTATGTTACACACTGTCTTGCAGAAGTATTTACCCCCTTAAAAGTCATCAGATTCATCTGAATTACAAACAACACTTTGATATTCTGTTTATTTTTGTCACGTTTATTTTAAAAGACTGACCCGCAACATTAATCTAAAGTGACATTGGTTTATATAAGAATAATTAAAAAAGAATATATTTTATGTAGGTGGAAAAACATTCTGTGATAAAAAACACTGAAAAATGTTGCTTGCATAAGTACTGAACCCCTGTGCTGTGTGAGAAGAAATTTCTCCTGTGATGCTGGCGGGGATGAAACTGAACCCTCCAGGAGCGACTGGGCTTTGCTGGAAGTCATGATTGTTTACCTCTGGATGAGCCGCCACATGAAGCAACGTAAAGCATCTTTTGCGCATGTGGGTCAGTTTAGGAGTTGATCTGTTCAGACTGATGTCGCCTATAGGTCACGTTTAAAAGATATTGTGGACAGCCAATTTGGTGAAAAAATCACATTTGGGCCACTTTTACCTGCTGTGTGAATGTAGCCTATTTGAAAATTGTGGTCCACACACGACACCTAACCAAAATAAACATCCAGGAGCTAATCTGCCAAGAAGAATGGACAACGGTCACTTCCAAATAATGTGCAAAGCTATGAATGTACCCCAACAGAGTTAAAGCTGTGTTTGCAGCAAAAGATGGTTCTACCAGATACTAGTCTGAAGGAGCTGAATACTGCTGACAGCATTTTTCATTTTTTATTTATTTTTTAAAGATTTGCTGACAAATTATTCAGTTTGAATTAAGAGCATACTGGTTTTGCAATAAAATAAATACTGGCTTGAACAATCCGTGTAAGCATCATTTTGTAATCCAGATGAATTTGATTATTTTTAAGAGGATTTAATAATTTAGCACCGTCTGTACTGTTTTCTTCCAAAATGTTGTTTCCATTTGCGATAGCAGAACCTCACAATAGGCTTTATTTCCTAAATTCCTAAATTATCAACAGCTATTTCCCCTTTACTGTGTGACCCTGAATTTAACTGAATCTGAATGCTTGAATAAATATCCAGTTTACACATGTATAGTAGCTTTTTACTGCTATACCTGACGATGCAGAAGAGGTTGACATTGCCATTATAGACAGAGAAGTCAAGGAACACCGCTCTGGTGCCACGGTCCAGCCACAGGTTGTCCTTTAGCTCTCGCAGCTGCCTGGCGGACTCCTCTCGGGTGCGGGACAGGTCTTGGTAGTAACCCCCTCCTCTGTACGTGGCCACTTCACCCCAATAGCTGCCCTCTCCAAGAGAGCTCTCCTCAGAATACACCCACCTGAGACACAAATAAAGTTTGTTGGCAAAACAGTAAAGAATAACCTTGGCTTTCCAACGTACTGTTCAAACACAGTTCTAAAGGTATAAATGCTGCATACAATTCTTAACAATACTTTACATTTGCTTAGTTTAGAGATGGAAATATGTCATTCCAATGTAACTGTAGAAATAATATTGCCTCAGTCGATGGCTTAATAATATGTCCCTAGTGAAACTCTTCCACTATATAATAAATTCAATTGCATTTAATGTAATTCAATTCAACACAATTGCATATATTAAGTATTCAGTAAAGCTGCTTCCTTACGCTGTGCCGTTTTTGAGGCCGAAGGCTGCCTTGTCCTCACTGGCAGGCGAGTAGGTGCTGTAGCAGTCATAGACCTCGTCCTTCAGGTCCTCATGCACAGGACAGGACTTGTTGAGCACTTTGACCTGGCGGAGGCGAGGAACTCCCAGGAGGAGATTCTCATAATAGATGAGACTCTGGTTCTCTGGCAGGCTCTTGTTGTTGTACCACATGTCCCAGTACATCCCATTTAGAAAAGGCCCCTCTGTGTACTACAAACAGTACTCACATTAGACAAGACTGACAGTGGTAGCCTCACATTTCCCACATTTTCCTTGCACGTTATTGTTCTGTCTGAGACATTTGTGTTTGTTTATGTAACAAAGTAGTCATAATTCATTTTTACATGACTGTTTTCCAACCTCTTTTTCCCTCAGAATTAAAAAAGCTGTTTTTGTTACTTTGGCCCAATCCCATTTCACCCCTTGCCTCTACCACTTAGCCCTTAGCCCTCTGTTTTGCGTGTTCATGTCCAAGGGTAGGGTGTACTGATTTTTGTTGAGATGGAGGGGTACGGCGAAGTGTTAGGGCCACATGACCCTTCAAACTGAGGTTTTTCAGAGGCACACTCCAAACAGAGTGTTATGAGGAAAAAAGAAACACCGGCAAGATGGCTGCACAAGCGACCGAAGAAACCCACAAATGTGAGAATTTTCTCCGTTAAAAAATGAACCATTATATTATATAGATAATATAATGATTCAAAAATAATCATCATATTATCTAACTTTAATGTAATTTCAATCTATTCTGGTCCTTTTCTTCATAACAAGCACAAATAGTATGCTAATGTCTCGGTAGCTTGCTAGCTAAATTTCCTGTCCCACTTTAAATAGTCCTGCAGTACTTACGCCTGAAGCACCAGAATGTAACTGCTGCTCCATTTAAGGTAGAAGCTAACAAGAAGCTGGCGAATAGTGACTTCAGCTTCATATCACTGAAGAATTAGGAGTGGGCGATAATAAATAGTAGCTAAAAGTAGCAACCCCCCCTCTTATGATGATGCCCTAAATTAACTAAAGCCCATCAGTGAGGTTGCTGAATGTTACCCTCCTCTGCTGTCACTGCAGACTGGCAGGGTCGCCTACAGAGCGCAGCTAGTAGCCTGTTAATGAAGTAATGTTCTTTTTTATTTGAGGGTCCCATTTTGTAGGATAAGATTCCAACCACTACCACTAACTCAGTTCCAAAGGGGCAAGGTGACACTCAAAAAACAAGGGGTAGGGGTAAAAATAAGAAATGGGATTGGGCCTTTGACTTTAAGACTGATATATTTAAATGAGCTCTTTTCTGACTGCTTGCCATGCACTGTGCCTCATTCAGAAAGGAGTCTGGGCTATAACTTCAGTGTGAATGGGCAGAGCTAAACCGCTATAAGCTGGATAGATGTATAAGTGTAAATGTGTTGTTTTTCATGACATCACAGAAGTTTTTAGTTAGTGAGTTTTTACAGCTTAGTTTCCATATATAGATACAACGAACAAAAGAAAAGACAAATAAATTATTTATATGGCAGTTTATCAGCAGCTAAAATTTCATGATGGTGACGGGCCTACCGCTTGTCTCACGTTTTAGTTTGTGAAGACAATTTGCTTATGAAGAGATTAAAATTGTTAGAGACACTCCAGCCTAAAACTAATATTTAATACGTTTTTCATGTTATGTAATATTCAGTAACACAGTACTGAATTTTTATCCTTTTTGTGTTTTCGTCTATTAATATTCTCTCATTACAATATTAAGCATGCAGTACACAAATACATCATACTACTACCTGGAACATCGCCTACCCCAATGCGAAAAAGAAACCCTGACTGCTAGCAAAGCCACTCATACACACACTTAAAAAAGATGGTTAAGGAAAATGGTTATATAAGAACCATGAACTCTTAAAGAACCCTTTGCATGATTAAATGGCTCTTTGCATCATGAAAGTGTTCTTCAGATTGACGGAGAATGTGTTATATATGGTTCTCTATAGAACCTGTTGGAAAAGCGTTCTATAAAGCACCAAAAAGGGTTCTTCTATTGTAATGATGTCAAGCTTGTAACAATAGAAGAGCCCTTCATCAAGCTGTAGAACCCTTTCATGATGCAAGGAACAATTTAATCATGCAAAGAGTTCTTTTAAGTGTTCATGGTTGTATATTTTTTTCCTAAAGAACCCTTGAAGAACCATCTTTTTTAAGAGTGTAGAGGGTAATAAATACAGATGTGATTGCTATCTGGCTATCTGGAAAAAAATTCAAAAGATCTCACCTTCAACTGTCTGCCCCAAAACCTTTATAGTTTTTCAAAGGTTTCTTCACTTCCAATGTACATCATCAGAAGGGGGTTTTCCTACTCTTTGACTGAAAAATCTCACTCTAAAGACCACTGGCTCACCACTATAGAAGGCGACTATGCATGCGTACAACAGATGTAGCGATGGTAAAATTTTTAATCCTTGTGTGGTGTCATGTTGTTGTTACTCAATGGTCTGGTGGACCCACCGCATTATTGTCTTTTTAAATCAATACAGCCGTAACAATCTATGTAAAAATATCAGATATTTAAAAAAATATAATCACAACTGGTCAGCGCAGGGTTCTCCTTTAGCAGCTGTAGCCAGTCAGCAGCCTGTCCATGTTGTCCACCCTCACACACACACACAAACACACACACACACACACACACACACACACACAAACACAAACCACACACACACACACACACAAGCACATACACACACAGACACACGCACACTAACAGCAGGCCATGTAGGAGGAGAACAGAGTGAAGGGACACAGCACCTCCACAGTTTTACTCCCCGCAGGTTCACCCCAACACCACATGTAATATTAATGTGTAGGGGGTGAACAGTGTGAAGTCATTGAAACAATGTGCTATTTTATGTGTTCTTCATAGAAAATGTGCGAAGGCCAAGAAATCTGGGGTTGAAATACTAATAAACTGCATCATTTTTTCTTTTGGTAAACACTGAAAATGGGTCCCACAGACCTGAACACCACCAGGGTTATACTGGCTGGAGTGCCTCTTTAAGAAAGACATTTAAAATAAAGTCCTTTACTTTCCAGAAGTCCTCCATGGTTGAGAGGGTCTTGAAGGTTGTAGGATCTCCATTTGACACTGGTGTGTCCAGGAAGAGCTGAGACATGACTTTGGTGTAAAAGTACATGTTGGTGCTCACCATCCCATATGTTACTGCAACACATTCAGACAAAACACAGCACGTTTCAAAATGATTAGTCCCTAATCAAAAAAATCACTCCATAAACTAACACAATAGTTTACATCCCTTCATTATTTTTGTTCTTGTTCTTTTCTCATTTTATATGAACGACTAGACCGTTGTAAATGTTGTTCCACTGAACAAACCAGAGCTTTTTCCCAGACGCCTGGAGGAGTCTTTTACATTCTTTCCTCATTACTGTTACTTCTAGGTTTGACTCAGTCTTCTAATTTGGTTCTGCCAAGAAACAGTATAATGATACCAAACTTTGGCAAAAAGGTTTTTACCTCTCAGAAATGCAATTCATGAGCAAAACTGGGCTGTATATTATCCTGCATTAAGAACTGAGACTGCTTAAATTTGCATATCTCTAAACATACTATGAGCTGAAAGGATTCAACTATAAATGAGACTAGATACAGACTTCTCCAGATAAGATGCTGCTTTTATTCTGTCTTTGCTGTAAAAATAGGACATAGAGAGAGTTTTCCATAAAGTAAGGCTGAAGAAGGGCACAGCTGTAACCACACAGAGACACAAACACTACATCTTTCCATTACAACAACTGATCCACTGGCAGGCAAGAAGATTATTGGGAGTTGGGCATGGTGCAATTAAAGGGAAACGTTACCCATTTGTCTGTCTTGAATTGTCCAGCTATGCTGAGAGCTATCCATTTAAAAAGCATGTTTATGTTCTGGTTCTGATTTTTAAAATATGTCCAAATACAGTATCTTACACATTTCCTATCAACTGTCTCACTTACAGAGGAACACCACCAATTTTTACACAATTTCTGCATAATTCAGTCACTGAGATGTAAACACAAGTCATTCAGAGTAGTAGAAACTTACTGACTCGGAATTGTTCACAGTGGTGCTGATAGGTGCATCTGAAGTGCTTAATGTCTTTAAAAGTGACCTCACTGACAGTTACTGCACAAAGTGGTTATGAACTGTTTATAATAATGTAAATATTTGTTAAACACATAAATGGAAGAGGGTTATATGTATGGCATTGTAAGGCAAGGCAGTATGCTAAACAAATGTTTTTTCTTCTGATTTACCACTATTTTACATTTATCATCATTAAAACTCAGAGAACATGTGTAGGTTCACTGGTGGTTTTGGACAGTAAATAAAATGTCTATATTTGTGTTGTAGACATAGCGACCCCTGGTTCCTATCACCACCACTGTTCAGGACATCTGAGACAGTGAGCTTCTCTATAATGAAGAATTTCACAAAAAAAACACTCTGAATGACTTTGTTTACATCTCAATGATTGAATTATTATTATTATTATTATTATTTTAATCTGTTGAATTTCCCTTTAAACTTCTCTGTACCCTTTGAATTGCTAAATGATTTACAAATGTTTTCTGTCAGGGTGAAACAGGAAAAATATAACGTTCAGGTGAAATTTTCCAGCAACACTATCTGCAGTGGTGAATAAAACACCTGTTACCTAGTGCTTTAACTTCATGTGGGTCCTAATATTTTAAAGCAAGACTGCCTAACCTTGATTCTGAAGATCTATACAGTTCCAAAATTGGGTTCTTCTAATGTTCTCATGTTCCTGACCTCTTCCTTTGGGTGAATCAGATGTGTTAGATCTATCTGCCTGTCTTACAATACACTCTGCAGGGTGAGGTGACCTCCAGGAGTATGAGTAAGTGAGTGTTTATAATAGAGTCATTCTATGGCAACGTTTTGTGTCCCTGGCGTTTACAGATATGTTACACTTGAAAAACATGTTAGGGTTAAAATTTATTTATATTTAAAAATAAAACAGTAAGTTATTTTAGCAATTACACGTTCTTGAGCCTCAATTTAGCAATATTGTTTTTTAAATCAATTATATTGAATTCCAAGCACCACAGATGTGCTTGTCCTCACAGTCATGTGTAAAGGCTGAGTGCCATATTTTGAGGTAAAAACCATGTTTTTCATTTTACCAATTTTCTGAAGATCTATGAAGTAAAAGCACATGTCCACTGTGTATTTTCAGTTATCAGACATTTTCTCATTTAGCTCATGATTTCATATGAAGCTTTTAGTTGAAGTCACTGGTGTGACCTACTTTATTTTTAGGTAACTGTGAGAAAAAAGAATACAGATGGATTAACTGACATATTTTAGTGGATGTTCCATGATTGACAACATGTGGTTTGATGCTCTGCAGCAGACATTTTGTAAAATGCATTTTTCATTAAAAATGTCTCTGGTGTTACCTTTCTTATGTGTAACACCAATGACGATCGGTAACACCAGTGACTCCTTTGGATAGATAAAAAGTAGACGTTTCTGTAGAATGACCCAAAAGCACCTTTCAAATTTAAAGTTAACAGAGAAGACAAATGAAGTCCTCGACCAAGAGTGTGACATAAAATTAGAGGGATGTTTAAGTGTAAAAAAACAAGGAGAAAAATCTTTAATGTTTCTTCAACAGAAAAACTGCTGATCTAATCTTTAATTCTGGCTGTTCCTAAGATGAGGCACAGTGACAGCAAAAGTCTCATTACTCTTTCATTGTAGGACAACTAAAAAATCCTAATGTAAACAGAAGCTGATACAAAGAAGCTACAAGAAGAGACTGAGCACACGTGACTTGTAGAATACTCAGAATAGACGCATAACTGTTGACTGGCTTTATTCTGTTTGATCAGTATGATTCAACTCACTGATGCACAGAGTGATGAGGAAGAAGAGGTAGGTGACCATCTCCCTCAGAACATTCTTCAGATACACCTCCCTGCTGCTGTCATGCTCCTCCATCAGACGTGTTCCCCACAAAACTGGAATCATAAAGCAGACCTCAATTAAACCTCATATGTATAACCCACAGGGGCCCAAACCTTTTGTACTGTGTGCAATGTTTAGGTGCACTGAGAGCCAAAAAGACAAAATAATATACAAATAAAAAAGGCACGTATGCTTCAAATGGAGTTTTTTTTTAAGCGTATTTCATAAAATTAGACTATATTTTGTTGCTAAAAAATTTTAAATGAAAAAATAGGAAATTAAAAACTCAATGTGCAAACCTTATTCAGCTTTACTAACTATATTAGTATTCTTACTGTTACTGCTGCTACTAACTACTACTAATATAATAATAATCACCATAAGATGGTATAACACTTGTCCTGTACAGAAATACAACCTAAGGTGCTTCACTAAACATCTTCAAATAGAAAAAGAATCGACTGTATGTACAGTGAAACTGAAAAAAGGCCTAAACTACTTGAAATTTTAAGTGAATCAGTCAGTTATAAGTTGTTTTTTAAAATGTCAGTAGATGATGCCCGTCAGATCTGAGTGGGTGAAAAACGGCCTACACTTTGAGCGTAGAAACCAAAAAATGTGTCATCACTCTTCTTAGGTTTCCATGTGCATGAAGGGACTGCTCACCAAAAAAATCAAATGGACACAATTTTCACCATATCCCAAATGTAATCGACCAGCCAAGACATCTTTATTTGGTGTCTTAAGTTTGTTCCTTTAGTTTTGCAGAAGGACTATAAGGTTAATGTATTAGTCTAAATTCCCCTTGTGCATTAGATGCATTAGCTTCACATCTAGAGGGCAAAACTAAAGGAAAAAACTTCAGACACTAAACATGTTTTGGTCATAATCTTGGTCCTAAATCTGGGGTGAGAAGGAAGACTGTTTAAACCTGATTTTTTGGTGAAGCATTCCTTACAAGGGGAACTCCACCAATTTTTCAAAAAAATCTACATAATTACATAAACAAAGTCATTCAGAGTGGATTAGTGTGAAATGCTCCATTCTAGAGAAACTTATCGAGTCAGAATTGTCCATAGTGGTGGTGATAAGAATGAGACATCTGATCGGTTTCATGTCTACTACATAGAATGATTATGAATACACTGCTTGATGTCTGAGAGATCGTTTTAGGATAGTTATGTGATGTTTTTGCTTAAAATATATTTTCATCCATTTTTTGAATCCATTTATGGCAGAGGGTTACATGCAGGACAGTGTAAGGCAAAATAGTCCCCAAAGAAAACTTATTTTATCAGATTTATTACTATTTTACCATCATCAATGTTACAGAAAAAAATCGACACGTGTAGGTTCACTGGTGGTGCTGGACAATAAATAAAATGGCTATTTGTGCTGTAAACATGGGACCCCTGGTTCCTATCACCACCACTGTAAAGAAATCTGAACCTGTAGCTACGTTTCTCTACAGTGAACCACTTCAAAACCAATGTGAATGACTGTGTTTACATCTCAAGGGCTGAATTATTTGGAAATTTTGAAAAACTGGTGGAATTCCCCTTTAAGAACCTATTGGGAATTCAGTCTGTCAGACAGACGCCAAATATTTAACAACTTTTAAACTTCACTGCAACCACTGCAATCATGCACAGGTTTGATGCTCTGTCCATTCCCCTTTGCTGAAACGTAACTGCGGTCAGTCGTGCATACCTCTGATTTTTGACAGTATCCTCTTGCTCCAGCCGTGCTGGGTGCCCTCTGCTGGTCGCCCGGGCGAAAGCCCTCCGCGGATCCTGCCGCTGAAGCTCCCCAGGCCGCTGCTGCCGCTGGAAGCCGTGGACAGAGACCTCCGTCCGGGACTCTCCGGGGCCCAGCTGGCCCCCATTAGGCCCTCCTCTGGCTCAAAACCAGGGTTGTCCCGGCTCCACGCCTGTCTGGAGCTGGAGGCGGGCGGGCACGGGCTCTCCTCCTCGGCCGCTGAGTGAGGCACTGTGCCCAGCTCAATGGCCTCGCTCGGCGGTAAGGAGGCTGGAGCCGGCTGGGGCTGCTGCTGCTGCTGCTGGGAGCGGAGTCGGTTCGAGCTCATAATTCAGACCTTGGTTTTATAGTAAGAAAAACTGTTCATCTTAAAGACAGATTAATGAATATGGGCCTGTTTCCAAACGCCACCTAAAAGAATAAAAACACTAGCACACAAAACTTCATCGCATAATTGAAGAAACAGTTTCCATTACGTTATTTTAAGCAAGCAGATTCGTCTTCCAGTCTGTTAAATCGCAACGAAACTGCTGTTTTCCTTCTAAACAACTAATCCTGTTTGCTTAAATTAGCTCAGAACAGAAACTCGAAAAAAGGCAAAGTGAAGAGTTTTCAGAAAAAAAAGTGTCTGAATATCCCTGTAAAAAAAACGGAAGACTGGAGGATAACTTAACTAGCTAGCAACAAAGCTGGTTAGGTGAGCAGTTTCAGTAGTTTGTGGATGTTTAAATCCTCCGTTTGTGAAGAAGAGAGACTCTCTCTGTGTCCCGCAGCCATCTTGTTCCCTTCAGTTGAGTTTTTCCCTAAAACCGCAGCTCTCATTGGCGGAGGGATCAGATTACAGGACCAGACCCGGGACATTCTGCACTTTCTGTGCTGAAGTGAATGAAATAAATAATGAATTCAAACATGCTCAAACTTTAAGCCATCATGAAAATTACAGCATGGCCAAACTTCTAGCCATCATAACAATGATGTTGAAGGATGCTCAGTAGGCGGATCGCTAACTTAATGATGATTTTTATTGGGGAATCTTTAAAGAAGTTATATTTAAAGGATGTTCCTTTTTATGTGTAACTAGACTGAAATGACAGACTAAGAGTTAAAAAACTCGAGTGTAACAGAGTTTAAGAATTTGTGGTAAAAAAAATACAAACAGGTGGTTTTTACATAACCGCTTTCTGTTTTGGTTCCGCTGCAGCTGTTGCTAAGCAACGGCTCCCACACCCGTCTCTCTGGTCAGTTTGCGGTAATATTGCTTTTGACCACTAGATGGCAGAACACGTTCACAAATCTGTTTTGTGTTGTTAATTATTGTTGTTGTGTAATGTGTTATAAAAATATTATATATTATTATTACTGTTGTTGTTGTTGTTGTTGTTGTTATATAATGTATTATATAATAATTATCATTATATATTATTATTGTTGTTGTTAGTGGTGGTGGTGTTTGCATAGCATCATACTTGCAGTTCAACAAATGCCAAAAGATAGTCATAATCTTCACCTTCCACAAAAAGCAAAACAACAACAATCATCTATATGTCAGTACTTGCTATGCAAAAGTTTGGGCACCCCCTCCTATACAGAAAAGAAATACATTAGCATGTATTTTAAAAATATGATATACATATCAAATGCATTGTTTTTTTCTAAAATGTTTTCCAAACACTAAAGTACATGAACCAAAAAACATTTTTTTGACCAATGTCATTCTACATTTTTGTATTTGCAAAATACAATTTTACATATGCTTCTTTTCCATATGGGTACAAATTCTACATGCTTCATTGATTTTCTTACACATCTTCTACAGATGACACTTCCGAACATTTTTATGCACAGTGTTTATTTGCTGAATTTCAAAAACAAAGCATTCAAAGTGATGGCACACTTTATGTTTTACATATTTTTAACATGTTAAATTTAGCAAAAAAATAGAAATTTTGCACTACAATTTGCAGAAAAATGCTGAATTTAAGTGTTCTCTGTAGAGGATGTGTTAACTTATTTTCACTTAGAACATCAACTAACCATTTTGACCAGCTGCACTCAGACTGTATGCTATTGCACAATTTGCTAATCACATTTTCAGTCAGTAATTTAAACCTCTTTTTCATTAAGGTTAATGAGTCTGTTGTTTGCAGTATTTTGTAGTCAGGGCAAGTCGTCACAGTCTGAGACACAACGTGGTGGATAGACAAGGCCGACTGTGGTGTAGAGCGGCCTCCACAGCCGGAGTGTTTTAACCAGATAAGAACATTAACCAATTTAAAACATTAAACAACACGTTTTTGCTTGCAATGCAGTATGACAACAAAAAAGGATTATCCAGAAGCATTTATGTGCCACAGCTTATTGAATGAGACATCAAATACTGAATCTTTAATTGCATCAATTACATCTAATGATTTAGATCAACCGATTGCAAGACGTTTCTACATTCCTTCAAAGCCAAGATCATAAGCCTTGAATTCATTAACACTCTGCCTCAGGTGCCACTGTTATTTCATAACACTGTGTTTTCCCAGCTGCTTGGATTAAAATGTGCTTATGATTGGTGTAATCTTCCTTTAGTGTATCAGAAAGGAGAGAGTCTCCAGCTGACCTGAAGTCATGGACATGAACGTTGCTCTTCACCTCCTTCTCACTCTGGCTGCACTGATCACATGCTCAGCAGACGGTAAGCTGTGGTACTAACCTGAAACAGTTTCCTGCTTTAATTCCAGTAACACGGCGTCTATTCAAAACACCAGTCAGCTCTGAGTTTACTGATAGTGAGTAAACGTACTGCAGTGTAGGCTTTAGAATTCATGTAGTAAAGCTGTTGTTGCCAGTTGTACTGATTCCTGACTGAGGCATAAGCTTCTGCCTCAAATTGAGTGAAAGATTCATTTTTGGAAGTACAGAATTACAATAAAATTTGAAAACACATTTTTTCAGAGACACTCTAAATGACTGTAGCAGAAGTACATACAACAGCACAAACAACACATCACTGCGTACATGTAGTGATAATAATGAGAAGAAAAATGTTGCTGTCGTGTCGTGCTTTTTTGTATAACTTGAAAATTCCAGTTAACCCTTGCATTGTGTTAACCCTTGTGTGGTGTTCGGGTCTGTGGGCCCCATTTTCAATGTTTACCAAAAGAAAAAATAATGCGGTTTATTATTATTTCAACTCCAGATTCTTGGTTTTTGATCATTTTCTGTGAAGAACATATAAAATAACACATTTTCAGTGACTTTCAGTGACTTCCCTTCACTCTGTTCTCCTCCTGCATGGCCTGCTGTTAGTGTATTTGTGTCTGTGTATATGTGTTTGTATATATATATGTGTGTGTGTGTGTGTGTGAGGGTGAACAACATGGACAGGCTGCTGACTGGCTACAGCTGCTAAAGGAGAACCCTACGCTGGCCGCTTGTGATATTTTAAGCACCTGATATTTTTACATAAATTTTTATGGCTGTATTGATTTAAAAAAACAATAATGCAGTCCACCAGACCACTGAGTAACTAAAACACGAACACCACACAAGGGTTAAAATTCATGATGAATGGACCAGTAGATAAAATCTAAAATTACTTGAAAAAAGTGTAGCTGTATTAACTTCCATTATATGTTGGGAAGATTTTTCTTTCTTCTGTAAAATTGCCTCTTTGGAGATACAAAGTTTTGTTCCGACAGAGATAAAATATATTACTAAGTTAATGTATATTAACCAACTGACTAATGCACATAACAAATCAGCTGATTAATATTGCAGAAGGCACAGCATGCTTATTAAAGAAACAATTCACTGAAAAATCAAATTTGTACATTTTTCTCTTTAACCCAAACACAGCTGATCAGCCATTTCAAATACATTTGCTTATTAAGTTTTGCAGTGAAGCTATTAGGTTAATATAGCTATGTTAGCTTTATAACTCCAGTGCTAATTTAAACAAGCACACTTTAGACACCAATCATGTCTTGGGCAGACAGCTGTATTTGAGGTCAGAAGAATATTTTGCCAGTCTGATCTTTCAGTGAACCTTTCCTTTAAGCTGCTCATTACACTGATTAAAACTAACACAATATCTCCTTTCAAACAGGGAAAAGCCTGAGTCTGTGTCATAAGCCTTCGCACAGTAAGTCTTCTGTACACATCGTTATTGAGCTTTATGAGCGCTTTATAATCCAAAGTACTCCTTCTTTTATTCACGTTTTATTTAAATGTTTTTTGAAGCACTTTAAGCTGCTTTTCTATGTATGATAGGTTTTATACAAATAATTAAACAAATTGCACAAATAATATTTTTTTTATTTGTTTTGAGCAGGACTTCAGAAGCGCTACGCATTCCTGGACAGCTCTGTGTTGACTCCACAGGATGAACAGAGAGATGTGGGATGTGTCGAGTATGATCTGCGTCCTGCCATGACCCTCCCCTCCCACTGGGTGTACCTCCCTCAAACTGTGGTTGTATATCTGCCCAGAGGCAGCACCCAGGTGAGGCCGCCAATCTGGGTGCCTTCTCTGCCTGGAAGCTTCAACCTGTCACAAATCATCAACTTCACTCAACGACAACGCAATCCTCAGCCTGTGGTGATCTATGGGAGGCCTCTAATGCCTGTAAACAAACTCCCCCCAGAGCTTGAGGCCTTTCTGAGAAGCTACAGAGTAGGTCAGGGAGCTGTAGGGCCAGGAGGGGTCCAGCCTTTAGTGGCCAGGCCTGTAAACATAATTCAGCTTCCCAGAAGAGGAATGTCTGACTTATTAGATGCAGTCCGCAGAATGCTGGATTTTCAGAAAGGAGGGGGCTTCATCATAGTTCCGGATGCAGCTTCTCCAGGCTCTACAACAGACCCTCCACCCAGACCAGAAGTGGTATCTGGTCATGTTTATGATCCCAAATGATCACATCATGGCTATTCTACATCTTCTTCTTAGACCTTGTGCTCAGTATGTAGCACAGATCATGCTGCCACCCTATCCGAGCCAAAAATCAAAGCAAAATACTTTCTTTCTCGCAAATTTCTCTAGCTAATGGAAATATCTACATGCTCAACACTATATCTACATGTGCATTTGGCTTGTAGAGTTGTTTTCTGGAGAGGGTAGTTGCATGCTTACAGAGCTTTTGTAACAACGATAATAAAGAAAGCCAGAGCTGTAGCCAAGGGAGGGCCAGAGGTGGCCAATGCCACCCTCCCATTCCACTCTTCTGGCCACCCCTGTTAAACAAAGTGAAATAGTCAACCATCATCAATGAAACAGTCACCACATCAAAGTTCTGCTACTATGTGTGAAAGGTTTTGCTATGAAATTTTCCATCAGGGCAGTTATCAATGAGTTATGAGCTGACATGGCAATCAGTTTAATCAGTTTAATCAGTTAGTCAGTAAAACCTTAATGTTATTCTTGTTCGTTTGGCTTAGGGAAGCAGCTAACACTGGTTTTCTACATTAGGAAAGCATTTAGAAATATCTCTACATCAGTGTATTAAAGTATTATTTGATACTCATTGTGCTGTTTGCGCATTACTGTAATACTACTACAACTGAAGATTTTAACAATGTTCAGCAGAGAGAAGAAATAGTAGAGGGAGCAAAACGTACAATATTTTTCATATATCATATTGGAAAACAGGACAAAATTACTTTCAGTTTTCTAGAGTTAACAGTATTTTAAAATGTGATTAACTGGTTAACAATGCTATTATTTTGTTCATCTTTAAAGAATTATGACCACACTAGAAATTTCACACTTCAGCAGAGCTGGTCTGTGAGCTACATTATATACAACAGGATATCGCTGTTGTTGGAACAAAACCTTGTGTCTCCAAAATGGTAGCTTAACAGGAGAAGGGAAAAACAAAGTTTACTTTTAATGTAAGTCAATGGAACCAGACTTTTTTCTAAGCCTTTTTGGGACATTTCTTTTGGTCCATTTATCAATTTACAGACAATGTAAAGGGAAATAGGTGTTTTCAAATTATGTCAAAAACTGAAAAATGACAAAAGTGGAGATACAAGGTTTTGTTCCAACAGCAGCAATATATGACATATCAAAAATGGGTGATTACTAATTTTTACTATCATATAGTAATGCCTGTCATGTATCATATAAGCTGAGTACCTGTGTGTTTACCCTGCTGAAAAAATTATAGGAACCATTAAATGTTTCCTCATGGTTTTTTAAATGTGTTTTGGCTTTTTTGATGGGTTGATATCACAATGTTAAAAAACCTAATGATTTAACAGGTGAACAATGGCTGATTCTGAATTCATTTGATGGTTTCCTAATGGGGTCTAAAGGTGTTCTACAGTAAACTAGTAGTCTTGGAAACCATTGAGCCAGTTTCTATTCCATTGAGCCAATCCTAATAGTTTCTAATAGTCTTTTTTAGCAGGGTAGTAATGCAGGCTAGAATCCATCAGAGGTGAATCCAGTGCTGAGTGTACTTAACTGCTACAGTAGATTAGCTTGTTACCTAGCCAAGTATTATTCTCCCATAATGTTCAATAAAACTGCTGGTTCTAGCATGGCTACCCCATTAATAAGGCTTTGTCTGTTTTCATCAAGGCTAAAACCGTGACGAAAACAGACAAAGAAACGCATGGATTCTGATTTAAAACATGAAATTTGCTTACAGTAATAGATGAATTAGAATTATTAGCAAGTTTGTTGTTGCTGTTTTATGGCTTTTGTAGTTAAAACTTGACAATAAACACATATCAAATATGTATTTTATCTGATTAATGGAATTTTTCTGTATTTTCCTGTTGTAGGGGAACATAGGGTTGGTTGTCACATGGCTATTTTATAGTACACCAGGGCGAGAGACAAGTACTTATCATCGTTATCCAAAGAAAAACAAGTTATCTCTAAAATGGCAAATTTACAGTAGAGGGCAAAATGTAAAATATATAAGAGATTTCATTCTGATTTTGGAGCACTTCTAATGTTCTATTCGTCATAAAATTTTCACAGAATGTAAAGGGCTGTTTCTTCATTTATATCAAAAAATACAAAAAATGACAAAAATATAGAGTTTTTTTTTGGACAGCGGTTATGCAAAAGGTGTTATATACATACTTATTGTCTCTGTAATTGCAAGTGATTTTACTAAGGTGAGTAAAGTAAAGGGGGACTTAAAGGGGAAATCCAGGGATTTTTAAAAAATTCCTCATAGTTAAATAGTTGAGATGTAAACAAAGTCTTCAGATGTCTGAAGAGTTTAATTGCTCTAAATGCTCCCTCACAGAAAGTTATTACATGAAATGGTTAGATATATGCTGTCTAATGTCTGCCATGTTGTTTTATGATACATTCGTGATAAAGTTTTGCCTTAAGATGTATTTTAATCAATTTGGTTCCTATCACCACCACTGTAAAGAAATCAGAGTCACTACAATGAACCATTTTACACCAAACCACTCTGAATTACTTTATTTACATCTCAAACACTGAATTATGTAGATTGTTTTAAAGTGGAGTTCACCTTTAATAAGAGGGACATGATCATACCTAGAAATCACCTCAGGGTTAGGGAGTGTAGCCTAGTATCAATAATGTTTTGCTTGTGACATTTCTTTGAGTACGAAGGCCATTTGTCCTTTAGACCAGCAGCCATAGTTAGGTTGGTTGATTTCTATGATTTTTTCTGTGAGTTCTTTAATACAGTCTCTATAAATGTGAGCTGGGTTAAATTATTTAAAAAAAATCTAATGAATTAACAAATCAGATCTCAATTTCTAATCATGTAAAATGTTCTTTAAACGTGGCTGCTTTTGGTGAGAAATAAACGTTAGAACATTCAATCATTAGAGCATAATGTTTAACATGATGATCGTGACAACAACTAACGTCATATCTCGAATAATATTATTAAAAACTAATAAAATAACTCATCGCATTCACTTTGTATAGAAGAGCATCAGCTTTCGTTACATCACGGTTTGGATGATTTTGGTTAACTCAGAGCTACATTGAAAAGTATTCAGCTCTGTAGTGTCCCCCTCTGTCACTAGGTGGCAGCAGCGTGAAGATGAGCTCTCATCATTTCCTGTGACGCAGAAGCTAAAGCTTCTCATTCTGCCCGAACTGGCTTCAACCATCTATTCATAACAGCCGGTTCGACAAAGTGTTTCACTCCGCAGAGCTGCTCGTTTTTTAGAACTACGTACGTCGCTTCATAAAACTAACGGACATGGAGACTTCTGGAAACTCTCACAAGAAGCAGAAGCTGAGCAACGCTCCCGAGAGCTGGGTGAGTGTCCGTTAGCCAGCCGGCTAGCAGAGCAGAGCAGAGCAGAGCAGCCTGTGAGGATGTGGCTGCTCAGAGTGAGGCCGGCTGCTGTCTGATAAACCCCGCTGAGCGGTACAGAGACTTACACGTAGCTGCTCATGGCTGACTTTACGTAGACTTCAGTTCCCCTGCTCATACCCTACTTTACTCAGACTTAGGTAGACAGTTTTCTCACGCTAAGAGCTGACGACACACTGAGATCAGAAACGGGGAGATTCTGTACTAACTTGAATCCCACCGGGTGGTCTGGGTCCACCCACAAACATTTCACATTCACACACTTTATTCTCTCTTTATTCTCATTTTTATGCCTTTTATGTTTTCAGATAAAAAAAACACAACATCAAATGCATTTATTGTTAAACATATATTTACTACTAAAACAAAAAGTATGTGTAGTGATGTGTAACGGTCTTTATTCTTGAACATCGGTCTGCTTCAGGGGGTTTCAGATGGGCGTGTCCGGCTTGTTAAGGGGCGGGGCCGCTTTGCTGCATGTTTGTGGTTGTTTGCAAACAGCAAAATCAAAAGCTTCATAGTACTTTATATTCGCTACCAAAAGGTATAATTTCATTGTCAGTCACTCTTTATCCCTCAGAATTAAACAGCTTTTGCGACTGTTACTTTAAAACTTGTTATATGTAAATGGTCGCTGTTCTGATTCTCTGTTTTGTGCCTCACTGCAAAAGCAGTCCACCCTGAAACGTTCCTTAGATTTACAATGTGAAAAAGTGAAGCTTACACTGCTGTAGGCTGAGTAGGTGGATGTATGTAAATGTGTTGATTTTCATGATATGAACCGATGGAATCAGAACTGGCCATTTTTGCATCATGGTTTCCATATCTGAGTAGGTTTGTACTTTAGTTTGTGCATAAAGTCTTTTACTAAATCTTAGTTAACACTAGTTAGGTTCAAACTGTCATTTTAAGAAACTATACACTGATGCTGTTGGCAGAGATTGTTCTTATTGTCATCACTTACATGGCTGTATTTGATGATCCAAGCTATGGTTTTCCTTTGTGGATCACATTGTCATTATCTGGTTGTGATAACGAAAAAAAAAAAACAACAACATTGAGATTTGGTCTTTTAATTACCAGGTTTTGCAGGTGACATTTTAAATCCTAGGCTTCATCACATAAGTAAGATTTGTAAGTCAGGTTTTTTAAGTTCTGTGATATCGCAAGAGTGCAATGACGCTGTGTGATAGGATTCTTGCTAAAAATAAGCTCACAAGCTCAGCAATACATGTCCCCCTGCCTTAATAACAAAGCCAATTTAATCAGGTGGTGATTACACCACTCTCTTGAGAGAGCTCCTGTCGATTCTAGCCCACTCTTCCATAAACTGGGTGCACAGTTTAGCCATGTCTGCCTTTTCAGCAGGTCACCTGCTGTTCCGGATTGAGAATTGAAATTGAGATCTGGTGATTTTGCTGGTCAGTGACAATGTTCCTGTGATCCATCATGTCTTTTGAATGCTTCACATACAGACACACTACAGTCGACATCCTGGAATGTGGGAGCGTCAATTTTGTGTTCTTCTTGGACATGAAGCGCAGAGTTAGTGGAAGTGTGGGTTCAAATGAACAGGAAGAATAATGCAGTCCTTACCTGACAGGATTGATACTGTTAGTAAGGCAATTGGATGCGTAATAAAGAAAATTAAGAAATGATTCCACTAAAGCTCAAGGATCGATGCATCCAGCAAACCAGGTTTATATTTCTTTTTCAGTTTACAGCGAACTCCATGAAAATTAGGTTGATGGTAAACATGAATGAAAATCAGAAGATTGTGCACTTTCGTGCGTGGACACTTAGCAGGCAAGTCTGAGAAGATGATGACAGTGAGCATGTTTGCCTGTCACTGCTGGAGTTCGGCTCCACTGATCTAATGGACTTGTTTACATCTTAAGTGTTGGTACAGGGAAGAATCGGAAGTTTAATATTATCTAGTAAAATAATTTAAAGGGAATTACTTTTAAAGATTAATTTTCACAGTGTATAGCAAGAGTAATTGTTAATTCCTGTTTTGAAAAGAGTGTATGTGATTTTACGTGTGTGTGTGTATACACACACACACACACACACACACACACACACGTAAAATCACACACACACAGGGAGATTCACT